ATATTGTTTATAATAAAAACGAAGAGGGCAGAAAGGTGATAGTAATAAAAAAAAAGACAGTTATGGGACAGGGGAGCGGGAATGTGTCTGTTTATAGCTTTAATACGGAGGTTTTGTGATAGTTATATAGAGCTGTCTGAGGTTAAAAGGGGGCCTCTCGTCTCCCACAGGAAGTTATATTAAGATTTATTTTTAAAGTTTCCGGGGAACCGAGGGGTGTACAATATTCCCCCGAGCGCCAGGTGTGGTTTGGGGAGAAGGGTTTTTATACTCCATCAAAATTGGGTGTGCCGTGATAATGATATGAGGTATAGGGATAAAGGGATTCGCAGAAAATTTTAGGGCGCGGGGCCCAAAGGGATAGTTATTTATTTTGTTATTACAGGGTTGATTAAAACATTCCCCCATATAATGTTTATGGGAAGACACAGGGATTCCCAAATAAAGCATCATAAGAGAATAAAGAAATGAAGCGCCTTAGTTTGCAAAAGGGAGCGGGCACGTAGCCGGAGAAGTAGGGGGGGTGCTCAATTTTTAGTTGTTAAAAGGCAAGGTCTTTTGAAGGCAAAGACTTTTGCTCGTAGTGAGTTATGGCACTCCGGGTGAAGGCAATATAGCAATAGAGCTTAGGATGCGTGAATAATCAAGTGGGAAGTTTTTTAATAGTCTACTGACTGGCAGAGAGATACGCAGGGACAATAAGAGTTTAATCTAGGGGCAAATGGCAGTTGGCTTGTTGATACCGCTTAAGAGGCAGTAAATTCTGGAAAGCGAACGGCATCAAGGAGGCGAGCATCCTGGGATGCTCGGTTCGCCGGGCGATCAGAGCCAGTCGGCCGCCAGCAGTCCCATACACTGGTGTGTCAGCGTTTGTCCTTGCCAAGAGCAATTCATACACAGAAGTCATGTTGTGGAGCATTTCATCGTCTCGCAGCTTTAGACGAACAGATGTTGGCAACATTCAGTCAGATGTCTGCTTAGCCGTCTTTCACAGGTACAGTAAGAATGGCCTATCTTCCAGTCTAGGCATGAGGTTGTGCTTTCATCAGGTTTTTAATATGAAAGCCATTGGCCATGGCGAAAAGGGCACGAAAGTTGTATGGCTAGAGTCAGAGCGGCTTGTGGGTTTTCATCAAAGGTCTATATCAAAAAACAACAAAGCTTTCTCTTAAAAACCAGAAGAATTCGGACTACTATTAAATAGGTGGGAACAAGGGCAGTAAACTCGTCCCGAGGTAACAAAAACTAGTAGATTATGGTGAACCATATGGTCGCACAACTTAAAGGCATTTGTAGCTTCTACTCTGTGCACCACTAGTCTATCACGCACGTTCTGCGTNATCACTAGTGTAAGACCCGTACGGTAATCCTTGTGGGATATTCGTCCGGACCAGTTGCACGTATCGTAGTAAGCTCTAAGGCCTTCAGAAGATCTAGTGATGATATTTCGTTCGGTGGTTGACTGATTGAAGACCAGACTGTGCGCAGTATGCGCGCAGATCAGGGCTTCGTCTTATCTAGTAATTTCGGCGGCCGAGGTCAAGTCAGGTGACCTCGGGGAAATCCACAGGACGTTGAAATCCACACACTTTACAGAGTGGAGCACACTTCATAAATGACGGCTTATTATTGGCCAGAAGGGCGTTGGCAGCGCTTTTCATTTTCATGTGACAGCACGCTAAGCCAGCCCACCGTGCTAAGGACCAATAACACGTGCCTGTTCTTATACTGTCAAGCTTCGGTCACCCTCTTCCGCCTTGCCTCTTCCGTCTTCCGACTCTTTTGCCGGTCTTCCGCTACTCTGGCTTCTTCTTTCTGGCTTCACTCTGTCCTCTATTTGCACCCGTCCCTCCGGCTCGTTTTCTCCGCCGTCTTTACAGCACCATGGCATCATTCGCAGACCTCGGCCAGCTGGTCGACTTCAATCAGACAAGCCTCTACTGTAAGCAGCCCCTCCTTCGGTCCCGAGCTTCTTCCAACAACTGACGGCTGTAGTTTCTGTCCTGGCCATCGTATTCAACCCGACCTTTTGGAAGTAAGTTTGTCCTTCGTGCTGGCAAGTTTTTCGTTTGTTCTTTGACTGACTGGCCAGCATCGTGGCGAGAAAGGGTACGGCCTACACCTTCATCCATCCGCTTTTCCACTGTACATTTCAAGCTTCCAGACACTCCCTGCTAACTGTCCCAGAATACCGCACGCACTTCCTGACCCGGCTCTTCGGCGGCCGTGCCCGCACCGCCTGCTACTTCCTTGCAGCCACCATCTTCTCGCTCGGCATCGTGCGCGACCTGCTCTACGAGCGTGCCTTGCGCCACCAGCCCACACATCCGCTGCTGGCCGCACCCAAAGTTGCCTACGGCGGCTATGCACTGCTCGCCCTCGGTAACGTGCTCGTGGTCTCGTCGACGTGGCGCCTCGGCATCACTGGCACCTTCCTGGGCGACTACTTTGGCATCCTGCTCGACAGCATGGTCACTGGCTTCCCCTTCAACGTCACCGATGCTCCTATGTACTACGGCAGCACCATGAGCTTCCTTGGTTCCGCCTTGGTCTACGGCCGGCCTGCTGGCGTGCTGCTGACTGTTGAGGTCCTGTTCGTCTACCTGATCGCCCTCCGGCTGGAGAACCCCTTCACGGCCGGCATCTACGCCAAGCGGGAGGAAGAGCGCAGCAGGCAGGCTGCTGTCAGCAAGGAGCCCAAGAAGCAGCGTTAAACAAGCGGATGAAAGGGAGACGAGAGCAAAGGAGTGGACGGGAGATGACTAATTCAACAGAGATGACAAACCAGTCCACAAGTGTGGATCAACCGTTTCAACACCGCGTAAGAGCAGGAAAGGACGGCAGGGCTTGATGGCCCACCAGAGTGTCCAGCAGCTGTCCTTAACGACAGGCTGGACGGTGTTCGGCGTTCGGTGTTGGTCATGCGTCTCGTGTGTAGCCCGCTTCAACGGAGGACTACCGACACCGCTGATCGGAGCAGATGATAGAGCAGAGAGCACTTGATAAGGAGAAAGGCATATAACGAGTATCAACCCTTATGCCCGTTGCTCAGGCGTCAGGTCCAACCGACTTTGTCAGCTTATGTGGGTCATTCCGAGCACTGTTGTATTGCCGTTTTAAGTAGGTGCAGCCTGGCTGCCTGCCATCGTGTCGCCGGTTTGTAGCAGGTGCTCACGTCTCTGCGTGTAGATCTCTACGACGAATCGACCGGGTGCTGTGGAAACAGGCCTGCTGTCGGTTTTGGGGCTCTTCCATGGTTATGGTTGCTTATTTCGGCCTTGTTTTCTCCTATGCAGCTTCCCTTCTTCTGGCTTCTTCTTGTTTTTATTTTTCCTGCTGAGCTGTCACTGTCCTTTTTCCGTGTTTTTCCTTCAAGACCTTCATTCTTTCTGGTCCTCCATCTTTCTAGCATCCCTTCTTTCCCGCCTTCCTTCTTTCCTTGCATCTCTCTCGTTCCTATATAGAAGGAGGCACCAACATAAGTAACAATCAATCAAAACAATCCACTCCTCAGGTCATCCCTTGTCCACACTTTTGTGTTTTGTTCTGTTGCTGATTCGGAAAAGGTTCCATATACCACTCTTTCTTCCTCTAGTACGAAGAATGGCTACCCCAGATCCTTTGCCTTCGTCTTCGTCAAATGGGAATCTGCCAAGCCTGGAATTGATGCATCGGGGAAGACGAAAGGTTTTGTTTTGGAGGTTGTATGCGGACGCTTGATTTGGAGCATTGTCATATTTAGCAAGTATCCAGATCAGCCAAGTAATGCCAAGAATACATTTGGCCTCTCAATTGCCTTTTAGCTCGAGTCTAGTCTTTCCTCTTCCTCTCGTTGATTGTCCCTCGACTTCGCGGTGTTGTCCCAGTTGCGGGTTCCATGGTCCAGTCAGCGGAGCTCTCATACAGCTCGCGCACGCTCCCAGGTGAATGGGTCACAGTTGGGCCAGATTCCCACGTGTTCGGCAGTGCGTACAGCTCTTCTCCCGTCTCTGCCTGAAAGAAGGGGCCCAAGATATGGCTCTGCCAGATAAGGTCAGACACCTGTCCCTCTGGCCCAAAGTCCTGCCACACGGTGATAGTCGTATCATCCTCCTGGACACGAAGATGAAAGTCAGTCGGGCAGCGGGCACAACAGCTGCTGGCTTCGGCATACGTCCTGATGTTGCTTGAATAGTATGTGTCCTGCTGGTCATCCGTGGACTGGACTTCGCTCAGCTCTTCGTTTGCACTTTCCAAAGCATCTGTCAGACGAAAAATCAAGTCTAACTGCTCCATTTCTTTTGCGTTACCAAATTTACGCGAGCGACGACAGCCTTTCGATTTCGCTTCTATCCATCTTTTTGACGTGTCTTTGAAATTATGCAGATGCGGACAGATGGAAAGCTTCACGAATGAGCTGCTCCATCCTGTGAAAATGTCTGTTCGCAAGAGATACCGAGGGTGGCCATCTGGCCCTGCAACGATGCGCGGTGCAAACTTGTAGCGATAAGTGTCGTCATACTGGCTTTTGTAGTGGCTTAGCCAGACCGTTGTGACCGTTGTCCGCGTTGTCTCGAAAGGCCCAAGTGCCTGCTGCACCATACTCTGCAGAGGCTGTAGATCGCCGGCCAACAGGGTGCTGGCATTGCTCTGGGCAATCCCAAGGTTAGGCCGTATCCGAGAGACGGCCTTCCAGATGGCCGACAAGGCCGCCTTGGTCGTGCTGAGCGGTCTAGACAGTGGCTGCAGCTGCAGATGACGAGCTTCTTTGAGCAACCGAGCCCGCTTGAGCGTGAGCTGCACGTCACGGTGGCAGATGCTGGCGAGCATTGTCCTGCGGGCAGCGGGCGCCTTGGGGTGGCCTTTTGTCGTCGTCAGCATGACGGTAGCCATGCGCCGGGCAGCGCGGCCGTCGCGGCAGCAGGGCGGCTGCAGTCCCGGCTTCATTGTCCGCTTCTCGGCCGATGCCTGTGCGAGCTCCTTGCAGTCGAGGGCGTGTCCGTCTCGCGGGCCGGCACGGTGCAGTCCCAGACAGAGCTCACAGGCGTATTGGTCGCGCAGGTCACGGGCCACGGCCGAGAGGAAGGCCAGAAAGTCCAGCCGGTTGAGACGACTGCGCAGTGTCGATACTGTTGTTGTCATCGTTGTCGTCGATCCGTCGGTGGCTGGTGACTGCAGGCGCTCGTAAAGGTCGTGGCAGGTGAGGCTGAGCAGGACGCGGTCGGCCGGGCCGAGATGGTCGAGGACGAGGCGGGAGAGATCCCGGTCAGACAGAAGACCAAGGAGAAGGGCGCCACTTTTGGCGGCTAGAGGATGACGACCGAGGCCGTCGTATTGAATCACTGTCATCTTGAAGCAGCAAAGGACGGGAGACGAAGAGGTGAACAGGTTGATACAGAGGAGAGCAAGGTAGACGAAGCAGAGGTGAGAAATAGGTCAATAGATTTGAACACAAATACTGGTGATTCCTGCAGCATATATTGAGGCACTTCGCCCAACAGGTGGTAACAGTCATCACAAGATGGTATGAGTTGCACCATAGAGCAAACAGCCATACGGACAAGTTGGAGCAGCCAAGGTTTTTTTGTGATTTGTCTTTGATAGTGGCACAGGATAGAATGTGTGCATCCAACACAGACAAGTTATTCTTGGGAGCGTGCGTGTGTCAAGATCAGTCTTACTTAAACTCGTGTCCAGCTGCAAAGAAATGACTGAGTGCCGCAGACATGTCGAAGACGGATTGACCTCTTAGTAAAACACATTTCTGAGCTGAAAGAAAGTAACCGTTCACATGTATTTAGCTGAAATGTACTCCGTAAGTTTTATGGAATAACAATCCAGTAGTAACCATGACTTCAAGAATGAATCAACTGTACGCAGCAAACGTGAGTTCATCCACTCCACAGATTACTCCGTACAGTACGTACTAAAACCCCACGATACTCCGTACCGTAGGCCGCTTCCCCACTGTAGATCACTGAATAGGGGGTAGCTTGCTCCATGTGACATCGGCCGTAAGGCGACAAAAAGGCTTCCCTGTGGCGTCTGTCAACAAGAGACAGGCTGCTGAAACAGGCCAGCAACGTGTTGGAACTGCCAGGGCCGAGAAGACAAATGCCGGCTCTGCGGTCGTGACGAGCAAGCCCTTCGCGAGGCTGCACGACAATTGGTGGCTCGGCACTTCGTTCGGGTCTGTGGATGACGTAAAACGCCCATTTTCGGGTGAGACCGCCATTCCAGCAGGAGCTAAAGCCGAAGAGGTTCTCAATTCGCGTCTTTCCCTAAGCTCAAAAGGTCTAGATCGTGCAGCCAATTGAGACTGCATTGTCGCAGCATTCAGCAGTGAGCAGTGACAGGCCGCTATCGAGACTTTGCGCAGCCGGCTTTTTTGTTTCTATTTTGTTGCTTCTGTGTGCTGCTGCTGGCCTCCTGTTGATATCGTACCATTATTCGTCATTCTCGTCGTCTCGTCGTCTCCCTCATCTCCTTTGTTTCCCTGGCGTCGTGTCCACCCTCCCTTGCCTCCTCTTTTCTTCCTCCTCTCTCCGTCATGAATTGTCCCTCTCGGACGGACGAGCCGGCTCGCAGCGACGGCCACAACCAGAACCCCAACGCGCTATCCAATGACCTGACGACCAACCAGGACCTCAACGGCATGGCCAACGCCCGGCGTCTGCGCCGCACCGCCTCGCTTCCGCTCCAGAGTGCCGGCCTAGCCGACGATGCTGCTGCTGCGACCGGGGTCATGATGGAAAGCACAGACGAAGGCGCGGGCCCGTCGGCCGGCGTCGTGGCCGGTGACCGGATGTCCGTGGCTGAGGCCCCGGCTCCGGCCCCGGTGTCTCCGCAGCTCGGCTCCTCTACCGAAAAGGAGCCAGCGCGGAGCCGAGTCCAGGCAGAGGGCCTGGACGGAGGGGGACGGGGAGAGGATAGAGAGGGGGTAGAACGACAGGACCTGACTCCGAACAACATCAAGCACCGGGGCATTTCCGGCTTTTTTCGTCGCGTCGGCAAGACTCTGGTGACGTTCTACCGTTTCGTTGGGCCGGGCTTCATCGTCGCCGTGGCGTACAGTAAGATTCTGCTTCACATCCACGTCCACATCCATCTGCTGACCTCCAGTCGATCCGGGCAACTATTCGACCGACATTGCGGCCGGTGCGTCGTACCGCTTCCGGCTGCTCTTCATCGTCCTGCTGAGCAACCTGTTTGCCATCTTTCTGCAGAGTCTGGCCATCAAGCTCGGCACTGTGACGGGTCGCAACCTGGCCGAGGCCTGCCGCGCCTTTCTGCCGTGCTGGCTCAACGTGACCTTGTACGTGCTGGCCGAGATCGCCATCATCGCCACCGACATTGCCGAGGTCATCGGCACGGCCATCGCCCTGAACCTGCTGCAGCCCAAGATCCCGCTGGTCGCCGGTTGCGCCATCTCCATCGTTGACGTCTTTGTCGTTCTCTTCTTCTGCCGGCCGGCTGACGAGGGCGAGCAGTCGAAAAAGGGGACGGCCAACCAACAACCACGCCAACACGTTCGCCGCGGCATGCGCGCCTTTGAGCTGCTCGTCGCCGCCCTCGTGCTCGCCGTCGTCGTCTGCTTCTGCATCCAGCTCTCGCTCGTGCACCGCTCGACCACCGGCACCACTGCCGCCAAAGTTTTGCGCGGTTATCTGCCTTCGTCTGCCCTGGTCCAGCCCAAGGCCATCTACCAGGCTTGCGGCATCCTCGGTGCCACCGTCATGCCTCACAGCATCTATCTTGGCTCCGGTATTGTCCAGGCCCGCCTGCGTGTCTTTGACGCCCAGCACGGCCTTCTCCCGGATATGCCTGGCACCCGGGATGTTGACGATGTTGACTCGGACTCGGACGACAACAACAACAACAACAACAACAACAACAACAACACCCCATCTTTTGCATATGTCCCCTCGCTCCGGGCCATCCGCCACTCGATGAAATACTCCATCGCCGAGTTGGCCCTTTCACTCTTCACCTTTGCCCTCTTTGTCAACTCAGCCATCCTCGTGGTCGCTGGCGCATCGCTTTACGGCAATGCTGCTGCCCAGGATGCCGACATTTTTGCCATACACGACTTGCTGGCCCACAGCATCGCCCCGGCTGCAGGAACCGTCTTTGCGCTCGCTCTGCTCTTCTCCGGCCTCTCGGCCGGCGTCGTCTGCACCGTCGCCGGACAGATGGTCAGCGAGGGCGCTCTCCGCTGGACCGTTGCTCCTTGGCTGCGCCGTCTGCTTACCCGCTCCATCAGCATCATGCCCAGCATCGTCATCGCCGGTGCTGTCGGCCGCAACGGTCTTGACACCGCCCTCAACGCCACCCAGGTCGCCCTCAGCATCATCCTGCCCTTTGTCACCGCCCCGCTGCTCTGGTTTACCTGCTCAAACCGGTACATGACCGTCCAGCCCGGTCGTGCTCGCTTCCTCCTGGACGAGAGTCGTCGTCGTCAAAAATTGAGGGCTGCAGCTGCTGCGACTGCAACTGCGGCCTCCGGCATTGTCGAGAATACCGGCACTGCTGCTGTCGCCCAGCTCGAGCCGGGCGACGGCGTCGAGCAGCCCGTCAAGATGGCCAATTCTTGGCCCGTCGCCCTGCTAGGCTTGGCCATTTGGCTGATCATGGCTGCCATGAACGTGGCCAATCTGGTCCTCCTGAGGTCCGCTTAATTGGCCGCACAGTTCGCTTGAGAGACGAAAGACTTGACTTGTCCAGGCGAAAACGGACACCAATTGATTAGTCATCAGACACACCACTGTGGCACGACTGACGAACCTGTCCACACAAACCTCTGGTCGAGCTTGTTGGCTGCATGAAACACTACCAAGGCCACAGATTTCAGGCTGCGTCTTCGCGCATCTCAGAGATAAGGACAGCCTATCCCATACACGTGATTGCCGCTGCGTGCGAAATTTGCCCAACTGTCCAGCAGCTCACGTCGGGCTGCATAGAACTAAGAATGCATGAATGGTACGGAGTAGGCCTGCACCTAAGCACCTCTTTATGCAATGACGGCGTTGGCTTGGCTATGGTTTGCGTCCAGAAGCGGCAGAAGTCCCCGCTCGGCTGTGTTGGCACGGAGAGCTTATCGCAAATAACAAGAATCGGAAATCCAAGAATAAATTGGCTTGCAAAGTAGTCTTGCTTTCCACCATTATGAAAGTACCTTGCTCATGGCGTAAGATACGTCGTAATTGGTAGAGCCTCGTAGCTTTGGTTGCTAAAAAATAGCACATCTCACACGAGATAGAGCGTCCGGTTAGCTCCCACCACCAAATCTGCCTTGCTAGGATGATGAGGTGCGATGCAACCCCGCGGTTGCGCAGCTGGTCAGGCCGATTCAGTCATGTCGCTGCCGGCAAAGCTGCACATCTGTGCCGCGCCCCAGAGTGTCGGTGAGAAGTGGAAGCTGATTGGCCGCCAATTTGGTATACCGCTGTTACCCTCCGTTTGTGGCCGTGGGCCGCTCCGAGACAGATTCAAACAGACCTGTTCGCGGCCGGCTTGCTGCTTCTGCTGCTGCTGCTGCTGCTGCTGCCTGCTGGACAAACAGTTCGCGGTCATATGGCACGGCAGTCTGGCCAAATCCGCTTCATGGCCCCACGGATCGAGCTTGCCGTCTTGCCATTGGGCTTCCCCAAACACCCCCCCACCCCCCCCCCCCCCCCACACACGTCCTCATAGCCCATGACGAGATGGGTGTTATGATGACTCCAAGCTCGTACAGCATGGTCGTAATCATGTATGCCGCTCGATGTTCTCCCTCGTTTGGTGAACACTGACGAGCGGGACTCGTTCCTAGGCTGCAACGGGGCTAGTTTTGAGCCGGGTAGTGAGCTAGTACTCCGTATTGGGCCGGTGATGTTGTCCTTTCCTCTAGCATTGACCCCGACTACAAAGCTTGCCCGTGGCCGCCTCCTCTCTCTGTCCGTTCCCCAGACGCTTCTCCATGCGAGGAACTCGAGAAGCCCACATTTTGCATACCCACTTTAAAACAGCTCTGGGGCGCTACCGGTCGTCAGTCGGGCAGCGACTTTCTCCTCTCTTTATCAAACACAACCGATCCTCTCGGCGGTGACGACATCAAAAGCTCTCCCGTCTCTCCAAAACAGCACACCCGGCAGGAAGAAGGTGCAACGACTTACCGACATGGCGGATAACCCAGGAAGAGGTCGAGGACGCGGTGGCGGTAACCGCGGTGATCGTGGAGGCAGAGGTGGCGGTGACCGTGGAGGGGGTGGTGGCTATCGGGGTGACCGGGGCGGCGGTGGCTTCCGTGGCGATCGGGGTGGTGGTGGTGGATACCGTGGTGATCGTGGTGGCGGTGGTGGCGGTGACCGAGGCGGTGGCGGGTACCGTGGTGATCGTGGTGGCGGAGGCTACCGTGGTGATCGGGGAGGTGGTGGTGGTGGCTATCGTGGAGACCGTGGCGGCGGAGGCTACCGCGGCGATCGTGGAGGTGGTGGCCGTGGTGGCCGTGGCGGCTATGCTCCGTCCGACTACAGCGCGTTCAGGCAAGCAGAACTTCGTGTGCTGTTGTGCCGTCCCGTTCGATGATCGATGTTCGCTAACCTTGCACAGCTATCCTGACGGAGTGGTCCAGCCGAGTGCGGAGATTCGTGCTCTCGAAAACAAGTTGATGGCGGCAGCACCGGCTGCGACGGTGAATGTGACCGCTGTAGCCCAGCAGCTGCAGCAGGTCAGCGTCTCCGGACCGGCCGCCAAGGGTAAGGGTAAGGGTAAGGGAAAGGGCAAGGCTTCAGCTCCGGCTCCGGCCCTGGCCTCGGTGCCACCCTCATCCGGTGGCGGGAATGAGGACCTTGCTCGGTTCCCTCGACGGCCAGCATACGGAACGACTGGTGCTTCGGTTGTTGTCTGGGCCAACTTTTTCGAGCTGAGCTTCGGTCGACTGCCACAGCTGATGCAGTATAACGCACAGGTCACAAAGATTGGCCGTATCGTCCGCCAGGATGCAGGCAGCAAGGGCAAAGAGATCCTTAAGCTGCCATACACGTCGATGCTCGGGCCCGATGCACCGGCCGATACGTCGACGGCGCCCGAGGTCAAGGGCCCGCTGCTGCGCAAGGTGTTGCGCTACGTGCTGACGGAACGGCTGATCAACATCCCGGCGGCGAGCGAGCTGAAGAGCAAGATCATCACGCTGGCCCCGCTACCCGGATGGTTGGGCAATCCGCCGGTGCTGGATGACGTTGAGTTCGAAGGCAGTGTGTTCCGCGTGCAGTTCGACGGCCCGGTGGTGCTGCCGCTGGACGGCCTTCAACACTGGCTGCGCACGATGCGAGACGAGCGCGACATCAATGACAGTTTCTTCCCCAAGTTCCCCGATGTGGTGGACGCAGTCGGCATCCTGCTGGGCCACGCGCCGCGTATGGCCACGCCCGGGACGACGACCGTGGGCAGCAGCCGGTTCTTCACGACCGACATGCCGGCAGAACGGACTTCGCTGGGCAACGGCTTTCTCGAGACCGTGCGTGGATATTTTCAGAGCGTCCGGCCGGCCACCGGACGGCTTCTGCTCAACGTCAACGTGACCCACGGCATCTTCCGTGAGGCCGGTCGGCTGCCCGACATCCTGCGACGTGCCGGCCGACCGACGGTGCGGCTGCACAACATGTTGAAGAACATGCGCGTAGGCGTCGATATTCCGGGTGTCGGCCGCCAGGACTACTCCATGGGCGGCCTTGCCCGACGAAGCGACAATATGCGCGGCCGAGGACGACGGAACAGCGGTGGTAGCGGCCACAGCGGCAGCAGTGTCGACGACGTTCTGCACGTGCGCCAGGACTTTGCCCGGCCGCGTGAAGTCGAATTTCGGTACAGCGCAGGGTCAAATCCGATTGCAGGGCTGAAGGACAACTCGATGGTGACGGTGTATGATTATTTCCAAAAGAGTAAGTTTCCTGAGTGGTTGCGGTCTTCCGACTTTTCGTATTCTTCTGTCTCTCTATCCTCTAACTCTCCAGAATATCACGTCCAGCTGATGGACATTCCTGTTATCAACCTCGGCAAGCGCGACAACCCGCGCTACTATCCGGCCGAGTGGTGCACCCTGCTGCCCGGACAGCCGGTCAAGGCACGGTTGAGCGCGAGCGAGTCGGCGGCCATGATCCTTTTTGCCTGCCGCACGCCGGTCGAGAACGCGCGGTCCATCACCGGGCTGGCCCGCCAGGTACTGCAGCTGGACGGTGGTGGCAGTGGTGGCAGCGAGCTCTTCCGCCAGTTCGGCCTGACTGTGGCGAACCGCATGGTGGCCGTGGACGCTCGTGTGCTGGACTCTCCACGCATCCAGTACGCCAAGAAGGACCCGGTGCGCGTGGCCAAGGGTTCCTGGAACCTCAACGGCCAGCGCGTCGTGCAGGCCGGCCGGCCGAGCAGCCGTGATGTCCCGTGGACGTATGTCCACCTCCTCAAGTTCGGCACCCAGTCGGCCGACAGCGGAGACATCGCCCGGGCCGTCGGCGAGTTTGGCCGCTTCCTGCGCAACAACCTGGGCGTGCCAGTGCGCGAACGTCCCATCCCGCTGCAACGCCATGAGTACAACACCCAGGCAGACCCGCTGGACGGTGAGGCCGCAGTGCAGCACGCGCTGCAAGGGCTGCAGCAGCTGAAGCCGGCCGACCGTCCGCGCGTGGTGCTGTTTGTGCTGCCGGGCAACGCTGACAAGGACCTGTATGCGTCCATCAAGCTGCAGGGCGACACCGTCTTTGGCGTGCACACAGTGTGCGTGATCGGCAAGAAGCTGACCAAGACGCGGCCGGGCAACAACTTCGGTGGCTTTGACCCGCAGTACTTTGCCAATGTCGGGCTCAAGTTCAATCTCAAGCTGGGCGGTGTCAACCACCGGCTAAGTGACGATGTGAAGGATCTCGGGCTGCTGTCTGAAGGCAAGACCATGGTTGTCGGTTATGATGTCATCCATCCGACGAATCTGGGTCTCGGTGGTTCGTCTGCGAGCAGCAGCGGCGATGCAGCTGCCACGCTGCCCAGTCAGGTCGGCCTGGTAGCCAGCATCGACCGTCATCTGGCCCAGTGGCCGGCCGTGTGCTGGGAGCAGCGTGGTCGCCAGGAGATGGTCAGCGCCCAGCTGACGGCGGCCATGCGCAGTCGCCTGATTCTGTGGCGCGAGCACAACAAGGCTCTGCCGCAGAAAATCCTAGTGTATCGTGACGGCGTGTCCGAGGGCCAGTTTGCCCAGGTGCTGGACGTCGAGCTGCCGCTGATCCGTGCTGCCGCCAAGGACCTGTACCCGGCGAACGCACCGCAGCCGGCTGTCAGCATCATCGTGTCGGTCAAGCGTCATCACACCCGCTTCTTTCCCACGCAGAGCGGCCACGACACCGGCAACATCTCCTGCGGCACCATTGTCGACCGCGGTGTCACTCTGCAGCGGTACTGGGACTTTTACCTGACCGCCCACACGGCCATCAAGGGCACTGCTCGCCCGGCGCACTACACTGTGCTCTATGACGAGATCTTCCGGCCAAAGTTCCCCGGAAACGGCCAGGCTGCTGTAAACGCGCTCGAGACCCTGACCCATAACATGTGCTACATGTTCAACCGCGCCACCAAGGCCGTCAGCGTCTGCCCGCCTGCGTACTATGCCGATCTGGTGTGCACGCGTGCTCGTCTGTACCAGGCTCGCGATTTTGACCGCATTCTGGCGAGCCAGGCTGGCGGTGCTTCCGACACGGCCAGCCAGATCAGTGGGTCGACTGCGCTCACGACCATCGGGGCCCTGCCGCGCGTGCATGCGAATATCGAAAATGACATGTTTTATGTGTAGGTTAGGAGAGGGGAACAGACTGGACGACGAGAAAGGAAAAGACGAGAGATGGCGAGAGATAAGCGAAGAGAGAGGATGAAAATGGAAAGGCAGCAACAAGTACAAAAAATGAGAGAATTGCACAAGGCAAGTGCGAGGCAGATGCTCCGCATTTGAGGAAAGAACAATGACAAAGCATGTCCAATCTATATTGACAAGTTGCGGCTGCCATGAGACCACGTGAGATGTAACCACGAAACGCCAGCAGACGTGAACAAGACTCAACCCTCCTACATATCCATTGTGCTCTCGTCGGTTTGAGTATCGGCCGGCGGCATGTCCCACGTCCGCGTCCGCGGCCAGGCGACCGGACTGTCCCCGTCTTCAGAGTCCTCGTTTTCAGGCTCCCCATTTTCAGACTCCTCATTCTCTTCCGTGTCCTCGTCTTGGCTTTGGTCATCTCGGCCACCACCACCACCACCACCCACACAGCGCAGTGCCCAGTCGCGCACGCGACCGGCCTTGGCCACAAGAGCTCGCGCAGCCTCTGGATCCTCTGCCACTCTCTCGCCTTCACCTTCACCTGGCCACAGCACATGCACCTTGGTCTGGTCACGCCGCAGACTGCTGCCATATACCCGGTCGCCAAATATGTGCAGGGCCACGTGACGCAGCAGCAGCACATCCCGCGGCCGGAGCGAGGGAGCACCACCCCAAAATGTCACCCCGAAGCCGGCACGCGTCTCGTCGCCGACCACGACCTCGACCAGCGATGCCGTCCCGCCCCAGCGTGTCTGGATCGTGCGCGGCTCCGCCACCGAGATCACGCCGACCACCGCGCTAACCGTCGCCGTCTGCGGCGCGATGCCCACGAGATAGGCCGCGCTCGGGATGGCTGCCAGGTCCGTCAGCGGACCCCAGCGTGTCGGCAGCGGAGGTCGAGCCGGCGGCAGATGGGCGGTAGCTTGGGTGGTGGTCTGAGTGGTGGCTCGTGATAGTGGCATCGTGAAAGACGCAAACATCGATCCCGGTGCTTGGCTGACCGGCTTCTGCAAGACCCTGCCACTCCGATCCCTAACAGCCGGCCTGCTGTCCTCCCGCCTGTCTAAAATCTCTGACAGGTCTAGCATCGACGACGGCAACTCGTTGTGGGCTGCCAGAGATTGCTCCAGAAAAAGCGAAAGCGTCGTGTCCCCTTCCTCGAGATACAAGGTCGTCTCTGCCTCCTCGTCCGGCAACATAGCCTGCGGCACCGCAACAGAGAGCGGTTGTGTCTCAAACGACATGGCAACAAACACACGCGGCGGTGTGTTCACTGCCCCGGGCGTTGCAAAGAAAGACGAGCCTGGCGTGAAGGCGAGAAAGTCGGCACGTCCATATGGCTGCGTTTCTGCCGGTCCTGGCTGCAGGCCAGCCAACCAGCTTTCGGTCACATCACCGTCAGTCTTCGACGCGGCCTTGTGCCTCTTCTCCAGAAGCACCCGCCATGCCGGGCGGTCTCGCTGCGATTGCGCCTTGTCGTCAGCAGCAAGGCTGTCTGCCCAGCCAGCAAACCGCGACAATGGCCCGCCGAAGTCGTCAAGCAGATCGGCTGTAGCCCAGTCAATCGAGGCCGATTCCGGGGCACCGGCCAGGACGATCACCTTGTTCATGATTCACATCTCCTGGCTGCGCTGCTGTTGCACGCAAGGATGTATGTTGTTTGGAGACAGTTTGGATGCTGCTATTTCGCACTGTTATTAAAACCCGTAGCTCAGGCACCAGGTTTAGGCGCCCCACTACTTACCTCTTTTAGCTGCACGCGCCACTTGTTTCTCACGATTTCCTCAAGAAGATCGCACATCGTTTTCACCGCATCCACCACTCTCTCGAGCCATTGCAGGCGTTTCTGTGGCGACAGCCTCTCCTTGCTAGCCGACAAGCTTGCCGACCAGCTTGCCATGAAAGCCCCTGCACCTTGGGACGGCGTCCCCAGCCAGGACCAGCTGTTTGTGCTAGTTACTGGGGCTAACAGGTGAGTTTCTTCATATTGCTTTCGTTTCTGCGCCAAGAACACATTGCTGACAGACCGGCTGCCTCTCCGCTTCAGTGGCATTGGTCTCGGTATCGCGCAGCAGCTCGTGGACGTCTTTCTGACGCAGCGCTCTCCCTCTGCCCACCTCGTGCTCGTCGTCACCACCCGGTCGCAAGCCAAGTCGCGGGCGACTCTCGAAGCCGTTCGCGGCCACCTGCGCGGCCGAGGTGGTGGCAGCAGCGCAGCAGCGCGCATCCACCTGGTCGGCGTCGAGTTGGACCTGTGCCGGCTGCCGACCGTCTATGCGGCGGCCGAGCAGCTCATCCACGGCGGTGTGGACGTGTTTACGGCTCACAACAGCGGCAGCCTTGCGAACGAGACGCCCACACGAGCATGTCTCCCGCGACTCGACGTGGCCATCTTTAACGCCGGCATCGGCGGCTGGACCGGCTTCAGCATCGGCGGCATGATGGTGCAGCTCGCCACGGCCGGACTGTTGCAGTCGCTGACGTTTCCGTCCTACAAGCTGGCACTAGCCGGACAGCTGGTCGACCCGCTGACGGGGAAGCGTGCCAATGGAGAGAGCAGCGACAGCCTCCTCGGCGAGGTCTTTTGCGCCAACGTGTTCGGCCATTACCTGCTGGCCCACGCACTGCTTCCGCTGCTGCGCCGGCCATCCGGCACCGACGACGGCCTGCCGGCTGCCCGAATCGTCTGGGAGAGCAGCGTGGAGGCGTACTGTTGGGACGCCCTGGCCGTCGAGGACTTGCAGGGCGTGCGCACTACGGCCGCCTACGAGAGCTCCAAGCGGCTGACGGACGTGCTGGCGCTGACGAGCGGTCTGCCTGGTGTGAGGCGGCTGTCCGGACAGTTTCTGGGCGAGGGCGAGAAGGAGAATGAGAATGAGATCGAAACCAACTCCACCTCCAACAACCTCCCAAGACAGTACGTCACCCACCCCGGCGTCGTCTGCTCGTCGCTCTTCCCGCTGCCCCAGCTGCTCTTCTACCTCTACTACATCGCCATGTACATCGCCCGCTGGGCCGGCTCGCCCTGGCACCCCGTCACGGCCTACAATGGCGCCACCGCTGCCGTGTGGGTGGCCCTACAGCCGGCTGACGCCCTGGAGGCAGCCCAGGCCGACAAGGTCAAGTGGGGTGCCTGCGTCACCCGCAGCGGACGTGCCGTCGTCAAGAGGACCGAGGTCGAGGGCTGGGGCTGGCAGGGCGACGTGGACAGCAGCGATAGCCGCGATAAAGGCGACAACAGCACCATCATCGGATATCTGCGCAACTCCGTCGGTCGTCGCGCCGGTGCCACCACTCTGACGGCTGAGCGACGCCAGGACTTTGAGGCGCTCGGCCGGACGTGTTGGCAGGAGATGGAACGGTTGCGGCGAGTCTGGGAGGATAAGCTGGCATGCAGCAGACAGAAAGGCCACTGACACAAACGGACGACCATAGACTTTTGGTTTGGCCCTTAAATCAATTATTAAATCCGAGACCTATTACTCCGCTGCATTCATCATACGCTGTGCGGTTCGGGGAGATAGACACATAAGACGTCTCCCGCTCTCGTCATATATATACTGAGTGTTGGCCGATTAGATGGCCGAGCATCAATCATCAGATTCATCAACGTCAGGAGACACTTTGCCGCCATCAGGACGGTCTCAAGGCACGCTGTCTCCCTCTCTTCTTACGGCTGCCACGTTGTCGTCGGATTGGACACGCCGCAGGAGCACGGCATCCTGGCGGCCGAACAGGCCGAGAGACAGGGGCAGCGGCACGACGGCCATGGCGATGACGGCCGTGAAGATGAGGGCGCGCTTCATGTTCTGTGGTGGCGAGGCGTCGTCGCCGTCGCGCAGGGCGTCGGAGACGATGACGAAGATGCCGCCTAGCAGCTGGCCGCCGCTCCAGCAGAGCGTCGACGTGACCTCGGGGCTGACCGGGTGTGTCAGCTCGGCGAGCATCTCGATGGCGACGGGAACGAGCGTGAAGCAAGCAGCGCCGAGAACGGCCAGGACGACATAGGGTCCGGCAAGGCCGCCCTGGTCGTGGGTTTGCGGCATCCAGATGAAGGCGAGGTAACAGAGCCCGACGACCGGCACGCAAATCTTGATCGTGGCCAGAAAGCTCTTGGTTCGGTCGAGGATGGGCGACGTGATGGCCGCACAGACGAGCCCGGCGATGATCAGCACGGCACCCGCGATGCCCGAAGCGTCGTCCGAGTAGCCGTACGGTTCCATGATCTGGTTGAGCAGCGACGAGACCGAGTTGAAGAAGCCGACAAAGACGGCAAACGGGATGAAGATGAGCCAGAACTCGACCGAACGGCTCAGCAGCCAAAAAGACTCGCGCAATGTGGCCTTGGTCGTCTCGGCTGAAGGAGCCACCGGCGTCGGCGGCTTGTCGTACACGAAGAAGGATGGGACCGAGCAGATGGACGACTGGCCGTCAGCAAGCGAAAGGAAACCCGAGAACCCAAAGCCGAACATGGCAGACTCACGATAATGGCCACGTAGAGCACCATGTTAGGAATGTCATGTGACCGGTTGACCCAGAAAGGCACAATCAACTGGCCCAGTGCGGCGCCCAACGGGTTGGCCAGGCTCATCAGGGCCGTGGCCGTGACGCGGCCGCGGTTTGTGAACCAGAGGTCCGAATAGCGTGCCGCAGCCGCCAGCACAAACGGCTGGGCCAGGCCCGTCAGGATCTGCCCTAGCATCACGACGCCAAAGTGGCCGCCCGTGTTGCCATCGGCGCTCAGGCTGCTGCGTGCGCCCGCATAGCGGATCCAGTTGCCGACCAGGAGGAGCACGGCCGACACGATCATCGCCGGCCGTGGACCAAAGTGCAGCGTATAGATCACCAGTGGCGTGATGACGCAAAAGGAAAAGAGAAAGGCTGTGCTGAGCCAATTGATGTTGGACTCGCTCGTGCGGAAGAATGTGGCTGCGTCCGACGCCACAGGCGAGAACGTGAGCCACTGCGGACGTTAGGAAGGGGCGAGGGAGAAGAGCAGAGGAAGGAACACGAGGAAGGACGAGGAAGGAACAGATGGGACGGACAAAGAAATCGCAGGAACACAAAACACAAAACACAAAACACTCACATCCCAGCTCACGATAATGTTGAGCAGCGTCAGCTGTATCAGCCCGAACCAGCGCCGCCTGTACACCCGGTATATGGGCGGCCCCGCCTCCGCATCGCCACTCGTCCTGTCGCCGCTGCCAGCCACCACTGTACCGTTGGCACCGATCCCGTCGCCCTGCATCTGTCCGTCCGGCCTCAGCAGCCCGGCCAGCTCCACCTTACCGTCCTCGGAATTTCCGTGAGACGGCTGCGTTTCCTGTACCTCGGCCGTGATGCCTGCACCGTCCGCGTCCTCAAACGCCTTGTCCTCCTGCCAGTCGCTGGCATCTGTGGCCATGATCCCCGCCGGCTGGTCGCCGCGCCACGTCCTGGTGCTAGTGAATCCTGCTGCGATCAGAGATGCCGACAATCCAATTCGACCTGTGCGTGATGCAACAATGCTTGTTGGTCTGGCTGATCGTCCAATATCCAAGTATATCCCAGGCCAGGACAGATATGCATGTGCTCAGATTGATAGATTGGTCGGGCAGCTGTAAGAGAAGATGGAAAGATACGAAAGATAATACGAGTACTCGTAGTATGCGAGTGGGGGGACACCCTCAAGAGCCCTCTGTCGTCGGCTGCACATCGCTTGCAGTCACATCGCATCGCGCCAAGACCCCGTAGCCCGTTGGCTTCTCGGCTCTGCACAGGCGAAGCACGCATCGAGCCAGCAGGGATGACCTCTGCACACGGTCAGCCATCGACAGCGCGGCCGACGTCAGGGATCGACAAACGGCAAAAGGGGGTGAGCCAATCTTGCTTGCTCATGATTCGAGCCTGCTGTCAATTTCCTGCGGCTGCAGGTGGCCGTTACGACGCTTCCACACGCGGCCAGACGTCCACCATCGAAAGGGTACGCCTCACCATGTCATAAACAGGCAATAAGGGAAAGTAGAGTGGGCAGCTTTAGCTTGGACCAATTGCCACAATGGGAGACGAGGAGGGGAAAAGACCCAACATGTCACGAGACAGAATGCGCCGATGGGCACAGAGAAACGACTGGAAGAATGGAAAAAGGCCCAGGCCAAAACAACACTGTGCATAAAGAGGGCACCCTAAGCGAGGCTGCTCCGGCAGGTCAGCCGGATAAGAAGCCTGTCTGGCCTTGTGGCGTATCTCAAAAGGTAAAAATACATACAGAAAATACCACCTCCCACGTAGAGTTGCAGCATGAAAGATAAGCCCTTGCAGTCGGCTTCGAGTCGCAACACAGGCGCAACCGACTCAGACATGTGAAATTTGAAATCTGAATAAACCGGCCACCCGCCTAAATTAGCCAGTTCGCCCGAGCAAATGAGCTTCGCTCCCAGTAGGGCCGAGCTCGTGATATCTCAATGCCGGTGCATGCCAAAACAGCCAATTATTGTCATCGTCTTTTATTTATGCGGAATCCAGAAATATGATCTTTGTCCGTCACAAAATCACCCCCGACACTATCATACAAAAAGGAGGGGTGGGGATGTGTCGAAAAGACATGGAACATGACCGCCTCCACGTCGTCCTCTCTCTCTCGCTCTTCCTCTTCCAATCCCGTTCTTTTTCCTTTTTTCCTTTTTTCTCTCACGCTCGTCTCATCTCTCCTCTCCCATTCCCCACTTCTATCAGCTACACGACCGAGTTCGATTACAGCCAAACCAACGGCCCCTCTTCTTCCCACGGACGCCAATCCACCCTTCTCACTTCCTCTCTTCTCGATCTTGTAGGACGATGCACACATAATTCATTGTTCCATGTCACATGTCTGGCAGAGCCTCGCGCAAAAAAGGGACATGGTCGGTAGAGGTGATCCATTGATGTTGATAAAGAGACAAGGGCTGCCTGTCTTCCCTCTTCCTCTTCCTCTTCCTTCTGTCGGGCCCCAGTCATTATCGTCGTGCCATCTACTTGAGCTTTGCCCACAGCTTCGGTGCAGCGCATTGGGTCGCGCAGTGGGTCAGGTGGAAGACTAGAAGCTGTCAGTGTTGAACATTGACTGTGACAACGTGCAAGATGCACCTGGACATGGATATGGACACGTACACTCCTCCACGCAGTCCTCCTGACTGCCGTTCTCGACGCGCTCCACGCACTCCTCAAAGTGGTGCTTGGCCGGGCTGCATTCCTTGGAGTTCCGGCACTCTGCTTCCGTCAGCAATTGTCCCTCGCACAGATCCGACAGGCATTCGCATTGGAATGAGGGGAAAGGCGAATTGACGGCAGATCACGGCCGGCCGCGAGCTCCGCCACATCGTGTGCCTTGTCCGCCTTGTCCGCCTTTCCTCCCTTCCAATTCGAAGCCGAAAAGTAGCTTACCCTCCTCGAAAGTCTCCTTGGGGTCGACCAGCTCCTCCTCCTCCTCCTCCTCGGCCTCCTCTGCCTCCTCCTCGGCCTCGGCCTCAGCCTTCTTGGGCTCCTCTGCCGTCTCCTCCTGCACAGGCTCGGCCACCGCCTCAGCTTCGGCCACGCTCCATGGCGTCGCCGCCTCAATCAGGTCCGTGAACGTGTCCCAGATGCCCATTTTTGCTGCAAGCTAGAAATTAAGTGCTGGTGCGTTGTCGGGGGGCGGGAGAGAGAGAGTTGAGCGGTGGGCGGTGGATGGCTCGTTCGGTTCGGTGGGACGATAGGTGGTGCGTGGTTTGACTACGAGGACCAGCGGAACCACGAAAAAAATTAAGTGACAACACAAATGGGAAATTTCCCGGGTGCTGGTCGTAGCAAATTGCGCGATTTTGATTGGGCGTGCGCCTCCTCCTAGCCGGGCGCATCCGATTCACGTGACCGTCGCTCCGACACTGCCCCCGTGGCCGAACACACATCTTCCGCTTGTAGCAAGATAAATACGCTCGCAGCTCGGCTTGTATTCCGCTCATCATTCACAAGATATAACAAATCAACAGCTATTCCTCCAGTGCTCCAAACGGCCTCCGATAAAGCGTCATCATGAGGGTATCACAGTGCCCCGTTCTCGCTTGTAAAGAGCTTCATGGACGAGGTGGCAGAGGACGAGATCCCCTGCCGACAGCTGACTCACAAGTGTCGGAAACTACACAACGAGGGTCACCAAAGTAGGCTGCCTGGAAGCTGTTGCCCACAAGGGCCCCTCTAAGTGTCAATTTCATTGTCTCTCGGCCGCCTCCCGTAAATTCTCCTCGAGCCTCATTCCGAGGGCCTGGGCTTGCGCCTCCTCATAGTCCGGAGGCGGCTCGTCCGGCGTGACCTGGGAAAATCCATGGCCGGCATCCGGAGCCGCTGTCAGTGCTGGTGCCGGCTCTTCAGCCTGCTGCAAGTCGGACGTTGCCGGTACCCCTGTCGATGACGACGCTGAATGTCCAGGAGCTGCGCCTGGCGCTGGTGGTCGTCCTGCTCCTCCAGTTGGCAGGGTGGCCTCGTACTTGGGGAGGTCCTCTCCGGTGGGGATGATTTGCCCAGTCTCCTGCTGCAGCGTTCGGGCATAGGCCAAACGCTCCTTCATCACCTCAAACTTGCTCTGGAAGGCATCGTGGCCGCCATCCTTGAAGGTGAGCTTAAACTCCAGCCGCGGAACGTCGTGCGGAATACCTCCGCCGACAGTAGGGCGCACAATTCCGCACCACGACCACGGGCCAAAGAAGCTGGAGACGACGCGAGTGTCTTCAAAGTCCAGGATCGGAGCAGAAAAGGACTTGAAGGCCCCGGTCGGTCTGGCCGGCAGGTAGATGACCTAGACGCCGCACCAAGCGGCCGGGTCAGCAGGGTGGTCGATTGGTACGCATGCGGACGACGGCACGGTACTGTAGCATTTTGCCACCTACCCTGTTATTTGTGATATAAACAATACCACTGTCACTCTTGGCTGAGAACGGGGTGGTATTCGGCAGCGATTTTGGAGTGCCGATGTCGAGGCCGATGCGAGAGCGCACCTTATAATAGACCTTCTCACCAGGGAGTTTCACAACGTCGCCCTCCTGGTCCAGCATAACCCAACTGGTCTCCTCGTCAGAGTCCGTGTCGATATTGGCATTACGGGCAAGGGTGTAGCTATGCTGCTCCTGGTAAAAATCCATGTGTAGGGTAGGAAAGGCGAGAAGAGTGGGGAGGAGGGGGGAGATATGGCATATGCGGTCGGACAGACCCGTGAAGGGAGCGACGTATGGGGGAGCAGACGGCAGGGGGTGAGGGGGACGAAAGCGGAGTAGATGCGACGGGATGCTTTAGAAGACAGAACATGCAGAGGAAGCCGGTCTCGCGGGCTGTATTGTGGTCACAGCAAGAAGGGCAGACGGCAGACGGGGGATGGTAAAAAGGGGAGAGGGAAGTAGTCTGTGTATAAAGGTGCTGTGGGGATGATGGAGGCCGGACTCACTTTATTGACATTTTGCCAGTGTGCTGTTTTCCTCCCAGGTTGGCAATACAGTGTGGCTACCCCTATGGAGGTGGGCGATCTAGCCTTCTCAGCTTTCTGACCAGCCTGACCAGCTAAGAGAGGCTTAGTGCTCGAAGACGATAGTTTGACGACACAGGACGAGGTACTTGGTAACGAGGGCAGAGAGCAGAGCGCGGAAAGCGCAGAAAGCGATCACCCGGTCCGAGTGCGTAGGTAGGAATTGTGGGTCAGCGTGCTTATTGCCCTGCTCGCCCGACTCAGTCAGTGTTAGGGGGGAGACTTAAGCTAGTGGCTAGCAGCGGGATGCAAAGCGAGAAGGCGGCCGGGGTGTTTAAAAGATTGGCATGGGCCGGACGGGCCATAATGACACAGTCCATGCCGGCACGATGTCTTGCGGGAGAAGCAGAGAGAGTAGATGCAGGAGGGAGGCGCAAGACGGACGACAAGAAAGGCCAAATAGGCAGTGTAGGCGAGAAATATAATACAATGCGTGCTTGGAGAAGGACAGGTGTGCTCGGTGGGCAATGATTGGGATTGAGTGAGGCTTACGAGTCCGATTTGGCCGGATCTAGACGGCAAGGGGCATGCAGTAGGGCCAGCTCAGCAGGACGAGTAGTAAGATACCACTCTGGACGTGGTATCTGGCACGACGACTGCAAATAGATTGACACGAAGGAGAGGGTGTGAATGGCCGGAAACGATGGAGCGGAAACGAATGGAAAAGGTGGAGAGGCCAGAAGAAGGCGGCCCAGGACTGTGGAAAGCAGTGAAGCAGGCGCCAAGATAGGGAGATGACCGATGGCTGATGGCAGGTGCTACCAGCGGGTACGGAGTAAGCGGGGCTTCCAGAATCACGGAGACACGTGTCTGTGGGAAGGCGAAAAAGAGAGCCTACGACGTACATACATAGTCGTATTACCGGGCGGCTTTTCGCGGTACTCCAGAGGCGCCTTTCAAGGGCTGCGCACAAGGCAGGGCAAGGAGCACAGCAGGCTGCCGTCAGAAAACTAGGCGGCGGCAGCAGCGACTCGTTAGAGTAGTCGTTCAGAACAAAATCAGAATAGTGAAGTACGGAGTGAGATAAGATACTATGAAGTAAGTAAGGGAAGAGGCCCTAAAAGAACCAGCCAATGGCGTCGCTGCGTTTTAGCAGCGTTGCAGGTCGCAAAGCCGCAGGTCTCAGCAGCCATGCATAGTGCGGCGTTGGTGCATTTGGGGGGTTCATGGCCTAGCCGTTTCCGTTGTGGCGGGATTTCGAGCTAAGATATTACATGCTATGCTCGCGTGCGTAACTGCCGAGATGCTCGGCCGTCTGTCCCAACACGTTCAGACGGGCTGCTGTGAACACCTGCGAGCACCTGGCTGCATGCACGTCAGGACACGACTGTGCTCATATGTCGTAGAGGTAAGCACACCGCCGCGTGGGAAGCGTCCAGGCAGCACACAGGTGAGCAGTCGGAGACTTTTGCAGGTGGGGGTTGCATCCTGACAGGGGAAAGAAGGATGCAAATGGGGGCACAAGGCCAAAGTTGTTGGGTAGATGCGGTGCCATGCGGCATTCAGTGCATAATATCTTACAAATATTCCGTAATACATGGAACGCGTGGAAGACGGCAGCCGCTCGCTCCTGCCGCAAACCTCGTCTGAACAGTCGTGATTGCACTGACCAAAGAGGAAGCAGCAGCCAGCGCGATGGGATCTGTGGAGTACGGCGTACAAAGTAGAATCTTTTACTTTTGGCTTCTCGTCAGTCATGTCCAAAAACTTCGGCAAATAATCGGCTCGACATCAGATATGTCACTGCCCATACCACTACTACATACTCTGTACGTCGTAGTATGTACGTTTGTTCCCCTTGTCCACCAGATCCGTTGCCCCCCTGTTCGCAAAAGGCCACTCCCAATGTTACTGACTGCATAAGCTCACCGCCTCTCTTCGGCCCCGAGTCTCTTGGGATCCATTGGTCTTTTCTCTCGACTGTCTGCGCGCTCTGCTCGCACGGTTATCTACCTCAGCAGTTGCATAGCACCTCATGGCTCCCCACCGACGCGAGAGTCGGAAGCCGTGCTGAAAAGCAGCCGACCAAACGGAGGCACCGTCTGCTATTCGGCGTACGAGTATCCACACCAAGCCCAGCATCTCGGGTCTGGCAACTCTGCCATGGTGCGAGTACTCCGTACATAGTATGCCAATCCACTGCCGGCCAGTCCGTTACATCTTCATCCAAAATGGAGCTTCATGGGGTAGGACCAATAGCTGACGGCCAGACAAAAAAAATCCTGGCCCGCACATTCTAACAGGACAGCCCTTGTCCCACCTTGAGGCGTACGGAGTACTGACAGGGGAGTTCCATCATTCCGAACCACACAGACAGCGATCTCTTCTGCAATACGAGATGCTGGCTTGCATCGAAAAAAGCGTCAACATTCTTTCAATCCAAAGTGCAAAAGCGGACGGGTGAAAGTAGCCCCCAAAAATGTTTATCGTTTGGCTATGAAATTCATGAGTTTCATTATACACGTGTCGTAAAAGGAACCATCATACGAAGAGCAGAGAACGCCGGAAGAAAGAAAGCCAAATGTCCCCGAAAACGCAGAGGCAGCCCTGTGATGACAAACCAAAAAAGAAAAAAAAACAGCCCCAAGGGCATCGGCAACGAGCACCCTTCCACCTCAACAATGCCATCCAAAGAGTACCCGAATCGCCAATGCCAACCTGGAGGCCAGAATAGCCCCACACTGATTCGGCGACGTTCCATGTACTCTTCTTGCCCAACTTGTCCAACCCATGCAGTTCGCCGTCGGACTGACGGCAGTCTACTCACCTTTTGCTACTGATACCACTTACAAGTCGGCGTCCATGACAAAGTCCAGCTTCGGGATTTCAATCTTGGGCGCCGGCACGTCTATCGTGGGGCCACTAAGAGCAGGCGGCACCTTCTTCACATCGTTCTGTCTCTCCGACGCAGACGGCGGGGCCGGGGGAGGAGGCCCGTAACGGACGTCACGCACATCCCATCCGTCCTCATAGGCAGCGGCAATCCAGGTGCGCAGACCGTCATGGACAGCGCCATAAAACTTCTCCTTGCACAGACGAAGGCTGCCGCCCATGCAGCGTTCCCAGCCGGACATCTGCATCTGTTCACGCAGCTGGTTGCGCTCAGCCGCTGTCGGCGTGCAGGCCAGAATGGCATTGACGAGGTCGAGGTGTGAAGCCAGGTAGTTGGTGGCTTCCCATTCGACACCGCCAACGTACGGAGCGGCCGGGACTGGCGGCCTCTCTTTGGGAAAGTGGCGAACCATGTACGACGATGGCGGGGTTGTCGTGTGCGACGGCGGTGGCGGTGGACAATCTGCAACCTCAGAACTGCTGTCGTCATCAGCCGATACGCTATGGTTGTCAGGGAAGCCCACGTTCTGGGTCCTCGTGGCCGCCGGCAGCGCGATGACATTGAGGTGGTGCAGGAAAATCCAGAAGACCTCCTTGGTGACGCTGAGGACCTCCTTGCACCAAACGCGGTACGGCCGGTCTCTGCGCATTTCCAGCACGAAGCTGACAGTCCGAGCGGACTCGCTGGGAGCCGGGTCGCGCAGATATGTCAGGACGGCGCTGGCACGGGCAGCACGCTCGTCGGGCAACGAAGCACTCTGGATGTACGTGAACAGCAGCCAGGTGACAATGCTGCGGGTGGTAAATTCGCTTGGGCCCTTCTTCTCCGGGTCGAAGATCATGTGGATCAGGGCTGGCAACAGGCTGGCCTGGGTGTCGTGCAAATACTGCAGAGCGAGGGCGGTGGTGCACAGGGCCTTGAGGCAAAGGAGGTTTTCGTGCAGCAGGGCGTCCTCGTGTTCCTCGCGCCATTCGATGGCTAAGATGCGGTGCAGCAGGCCGACGGTTTCCTCCATACCCCCGAGGCCGATGAACTCCTCGGTCCAGACGACGGTCTCGTTTCGCAGCAACAGACGGAGCTTGTGCAGCTTGCCGACCTCGACCATCTCGGGCTTTTGAACGGTGCGCAGGTACTGGACAAAGTCACCGGGCGTGTGGTGCTGGGCCTTGGCCTTGTTGAACAGGCCGGCAAAAGTGCTACCATGGCCGGTTGCACTCGCGCCAGCGGCAGCAGTAGCGGCATCGGAAGATTCGACGCCGGCCGAGCAGGCCATGCTCTCGTTGGACTTGGATCGCAGGCGGCGGCCCAGGGTGTCCTCGGCCTTCTTCCGAAGCGATAAGCCGGGGCTCTTGCGACGGGCGGCGGCAGCGCTGCCGTTCTCAGCCTCAGCACGCTCACGATCACGACTGCGGCCACGGGTGACCCTGGAGAGTGTCAGGCTCTTGACACGCGAGTGCTTGGACTTTGAGGACTTGTCAGGCTTGCCGGGCTTCGTGGCCGTGTCGGTCGAGGTGGCCAGGGTGATGGAGGAGGCAGCTGCAGTGGGATTGGAGCCGGACGACGGAGCCGGAGAGCTTGGCGAGGGCATGCTCTCGTTGCTCGTGGAGCGTTTGGCACGGCTCTCGGCCCAATCCTGGCGGATGAACTCCATCTTGATGGTGGCGGCCAGGCTGCGCATCTTGTAGCGCTGGTGCTCGGGGATGTTTCGACGGTCAAGAAGAGCCTCAAGATGGGTGTCGATGTCCTTGGGATCGATGACGGGACCACGCGCCTCAGCAGCCATGCTCACAGACGAGGTGCCGTTGGTGGCACCCGGATGGAAAGACTTGGGCCGTACGCTGGTAGTGTGCGTCCTGGTGCGAGCAGGGATCTCTTCGAGCGAAGGCCGACGGTTACGGCTGTGGCCGTTGGGATTGTGAACCGACTGCAGCGAGGCGGAAAGGTCGGCGTTGGGGACGTCGGCAGGATTGTCTTTGCAGAACTGGGCATAGATGGGTGGTGACGGGTCGGCAGTGGCGGGGTATGTAACTGAGCCCGGCGGCGTGCAATTCTCCTTGTCTTTGGCCGTGCGAGTCTTGTCCTTCTTGAAGTTGGCGGACTGGTCTATGTTTCTGAGCGACTTTGGACGCGACAGCAGGCCGGCGAAGTTGGACTTCTTAGGGGAAGGCGTGGGAGGCGGCTTGTTCTCGTTGTTGGAGGGACCACCGGCTCGTGTGTCGATGGTGAGCTTGGACTTTCTCGTGGGCGACATGGCGACAGGTGTTCGAGGCAGGCGGTCGTGGCTGGAGAGGACGTGCTTTCCGGCCTGCAGATAGGGACCAGCAAACGGGTCCTGGTGGCGGTTGTGAGACGTCTCCTCCAAGGGGGCAGGACCTCGGGTGGTAATGGGCAGGGGTGTCGGCGATGGAGCCTCATCGTCTGAGTTGTTCCGGCGATGCCGCATTAAAGAGCGCAGAACCGATTTGTTTCTCTGGTGGCGGTGAGGAGGTTCGCCGGGCGCGTGGCCATCGGTAGCGGCCATCATGGTGAGTGAAGAGGCGCCGCTGCGGGCAAGCGGGAGGACAGGAAGAGAGAAGGGTGTATTTCTGGGGGGAAGAGAGAAGCAGACGAAAGCTGCGGCGAAAAGAGCCACGACCTGAGGATTCGTGTGTCCTGACGCCGATTGCTGGCAGCCGTGCTCTCTCTAGGCCATTGTCCGCAGATGGGAGCGTGTCGAGAAGTTTGGATCAGTCGCCGCCAAGGAAGCGGAAATGAAGGACAACAGGGGAAGAGTTTTGGAGATTCTGGGCGAGGGATGTGGAAAGGAAAGACCCAGGCGGTAGCGAAAGGGGAAGGCATTGTAAATATCGGTGTTATCCGATAAGGGTTGCCGTGGCAACTGGGGCGGTTTTAAGGCCGTTTGGAGACAGACCCCCTCCAGATAGGAGGAGCCATGGTCCTCTCGGCGACGGGCGCTAATAAGCCGTGGCATGGATCAAGAGGGAGTGCAGATCAGAGTCCACTCGGCTTAGCATTGTGCTGACGTATCTTTGGTCGTGATCTATGTACGGAGTACGAAGTAGTCAAATATCTTATAAACTCGTGCTGTCTGTGCCATTTTCCCCGCGGTGTTGCCACCGTTTCCGGACGGTACCGTCTTTGGTACCGTCTGTGATACCGTCTTGGGTTTACCAGCTGAGAAGGCCGCGGCTGCGATCGAAGCCGCCGCGCAGCTGGCTTTCAGGCTTGACAACCTTGCCCTGCAGGATGGTGTAACGGACGAGGTTCTCACAGTCTTCGGGGCGGATTCGGGCGAGCCAGAGGCACTGGGCGGCGCCGGGTGGGAAGTTTGTGGGAGTGGGAGTGGGAGTGTCTCCGCTCTCGGGGTTGGTTCCGTTTTGGTTGGTCCCGTTTTCATGTTCAGCTCCGTTTTCCGCTCCGTTTTCGGAGACCGTGTTGGATTTATCTCCCCGCAGGACAGCCGGCACGGCAGCGCGGATGCGATCGGGCAGGCGATCTTGTTCGGCGGGCGAGAGGTTGGCGCGCTGGACGTGGTCGATGCCAAAGGGGTCTGGGCGGCGGTAGACGAGCACGTTGGCGCTGTACTTGTGGCCGCCGACGTGGGAGATGAAGTAGATACCGACGCCGCCGGGTCGTTCGTCGTCGAGGTCGCGATAGAGTCCGAGGGGACGGAGGTGTCGTTCGAGCTCGCGGCGCAGCAGCGGTGCCGACTGGCCACAGCGGGCATCGCGCGTCTTCTGTGAGCAGAGCAGCACGAGCACGCTGTGGGGAGACGGCCGAACGGCGAGGGGGGGTGGAATATGGGAGAGCCAGGCAGAAGAGACATCCATCGACATCGTATTGGACGGCGCCCGGCCGACGACCTGCAGCAGGGACTCGACGTCGGCCGGCCCGACCTGGTCGACCACCACAAACGCCGGCAGCAGGAGCACGCGCGTGGGCCCGCCATAGGGATGGCCGGCGTGGTCGCCTTGGTGTGGTGGTGTCGGCATGTTGGAGGCCGACAGCATGAGTCGGACGTGGGAGGGCGCGTTTGCGCGGTCGATTGCCTCCATCAGGCTACCCTTCTCGTCGGCCACGTCGCGGACCCAGTCGGCCTTGCCGGTGGCCACCAGCAGATGGGCGCCCCAGCCCTTGACCAGGCCGTAGAGCCGGTCGTTGTCATCAATCTTGAAGCCGCGCGGGTACTGCACCGTGCAGGAGGCGCAGTCGTGCAGACAGTCGTCCCCGTCCACGGCCGCGTCCGTGCGCACAAAGAGCTCGTCCGGAGGGGCTGGCTGGGCGCCGCGGCCGTGGATGGCCAGCTTCTTGGCACCGTCGACAAACGAGCGGAAGGCTGACATGGTGGGGGAGAAGACGATGCGAGGATGGCGAGAGGATGCAGAAAAGGAGATAGCTGCAAAACAGAAACGGGAAAGAACAGACACGTCAGCTACACCAGTCGTCGTCGGACATCCCCGGTTGCCGACGCCGAGAGCACATCGGACAGCGGTATTTTGGCCGATCCCGATGTATTGCCCCGAAATGGTTGCCCCCCCAAAAATGCTAAGCTCGGAGGTAATCGGGGATTAAAATGTCCCCCGGTTTTATCACCGAGTGCAGACCAGCTCCAATGCAGGATCTTATCTGATCATGATAACGACGTCTCACTCCTACATCATATCGCTGCATTCGTCTACCTGCTATGTCCAAGAAAGGGATCCTCCTAGACGAAATAATACAACACTAGTATGCCAGAACGAGATCGCTGTGAGGACCAGTAAATGGGGAGATAGAGAAAGAAGGAGAAAAAGAAAAACACAAGAGAAGTGGAAAGAACAGAAGAAAAGAAAGGAAAGAAAAAGAAAGAAAAGTCCGTATATTGCCAATATCCCATTCACTCGTCCTGCTTCTCCTCACCCTCTTCCTCCTCTTCCTCATCCTCGTCCGCCATCAGCGAAAAGTCCTTGGCCGACTGGCTCTGTCGTCGCCTCAGCTCGCCGCGTTCCCGCATCGCCTCGCGGATCTTCTTGCTGGCCTCGTCAAAGCCGCCGTTGGCATCCAGTGTGGTGAACCCGCTGACGGGAAACCCACCGCCTGCGCTGCTGCTGCGCGACCGCGACCGCGACGGTGGCCGTGTCGGAAAGATGCCCACCTTGCCGATGTTGCTGAATGACTCGTTGCGCGGAACAGCACGGCCTGACTGTGTGGCGCCCACGGTGATGGTGATCCCGGTGCCGGTGCCGGTGCCCGATCCACTGCCGCTGGACTGCTCGCTGTCGTGGCGTCGGTGCTGGACCGAGGGCGGTGACATTTGTGTCGTCGTCTGTGTCGTCGTCTGTGTCGCCGTCGCAGGCCGCGATGTCGTGCTGCCGGAAAGCCGTGCGTCGCCGTTGCCCACCGGCACCTTGACCAGCCGCTTGTGTGGAAAGTCCGGGAACATCTCGGGGCCCAGCGTGTTGACCAGGTCGGTCACGCGCACCTGCAGCTCGGCCCGTCGCTCGCGCAGCTTGTGGATGTTGTAGCTCGAGGCCGGGATCATGCACAACACCAGCGGCCGCAACGACTTGACAATGTCCATGCCGACTTCGCCAAAACGCAAGGCCGCAAACGTAATCAGCGGAAAGACGATCCAGCCAGTCAGAAAGACCAGCCACCAGGGCGCCTCGGTTGCCCAGGCCGGCACGTAGCCCCACAGCCGGTCGGACCCGAACTTGATCACAAACAGCACGCAGTAGGCGTTGTACAGAATCGGCGCAAAGAACATGGCCACCAGCAGCTTCCACGTGGCCATGACGTCGCGGCCCTGGATCTTGACCGACGATCCGGCCAGCGCCTCGGCTGCCTTCCGCCGGCTGTACAGCTTTGTCACCACAAAGACCGGCGCAAACAGCAACAGCCCCGGCAGCACGCCGACCGACAGCACCATCAGCTGCACCAGTCGCAGCACAAACAGCGCCGACACCTTCCACCACGGCAGCCGCGCGTAGTTGACCTGGTGATCGCGAATGTTGAGGTATCGCAGCTGCCGGTTGTAGTCCTTGACCGCCTCGGTCACTGCCCGCACCCGCTCGTCGTCCTTGTACTTGTCGTAGCCCATGGCCAGTCGTCGGTTCAGCTCCACGACCATTGGCAGTGGTAGCTTCTTGCCCGTCGGGTTGTACAGCCGCCGTGCCGCCTGGATCAGCATCAGCGTGTCGTAGTCGGGCGTCGACACCGTCACGGCCGCCAGCGCCTGGTGCACCATATCCAGCAGCTGCGCGATCGCGTCACGACGCCGGCCATCCCGGTACATGGCCACCAGTTCGGCCGGCACCGACAGTGGCGGCCCAAACTCCACCACCGCCCGCGACCGGAACTTGTGTGCGTGGAAGTAATTCATGCCCACCGGCATGATCCGCAGATCGCAGTCAGGCGACTCAGCCAGTGCTCCCAGAGCCATGATTGCCACGCCGGCCTTGAGCGGCAGCATGCCGGTGCGGTCGTGGCTGCCGCCCTCGGGAAAGATGCCGACACAGCCGCCGTTGCGCAGCCGGTTGAACACGGCATGGTACACCTTGGTCTGGTCGATGTGGGCTGCCAGCTTGAACTTGGTACCTTGAAATCCCGGCGCCGGACCCGAGATCGAGCCGAGAAAGTGCCCGTCCTCGTCTAGGTCTGTGATGGCCGTCCAGCCGGTCAGCTGCATCATCGACGTCCGGCCCTGGAACGGCCGCTTGAGCCGGACAGTGTCGGGCCCCAGGATCTCCGCAATGTCCACGCTCGACCCGCTCTTGCCCTTGACCGACGGCAGGAAGATCATGCTGCCCACCGCCGCCACCGTGTCGAACGAGGTGCCGACTCCACGCAGCAGCGTCGGATCGTTGACCGGGTCCGGCAGGTATATGGTGCCGGCAGCTGGCTTGGCCGAGTCCTGTGCTCGGCCAACCGGCACCGACCCAACCTGGCGCGATGCCCAGCCGATGAATCCGTGCACGGATTTCTGCGCGATCAGCAGCGACACCCGCCGCTTGGCCTCGTTGTGCAGTGTGCGCTGCAGGATCAGCGCGTCCACAAACTGGTTCGCGTGGGGGGCTGCCACGAAGAGCACCGGGCCGTCACGCGGGATCTTCCACGAACCCCGTGGATGCACTTCGCGGAAGAAGAGGTCGACCAGGATCGACATGGTCCAGAGGAACGTGTCATATTTCCAGTTGCTCATCGGGTACAGGTCTTTTTCCGCCTGTCCGTCCGCCACGACGGCACCGTTGGTCTTCTGTTCCTCTGCCATTTCGGTCGAGAAGCGAGGAAGCGAGGAAGCCGAGAGAGATCGTGTCCGGGCTTGGACACGGTCGCGAGAAAGAGTGCAGAAAGAGAGACACGAGACGCACTCGCCGGCGGATCCGGTCGGGACGGCCTATGCTCGGGGGCCCAGAGGGGCGGTGGAGGGTGGAGGGGTCTGGCTCAGACTGGCAGCAGTCTTGTCTGGGGTAGGAAATGCGAGTTAAATAAGAGAGAAAATGGCAGAAAAAGATGCTCAGACCACATTACAGAAGCCCCGTAAGCTCGGTCCAGATGAGTCGCTCCGCTTTTATCCTCCGGACACTGCACAGACGCCTGCCGCTGCCACGGAGCAGAGGTCGTATTGGGGCGATGGCGAAACCAGCTGAAGAAGCTCAAGAGCCGAAAAGAGAAAAAATACGCGGATTTCCAGTCCAAAATACGATGCTTTCGAGTAGGGCACGTTGCTTCAGCTGCGGCCAAGGCAAGTGCGATCGGCGCCCGTTTTTATGTCGACCTGCGGGATTCTTGCAGCGAGAGAGATCTAGGACAAAGCTGGGTTGGAAGTTGCAAGTAGCAGCGACAGAGCAGCGCCATTCTCCGTACAAGGCTGTGCGATCGGAAAAGGAAGGTATGCGGACGACTAAGCACGTGCCCCGTACAGCACGGTCCCCGACTATGTCTGGCCCAACAAAACAAGGCTCCTGCCCCAACAAGCCGGATGAGGGGAGCCAAACGCCACAGATCACTAAGACCGCAGCCGCTGACAAACCGGGAGCCGACCTCTTATCGTTCCCCGGAATAGGCGTGAGTACAGATATGTTGAACAATATTTGGGTAAGATTTGTTTCAACGAATTGATATGCTATATTCTTAGACAGACTAACGTAGAGCATGCTAATATCATATGATTACTCCGTACTCTGCAAATGGGGCCTTCAGGAATCAGAAACTTTGCCTTTCAGACATCTCATCTCACCTTCTTTCCCTCTTGCTACTTTTACCACCTACCTCTTCCCTCCCCCTCCTCCTCCCCTCCCCTTCCTGCCCTTGCCCTTCTTCTCCTCCGGCACGCTCGCCGTCCCCTCCTCCAGCTCGCCTGCTGCCACCTGTCCATCGGCCTCCAACTCCCGCAGCTTCTCCTGTCCCGAAATAAACATGGTCAGATCGCGGTTGGCCTCCTGCAGCTCCGCCTGTGCTGCCAGGGCCTCGGCTGCCTGTGCCTGTGCCTGTGTTGTCTGGTCCTGCAGATGGCGGATCCGCGTCATCAGGCCCTCCGACACCCGTTTCTCCTCCTGTAGCGACCGGCCGAGGTTGCGTGCCAGCTCTGCCGCCTTGTCGGCCCGTCGCCGCTCTCGCTCGACATCGCGCTCCAGTGCCGGCATCGTCGTCTGGGCTAGCATGTCATGGGCCGCCCGCAGCACCCGCAGCTCGTCCGTCGTCTGTGCCGCCTGTGCTGCCGCCTGCTCGGCCGTCGCCGCTGCCGCTGCCGCCTTGTCTGCCGCCTTGCTCACCAGCTCCTCAAAGTACACCCGCTGGCTCTCCAGCTGACTCGTCAGCAGGTGCGTGTACTCCAGCCCAATCCGCTCCAGCTTCGCTGCCGGCACCACCTCTTCCTCGTCGTCGCCCTCGTCCGCGTCGTCCGAGCTGTCCGAGTCCGGGTTCGAGTCCTCGTTGACTCGCCCCCCTTCTCCTACTCTCTGCCCCCTCGTGCCCCCTTCTCCTCCTCGCCGTCTCGATCGTCCCGGCAGCTCCACCACCTTGCCGTCGCCCTTGGCTCGGATCAGCCGGTGCACCCACATGTCGCCCGCGTAGTCCCACACGTATTGCGTCTCCAGCTCCAGGCTGAACGAGTGTGCCGTCTCCTTCCAGTGGTCCTTGGCATGGCCCCGCTTGTATCGCCCGCAACCCACGTTGCCGCAGATCAGGCAGATCCACAGGTCGTCCGCGCAGTCGCACACCGCGCACAGATTGGAGACGCCTGCCCCAAATGGCGGCGCCGTCGCCTTGCTAGGTGACGACCCTGCCGCACCGCCCGTGCTCTTGTCCTCTGCACCTCCTTCCACCGTCGGCAGCGGATTGGTCGCCCGACAGACCGGACAGCCGGAGCCCTTCCACGTTTGCAGACAGGTGCAGTGGAAGACGTGCTGGCAGAGAATCGTCATCAGACCAGTCGTGTCGTCCATGCGCTCCAGGCAGACCGGACACGTCGGCAGTTCGATCAGGTTTGGTGTCGGTGGTGGGAACGGCCGCGGAGAGCCGGATGAGTGACCCCTTCCCTCACTGTTGGCCGCTGTCCGCCACCGCCCCGGTGTCTCGATGCCGATCGACCGGATGTAGGCCACATGGCAAATCTCCGCCTCCATGCTGTTGAACACACATCCGTCAAAGGCAGCCCGCCACTCGCGCGCCCGCGCCGCTTCGCGGAACTTGAGCAGTACCATGTAACGGTTCGTCCGGCTCGTCATCACCATGCGATAATGGCTGACGTCGCCGCGCCACCGCTCGCCCACGAAGCCGAGAAAGTCGCGCGGCGTCAGGTAGCTCGGCACCGCCGGGATGCACAGCATCGTCCCGTCACTGCCGTCCTCTTCACCACCGCTGGAGTCGCGCATTGCCACCGCCGTTCCGCCTTCCCGGTACAGATGCACAATGCCCCAGCCCGCATCGGTCGTCTTGGTCGCTAGCTGGCTGTACCGTGCCCGCGTTGCCTGGCCCGCACCTCCCAGCATCGGCCCCAACGACGATGCTGGCGTCGCTACCAATGCCGTTGATGCTGTTGATGCTGTTGATGTTAACGCATCTGCCGACTCTGCCGATTTTCCATGGCTGCCTCCATAGCTGTCCTCCATATCAAAGCTGGCAATCCACACGTTCCCAAATCGCCAGTCTCTCGCCGTCGCCGCGTCCTGCTCGCCCACGTCTGGCTCGTCCCCCTCACCCTCGCCCTGTTCGCTTCCCGCCTGTGCTTCCGAGTAGTGTGACGGCAGGTCGTCAAAGATGCTGGCCCCCGGCCCAGGCTGCCACACCGGATGTCGCAGCCCGTCTTCGACTGTTTTTGCGCCCGTCAGATCAGGCGTCGCGTAAAGCTCGAATTTGAGATGGTAGTAGTGCGAACGAGGCATAGCCAGTCCACGGTCGCTCTAGCCGTTGCTTTCGCGATGTCACTCGAGATTGAGGTGACTATGGCAAAAGCTAAGCGGCACTTTAATTACGGAATCTGTCTCCAGCATTGTTCACGTGCCTTCCCGTCGCGATCCAGTTCTCCAGTTCCAGAAGGTGCTCAGTGGCAACGGCCGCCCGTCGCAGCGCCCTCATCAGTCAAAATTTGGTTGACACGAAGCCCCACCATTCGCTTTTGGTGGCTCCGCCGATGACGCATGGCCACATTCTAATCATGCTAACACGATTGTTCCCACATTTGTTTGTCACGACTTTCACATACGCGCATTTTAGGTAGCAAATTTTGGGGTTGCTGGCAAACGTGTTGCCAGTCTGGTCGTTATATTATTCAGCAAATGAATCCGCATGCTGTGAGGGATATTTCGCAAATAAGAGCGCAGCCCAAAATCGCTCTGATCACTCGAAAGGATCAAGGACGCTCTTGTCCGCCAACCCCCCCTCAAGTCTACATACAGTTGGACTCGAGCTTCAAGTCGTAACAGCGTCTCTCATCCTCCCATTTACTGGCCTCCGCGCAGACGCAGCACCAAATGCAACGTCGACTCCTTTTGGATGTTGTAATCCGAAAGGGTGCGTCCGTCCTCCAGCTGCTTGCCCGCGAAGATCAACCGCTGCTGGTCTGGTGGGATACCCTCCTTGTCCTGGATCTTTGACTTGACGTTGTCAATCGTATCCGAAGACTCCACCTCCAGCGTAATCGTCTTTCCTGTCAACGTCTTCACGAAAATCTGCATGCCACCACGAAGACGCAGCACCAAGTGCAGCGTCGACTCCTTTTGAATGTTGTAATCCGACAAGGTGCGGCCATCTTCTAGCTGCTTGCCCGCAAAGATCAGACGCTGCTGGTCTGGCGGGATGCCCTCCTTGTCCTGAATCTTCGACTTGACGTTGTCAATAGTGTCTGATGACTCCACCTCCAGCGTGATAGTCTTGCCCGTGAGCGTCTTCACAAAGATCTGCATGCCACCGCGCAGACGGAGCACCAGGTGCAGAGTAGACTCCTTCTGGATGTTGTAGTCTGAAAGCGTCCGGCCGTCCTCAAGCTGCTTGCCAGCGAAAATGAGACGCTGCTGGTCGGGCGGAATGCCCTCCTTGTCTTGGATCTTCGACTTTACATTGTCGATGGTGTCCGAGGACTCGACCTCCAGAGTAATGGTCTTGCCCGTGAGAGTCTTGACGAAGATTTGCATACCTCCGCGCAGACGCAGGACGAGATGGAGGGTGGACTCCTTCTGGATGTTGTAGTCGGAGAGCGTCCGTCCGTCTTCGAGTTGCTTGCCGGCGAAAATGAGGCGCTGCTGATCAGGGGGAATGCCCTCCTTGTCCTGAATCTTGCTCTTGACGTTGTCGATCGTGTCAGACGACTCAACCTCGAGGGTGATGGTCTTGCCGGTAAGCGTCTTCACGAAGATCTGCATGGTGGCGGTTTGTTATGATAGTGGGAGATGGAAATAGAAGCGGTAGAGATGGTAGCGGTGAGTGTTTCAACGGCTTCGATGTCGCCCTTTCAGAAAGTGAAGACAGGATGGGATTTGACGGGAGATGAAGAAAGAAGGAAGAGAAAGGGAGGATCTGGGCGAGGCGATAAACGGGTGACGTGTTTAAATACCTGAGTGTCGGAAGGCAAGAGAATGGGCAGGAGCGAGGCCGCCTGACGTGCTTGCTCAGCAGACCGAAGGCGGCGGCGGGGGGAAGAGAGGGGCGCAGTAACGTAGAGATAAAGACCGCTACGTTCCTGGCCAATCACGCCGCACGAACACTGCCGGGCTGGAAGGTACGAGCACATTGTAGTGAATCATACGGAAGACCCGCTTATAACGAGTGTACATGTACTTTCATTTGCACTATTTGTTGCACAGGCACCGTGGTACCACTACGAGACTGTTGCCTGAAGCCAGCCACTGACATTTCAAGCGAGACCGCCTAGTGGACGGAAAGCGAAGCAGGCCCCGTTCGTTTGACGAATGCGGCCTGTCCTGTCACCGCTACAGATCAGAATTAATACCGTCGATTCCAGCGATATTGACAGCTCTTCACATCGATTCCAAATTCCTGCTCGGAAGGCGCGCTCGTGGCCGTGATAGTGCGCAGGCGTCGCGGGCAACGCACAGGCACGCTAGTTAGCCTGGTCGTGGCTTCCTATTACATATCTCACCTCGCCTTCAACCCGACTTACTCCGCAATCGGTCAGCGCGCGACAAGCTGAGTCAGTCAGACGATACTTGTCAGACAAAATCTGTCATCACCGAAAAACCTCGTTTCTAGTTTTTTTTTTTTTTTTTTTTTTTTTTTTTTTTTTTTAGAGCAAGCATTTCGTGGTTAATAGCATTTTTTTTTTGTTTTCGTTTTTTGCCCTCATTTCGATTTTACCTTTGAGTCAGATGCTTATCGCCATCGGTGACCGACGTCATTGGAGGTGGAGCCCAACATGGAGTTCGCAGCGATACGGATACTCCGTACGGAGTGCTTGGTCTACGACCAGACAACGGACGCTATCATGGTCAAACCAAGCCCCGCTTGGCGTGAGGTTAATGGAACGATAAAGACCCCCTGATAGGAATACATTTAGCTAGCCGGCACACTGCAAGGCAAGATATGCAAAAAAGTCGTCAATAACCAGGAAACGAGCTAACAAACATAAGCAAAATAGAAGAACAGTGAAAAACGAAGTCCGTCCCTTCCAAACTCCCTCGCTGCAGGCTCGCCAGTCTGTTATCGTGTCTTTTTGTGGTTCTCATGAAGAGGCTCTGTATCGTAACGCCAATTCTCCTCGTGCAATATGCACGTTTCAGACGCATATCCCTCCCCATCCGTCCATGCTGTAAAGCTCATCTCATCGCCATGCCATCCCCGTCTTCCAGCACCAACTCCTCGTCCCCCGTCCTTTTTTTTTTCTTTTTTTTCACAGTTGTCGTCGTATTCTGTCACTTCATTTTAGAAAGTCTCTCCGAATCTCATAACATGGTTTAGTTATTCCGTGTCCAGTCGTCTCGTCCATCTCGTCGAGCAACAAAAGAAAATAGGTAAAAAAATAGCAAAACAAAAAGGTGTCAAAGGCTCTTTCATACATCGTTTCCTTGTGATCGTCAGAAAAGGGGGACAGGCAAGATCATCAAAAATGGTAAACATAATCAGGGGAGTGAGACAGGCAAAATGCGTACTCCTTGTCAGAAACCAGACAGCCAGAGAAGCAGACGTAGAATAGGCGTTTCCGCGTGAATCATATCATTAGATACTTTCGTTTGGCACATCCCATGTGGATGCATGCCGCGGTGAGGCTGAAAACCAGACGAGCAAATCAAGAAGAAGCCAGTCATAAGTGAACAAAACATAGACTCGGAGAGAGGTAAGCGAGATAGAGGGAAAAGATGCAACGCCATCGCTGAATGTCACAAGGAACAAATGAAATAGGTCACAAAAGCACGGGAGAATGTCGGAAACAGCCTGGGCGGACATCTCTTTTAGTTGGCCCGGATGACCAGCTTCGACAGGAACTTGTTCGACAGCGAGTCGAAGTCGTAGCGGTCAAACTCTGTGTTATTTGGTCTCGCACGGAGGTAGGTATCTGCGAAGAGTTAGAAGGCAAACGAGTCACTGAATCGGATAAGGGGCCTGCTCACCGTGCTTCATAATGTGCTGCCGCACCTCCGTCATGGCCTCGCACACGGCCTCGTTGTTATTCAGCACCTGGCCGTGACGCTTCGTATCCCAGTCGGTAAAAGCTGGCAGCTTCTGCGAGATGGCATGGAACAGGCCCACGACGACGCCGACAGGAGTGCCTTCCATGTCGCCGCAGAACTTGCCGACCGAGGCGGCATCAGGCACGCGGTAGTGGCAGTCGAACTGCATCTCCTCCCAGACGATCAGCAGGATGGCAGCCAGCATGAAGATAGTCGGCCAGTTCTTCAGACGGTCGCCGCTGTACACGCTCGAGTATAGGCTCGACAGCTCTTCGAGGATCTCCTTTTGCAGCTCACGCCACATGTCGGCCATGGCGCACTTGATCTGGAAGTTGATCATGACGGGCGCCACCACCTTTCCGTAGAACTTGGAGTCCTCGTCGTCGATCTGGCCCTCCATGGGCGGCTCCTCTGAGCCCTGCTGCTCAACCAGGGTGATGTGCATGGTCAGGTTGTAGGCGAGCACCAGCTTGAGCGCCTTGCGGATGACCGGCTGGCCCTGCTTCATGTAGTAGCGGTGGGCCGTCTTGAGGATCTCGGTGACGAATGGGGTGCCGTCAAAGTGGTCGTCGACAAAGTGCTCAAAGGTGCCGTCAATGTGGCGGTCCAGGTACTCGGACAGCTTCTCGGTGCTGATGCCATCCTGGCCGACGTCGAGACGCTCCGTGCGGACGTCGTACTCGATAGGCTCCTGCTCCGTGAGGTGCGACTCGACCCAGTCGATCTGGAAGCAGCTGTCATCGGCCACGTAGACCTCGCGGACCATGATGGGCAGACAGAAGCCGTAGCCGTGGGTGATCCACATCAGCCGCTCCTTGGGGGCAAAGCCCTTGACATTGAAGACGGACACGCCGCGGTCCAGATGGCGCGAGTAGTCGGCCTTCCAGTCCTTCATGAAGTAGTTCACATCCTTGATGTCGATGCGCGTGCACGGCACCTGCCAGAGGCGCGCGTGCGACGGCTGGCAGCCGGCACACGGCTCGCCCTTGTCGCACGTCTTCTTGAGGAACTTGCAGCGGAGGCAGGCGCGCAGCTTGCGGATCTCGCTAGCCTGCTTGCGCTGCTCCGGCAGAAGCGGACCCCGCCGGCGACCAACCTTCTTCTCGCCGACGCGACCGTCTTTGCCGGTGGAGGCACGGCGGACGACCGCCTTGGACGGACGGGCCGTGGGGCTCTTGCGGACACCCGACGAGCGACGCACCGGTGGCGACGCAGACGCTGCGGTTGAGCCGACACCAGACCCGGCTGCGGGACTCTGGCGGTTGGAAGACGGATGCGACGTCGTGCCGGCCTTGATAGGCATGGGCGCGACGACGGCGGCCGGGCTGATGAGCTCGTGGGAGTGGTGCTGATGCGGGTTGCCGTGGCGGTGCTGGTGCTGATGTTGGTGCTGGTGAACGTGTTGATGCTGGTGGTCGGCGGGAACGTCTGTGTGGAAGCAGTTGCGGTGGTTGCCTGAGCCGTCCAGACAGGTGTCCGAGTCTTGCGAGTAGGGCGAGAACGGGGGCGGGAACGAGACCTCCTCATAGCTGCCGTAGTCAAACGAGGTGCCGTCCGACTGCGCCTGCGAGGATCCGGAGTTGGAGCGCAGGTGGAGGGTCTGGCTAGGGTTGAAGATGACATCGTGCGGGTGCTGCGAGCCGGGCGGCGGGAAGTTGTCCATGCGGGCAAACAGATCCACCGTGGCCCAGCCCATGTCGCCACTCGAGCCGAGCGAGTGTACATCGATGCAGGTGCCGGTGGGGGAATTGCTTCCGAGGCTAGTCATGCTGCCAATGCGCTGGTGCGAGAGGCCGTGGGTGGGAATGGCCGGCATCACAACGGCAGCGGCATCAAAGTCCTGCCAGTTGGCCATGCCGAGATTCCACTGCAAGGCCTGAGTGGCGCTGGCGGCATCGGCACCAGTCACCGTAGGGAGGCCGTGGTAGGCCGTCAGGCTGTCGAGCGCGGACGTGGTGGTAGCGGCAGCGGGGTAGGTCAGCGCCGAGTTCTGGTAGTCGGCCGTGGCAAAGGGGTTGAAGCTCATGAGGGCCTGACTTTGCATGTAGGGCTGCAGGTCTTGGGTGGCCTGCTGATTCTGCGACTGCTGGTATTGCTGCTGGCGCTGCTGCTGGATTTGGATCTGAAGCTGCTGCTGCAACTGCTGATGCTGATGTTGAAGCTGGCGCTGTCTCTGCTGCAGCGTCCACTCGGTCAGCATGGCCGGGGTGTTTGCATTTGTATTCTGGAAGGGCGAGAGCGAGAGCAGTTCCTGGGGTGGGCTGGACGTGACGGAGCTGATGTGGCCGGGCGAAAGGCTATGCCGCGAGTCTTCGGGCGAGGAGACCGCGGCTTCGATGGGAGATTGTACGGTCGAAGGCACGACCGGGGCCACGGGACCGGTAGTGTAGTCGTACGGCATTGCCCAGGCCACCGCCTGCTGGCTATTTGTGGGAGATACCATGGCGGATGAGGCGTTTGAGGGAGCGGCCGTCATCGGCGATGTGGTGGCGGGCGAGGTGTTGTATGGGTAGAACTGATCGATAAAGGCAGCCTCTCCACCGGCGGCAGCGTTGTTGTAGTCAAAAGACATGGTGAGAAGGGGGGGGGGGGGGAGGAGCGAAGAGAAAAGGGACGGAGACCGGAAGAGGGATTTGACGAAAGAGTCGATCGGTTTGTGTTGTAGGTGTAGGTGTACTTGGACACCGCTCTTTCGGCGGGCGGATCTCTGCGTGAGATCGAGAGAGGCTATACCAGCGACGACATGAGGCGGATTGTATCCTGGGATAGCGGCAGACGAGCGTTCACAAGGGGGGGGGGGGGGGGGCGAGGGGGGGATACAATATGGGAGGAAGAGTGTAGAAGAAGGAGGGTGTGTGTTGGAAGAAAAGTCGGAAGGAATAGATAAACTGGAGGAGGTTGGAAAAGGTGGAAGATGTTGTGAGCGAGTAGGGACCGGGGTAGGATAAAGTGGTAGGGGTGCGAAGGTGGTCGATCAGGGCTGGTTGGTGCGTGACCTAGAGCGGGTTTCGGTTGAGGTGAAGAGGAGCCAACGAGAAGAAAAGAAAAAAAAGGTCGAAGAAGCAGGCGATGGGGGAAGATATGGGTCGGGGTAGCCAGATGGGAATTTGTTTATTCGAGGCTTAGCCGTCTCGCTCTCGCTGATACGGACGATCTGATGCTGGAGAAGAGCTGATGAGGAACCCAGGACGAAGGCAAGGTAAAAATGGACGCCGAAGTAGAAGATTGATTGATGGGTTTGGGGAATCGGAGACTGGGCAGTAACGAGATCTGCACGAGTGGAGGGAAAGAGCCCCTCGAATCTGGTGGTGGTCCTTCCTTCTCTCTTGGAGCTCCTCTTTTTCCTCCTTTGCTCGTTCCTTGGTCGCCCGTTCCTTCTGTCTCTGTCCCCTCTCTCCCCCCTGTCCCCTCTCCCCTCTCCCCTCTCCGTCCCCTCTGGCTCCTCTGGCTCCTCTGGCTCCTCTGGCTCCTCTGGCTCCTCTGGCTCCTCTGGCTCCTCTGGCTCCTCTGTCCCCTCTGTCCCTCTCTTCCTGTTTCCCTCTATCGCTCTTGCTGTCGGTCCCTCCTTTGCAAAATGGCGGTGAGCGAGCGCTTGCACCAATGATGGCTTGCCAGCCACGGCGCGGGCTCATGCATGCATTGGTCAGGCCAATCAGCGCTGGCCGCTGGCCCCCGGCATGCAAGCGCATGGAGCAAACGGTGCTTCCACCCCACCTGTAGCTCGCGGGCGGGGCCTAGTGAGGGGCCAATCACCAGCCACTAAAAAACAGGCCATCGCCAGGGTACAATGTACTGGAGAGGATCGCAGCCGTGCGGAGCCGATAACCACTGTGCGTTTGTCTGCCCCAGGCCTCCCTAGCTTCTCTTTAGCAGGCTTCCCAAACGAGTAATTGATGCCGGTACTGGTGCTTCGTCTTGTCGAGACGGGATTGACTAGGACGAGCACGAGTACGAGCGAGAGAGTTGACGAGAGAACACGTATCTTATCTGCGCTCAGATCTACAGTCTGTAGCACGACAGCACTTCACAATCCACTGTCACGCTTTCCCTCGCCATGGCCTCACAACATCCGTCGTCTGCTGCCTTACGGTCGGGCATCCAGGCAATCCCACGGGCCCGAAGACCTGTGCCCGAGCAGATGTGATGTGCCCACCCAGTGACAACGCAGGACGGCATGCCGCAGAGCTCGCCCCAGAGGGTCACCAGGCCGTCCGCTGTGCGACGTGACCCCTTGAACGACAGGACGGCGAGAGGGCAGAGCGGACAGCGAGAACGGAAGAGAAAAGGGCGAGAGTGTGGGGAGGCCACCACGTATCTTACTCGTATGTACTCCGTAGCAGAGTGAGACATCCTGACGGAAAAGCCAACCGCGCCGGCTATTGGCCGCCCAGCATGCACGACATCTCCCTTCAGGGAAAACGACAAGCGAGGAAGGAAAAAGAAAGGTCGCACACGGCGCCTGCGGCCTGCAGCTGGCAGCCACCTCGGCTCGGACGCCCAGCCGTGGTCATGGCCAGCCCGAAGAGGCTTCTTCATCGGACAAGGAGTCATAAGACGCGTGCATTTCCGACAAGACGACAAGTTGGGGGCTGCGTACGAGACGAGCTTTCTGGTCCAGTTCGAGCTGTCATTGCCGCTCGGCAATGCCTCTTTGCCACAGCGCCTTTCGACAGGGGCACAACAACAATGGCTCCTCTTTCTGGCGCATGGAAGCTGGCTAACCAGTGGGGAAACCGCTGTGGCGTGCGCTATTACGAGCTGCACCGGCAGGCCACCACCCACTACCAGGGGGAAACGACTGCCTAAAGCAGGAGCGTAACGTTAACGGCCGCGCCGTCGCCAGATTCATTCGTAACTGTATCGTGCTGCCCCTCCTTTTCCCTCCTATTCCAATAGTGTCTCCTTCAGCGCCCCCCGGCTTCCAGCATTCTTCACTGACCGCCGTTCCAGACCCACTATCACGGCAACATGCCGTGCTTCGTATATCGAGCTGATAATGCGTATTTCGCGCGCGCTCTGCCAACAAAGCAGCAGGGGGGGGAGGGGCGTGGGAACACTTTCTGCACGCCTTCCTGCGATGTCGAGATAGCTTAGCTTGCACGCAATTGGCAAGCAAACAAGTTCTTTGGCCTGCTTTTGTCAGTGCTCCGATGAACATGATCCTTTGAAGGGGAAGCTAATGTCCGACAACTCCGTCTTCTCTTACAGAAATCCTGTATACCCTCCAATACACGAGCACCAGCCACACGTCACCAGCCGTGGTCGACGAATGGTCTCGAAGGATCTGCGCCGGGGGGCGAGGGGGGGGGGGGTCGCAGTGAGCTCGGTCTTTTTGCCCTCTACGAATAGCTTACTCTATACGTTCGTGCCCTTACCCTCTCTCGCTTACGGGGGTGGTGGTGAGATGGCGAGATACAGACAGATCCCGAAATCCAACAGTAGATGAAGAAACGGGAAAAAGGACGCACAGCCATCGGCCAGGGCCGAGGCAGTTGGTCACAGTAGGAGAATCGTTTTGGACGTCGGCAAGACAGGATGAAGCCGAGCCAGAGGGGACAAACACGAGGAGAGCGAGGAGCATGGCCAATAAGAGAATATCAAAAACTGGAGGCCCAAGAGAACCAGTCTCCTCCTCCCCCATGTCCATGCCACCAAGCCTGCAGGCCGGCAATGCAGTCTGATCTGTCATGGTCGTCTCGGCCAGTCGTGGCCGCCGTCTCGTTCCCCATACGCCCCAGCAGCGAGAATACGACCAGGCCGTGCTGCCCTTTTTCCATGTACGGATGATGCTTTGATCGTATACGCGGTAGCAGCAGCTACTATGTACTGCTCGCTCTCTCCACCTCTCCACTGCCCTGCAGCGACCATGTCTCAGCAGCAGCTCTAGACTGGAAGCCGTCGTTTCTGGCCAGCCCACCTGGGCGGCCGTGACTGGCCGGCCGTCCGGGTTCGCAGAGGATCAAGTGCTATCCGCGCCTGCTGATAGGGGCAGCCCGAACGAACGAACAGCCCCGAGTCTCCACCGCCGGAGAGCCGAGCCCGTCTGCTTACACGATGGTCTTGTTACATGGTCGTACGGAGCCCATTGTCGCCTCGCAAGCGTCTCTGGCGCAAGCCGTGCCCTACATATCCTACTATGTAATACGGAGTACGGAGTACGTCGTAGGTTTAGCCTCGAGCTTGCTGGGCTTCCGACGGCACCGGCTGGGCCTTCCGGCGTCGCAGCGACGGTGGCGACAGACGCGAGCCACGTCTTGCCTGCTAACTTAGTGATGCCCAGCAGCAGCTTGCTCGCAGCAGGAAGGTCCTGGGTCCGGCCTAGGTCTTGCCGGCAGGCGCCAGGTCGGCTAGGACGACGACAGCGAGCAGAGAGGAGGATTGCCTGCAGCTTTGCTGTCCATCGCCTGTCTGTCTCGCCGATCTCGTGCATCTGCCAAGTGGGAGGAGGTTGGCTGTCAGGCTACACCACCTTATCAGCCGGCCGACCATGTCCACCCGTTGCCAGCTTGTGGTTTGTCTTTCTGGTTTTTATGACTTTGCAAAACCGCATCTCTTCCTGTATCGGCCATCCGTGCTCATACATGCTCGGTGACTTGTCTACTTTTGCCCCGATCGCTTCGTCCTGACCCTCTCCGGGTGGACTTGTCGTCAGACTACGGCTGTCGAACCACGTCGCCACCCGGGGGAGAGTGCAGAGACAATCCGGGTGGGAATGCTAGACTAGACGTAAGGGCGCCAGAAAAAAAACAAGAAAAAAAAAACAAGCCAGTGTTTGCATCGATTGTCCGTCCACCAGTCGTCCAGAGATGGAACGAGCAAAAGCACGAGAGATGGGACGGCCGGCGTCGTGGCCATCCGCGGACGGTCGTGGCATTCGAGACAGTTTAGAAAGTCGAGGACCAGGAACGCCTTGCCGGCCAGAAAGGGCAGGCACCTCAAAAATAGCGGCCTGCTTCCAGAAAGTCTACGCGCACTCGTAGTCGTACGAATGATACGAGCACTGGCGAGAATGTTTCCCCGGCCAGAGCTCTGTTTGTCCGTGTTTTGGGGGGCTCCGAATGTCTTGCATGTCTCCTGCATTTGCATGTCTCCTGTCTCGAATATGGCGGTGGACAGAAGCTGCGTGTGTGGTACTATGTATGCTGTGTTTGTGTTTGCATGAGGCCACGTGGACCACAAGGCAGAAATGGCCTGTTCTTGACAGCCACTCATTTTGTTCTGCATTGCCTACTGCGTCCTCGTACGGGCACATGAGGCGTGCACGCGCGCGCACACACAAAAAAGAAAAGAAAACGCACAGTTAGGGTTTGGACCGGTGAGCAGCTGCGTCATCCGCCAGTGCCGTTGCCATGGCGAGAACCGGTTCTCGGGAGCGTAGACAGAGGCTGTGTCTGCAGATGTTCAGCTTGTCAGCAGGCGGACAGGGATCCGACATTCGCCCAGATGGAAGCAGCAGCTTGAGATGCTGCCTGCAAGATGTAGAGTCGTAAATCGTGAAGTGCAAATACTCGTAGATCTCACGATGTTGTCGTTACCACGGCTGCCGCAGTGCATCTGAACTCTGAGCTCGAAAAACGTGGAAGTAGACAGACAAACCTCGTGAGCAAGCAAGGGAGAGCCGGCAGATCCTGACGCTGCCGCGTTCTTGCAGACGAGAAGCCCCGATAGAGAGGATGCGGTAAATCGAGCTCCAGCATCCCGTTCATCCGTCCCGCGCGTACATCATCATGATTGGCACCCTGATGATGCGTGGTGTGACGCGTTTGCTTTAATACATACTTTCTAGCCATCTGTTCTGTAGCCTCTCCAGATCGTTATCCCTGGACAGCGTCTTATTCTCTTCCGATCTCAAGCTGTGCTGCCATCTCTGTCTGTCTGTGTACGAGTACTGCCATCGTGGATGCCGAATATATGGAATCGGAAGCGCAGACCGACCTTGTGGCGGTTTCTCTGCCTAAAAAAGCTTCATCTCAGGCGGCGGCGGAACTACGGAGCACAATCCGCATCTTTCTGCCAGTGTGGGTCGGCTGTCTGATCTCTAGATGCAATCATCTACAGCTGCCGGTGATCATCGTCCGCCATCCACGTTGTTGGGTGGGAGATCCGGAGGCGTTCCTGCGCAGCACCGCCTATCTCCATCTCGGTTTACGCAGCATCTGCTCCGACCGGCAGGCAGTCCGACTGGAAGCCAGCCATCCGTTCTTGTGGAGGCCTCTCTCGAGCCTTTGGTGAAGCGTCGGAGAGGAGCCACCGCCATGGCATCGAATCAAGGCCCTGGCTGTGTGTGATTCGTGAGGGCGAGAGCCATCTTAGGCGAGTGGAATTGGGTTTTTTTTTCTCATTTAGTGGCGTAACGATACGTTCAGGGGGCTGTTTATGCCTGTGCTGTCAACCTCTTCACAGTGACGGCCACGTCCTTCTTATCGACATCCTTTCCGTCCAGCGGTCCGTCCGGTGCCAGCAGCCGCCGCATCACCTCGCTCGCGAGGCCCTTTCCAGCGGCCGTGGTCGTCTTGCCGGTGCCAGCAGCCAGCTCGGCCTGCAGTCCGGCCAGCACGGCTTCTGCGGCCGCCTGGACCTGTTCGGGGCCGACGGACTCGATGCCGCTCTCGCGCGCGTACGACTCGAGGATAGCGATCTGGGCGTCCTCCTTGTCGGCCAGGTCGGCTCGGTTGGCGCTGCGAAATTCGGCCGCGGCGTCCTGCGATGCCCGTGCAGTCCGTCGCAGCAGCGCCACCAGCTGCGCATCCGTGCTGATGGGCTGGGCCGTCTTGCTGGCGTTGAGCGTGGCCGCGAGGACAGACCGCAACACGGCCAGCCGGGCGGCATCCTTGGCCTTCATGGCTGCCTTGAGGTCGCCCTTGAGCCTGGCCAGCATCGGTGGCGGCGGCGCGTCGGAAGACGAGTATGGACGGCAGAAGAGGCAGCCTCGCACGGCCACGGGCGAGGTGCGAGGGAAGAGCCGGGCGGCGGCAAACCGACCGGTCGCGAGCGATCGAGCTGCTGACATCGTTGGAGGATCGGGCGCGAGAAGATGGGACGAGTCGATGGTGCGGCTTCGCTTGCTCTCTTCGTCTGACAACGTCTTGTGTTTTTTTTTTCTTCGTGATCCTGGTCGTGTGCACGGGTGACTCGGTGGTCGGAGCTCTCTGGGTTCGGGCAACTGTTGTTGTTCTTTTTCTTTTTCCGTTCTTCTTTTCTTTTTTCCTTAGTGCTGTTTTTTTTTTGTTTGCTTGCCAACGTCGCTAGAATTGACCAGTCACAATGCGGCAACGGGCTGACAGATCTTCTGAGAGCCGGCTACAACGTTTCTGCAGCGCTAACAATAGCATCTCGGCGATCCTTCAACGTCCAAACAGCATGTTTCCGAGCCGTCTGGGGTGTCTGGGTCCGGGATGATTCCAGGTTATTGCAAGATATCACATAACATGGAAAACTCCGTGTCGTATGGAGTATTCGGCAGCCTGCCTAACGCTTTGGCCTGTGTCATGTTGCCAGCACAGGCCTGTCTTGTGCCAATCAGAAGCAGACACCATCTGTTCAGGCTGTGTTCCTACAGAGCAAAAGTATAGACAACCTCAGCATTGCTAGTAATATTCCGTACAGAGTAGCTAGGAGTACGGAGTAGGGCTGCATGTACGAGCACATGCAACCTCATTCCGCCAAAAGTAGAAACAAGGCGGCCGCTGCAAGTCACCTGACAAAAATGACCGACAGCAGGTTTATCTCGCGGACCTGAGCCGGAAGCCGCCAGGGCGCTAGCTGTCCAGGTGTCCCCTGTTAGCGCTCGGTTTAATGAGCCATTGTAAGTTGCTCCGTACGACGAGCAACTCGTGGGAAAGCTTCTTCCCCCATCCATCGCGAAGGCCTCATCCCGCGAGCCACGTTGCTGCCACCTTCCTCGCCCCGAAATAGCCCCCTCCGCCCCTCAGCGTGGTGGATGGATTGAAATTGGCCACATGTGCTCTGCACACTCGTCATGACCTACGGAGTATACGAATACTCGTGCCTCGCTCGCAGAGGCACAGAATAACTATCTTGTCATGTATCTTGTCTGGCCTCCTGGCGGCTCGCTCCCTACTCCGAACACAGGTTTAGCCAGGGTCACCTTCTGGGCAGCCCCTATTCTCAACCCTCCCGCATTTGGCAGCGCATGGGTTTCTGCACATTTCTCGTAGCCTGTCGGACGTGACGCTCTCTTCCTCTCTCGACAGACCGGCTCCTTGCTCTCACATCACATGCATGCATGTCCACCTCTCCACACACACCGGTATCCGCAAAATGACCTTGTGCCCATCCATAGACGCGTATCGTTGCCTGTCCGTCGTACAACATCCCCTTGAGCACTAAGCCCTGGGTCCTGAGCCCTGAGCCCTGAGCCCTGAACCCTGAGCACGGCCGGCATGCACGGGCGAATCAGCAGGTTCATGCCGCCTGATAGGCGCGGGGGCGTCTTCACACACCGGTGGCAGATGTGCTGCTTGTTGGGCACAAATGAGCCATAGTGGCAGTCCCGCCCCAAAGGAAAAGGACCAGGGCCCAGCGCTGGCGTTGCTGGAATTCGAGATTAACGCGCTCCAATATTAGCACTAGCCTCGTCTGTTTCACACAAAGAAGACAAAAAGCATGTCCAGATTGATCCTGGGGTATAGATCGAATGTCCGCAGCTATGCTGTCGCCTTTGTCCTCGCTTCAACGCCAGCCGGCTCTGGACGGTCAGCCCAGCTCGTGGCGACAGCTCTTGCTGCTGCGCTGCTGGCTGGTTGTCCTGCTTCTGCTTCATCGATCGGAATCTTCTCTTGTCAGAAAATGTACATCTGGACGGCCTGCAGCTTAGGTCGGTGAGTGTGACAGTTTCGCTCCTTCTGTATCATATGCCTGTTTCACTCCCCTCCTGCCACCCAGCCTGACTAGCTGTGGTGCCTAAGCCGGCCGATCATGGTCGTTCTTGCCTAATTGGGACGATCTTGCAACTTTGCACTAGTGACAGCTCTTTGGCGAGCGGGACATCTTCCTTTTCCATTCGGTTTTCCATATTACCTCCTTTTTCTGGCCCCTCTTCTTTCTCCTCTGCAGCCCAAGGTCTCGGTCAATCTGTTGTCCTTTCTCATGAAATCCCCTCTTCAATAGCGGTTTGCTTTCTCGGACGTGTCTTTCTCTGAACAACACGCCATCCTGGCAGAGAAAAAAAAACGGCTCACTCGGCCACCTTAATTTAAACAATCTCTTGCTAGCCATGAGAGCATTTACCTCACGACCTCACCGATTCGGGAGAGGCAAACTCGGGAAACAAGAGTTGGCATCAGTCATCAAACGAGCGGTATGGGGCAAGTGTTACCATTTTCGGGTGCGGCCAACAAAATCAGTGCATGGACATCGTCAACTCGGGGACATTTCATAAAGGGAACATAAACAACTAGAACGTTCAAACAGCTCTGGAAAGCAATACCTGAACCCCAATGAACAAGGACACCGCCGCCATGCACGCTCGAGCAATGCTGTATGTCTCCCAACCTTGTTGCGCCGCCCCACAAGCATTTCAACTACGCCAGTCTCTCCAACCAGACACTTGTTCTGTCTCCTTGCGTCTTTCTGCCACTCTCAATTTCATAGCGTCACCAAGGGCTAGCGTCGTTTCCGGCCTATGCAAACATACCTGCCGAAAAAGAGCGAATGGTTAGAGCGATGGCATGGACAACGGCAGTGTGCATCGATACTCACAGCGGAAAATACGCCTAATCAAACACCCTGTATTAGCGAATAACCGACACTTGAAAATCGACGTCATCGCTACTCCCACATCCACGACGGACTACCACACTGAAAGCCAGTGATTTGTTTTTGTGCCTCTTGGGAGTGCCGACTAACATACCTTTATCGCCGGGTTGTCTGCTTCAGAGCGGGCTTGGGCGATGAGCACCTGCGCCTGATCGTAGGGCATTCTGAGGGAGCAACAAAACCGCGTCAACAAAACACAGATCAAAAACGCTGCAGCCAGGGTGCACAAACCCTAGTCTTTCTGTGAAAAGGTACATGGCTTCAGATGCCAGTTGTCTCTGTACGTTGTCTCGATTCAGTCTTCCGACTTCTTTCATGCGAGGATCTGAAGTGAGTTAGAGGGCGGATACAAACCTGTCGTTAATGCAAGGAGAGTACTACCTGTTGGCCAAGCACACATAGGTAGCTGCAAAAAGGTCGTCTCAACCTCAGTGAACCCAGCATTTCTGACGAGAGTTTCCATCCGCACTGGTGCCCGTGGATCTTTGTGCTGACTGATACTCTGCAGGTACAGCTTGGACCAGCGCCTCAGAGCGTGGTCTTCCAATATCCATTTTGATCAGCACAGCTCTTTTAGCCCGTCACACCTATGTAACCCCTGCTCACCATCTGTTAATGATCCGTTGTCGGACTGGGCCTGGAAGTAAACTTCAACGATCTGGCACCAGCCGCCTGGACGCAAGACCCGGTGCATATCCCGGAGGTAGTGTTTCCATCGATCCGCGTTAATGCCGCCTGCCACCATCTGACTGTGTACTAGGTCGAACTCGCCCGTCTCGAAGGTAAATCTGATTCGGAAACTTTGGTCAGAAAGGCCGATGTGAGGGTGCCATTCTGGAAGTTGTTTTTAGGGCCTTGCCTCTTATTGAGATCATCCACCTGGAGATCAAGATTTGCCAACTCATCGTCCGGTATCATGTGTGGGCTAATGTCGACGCCGACCACCTGTTATGACATCAAAATCAGTCTCAATTCAGTCTGTGTTGGTGTTTTCCCACTTCCCGGCAGTGGCATAAACTGGACCGGCCATGCTTGTGCCGTGTGCACAGGACATATTTGATTTTCAAACGAGTGGCTTGCTTTGCACACCCCTTGACGGAGTAACAAGTATGTTGACATTATAAACAGAAAAAGGAAGCCGGCAAGTCGAATCTTGTCTGGCTGCACATGTCGGCCACGGCTAGGAGCCGTAGTCCAGCTGTCTTTCAAAGCCTAGTCTGGCACCGTCCGGTGGAAGGGTAGGAAAGAAAAAAATGGCAAATTACGAACCTCGCATCTGGGGTGTGCCATGGCAACCTCTGCAGCCCATAATCCGGACCCAAAGCCGCAATCTAGAATCTTTCTCAACCTATGGATGGGTGGAAAGACTAGGCGCTGGTCGAACAGCTTTCTGAATGCTTCGTGCGCAATTTGAAGCCGTTCGCTCTCATCCTAGACGGCGGAAAGTCAGCAAACCATTTCCAGGGGGGGGCGCTTTCCTCACCGGAGTTGCGGCTTGAAGACGAGTCAAATGGACGCGTCACAACTCGCATCAGCGGACAGTCATACCTCATCTATGGGTGAGAAGTACACGTTATTCTCTAGCGAATACCGCTGATACTCTCTGTCGTGAAAGGTGATGGTCTGGTTGAAGACCTCGTCGAGCGGGACGGTTGGGTCGGTGCTGCATCACAATTGTTGCCTACTCAGCCTTGGGGCCTGCACGATGCGATAAAAGGGGGTAAGTGCGGGCAGCTTATTACCTGTCTGCCATGATGGCAAAATTGTGTTGGGAATAGGCTGAAGCTTCAAAAGGAGGATGTCGACGCTGTCCTTTTCGAAAGGGTGAGAAAAAAAGCAGATATGGACGACAAGAAGAAATATAAGGATTTGGGGCATCGAATTTAAGGAGGCTTTCCGACGACGACCGATATGGACGTATGGGCGACAGGCATTCTCACCATAATGGCCTTTTGGAAAGCTCGCTTTCTTACTCGTCTCGTCTGCCGACAAAACAGTGGGATGGGTTCTTGGGCTGCGGCCATGCCCGTTAGCCTCTGGGCTGTCGGGACCAAATCGTGGGCCTGCAAGACAGAGTTGGGGTTGGGAGGTGTAATACCGCCTGGGAGGGCAACACACAATTCCTAGAAGTGGGTCGGTGCTCTTGGCCTCGCCAGGTCGACCATCTCTAGGTGACCTGGACACACTCACCCCACGATGTCGTCGTTGACGGACACTCTGTGGGTGCTTACACCGAGGGACAATAATCCCAGAGACAGGGAAGGCTAATACTGGATATGGGCGAAGTGCTCGACAGAAGATGGTCGCAGAAGACGCCCGCACACCGGCACCTGGATTCCACGGACGGGGGAGGATGGAGGAAGAGGTTGGAGACACAAGCACGGGTGGAGATTGGCAGAGAACGACTGGCTTTGCTGGCACACCAAATCTCAGTGCGTCAAAGGCGCATCGATGGATAGGATGAGTACGGACCATCCCCCCTGCCTGGCCATGGAATCGATAGGGGCAGCAATCACGTTAGGGCGGGCGAGCAGCTCGCACATAGGCCGTGTCAGAACCGTCATATTACGCCACCGTTTGCGGAAGCTGTCTGTCGCTCTGCAAAGGTGGGCATGGCTCGCTGCAATGTGGGCACTGACACTGGCGGTGATGGTGGCCTTTGGGTTTGCACGCTCCCGGCTACGAAATAAGAGAGAGCCCTGCTCCTGACCGGCCAGCAAACTGGAGCCTTGGAGCGTTGCTGCCCAAACAAGGACACGCGCTGCCGCCGGCGCTGCGACTAGAGATGGATGGAGTGAGCGTGCGTAGGATGCTGGCGGCAAATGAGGTGGCTACACGCTACAGCTACTTCTGCGACCTTTTCGGTTCCGCACCCAAATTGGCTGTCTTCGGCCCTCTGCTAGTCTCCAGCTAACCGGGACATACTATTGCAGGCTCGTTCGGACACAGTCTTTTGACCATGTGCAGGACCACGAGGACGGCCTTACTTCGATAGAACACCCCTCCCCCCCCCCGTTTTATGCTCCCACCCGACACACCACCCTGGCTCCCTGGTCCCTTGTTCCGTTGTTTCGTCATATTTGCGACGGACGCCCTGTCACAATCTTGCCGCCTCTTTCTTCAACCGATACCATGTTTCCTGCAGGCAGCCTAGTCTCGTGGCCGTGACGAATTCGGAAAGGTGATGCCGAGCTTAGCCTCTGTTCTGGTCTAGGAGCACACCCTCGTCATATCACAGCCACCATTCTGCAAAGCTGCAGAGAGATGGCCGGTCGTTGCTATTGGCCTGCTGTTGACACGTACATACGAGGACGGAGTAGCCTGAGAGGTGCGGACATGACTGTGGCTCCCTGGTTTAAATGTGGGCACTCGACCTGGGAGATTGAATAATAAAAGACCCAGAAAACCGGTAGGCACAGGAGAGTCTGGCGCGCAGGAGCGACGGTGGTTATGCGAATCCAGGAACAATAATGGGTCTCGACAGCAGACGAAACGAAAACGGCAGGCCAGTTGCATGCTGTGGTGCAACGATGCCACGGGATCTCCGAGCAGGACGAGAAGGTCCAAACCCAGAACGAGGACAGGCCAGGACAGGGAGGCGACGAGCGCCTACCAGAAATCCCGAGGGCATGGCCTTGGGATTCAAAGGGCAAAGCCGCCACGGCCCCGCCAGGGTGTTGCCGTTTTGAAACGGCATTAGCCGGTAATGGAAAAGGACCAAAGGACAAAACGACGCCCTTGCTGGTGAAGAGAGGGCAGCGAGGGCATGCCGCTCGTACGGCAATTTTATCGGTTCAGCTTGCCGACCCTGGCGGCGCCATTTCCTTTTTGCGAGTGCCGTCCAGGGGTTGTATTAGGCATGGACTGCCTGCAGCCGGCCTGCGTGCGCTCACTGGACCAATGAGTTCCCCGGCTCGCTCGGGCATCAACATGACAATGGCTTTTGCTGCTCAGCCGGTGTTGCCACCGATTATGTCGCTGTGCAACGGGCATTCACCGAGCTTCTGCTCGCCGAGAACAAGGGCTGCTTTGTTTCCCCTGTTTTGCCTTGATCTGCTTGTGCAGTGCTCGGTTTCGGTTCGGCATCACCCGTACTGATTTCTCCTGTTCCAACGAGGCAAGACTCGGCTGCCAGTCTGCAGATTATGACGGTGGTGTAAAAATATGCCTCGATACTAAGTGGAACTGGTGTCGCCCCCTCCCATCCATCGCTGCTCCTCCCATTGGACTACCTACTTTTTCTTTTTGCATTACTTTCCGGGCTAATCTAAGTGCGATTCGCTAGTCGATGTCGCAAGTAAAACGATCGTCACGCTCGTTAACGGCCCGTCGCAGTACGCGGATCATTGGTACATTGCATTGCAGCATCTCGGAGCAGACAGTTGATAGCGGTCGAGGACTGATTTCTCCAGGGGCCTCTCCACAAGCGGACCTTGGCTGCAGCAGTGCAGCACTGCTCTGTACATCAGCTTGGTCAGGAAGCGCAGAAGCGCAGCGGCACAAGACGGCGAGCAATGCTTGTTCTGATTTGGCATCTGCTCCGCCTAACGAACGGCCCTGGCCCGTTAGCGCGACGCCATGAGACAAAATGAAGCCTGGGCAGACGGGTAGCTCAGACTAGTGCTGGGCGTGGAAAGAGGCAACCGGAGTACGACGTACTACTTGCAGATGGGACACAATCGGAGCGTCTGGCCCGGCGCAGACTCGTATTGTTGAGCTGGCAGACAGACAGACCAGACAGGCTCTTTTCTTCCCAGACGACTGGGACTTGCTGCCCTGAGCAGCCGCATCTCTCTGATCTTGCTCCCACCTGACAGCGTCGTCTTGTCGGCAGCACGACTGCGGCTGTTTCCTGCCTGTCTGCGACTACTGCTGCCGCGACCAGCCAAGCAAAAAACGCAGATGCGCGCATGCACAAATGCCAATCGATACGCGAATGGCGTACGCGTATACGAGTACAACGCAAGATGCGAAAAGCGGACAAGCGGCAGGCCTAGCGGACACTCGTCCTGCCGAGTGCCTCCACCGGGATGCAGGCTACTTGTACGGAGTACTCCGTACATTTGCACGCGGTCAAGACTCCGCCTGCTTGCTGTGCAGAGCTGTCTCAGCCCTCCAGTATGGCTGCTGCGTCTGTCTCGTCAAATCGACTCGCTCGAATGGCACGGCTCCACGTCATGATATTGGCCCACGTTGGTGTGGCCGCCGTTCTTCTCCCTCTTTTATTTCTCGTTTCAGTTTATTTTTATCTTGCTTTTCCCTATTCTATTTTCCTACCTTTTTCACATCTCCCGCCCCAGACGCCGCACGCTGGTTGACTCCCCTCCTTCGGTCCCCCCGGTTTAAACAACCCACCTCCTGATATGAAGTACTGCTGCCCATCGCGACAAGGACCTGGCAAGATTGTGCCTCGGCATCGTGACAGCTGTCCGTCCAGGCCGCGCCTCTGGTTGGTATAATCCAAGCAGTTTGCGCAGGGTGGTTTCGGTAGGCTCGCGTGGTCGTGACACGTCAGAAAGCGGCAGAAATCAGGGCAAGCCTCCATGGCAGATAACAGGGTCTACTATAGGGTGCTACGTAATAGCACATGCGTCACGAGAGGAAACGGTGGACGAGTGAGCATCCCGGCAGCTTGGATTCGGCTAAGCGTCTGGACAACAGGCAATACTTGCTAATTATGGATGGACAGCCGCCATATGAGTGATCCCGCTTTTCATCTCGGTCAACAGCTTACTGATGCGCGGTGTCATGGAGAAGGCCATGGGGATAGTGGTACTCCGTAGAAATGTCCCATAAGCGTTTTTACGTCGTATTTGCCTTTTAATGTATTTTGCTCAGAAGGCCGAGCATCTTGCCAATGCTCTCGTAGGCAATGGCGCAATTTAACGTTCGGTAATACGAGCTAGCGTCAGCCAGGCTACATGGTACAGGGCCGAATGCGCCGGGAAGGGCTGCTGGGGGAGGGGGAGATTGCGGTGACATGGTTGGCTGCATGCATTGGGATGGGCAAAGCACTAGTTTGAAAAGAGAAGGAGGAGAAGACGCGGCAGAAGAGGAGGGTTTTTGTATGGTAGATGCTACTATGTACTTGCGAGTACGGAGTACTACGACGCATGCAATCGTCTTATGTAAGGGCGGCCCCTGATGAAGAAAGGAGAAGGCACGACCAGGGCGGAAACAATAGGGGAGAAGGAGACTTCCAGAGGCCATCCCAGCGAGCAGGTTCGCCCCTGAACGGTCATTTCCGCCGTGTCGGGTCGCTGTTGGCGGAGTGCTTTGTCAGCTTTACAGCGTGATTCCGATGTCCGGAGAAGATGGAGTTCTGCTGTGTACCGTTTTTGTCGAGACTTTGTAATCGGCCGTCATTTCCGTCCATCTTTTCCTTCTTCCGCTATACGAGTACGTTCTGCGGCCCTCAAGCCTGCGATACTCGTATTCGCACCGTCCGACCCGGCTGGCCGGTAGGAAGAAGGGTGTGTTTGATGATTTGTGGGCTGAAGAGCAGATCATCGCCAGTCGCGTCTCATCTCTTCACGGCGAGGCACAACTGCGCAATAGCGATCCGGACCTGTAGCCGGTAGTCTACATGCAGAATATGGAATGCTGTCCTCTCTACGTGTGTATTTTGTGCATCCAACGGGAAAACCAGAAGACAGGAGGACGTGTACAGAGATAGGAAAGGCGTAAAAAACAGGAAAAGAAAAATGTACCTCGTCTTCGTTCTTCGTTCTTTGTCTTCGTTCTTCTCGTCCTCTCGTCCTCTCCCCTTTCTCGTCTCTCGTCTCTCATCTCTCATCTCTCGTCTCTCTCATCTTTCCTTTCCTTCCCTCTCTTCTCTCCCTCTTCTCTCCCTCTCTTCTCTCCCCACCCCCCTCAACACCATGTGAAGACCGGGTTCTTGCTCTTGACCGGCTCCAGACGCTCCACAATCACCCGTCGACGGTTGTTCTCCATCCCCTCGGCCGCCGCGTATCCAAGGTCGCCCTCGACATCCTCGTCATACACGTAGCCGTCGACCGACGAAGCCCGTCCGTGCGTCTGGCCAAACGGATTCGGTAGTGGCCCGCCGACATGGAGCGCCGTCCCCGCTGTCGCGTAGCTGTACCGCCGCTCGTGCCGGCCGGGTGCGTAGAGATTCAGGGCGGCCGCCCGGGCAGAGCCGTTCTGTCGGGACGCTGTCGCCGTCGAGCCCGTGGCAGCGCTGTTGCCCTCTCCCTCTTCCTCGGTCTCTTTGGTCAGCTCAAAGCGGCCTGGCCGTGGTAGTCGTGCGGCCGGCGTCGCCTGGGGCAGCGGCGACGTGTTGCCCAGCAGGAGATCATCGTCCGAGCCACCGCCACCACCCACACCTCGATGTGTTCCTTTGGTCACGTCGCCAGAACTGCTTCCACCTCCTCCTGCTGACCCAATGTCCATCTCCTCCTCCATCGCCCGGGCAATCTCAGACTCGGCACGACGGCGCATCTCGGAACTCGTCGCCCGCATCGGCACCGCAATCGGCACCTCCACCAGGTCGTCCCACACGCACACTTTGGCACGCCGCGTCAGTTCCAGCGGTCCGTGGTCGGTCGTCTTCAGTGTTTCCACCACGTTCCACGCCTGGCCCTTCATTACCGCCATCTGCCGCGCAAACATGCGCTCCTGGAAGTCTGGATCCATCATGAAGATGCGCCGCAGCGCCAGCTGCGTCTGCGACCACCACGCCGTCGACGTCAGCAGCGGCAAGAAGTGTTCCCGCGTCTTCTGCGAGAATGGCCGGCCGATCAGGTCGACCGGCAAAAACAGCCAGCCAAACGGAAAGCTCCGCCACGCATCCGGGTGCTTCCACGGCCACGAAAGCGAGTTGTCAATCGCCCCGACCGTGATCTTGGGCAGACCCGTGCTGTCGGCCGGACTGGCCGCCTGCATCGGCTGCTGCGCCCGGTATGACGGATATGGAGCACGTGATCGTGTGTCACGTGCCGCCCGTTGGGACAGGTCCACCGGCCGCGATCTATGGTTGCTGCCGTTGTCGTCATTGTCGTTGTCGTCGTCGCTGGCCGTCGCTCCGTTGCCGCCGCCGCCAGTCTCCATGTGCAGATGCATCGGCTCCGACGCGATGGACACGGCCTGCGTGGACCAGTCGACCTTGATCATCCAGTTGTCCAGGCCGCGATCGGTGTTGCGCATAATGTAGTCGAGGATGACGAGTTTCTCGAGCTCCTCGCGAAAGGCGGCCTTGAGCGGCTCCGTCCAGACAAAGTTGTCGGGCGAGAGCATCTGCTCAGGGCTAGGCGGCGCGCCTTCATCGTAGTCGCTATAGCCGTCGTCGTAGCCGCTGTCGCCGTTGCTGGTGCTGCCATTAGCGCCTGCATCTCGACCAGACGGCGTGCCGTTGCGTGAGCGACTGGCTCGAGAGGCTGGACGGCAGTTGTCAGCCCAGCGAGGCCGGCGACCGCTGCCAGGACCGCCATGCCGCCTTCCGGTACGGAAGCCCGAAAGATACTGGTCGGGCCACGGGTGCTCGCGCAGAAAGATGTTGGCGTCCTTGAAGCCGGTGAGGAAGACCTGAAAGCTGCCAGGCTTTGGCGGCAGGGCTTTGCCGCCACGCGAATGGGCGTAGCGGTCCCAGAAGGGGTAGTGGAACGAGCGGGACGCGAGATAGACGACGTCGGTGTAGGGGACCATGTGGGTGCGCAGCTGGGCGTCCAGCACGTATGCAGCCGCCTCGCTGACATAAGACAGGTTGGGAATCAGACAGGCGCGACCGAAGCAGCAGGGAAAGAGGTTGCGGTGGATCCACTTGTTCCACTTCGGGTTGCCAGCCGCATAGGGCTCCTCGTCCTTGGGCTTGAACACGCCCACGACCTTGCCGTCCAGGTTGCGAGCAAAGTAGCTGCCCGAGGATCCCTGTGCGATCATCCGCGGGTGCATGCCCTGGCTGATGGCTGTCCGTACGCTGTCGACGATCGCCTCGAACTGCGCCTTGGACATGTGGTCGCCGTCGGCAGCCGATGCGGCCAGGCTCTCGGCCGTGACCGGCCGCACGCCCTCGGGCGCTTGGAAGACTGAGTAGTGGATCTCTAGACGCTCGTCTTCGTCTTCGTCCGCGCCCGATCGCCGCTTGCTGCGCTTGAACTTGGCCGCGATCTCGTCCGCCCATCGCTCCAGCCGCGCGTTGATCGCCTTCAGGTCCACGCCCGAGTTCGCCCGCCGCCGCCGCGACGACGATGACGCCACCGGCAGCAGCCCCATTCCCATCCCCGTCGACGGCAGCGATGACGCCATGGCCTCCCCCATCATCGCCTGCGCACCATAGCGCGGCCCCTCGCCCGCCTGCAGCGACGCGAAGCTCGCCCCCAACGCCTCGTTGCCCTCATCGTCCGACTCGTCCGAGAATCGCTCCGCTTGCGTTAGCCGCTCGTACCCCGTCGTCGGTCCCCGTGGCCGCTGCATCGCGCGCCTTTTGCTCGATCGGTGCTGTGGTGGCTGTCCTTGGTCACGTCGGCGGCATCGTCCAAGCACGGCCCCGGTGTATGGCTGGCCTTGACTTGGCTCTGTCTGCGAGGTAGGTACAGCTGTACAGGTATCACGTCCGTGTCGCCTGCACAAGCAATCGAGTTTGAATCAAGATAGGATGGAAGCTCGTCTGCAAGGGAGGTATACAAGATGATTCCAAACACAATCGCACTGTCCCAGAGATACGTCCGTTCTGTTCTGCTCGTTTGCTCGTGTCTGCTGATCGGTGGGTCTCGACGTCGCTTGATGTCGGGCTCGCGTCGGGCTGCTGGTCTTGTGGCCAGAAGCGTGTTATTGTGGCATTGCCAAAAAGGAGACGATGCATTACGGAGCTGCTTCCCGCTTGGACGAGCATCGTAATTGGACCCACTTCTGATTTGTTAATCCCGGCTGCTATTACTAAGGCCAGTGCCGCCCGTTGCCAGCTCCCTTAACTGAATACTCGCTTAAGCGGGTTCTACTCTCTCCGGGAATCATTCATCATAACCATAACGCCAGTCCACCCTGCCTCACCCTCATAGCAGCTCCTCCTCGTGCCGCAGCCCCGAGTACTCCGACCCCTGATTGGCCGTGCTGAGCCGCGCGCAGAGGCTCAGCAGCACCACTGTCTCCGTCGCCGCGTAGTGATTAAGCGCGTCTAGCAGTACCTGCAGGTTGCGTCCAAAGTGGTGCTCGTATTTGGCCAGCCGCTCCACCAGGCTGCGCGTCTCCTCGTCTGCCGCGGCGCTGGCGCTGGTGGCCGTCGACGCACCCGCTGCTGTGTCGGGCTGTCGCTGGGCCTGCATCTGCTGGAAGGCTGCCCACTGGGCCGGTGTGGCGTCTTTGGGTTGAGCAGGACCGGCAAGGTCGCGGTCGATCTTGTCCATGTTGCGGGTCAGGTAGCTGGCAAAGTTGACAAACGAGAAACAGGTCTGCATCAGTTTTGCGTGGATCTGACAACGTTAGAGGGAACACAGAACACAGAACACAACACAAACACAAACACAACCCACCTTCAGCAGCTTGCTATTAGTCAGCATGCACTCCTTCAAACAGGTGTCGAGAAAGTCGACGTGGTCCTGCATCAGTTCATCGACCGTGCGGCCAGGCAGCGCGGCCGGCTGACCGTCACCGCCGCCGAGCCGCGACATGAGGGCCTGCCAGTTCGGCTCGATCACCTCGGCTGTGCAAAAGGCCAGCAGCTGCTGCACAAACACGAGCATGCGCGCCCGCAGCGTCCACAATCGGCGCTTCCATGCGGCCACATCGCGTGACGAGGACCGGTGGAACCAGGCGAGCTCGCCCATCTGGGCCTGCCACGTCGTCGTCAGTTGCGACCCGAGATGGTGCAGTGACAGCAGGAACCGGAAGAGCGCCTGGTACCGCCAAATGGTCTTGCGGCTGATCACGAGCGAGACCGGAAACGGCACGGCATAGTCGAGCTGCAGCGACGCGTAACCATCGGCTTCGCCGGAACTGCTGCTGCTGCCACCACCACCACCGCTGCCGCTCGCGTCCATGCTCCCGCTCCCGCCGGCCGCCAACATCGACAGCTGCAGCACCTCGCCCTGGTCAATGCCGGTGATGTTGACGACGCGCTGCAGCGCCTGCACCAGCGTCGTCTCGTTCATCTCGACCTTGACGTCCTCCTTGAACGGGTCCAGCGAGACGGCACTGCCGGGCTGCCGTAGCACCAGGTCCAGCAGCGACTGCAGCTTGCCCGTGTTGACTGCCCGGATGCTCCGCTTGCGCAGCTCGTTGTGGCCGAGCTCGAGAAAATAGCTAAAGTAGTCGGCAGGGTCGAGAAAGAAGTAGTGCTTGAGCGAGCGCAGTCGTGCCGGCAACGCGTGTGTCGTCAGCAGCAGCTGCAGTAGCGATCCGTTCGCGTGGCCGTATGCCGTGTTGATGTTGTCCAGGAAGCGGCTGTCGTCAAAAGACGTCGGCACGTCCATCACCTGCTTGCTCGTGTCCACGCCGCCACACTCGCGCACCACATTGAGGTACTTGCCCGCCAGCAGCACCTTATCCTTGATCGCTCCCGCCAGCTGCGATGGCACGTCCTTGTCGCGCAGCGTGTATCGTCGGTCCCAGTATTCGTCCGTGTAGTCGTTTTTGAGCACCTCACGCCGGATGCTCTTCTGCTCCTTGACCAGGAACTCGCCGTGCGGGTCGCTGATCCCGCCGTGGTGCAGCCACTCGTTGAGCATCACCATGTACGGCCGGCTGGCTTCACGTAGCAGGGCCGTCAGCAGCGCGCGTGCTGCCGGGTCGCCCGACATCGCCTCCAGCCGCCGCGTGATCGTCTCCAAAACCGCCCCGCCCTTGCAGATCTTCTTGGTCGTCGCGTTGCCCGGCACCAGCTCGCCGCCATCGCGCAGCTGGTTGATGATCTTGTCATAGTCGTCTGCCCCGTCGTCACTCGATACCTCCGACTCGTCGTCGTCGTCCAGCAGCGCGTTCTTCTTCAGCAGCTCGTGCGCCAGAGCGTACAGCTGCAGCATCATCTGGCTCGTCGGCAGCATGTGCATGTTCAGCACATGCAGCGTGAAACCCGTGTCCGTCAGGAACTGTGTCTCCAGCTGCGCGATCAGCACCACGTAGTCCTGCAGAAATCGCCGCACTGCTGCGCACAGCGCGTGGTTCACCAGCCCGAACCCCTCCCGGCTCTGCACGTCCACAAACGCCTCCAACGCCACGTAGTGCGTCGCCGACCGCAGCATCACCACCGTCAGGTCCTGCAGGCTCGGGTCCAGCCCCCCCAAAATCCGCCACGGTGGCCCCGACAACCGGTCTCGCTCCTCATGCGGGTCGTAGCCCGTGCCAAACCGGATGTACTGGCCCTCGCACCCCATAAACACCCCCAGCAAATCATCCAGCATTGCCGCTTCCTGCTGCTCCAGCGTCATGCTGCTCAGTGGTCTCGGTTGCAGGCTGGCTGGCATCTGAGCTGCCAGCGGTGGTACTGATATGCGCGACGCTAGCGGTGCTGACGTGTGCGGCAGCAGCATCGCTTCAGGGTTCCACGGCACCGCTGCCTCTGCTGCCGGAGCTGCTGCTGCTGCTGCTGCCATCGCTGCCGATGTCGCCTCTCGTCCTCGTCCATCGAGTGTCTTGTGAAGGGCTGCCGTGGCTGCTGCTGCTGCTGCTGCTGCGGCTGCCCTGCTCTCTTTGGTCGCCCCGGCCGCTGACCCCCGTCGCTCCGAACTTCGCGCTCGCGACACTAGCATGTCCCTCGTCGTGATCACCGTCCTTTCTGTCCGTCTTTCTCCACCGTGTTCGGGTGCCCCCGAAGGCGTGCCCGCTCGAGCTCCTCCACCCCCTCCTGCTGGCGGCCGGCCGGCCGTCCGTGGATTGCCAGAGGCCGTCCGCTTGTGCGCCGTGCTTGCGTAGCTGACCTGGGGCGGTGCCTCTCGGTACTTGCCATCCGGACGCTCGCCGCTTCGAAAGCTGCTGTGCACGCTGCTCTGGGCTTGGCTCATCCGCGATCGCGTGCCCTCTGGCCGCTGCTCGCCTCCGCTGGCGTTGCTGTTTGCATGACTGCTGTTGTATTGCGCCCTGCCGGCCGTCGACGACATTGTCCAAGGTCGTGGACTGCACGCAAATGCACAAGTCGGTTCGCTTGCGTGTTTCTGCAGAGAACAAACACTCTTTTATCTTGGAATTCCCTCTTCGACAGGGCAAGAAGTCGCGCCGCTCCAGACGGAAGGCGCGTTCAATTCGAGTCCCCCTCCTTCACACGCGGATACACGCTACGCCACGTTCGGCATGGTCGCACAGTTGACCAATGGTTCCACTTTTTAGCTACCCCAAAAGCTCGAAAAGCTGCGTAGGCCGTCTGTTTGCCTGGAGACGATGAGAAGCCGCGCCAACAGCTTCTTTCGATTCAACAGGCGACAACTGGTCCAAGACGACAGCGACCCATACGTTTGCGACCGAGAAGAACGACAGACATAACGAGACAGCCAGGACCTGAAACGAACCGCACTGCCGTTCCAGGCCTTCTTCCCCTCATCCAACCGCCAACATGTTTATGGCAAGATCGGAATATGGTCAGCTTCTTGTTTCGTCCTTCTTTGCATCGCTCTCTGGCTGTCCTCCTTGCGCATTGCTCTCGCTGACTGACGATATCGCCGACAGATCGGGGTATCAAGTACGTGAACAGCTGGAGCCGCATCGACTTCGCATCGAACCCTGCATCCTGCATCCTGCATCCTACATCCTTTCTCCATTCCCCCCAACGCGCTGACCCAAAATCCACAGCACCTTCTCCCCCGAAGGCCGGCTCTTCCAGGTCGAGTACTCGCTCGAGGCTATCAAGCTCGGAAGCACCGCCATCGGCGTCGCCACCGCCGAGGGCGTCATCCTGGGCGTGGAGAAGCGCGTGACGTCGACGCTGATGGAGGTCAGCTCGGTCGAGAAGATTGTCGAAATTGACCGCCACATTGGCTGCGCCATGAGCGGCCTGCAGGCCGACGCCCGCAGCATGGTCGAGCACGCCCGCGTCGAGTGTCAGAGCCACGCGTTCAACTACGCCGAGCCGCTGAGCGTCGAGAGCTGCACCCAGGCCATCTGCGATCTCGCCCTGCGCTTCGGCGAGTCCGCCGACGGCGAGGACAGCATCATGAGCCGCCCCTTCGGCGTCGCCCTGCTCATCGCTGGCTACGACTCCGACATTGGCCCCGACGGCAAGGAGGGCGGCCCCGCCCTCTATCACGCCGAACCCAGCGGCACCTTTTACCGCTACGACGCAAAAGCCATCGGCTCCGGCTCCGAGGGCGCCCAGGCCGAGCTGCAGAACGAGTATCACAAGGTCTGATAGTGTTTCTGCCTCTGCCTAATCTTTCCCTTTCCCTTTCCCTTTTCCCTTTACCCTTCCCCTCCCTCTCCGCCTCTACCCCCGGCTGACCTTACAGTCTCTCACCCTCGCCGACGCCGAGACTCTCGTCCTCAAGACGCTCAAGCAGGTCATGGAGGAGAAGCTGGACGAGAAGAACGTTCAGCTGGCCAGTGTCACAAAAGAAAAAGGCTTCCGGTTATACACCGACGAAGAAATGGCCGCTGTCGTCGCCCGGCTACCAGCAAACTAAGCCGCCTGGAAGCCGATGAAGACGGAGAGCAGTGGTCTAGCGAAGGTGGTGTGCTTGTGTATGTACTGTGTACAGGGCGTATCAAATAAAGAAACTAAGTACGATGCTCACATTACGCTTGTGTTATCACTGTCTACAGCATTTTGTTTCCTTCGTGGTTGTCAGCTCCCTCCACCGTCTAAGCCTTGTCGCTTAGCTTCAGCTTCTCGAGGTCTGACTCCATGCTTAGTAATCCCACGGCGTAACGGGATCGCTCGGTGGCAGACAAGACCAGCTCCTCGTCTTCTTCCTCAAGCTCGCGAATCCGATCCACAATTCTCTTTGGCCGATTCCAGATGGACTGGGGAACCTCCGCAACGTCTGTGGGCGGTTCGTATGGCGGCCCGCGACCCATGCTGGCAGCTTTCGTCCAGCATGTCTCGCAGCCGGTAGCGATATGACGGGCAGACTGAAAGCCTGTCAACCGAGCGACATTGTGCATCTGTCGAACCGTCCAGTGTCTCTGCGCCGTATCCTGAAACTGTACAATATCAGCGTAAAGAAGACAGAAGCGGAAGATTGATGAAGTACCTGAACGGCCGCCACAAACAGCGGGAATGAGCTCTCGATGGAGACGGCGCCGAGAAGAGTGCTCACGTGCACCATGGTGTTAAGATCTTCGACGGTGAGTCCCGCAATGATGCGGCCAATCTGGTTGGCATACGGTGCTGTCTGGCGCCCGGCCATGGCAGCCGCGGCCATGGCTATGTGAGGCATTGATGGATGGCAGCGGTGCAGCACAATCATTCCCATGTAGTAGTTCATCCAGATGCTCGCAATTCCATATGTGCGGTACTTCAGCACCAGGCCAAAGGGACTACTTGCTGGAGGCTCGTATTCCGGACCTAAAGGCTCAAAGTCGGGACCCAATTGAGCCCGGAAATGTTCAAGTGTCTGCTTGATGCTTTCCCATTTGCAAAGTGCTGCCGTCGTGCTTGCATCAAAGTCCATCTCTTCCTGACTGTCGCTTTCAGGGCTCTGTTCCCGCGGAGGGCTGAAGCCTTTGGGGATAGTTATATTGCCCGTCGAAGGCATCATGCCGATGAAAGGTGGCGGCGACTGGCCTTGGCCCCGAGGTCCCGGTGGCCCGTCTGGCCACCTCGCTTGGCGCTTACGGTCCTGGTCGTGACTGGAAAAGTCACATATCCGACCAAGAAGCAGCATGAGATGGTCATACGTGCCGTATCTGAGTGGTCAGCCATGGCGCCAAGAAGTTCTGCTCGGCTATCCGGCACTCACAAGGCGTCGATCCTGTTGATAGGGGCACGAGGGGCGCATTGGGTCCAGCACTTGTATTCCATCCTATTGAGCAGTGGCGTCTCGGTTAGAAGACGCTCGGACGAAAGACTAGTCCAGAGGCAAGAGGAAAGATGGCAAAAAGAAGAGGCTGAAACCTACAGGAGCCGCGTTCCTCCCAATATGCTCTGGTATACGTCCATCTTCGCATACCACCAGAATAAGTCACTGAGGATGTGATATGTTTTTATATCTTTCTCCGTATAGGCGTCAGGGGTGGTCCAAGAAGTAGATCGTCTATTGTGAAACGAGGAAGAGGTCACGTCTTCATCTTGGTCGTAGCCTACGGGCAATCCAGAGAGTTGAGACACAATAACCGAGTCGACTAGATCAATATCCTTGTCGGCAACGATGCCGTCTTCGGGCATCGTTGAGTCGTGGTCCAAGCTGCCCTGATAGAGGGCCTGGCGACGCTTCCGCTTAAGGGCAATCATCTTCTTGGTCATCTCCCGGAGAGGAATTTCCCTCAGGATAGCCCGCGCTCCCCACATATGCTTGCACCACTTGTCGTGGTCCGAGTTCCAGACTTCATAGAAGCCTAGAAGCATAGTGGCGGCAAGCGTGGCAGGTTGTACACGGCGAGATGTGCTTTGGTAGTTGCGGGCAATCCTTCGCAAGCTCAGATGGTAGTGCTTCATCGAAGCAGTGGCGGGAATGCCTTGGAGCTTGGCCATATGCAAACTGCCCAACGCCAGCATGGCTTGAAGCAAAGCCGGGTGGTTAAGCGCGATGGTAGGGAAGGTATCTAATTCCAGGTCAGCAAGTCTATGGAAAAGAAGAAGACACAGAACCAAGAAAACCCTAAAAAAATAGAGAAAAGAGAAAAGAGAATAGAGAAAAAAAATACAGAGTCCTACATGTCCAAATGTGCTGTCTTGAGCGAGGTACAGGGCGCCCTTCAAAAATGGGGGAGGGATCAACGGGATAGCGCTCAAAGAGAGACATGCTTGGTCCTGTGACATTAACAAAGTACCAAAAGACAGAGGCTGTGCGAGCATCAGTCAGGGGCGAGTTCAGCGACGATGGGACGTAATCGGCCAAGACATTTGCGTCGGCAAAGTTGGAAAAGGTGCGCAGCTGAGTGCCAAAGGCGTCGAACGGACGGTTTGGCAGACGTCTTGCAACAATTACACCCAGATCGTTTGCCTGTACGTGTTCCATTTGGTCTGTTGCCTCTTCGTCTTCAGAATCACCCATGGATGCATCGTCGTCCGAGTACCAATAACCCTCTTCCGAATGCATAGCCGATTGAGCTGAGTATTCTGCATTGCCTCTCTCAAAGACTCGTGTGTAATCATGCGATCGTGGGACCGGAGGAAAGTCGATAACATCATAGTTCCCATCGGACGACCACCCGACAGCAGGTACAAGTGCGGGCGTAGGCACCGCTATAGGCACGGTCAAAGGGCCACCATAGTCGACGGAGGGCAAGAAGCCAGAGTCATCGTAGGAACCGCCATGGCCAGTCAGGGGCGGCTGAGGCTCCCAGACCTGCGCAAAGGATGCATGTCCATGAGAATCAGGCTGGGCCGAAGGTGCATAGGACATGGGCATCGGGGCCATGGGCTGTGCATGTCCTGGCGGGATAAAATGGAGTTCGTGGCCGGCGGGAATGCCTTGCATGTGAAGGGGATGTTGTCGTGGGGGCATACTGGGATGATGAGGAAGCTGGTGCTGGTACTGGGCGACGTCGTTCATCAAAGGCGGCCGCGGCGCGATGAACGGCAGGGAGCCTTGCGAGATTGCCCTGGGGTTCTGGCTGGCGAAGGAGCCTTGCTGGCTGGCGAGCAAGTGGTGGGCTGAAGCACTCTGGAAGGGCATGGGGCCGATCTGGTTCGGGTGAAAGGTGCCCATAGGGTCCTTGAATATGACTCGCTGATTATAACCTTCGCATTGTCTCTTCGATTTGATGCAATTGTTGCATCTCGGTTTTCCTTCATCGCATTTGATCCGCCTTCTTCGGCATGCTTTGGAAGCAGTTAGCGGGAGAATGGGCTAAAGGTGTATGGGACCAGGCTCACTGTAGCAGCCAGTTTTTGTTCTCTTCTTGATTGCGGACTTCTTGGGAGCAGGATCAGTGTCATCCGGAGCCGAGTCACAGGGGTTGGTGTCCGGGTTGGCCTCAGGATGTCGGCTTTCCGTATCCATAGTGTGGGGAAGGGGCGCAGATGCTTTGTTGTGGTTCTTTCAGGCTGGCCTCGATGTGAGGTGAGTGCGTCTGGTTGTCGCGTCTCTAGGAGAACAGCTGCCTTTCCAGAGTAATGCTAGCCGGCTGTTTCGATTTAGTACGGCGGTAGGAATAGGAAGGGAAAGGGAAGAGGGGGGACAGAGAGGAGGAGCAAGCACATTGATTGACAAAGGAAAGGTGGAGGCTATCATCAAAGAACAATATGAGAGAAAAGTGAGGTGAGAGCAAGACGAGATGATAGAAAAAGTAGAAGCAGTTCTTATGGACAAGTGGGGGAGAGGGGGAAAAGGGGAATGGCAGAGGAAGGAACGGTTCGGGTGTGCCGAGCAGAATAAAAGCCAGCAACACAAGCAGTGTGCAGGCACGCGCTATGACAACTCTGTCCTTCCACGTTGTCGCTGTTGTTTCTCTGGGCTTTTTCTCTGGTTTCTCTTTCTCAACCTTCTCGGCAGAGACTGTGGACAGGCCTCGATAAGGCAGGCGGCTAGAAAGGGAAAAGACGCAGGTGGCTACGGCTGTGTGCAACCACAGAAAACAGGCGAGGGAAAATGGGCAATACAGGCTGCTCTCTTCTATGGGCTGAGGTGATGATGTCCAATGTGGTTTAATACGGGAGCTTTGTACTAATTGACTTCGTACGCTATACTTTTGCTGCTGTTGCTGCTTTCCTACACATGGCAGATCAAGACAACAGAGGCGGACGTAGGGGACAGTAGGACAGCTGCTGGGATGAGTTAAGGGGCCGATGGGCGACTTTGTCTGTCGTACATACAATACACTTGTACCGGATCCTGGCTAGCTAATAGATACAGCAGCTGTGGTAGCTGGGCGGAAGACAGAGATGGTAGGTAAAGCGGACTGTGAGATTGGAGCGGCTGTTCCTAGATGCCGGAGATGCAGCTGTGAGGCTCAAGCAAGAGGGTGGGGGAAAGTGGCCTGATATCTGGCAGAGTTGTCAATGGAGGTGCAGATTTGCTGCTAATTCTGCAATTAGTCCCGAATTCGGGGCCCTGGAAAGAAGAGAGGAGGAGGCGGGACAGAAACGGGAGCAGCAAAACGTGGCCGCAGACAGAAGAGAGACCAAGACTAAGACAGGAGAGATAGGAAGAGCGAGAGCAGGGTTATGTATCTTCCATGGACAAGGAGCCTAGATGAGCCGGTTCAGAAGATAATGCATCGGGGAGTGGTTACGGACGACAGAAGGGGAAAAGCGTGGGCCACAAGGAGCGACGAGGAGCCACAAGCCGGCACTCCCGATCGTCCGACACATGGTTGTGCCGGGAGCAAGCCAGATACAGCGCTGTTCAGTGGGCACTGGCAGGCCAATGGCAGGATTGGCGGGGCAGATGGTGGGCCCAAGAGTCCTAGTGGCCGTTTTAGCGCTATTGGGGACATGGTTATAGTGTTATAGTGGCTGGCCAGCTGAGATGGAGTGGACAACTAAGATACGAGGTGACGAAGATGGCGAGAGCGCGAGGGGAGGGCGAAGATCGAGGATCCAGCAGGCGCAAGGTGACACGAGAAGGAAGAAGCGCTGTGGAACGGACGGACTGTGGATTCCTTTGCGAGGGAGCCGGCTCGTCTTCCGCGCCGACGGCCACGACGCGGAAAAGCTGCTGTGCAGCGGCCGGCTTATTTGGGTTGCACTAGGGTCATCAGCAGAGGATGGATGCAGACTCCAGGTGGGAAACGGAGGAGCGAAAAGACCCCCAGCAACACTGCCGTGCCACCAGAACAGTGCTGTGGCCTGTGGCCGGCGCTGTGCTCGGGCAGACTGGGCTTGTTGCTGCTGCAGGACGTGAGGTCCATCGGGGATGACTAAGCAGGCCAGCCGAGATCTGCTCCTGGCGTCAGACACATGTCTGATACTCGAAGGAAGCGCAATACGGACGGAAGGAGTCCGAAGACAAAGAGACGACGAAGGAACCGAAGAGCAACATGAACAGAGCAGCCAACACGGACTGTTTGCCTGTTTCGAACGAAGTAGTCCGTACGACCTGTTCGGCTGTTGGTGAGCATGGGAAAACTTCTGATGTGCTTTGTACATGCGCTAAGATAGTGCTAGCAGGTGGTTATCGACTGGTTCTCATGCATTGGGCACTTGCTTGTGGGTCCAGGCTTTTTTTTTCTTGTAAAAAAAACAATGGGCAGGAGCGACGGCCGATCGAGCATTTTCTCGAGCAAACGAAAAGCCCACCAAAATCGAGACATACAATGTTTGCCGTTCCAGGATGGACGTTGTCAGCCGACAAGCTGCGGGCGGAGACGGTGAAGCTTGCGCCTGCTGACCAGCCAGCGGTTGCACCGCCCTCGGCAACGGATGCAGCGCCGGGTGACGGGCCAAGCAAGAAGCGCAAGCGGCCAGGCCGTGGGCCCAAGGTCACCGACGACAATGTGGCGGACCTTTGGGAGCGGGTGATTGAGAAGAAGAAGAGACAGGGAAAAAAGGCCGAGACGGCGGCAGCGGAGCAGGACAGCAGCGAGGCCAAGCAGCCCGAGGCAGTCCAGCAGCCGGATGCGGTGCAGCAGCCCCCGGCAAAGAAAGCCAAAAAGGGCGAAAAGACAGCAGTCAGCAAGGAATCGGTCGAGGAGAAGGCATCAGCAGTAGCGGTAGCAGAGCCAACAAAGAAAGCACCAAAGGCACAGGACAAGCCGGCCAGGGAAGCAAAGGAGCGAACGGCGACAGCACCGGTGTCTGTCAAGGGTGCAGAGGAAAAGCCAGCAGCAGCCAAAGAGCAGCAGCAGCCACAGGAGAAGAAGGGAAAGAAGGCACAAAAGGGCGGCGACAACAAAGAAAAGGCAGTGGCCAAGGGGCCGTCTGTGGACCAAGCCGGCCAGTCGCCCGCCAAGAAGGAGCAGCAGCAGCAGCAGAAGCAGCAGAAGCAGCAGAAGCAGCAGAAGCAGAAACAGGCCAGGACAGCAGAAGTAGCAGCAGAAGCCGCACAGACGTCTTCGGCACTGGCGACGACGACGAAGAGCACAGCGCCGGCGTCGAAGCTGACGCCGCTGCAGGCGTCGATGCGGGCGAAGCTGGTGTCAGCGCGGTTCCGGCACCTCAACGAGACGCTGTACACGCGGCCGTCGAAGGAGGCGCTGCGGTTGTTTGCCGAGGCCCCGGACATGTTCCAGGCCTACCACGAGGGCTTCCGGCAGCAGGTGGCCGTGTGGCCGTCGAATCCGGTCGACACGTTTGTCGAGGAGGTGCGGCGACGTGCGGGCAAGGCCGTGAACGGGGGCAAGGGCGGCAAAAAGGCGCCCATGTTTCGGCGCGGCAACGCCAATGCGACCGGTCTCGGCGACACGCTGCCGCGGACCCGTGGCACTTGCCACATTGTCGACGTGGGCTGTGGCGATGCACAGCTGGCGGCATCGCTGGCACCGACGGCTGACCGACTGCGCGTGCAGGTGCGGAGCTATGATTTGCACGCGGATCCAGCCAACCGACACGTCACGGCAGCAGCTGACGCGGCCAACCTACCGCTGCCGGCGGACACGGCCGATATTGTGGTGTTCTGTCTGGCACTGATGGGCACCAACTGGCTCGACTTTGTCGAGGAGGCGTACCGGGTGCTCCGCTGGAAAGGCGAGCTGTGGGTGGCCGAGATCAAGAGCCGGTTTGCCGGTGCGGCCGAGCTGCGGGCTGGCCTCAAGAAGCGCGGTGCCGGAGCTCCCGTCTCGCACAGCGTGGGCTACCGGCGCAAAACGGCCGGCCGTGGTGGTCTTGGCGGAGGAGGGAAGAACGGCAAGGCCGGTAGGAACGAAAAGGCCGACGAGGACGACCCTGAGGCTGTCGCGGCTGCTCTCGCCGAGGTCGACGGCTGGGACGAGGCCGGCGGCGCGACTACGGACGTTTCGTCGTTTGTCAATGCGCTCCGGCGTCGCGGCTTCGTCCTCGATGACACCGGCGCCGGCTCGGCCGATGCCGAAGGCTCGCCCGCTGCCGCTGCCAAGTCGCCCGCCGTCGACCTCGACAACAAGATGTTTGTCCGGATGCGCTTCCTCAAGGCTGCCCCGGCTGTCGTCGGCAAGCTGGCCGCTCCAGGCACCGGCGACGCCGCCAGAAAGAAGCCCAAGTTCCTCGACAGCACCAACCTCTCGCCCGAGGAGGCCATGGAAGACCCCGCCTTCGAGGCCAAGATCCTCAAGCCGTGCGTCTACAAGCTGCGGTGAGATGGAGAGGGTGTGGCGTGTATGTGAGAGAGATCGCTCAGATGGGTCTTTTCTATAGTAAAGAGAAGTGTATTGGATGGAAAAAGACAAAATCAATGATACTAGTCACGGCCAATCCCATCAACCCTGCTATGCCCCCTTGTATGCATCCGTGCTCATTATCGCCGCCGCCTCCGCCTTTTAAGTATGCGCCTGACTGTTCTCCTTCCGCTTACTGCCTTTGCTCCCGTCTGTCTGCCTCAGCCTTGGAACAGCAGGCTGGCCGCGTACTCCACATTGCCTCCTGTGGCCTGCAGCGACTGCTCGGCCGCCGAGCGTGGAAAGCCGAGCGCCATGAGCTGCTGAACCGCCTCTTCCGGGAAAGATGTCGTCTGGCCAGGTCCTGCTGCCGTTGCTGCTCCTGTTGGCCCTGCTGGCCCTGGTAACTGTGCTGGCTGTACTGCTCGTGCCGGCGCGGACGTTGCTGAGGATGTAGCCCCCGTTGGACCTGCTTGTGCTTGTGCTACTGTTGCTGCCGTTGCTGCCGGTTCCTCGCCTTCTGACCCCGACGCCGTCCCCGACACAGCTCCCGACCGCTGGCCGATCGTTGTTCCGCTGGGTCCTGGGATGGTTGGTTCCTGTGTGAGAGCCTCCTCCGACTCCTTGGGAATGTCAGCTTCTCCTAAAAAGGGAATCTCAACGCCCTGGATGATCAGCCGGTCCTTGACCAGATCGATGCACGCCTGGTGACGCTTCAGCATGTCCAGGCCCAGAAGCAGCTCGACCGCCTTGCCCTCCATGACCGTGAAGCTGCACGGCAAGAAGAGGCTGCCGATCTTGATCTGCGCTGAGTGTACGCGTCCGATGATCGTAGCCGTGCCGACACCCCGCGCCACGCCCGCAAACCGCTTGTCGACCAGCCGCATGATGCCGCACGCCTCCGCGCAGGACGGCGACATGATCGTTGCCTGTGCCCCCGAGTCCACCAGCGCCTTGACCTTGTGGCCGTTCACCTCCACGTCCACATAGAGCAGATGTACCCTGCCAAACACTGCACACGCCAGGGTCAGCAGGAAGCTCTACAGACGCAAAGACAAGACAGCCCACCAAGCCTACCTTCTGGGTTGTGCTCCATGGCATTCTGCAGATTCTCCATCACCCGCTCCTGACGGATAATCTCCTCAATCCGCGACTGTGCCTCAATGTCGAATGGGTCCGCGTTCAGCTGCGCAATCTGCCGCTGCCGCTCCTGCTGTTCCCTCCGATCGCGCTCGTAGTTGTCTGCAAAGAATTGCGCAAACCGCTGCGGGTCGTCCAGCACCGTCGCCAGCTGTGGCTGCTGCCGCAGTGCCTCTTCTCGCAGCCGAGGGTCACCTAGGATCTGTAGCCGAATCATCTCGGGGTCTGGATCGCCCGGTCGGCGACGCTGTGCCCCACTGCCGCCTGCACCCGTTGCTTGTTGCTCTCGTTGTTGGCGCTGAAGCTGCTGCTGCTGCTGCTGCTGCTGCTGCGATCCCTCGCCACCGCCACCTCTTGCGTTGCCTTTCCGGCGGTCGTGCATCGCCAGCATGTCGCCATTGGTGACATTCAGGTCCCGCAGCGTCTGCGAGTCGTCGGTGATGAGCTGGCCGTTGTGGTAGAGGTACTGGTTCTTCGGCTCGACCTCCGTCTCGGCCTGGATCGAACTCTGGAGAGCCTCAATCGTCATCTCAGGAAACACCTCCAGGAAGAGGAGCCCGACATCGTCCTCGTTGCTCTGGTCTGCTAATGTCACTGTGATTTGCCTTTCCCTCTTGTCAGCACATGCAGCAGCTGCCGAGGCAGAGCGGGCGGGCACTCTCACATTTTGGACGAAAGTGTGCCCTGATGTACGGCAAGCCTTCGAGTTGAGAAGAGAAAAAAGGATGCGAGTTCTGAAGCGGCACTTTGGGGCGACAGGGAAGTTCAGTAGGGCGAAAACGGAGGGGTTGTGGAAATCTGTTTGAGGAAGCTACGGCAATTTGTAACAGAGGCAAACAACGACGGCAACAACGAGGCCGGGCAACGAATAGTGTGGTGGCCTAACCAACTATGTGTATCACGTGATGCTGTTCCCACGGCCTCCAATCCGCCACGTTCGTACGTTTTGCACAGAAAGAACCGGTTAGAAATCAATAGATCCGTGGCAGTGCCGGCGGAATGACGGTGCATACGTTCGTATATTACAACTGCAGTCGTCCATGACGACAGCAACATCCTGAACAGAGGTCAAGTAACTAGCAGCGGGCGCTATAAAGCTAGAAGCGGGGGTATTGGGGTGGTGTCTAAGGGAACCATAGCAAGCCCTCCACTCCTACAATTCTGTTTCAGAGGCTGGCGCCTGGAACAGGCAGTTTCAGCTAGCACGAACGGAGTTATACTGCTGCGCATTTTTTTTTTTTGCGTGGAGGGGCAATCAGAAGCTGACTCAAGCAATCGTCGATCGGGAGTCGCAAATTGGGAATACCGGATCGCTGATAATCCGGAGCTGTCAATTTGCCGCTGGCGTTGTTTTAGGCTGTTCATTGGATGCCTGTGACTAATAAGTGGCGCCTGCCCATATGTGCCCGATCGTGGCTGCCCTACGATACCGGTCGCTGTCCATATGCTGCAATCTCCCTTTAGTAGTTTTCGTTTTTCTGTTCGACCACATTCTTGCACCACTAACAGCTTGTGCAAAAGTCTTATTTTTTCCTGTTTCACTGTTGTGGATTGAGCTTTACGTCTTCTGCCTGCGGCCACACCGCAACGCACCTTGTCGTGACAAACGAGTAGCGCGCTGCGAGCCGCCGAGATGAAGTTTACAGCCACGCATTCGCCATGTTTGATATTTTACAACACGACGAGCATCTAGCTCCTCGAGCTTGCTCTCCTGCCAACCATCCCTCCCCGAAGCTCGGCGACTTTGCCTCCATCTTTGACGTCTGGAACGGCCTTGGCAGCAGCCAGAGCGACGATGACACCTCCGACCGAACGCTGACCGACTCTGAGCTTGATGACACTTCGACGTCTGTCGAATCTGTCGACAGCGCTGTAGCAGCTAAAAATAAGGAGATTGTTGCCCGTGGCTTGGCCGTTGGCGGACTCTTTGGAGGCCTCGACTTTGCAGAGGTGGCAGCAGCGGGCATTTCATCTACGAAATATGGCAGCGACAGCGAGGATGAGGATGAAGATGGAGATGAACATGACGGTGTCGATACTGGTGGGTACACTGGTACCGATACCGGTGCTGATGCCGACATTAGTGACGACGGCATCAGGGCTGAACGCACCAGGACAGAGCGCAAGAAAGTCGAGCGCAGCATCAAAGCCCGGGTCAAGGCCGAGCTCCTCAAGGCGGAGCGCATCAAAGCCGAGCGCATGAAGGCCGAGCGGATCAAAGCCAAGCGTACCGGCCGTGTCGGCAGCAAGAAAGATCAGAGGCTGCCCGATCTGAATCCCCGCAGTCCGCCTTTCCTGCCCTCATTATTGTCGCCTGTTCTGATGGCGACTCCAACATACAAAACAACACCCTCCTTTACACATGAGCAAGACTACGGCGGATTGTTCAAACACTTTTCCCTCTACAGCCCCATGTCGTCATTTGCCCCGGTTGTGATCCCCTCCATTCCGCAGCATGGCCGTGGCTTACCTATGGGCACGGTCGACGATATGATCAACCCGCTATATTGGGCGTCTAGCCAGCAGAAGATGGCGATTGTGGAGACAAAGCTGCAGCGCGAATACGACATTGACAGCGCGATACGGAAGAAGCCGGGCGGCAAGCCGATACATGTGTTTGTGGACCTGTCCAACATTGTGATTGGGTTTTACATGCGCATGCGGGCGCTGCGTAATATGCCGCCGGGAAAGCGGCTGGCAGTCATGCCGCCCTTTTTCTTCCACGCGCTTGCACGGATCATCGAGCGCGGCCGGCCGGCGGCGCGCAAGGTGACGGCCGGGTCGGTGCACGACAGCGGTAAGCGATCAGACTGGCCGCAGTACATGGACGAAGCCGAGGCGCTGGGCTACGAGATGAACATCCTCAGCCGAGTGTCGCGGCAGACGGTGACGGCCGGGACGCCGACGACGCCGCAGTCTCCGCGGAAGCGGAATGGCCAGCACAAGCGGCAGAAGAGCGGCGGGGAACGAGGAACGACGGTGTACAACGAATCCGGATCGGAGGAGTCTGCGCGGGAGGAGAAGAGCTCGGGACCGAGCCGGATGGGCGAGCAGGCCGTGGACGAGATCCTGCAGCTCAAGATGTGCCACAGCGTGCTGGACCACAAGGCGGGCACGATTGTGCTGGCAACAGGCGACGCGGCCGAGGCCGAGTTTTCTGACGGCTTTCTGCGCCATGTGGAGCGGGCAATGAGCCACGGCTGGCGAGTCGAGCTGGTCTCGTGGACGTCGGGCATCTCCAAGGCCTGGCGCGAGCTGGAGCGGCGGCAGAAGAAGGGATCCCAGCACTTCCGCATCATCGAGCTGGATACGTATGCCGAGGAGCTGCTGGGCATCTTTGCCGAGTAGAAAAGGTCGTTGCCTTTGCGCATTTACTTCTATTGGCTTATGGTGTCTTACTTGTTTCTTGATTTTTTTTTTGATTTTTTTTTTCTTGACTATCCTTTTCGGCTTCTCTTTCCACTATTTCTTTCATTCTTGTTTTTTCTTTTGATTTTGAATGTTGTATTGTTCATCTGTCTTTGTGTCAGTCTACTCATTTTGACCAGATCACCGGCGCTTCTCTCTGTTTCCACTGTGCTCTCGAGAGGGTGCACACGGAATATGGCGAGACAAGTTAGTCGATCTTTCTGTCGACAAGACAGGCCAAGCCCCTACTAGTACTGTTCGTCTCTGGAATCGGGACGAACAGGCGGGAATGAGAGTAGCGCATATGGGTTTCTGGTCGTCGTCAGCATTACCTGCTCTGTCCTTACGCCATTGCTTTTGTTTCCTTAGACACCTCTTCTTTCTCTCATTTTCATTGCTCGTATATGTATCCGCTTTGGCCGCATTGACTGGTGGATGTTATGCACACAGCATGGCACGGAGAATCACGAAAGACTATGTTTTGTAACGACCGGGAATGACTGTTTTTTTCTCGTTTTTTTTTTTCTGTTTTTCTCGGGTGATTGCATCATGGCATGTATCGGAGTGATGATCTCAATTTATTTTATGTCCCACACCATGGACTACTGTCTATAAGCATACACAATCTATGCGTGCTGATTTTGCGCAATTTGTCTATTTTCGTCCCGTCTCCTCGGGCCTTTCAGCCTAACCGATGCCATCACATGGCGACACCCTCCTCGCGCAAACCCGGCGTTGCGCCCAGCTCGCGCATGATCCATTCGTAGACGGCCCACTGGACGGCATTGACGACGAACGCGCGGGCGCTACAGACGCCGAGACCGCGGAAGAAGACGGCCAGGCCGCCCTCCCGATAGGCGAGCCGGGTGATCTGAAGGGTGGAGAGGCGAGGAGGCGAGGAGGTTGCGAGCAGCGGAGAGGAGGCCGAGGTGAGGGCGGCGGTTTGGGTCTGGACCTGGGCCTGAACGCGGGTCTTGACCACGTCGAGCGGGAAGACGCTGGCCCAGGTGACGATGCCGGCGAGGCCGCCACAGACGAGGGCTGCCGTCTGGGAGTTGGTGCTGGTGTTGGTGCTGCCGTCGTCTGCGGGCCAGCGCTGCCTCCAGGCATCCGTTGCCAGCTGGTACGACCAGAAGTAGAAGCCGTATCCGATGCTGTCGCGCAGGGCCGTGACGGAGCCGCCAAGAAAGAAGCCGCGCAGGCCGCTGGTCGTCCAGACCTGACGGGCAATGGCCCAAGAAGAGGGGGGTGAAGAGGCCGTCCGAGTCGGGGCTGTCTGGGCCTGGCACTTGATCAGCTCTGTCGGCGTGCTGACGACCCAGGTGGCGAGCCCGGCAACGGCACCGGCGAGCCAGGTCGTCGTCAGCGAGGACGGGCTGCCGTCCTGGAGACCGGCACTCGATCCTGGCTGGAGGACTTCTTCGGCCTGGCGGTACGACACAAAGAGGAGCGCGTTGAGGGCACCGTAGCCGAGAATGGGCGCTGCCGCACCCGTGGCCAGAGCGACGGTGCGGCGCAGAATGGCAGACGAGGAGAAGGACGACGACGACGACGGCGATGACGATAAAGAAACCGGCAGAGACGAAAGTGACGACAGCGACGATGAGGTCGAGTATGTGCCTGCCTGCAGGCGCACCTTGACAATGTCTAGCGGGTTGCCAATGAGAATGCCGGCGGCACCGCTGATATAGCCGGCCCAGAAATCGGCCGACATGGGGACGATGGGGTACCAAACAAGGATGGAAGACGGGCTGAGAGACTCGCAAGAAGAGGGGAAGATGCTCCCTTCGATTGAGGCTATTTGCCGAGGCTTCGAACTAGCCTCGGGTGCCAACGTCCTATTGGCTAGACTGCAGCGAACTAAGCCTTGTCTGTGCTTACGTAATGTATTCCCATTGGATGCTTACGAGGCCAATGCATCTGTCAGTTTTGCTCAGTATTCATCCATTAGCAACATCTTCTATTTGTCTGTATTGTCTCTCTGCCTGGACCTGGAGCCACTGTCGCACGGCTAGCTGCAGCCATCCACCCGGTCCTCGTCATCCCCAAATAGACAACAAGGGCCTGTCTAGGCGGACAGACGGGGACACAGCAGAGCCTGGCTTCGATTGCTCGACGCAGCTGGCCTCGCTTTGTCTCCCCAACACCTCTCCCCGTCCTCGTGACAAATAGTATCCAAACCCAATGAGTAAGCAAGAAGTTCTTTGCGTCCGGCGCGCTAGGGGTGTATAAAAAAAAAGTAAAAGAAAAAAATAGGGCAGGGAAATGATTTGCAAGACAGGAAAAGCACAAAGGGGGGTGAGGCATGTCGTGGTTGTTCTAGAAATTCTCCTTTCCCCAGACGAACGAGAAGCTGTGAAGATGTTAGCAGGCGGCAGCAGAAGCAAAACAGACAGTCTCGATACGCACCCTGGCTCGCTGTATTTGTTACAGAAGATATGCAGCGTGCTGCCGAGGCCCTTGGGCCCGCAGAAGAAGACGCCAGCCTCGGCAGGGGTGTGCAGCTTGCGGATGCCGCGGAAGATCATGTCCCAGTTGGGCCGACCAAAGTTGGTTGGCGCGCGCAGACCGGTGATGGCGTCCTTGTCAGCGTTGGCGTCGTTGATCATGATGTTGGTGGCATCGTCAATCTTGATCTTGGCCGTCAGGTACGTGTGGATCTCGATGCGGTTGTCGACGTCCTGGGCCTCGATGGCCAGCAGCAGCGAGCGGAACCACTCAAACGAGCCAAAGTCACGGCAGATCCAGAAAAAGTACACCTTGGACAGCCGCGTCTTCGTCTGTGGATAGTTCATCCGGTACCAGATGCTCTTGAGGATCGACGCAAACGGCGTCACGCCAATGCCGGCTCCCACCAGCATCGCAATCTCGTACTTGAACACGTCCTCGGACGCCGATCCAAACGGCCCGTCCACATAGACACGCGGCAGAATGCGGCGCAGAGCCGGGTCCACGTCGCTGCCGTCACCGCCGCTGACGCCCACCACCTTGGACGCGTCCTTGTCCTTGCCAAAGTCACAGCCGACCGCCTTGGCCAGCGCTGTGGTGAAGTCGCCGGCCACACGGATGTGCACCGAGATGTAGTCCTCCTCCGGCGCGCTCGTCAGCGTGAACGGGTGGTACTGCCAGATCGACACTGCCGGACAGCAGAGGAAGATGTACTGGCCCGCCCGCGTCTTGGTGTTCTCCTTCTTGATCTGGATCTCGCACACGTTGCTCGGGTGCTGCACCACCTTGCTGATGTACGTGTTGTGTCGTCCACGCATCTCACGCGCCACCCGCTCGGCCAGATAGACGAAGCCACCGTACATCCAGAACTGCCAGAACACCCCGACCGCCTGCGTGCCGATCGAGATGCAGAACGGCGCAAAGTCCGGCTGGATCATGCAGAAGGCTCCGTGGATGGCCCAGAAGAAGAAGAAGACGACAAACATGTGGTGCGTGTACCAGAACCGCTCGTAATTGGCCCGCCGTGGCTTCTCCACCGACGTCAGCACCATGCCCATCAGCGCGATCAGCATCACGTAGCCTGTCCAGCCCGGTCCCGACACGAAGTTGGCCAGCAGCCAGCCGTAGATGCCCAGGTTGTTCTTCGCCGCGATCTGTGCAAAGTTGTTCCAGTGCGCGATCGTGTGCACCCACGAGAAGAACACAATCGACCAGGCCGTCGTGATGTGGAACGTGATGTTCTTGTCGAATTGGATGATCCCGTTGAGCGGCGTCTGCCGTGCCAGCGAGATGAATGTCCGGCACACCGGGAACAGCACCAGCGCCACGTCAAAGTGCAGCACCAGTGCCGCCGACCGCGCAATCATGTACGTCGGCCCAAACGTGCTCCGTGCCACCGCCAGGTTGTCCTTGCGCGAGTAGTTGACGAAGCCGAAGCTGAAGAACATGGCGTGCAGCAGCATAAAGACAAAAACAAATCTGCCACAGTCAGCTCGGCACCCAAATACATCTCGGATGGAACGGGGGCACAAACACGCGGCGGTATCCTTCGTTGATCATCCAGCGGTCAATTCTTTCTCCCGGGACGTGAGCTCCTTCTGTCGCTCCTGTGTCATCTCGCCCGACAGCAGCATCCGCGTCAATGGCGTCCATCGTGCCCGCTCCGAGACCTTCTCGGACCCGTATTCTTGGTAATCCATGATGTATTAGGTTTGCTAGCAAAGCTCTGCTCGCTCGAGTTTCTCGCCTGTTGCTGGAAAAAATGAAAAGGTGGATGTTCAGAACCTGCTGAATAAGATGTTGTGCATCGACTAAAGAGAGTGGCCGTCCGGCGACTTGTGGTGAGAGGAAAAGATCGTAAGAGAGGTCGAAAAGAACAGCAGCCTGGGCAGAGGTCTTCACGGACGGAACTCAATCCAAACACACAGCGACGACGACAAGAAGGGCGAAAGAAAATCAGGAGGAAATCAGCAGAGTAATACGAAGGAAAGAGCCCGGAAAAGCGGGACAGGGGCAAAGGAGGACAAATCGGGGGCATGGAGACGGGGGTAAGAACGTTAAACGTCTGGGCGTCTGGACCTTAGAAACGTAGGGCGGTTTTTATTTCTTGTGCCGATCATGCCTGCACATGGGATGTTGCGATTGCGGATAGGCCTTTGAGCCGGTGCGTGCCAGGATGAGACTGCACATTGTGGACGTCGTTTTGTCTGGCGAGAAGATGGTGATGAAGAGGCGACGACTAACATACGCTTGGCCTTGAAGATGGTTGTATCTTGAAACGCGAGTCAGCAGCAGGCACATGCCAGAACCTGTCACAGAGAGGCTCTGAGGATCGACATAGCTTTATCGGACACAGATGTGGGCTAACAGACGATAGAGTTCAGAGAGACAACAGGGCACGCACTAGCCGCTTCAGCAGCCCGTCGTAAGATATTGAGAGGGCCAGGCGGTAAAACGAAATGAGGGCAGCAGCGTTGGGAGGTCAGTGTGCCGCAAGCTAGCACCTGCCACGGACGTTTCCGAAACAACCTGCAGCTAGATTAGGACTAACGGCCACCGGCCTGTGGCAGCGCTACAACATCACTGCTGCCAGGGGTCAGGGGGAGCTGGCCGGACCCCTGAAGAGGCTCTAGGCCGTTACGGAGTATTCATCTTTCCAGTATGGCTAATACTGGTAGTTGCATATTCTGTCCGTGGAGTACTAGCACACGCTGGGACAAGTTTTCGTCGCAATCTCGGCTGTTCAGACCTTCATTTATGTACTCGTACAGAATGCGACGCCCAAGGCAAGAAAGAGTGAAGAACATTGCAGGATTTCACTCCTTCTCTGTTCAGCTCAATAAAGGAGGAATAGGCCACTGCACTCCGTGCCAACGTGAAGCCGCCAGCATGCAATATTTGCACATGCTTCTCATTGGCCAGCCCCTTAACCCCTCCCCACTGTCGCAGGATCCCCTGGCGAAACATAACTCTGCAACGCAACGGGAAACCAGAGACTGGCTTAAGACGACGGAGTGCGTCATTCGCAGTATCGTAGTCTCCTATATACCACAATGCAAGATACATAGTAGCCCATACGGAGTAGACGGTAGAGTAACAAGAAACACAATCCTTCTTGCCAACTCCCTACTGCACGTTTACTTCTAAGCCTATTTTAGACGTGTTTCGGGATTATACTTATACTTCGTAAGTGTCTAACAGGCGTCCCCTGTCGGTTTTGCTCCCTCCTATACACTTTCCGGCCGAGCTGAATCTCGGCTCATCGAGCAGAAACAACGTGCATATATAAATAGATATCACATTTTGCTAACCCAAGACAATAGCCGCTGCACCAGCCTGCCTGCGTTAGGTTAGGCGATCACGCCTTGTTCTTCTCACATAAGAAGTACCTTTGCCGTGACTATTGGCTGGGCCATCTAGCTAATGCAGCGTTGTTCCTACGCCAAGATGTCTTGGAAGACCAAGTCTGATGTCTGCTTACAATTATCATACATGTACTTCGTACTCAACTGTCTTAAATGCATGCTTGCAGACGTGTGTTTTATTGACCTACAAAAGCAAAGGCAGGCGACCGATAACTGTCCAACTTCCCTCTGTCGATGCTTGTCTTTTACTGCGCACAACCTTTCTACCACAAGATACTGCCCGTTCCTTTCTCGCACCAACTGAACTGCTACCTCCAATGCCCCCTTATCCATGATGACCGGTATTCCATTACTCAGCTTCGCAAAACTTCCACCCGTTCCGCCCGCAGGACAGAAACACCTGTATTCCAGATGCACTCACTGGGATCGTGGGCTCAGTCACATATCGTCAATGCAATTCACCCCAGCCATGGAATGCTTTATGTACGAGATGCAGGAAAAAGCAAAGTGAACACGGACAACAGAAAAATCAAAAATAGACAGACCCAGCTCCAAGCGCATGCCCAGAAGTGCGTGTTGTGTATGAGAGAGAAAAAATTGCATGTCTTGTGTGGTGAAGTAGTTGTAGAAAAGGCATGAAGCCTGTTGCGTCATTGGTATCGTCGAACCCTACAGTCGCCTAGCCCAACTCTGACCACCGCATTACACAGCTGAATAAATCCATTCGCTCTCGCTCGTCGTTGTCGCACACAGTTGAACCGCATGCGACATCCCGTTTTCCCCCGTGTGGAAGAACGGGAACCCGGTCGGCTAGACAGCGTATTTATGAGTCCACTCACGCGCCGTGGCCTCGTACTTGGCCCGGTCCGTCTTGTACACATGTGCGATCTCGGGAACAAGCGGGTCGTCCGGGTTAGGGTCTGTCAGCATAGAGCAGATGGACAGCAGAACTACAACCCAAGTCAGTAATCGACCGTTCAGACCAAAGAGATGGTTAGCTCGCAATGGGCTGACAAGACGACGTACCCTTTGAAATTGTCAAGGCCGGGCTCCACTGGTCACGTAGGATATCTAAGCAGATGCTGCCATTGCCGTTGATGTTGGGGTGGTAAATGCGAGTGGTAAAGTTGACCTTAGGCGGCTTGAACGGGTAGTCTGTAGGGAAGTGGATGCTGAGAAAGAAAACGCCGCCAGAGTACGGAGAGTCGCTCTATTTATTGCGAAGTCAGTAACAAGGCCAATAAGTGGTTACCGTACGAGTGATGTGTTCGTTCGTGGCGTGTGGGAGGTCATGGTTGTTTGGCTTACCGGGCCCATAATAGTTGCCTGCCAGTGGAACTGTTGCACATGTTAGTGAGACGAAACGCGGAACCAAGCCTCTCGACAAAAAATGCTTCGCCGCCAGCGATCCAAGACAGATGGTCTAGCTGACTAGTGGCGACTAGCAGAAGTGCACGAGGGTAAAAATGTGTCACGTACCAGATCATCGCCTGTCGGGCCGGCCGAGCAGGAGGAGGGCGGATCACTGTAGCAAAGAGTCAGCCAACGTAACAACCTGGAAGGCCACTAGAGATGTGTCGCAAAAGCAGTGATGCTGATTTCTCCTAGTCATGGCTGGACGATGAAGGGAGGGGAGTAAGGAAAAGCCCCGCGCAAAAACCCTGCCCCACCTTGGAAGCCTTATTTTTGAGGGCGGCAAAGAAACAGATGAAGGGCGGCTGCGAAGGAAGACTGGGGGATGATAGGGAAGGGTGGCATGGGAGGCCCAATAACGTACCGGCCGAGGTCGGCGAGTTCCTTGTTAATGCGCTTCAACGCCATTGTGTGTTATGTGATGAGAGGGAGAGGTGTATATAAAGTGACGGCGTAGGACGACCGTCAGTTCCGTGTATCTGACTTGAGACCACGGTGTCGCTAGGTGTTTGTGCTACCAACAAGAGTAGGTGTTGGTTGTAGATAGGAACGGGGGGTCCTGATATTTATCTGGTCAGTAGGGAATCCAAAAGAAGCGTGATGAAAAGACGCCACGAGGCAAGAAAAAGGAACAGGAGGGGCAAAGATAAAGAGGCTGCCGGTAAGGGCTAAGACAATGGTAATATATGTCTAGCGAGGCAGAGGTGCACAAGATCCAGGGTTGCATGCTTACCTAGTCGTTGGATGGAGTCGGGCGAAATGCTGTGATGAGGTTGGTTGCGGGACAGAGGAAAGGGAAAGGAGAAAAAGGATGTTGACGAGAGGGAAAAGAGCGAGAAATGACGGCGTGGAGAGGGGAGTCCATTGCCCCACTCTCTCTGTGGGCGGTTTGGCCACCTCGTCCAACCAGAGCCGTTTTGGGCAGCGTGGGCAAAACAGGGAGGCGCAGCATTGGGGCGCAACTTAGTATGATTATGTAATCACCAATGTGATAACAGTCCAGCGTGCAGCAGCGGTGGTAAGGCATGCCAGCGCAATTAGCATAGACAAATACGGCGACATGCAGGCAGGGTGGGCAGTACGAGTATAGCTTTGCATAGTCTTGTAAGAGGCAGAGATCACAAAATATTCCGTCCCTTGTGGCGCTGTTTGCGAGTACGAATAGTACGGCTGGATACTGAACACGGCAGCAATCAGACCATGTGTCATGCTGATTTGTTATTAGCACTCGAGAGAACTACTCGTACGTGTTCTGCCGTCCGTCTAGCCAGCCTGTCTGGCGTTTAAGCAAATGCCTGCACGCCCGTGATGGCACGGCCGATGATGAGACTGTGGATGTCGCTCTGGCCCTCGTACGTCTGGGTGACGTAGAGGTTGGCGACGTGGCGGCCGATGGCGTATTCGTCGCTGACGGCGTTACCGCCAAAGATCTCCTGCAGGACGCGGGCTCCCTGCAGGGCGCGGTCGCAGTTCTGGCGCTTGACCATGCTGATCATGTCGGGTACGGCCGAGGCGCTGGCGCCGGTGGCGGCATCCTTGGCGCGGCCAACCTGGATGGCGGCGAGGGTGCCGTAGGCGGCATCAGTGGCAGCATCGGCGAGCTTTTTCTGGACCAGCTGGTAGCGGGCCAGCGGGTTGCCGCGGAACTGGGTGCGCTCGAGGGCGTAGGTGCGGGCGCGCGCGATGCAGTCCTCGAGCGCGCCCATGACGCCGAGCGCGATGCCATAACGGGCGTGGTTGAGGCAGGTAAAGGGTCCACGGAGACCCTCGCCGTGCGGCAGCAGGTTGGCGGCCGGCACGGGGCAGCGGTCGAGGTGGATCATGCCGGTGATGCTGGCCCGCAGGCCGGTCTTGTTCGCGATTTTGGGCGTCTCCAGCGTGCCGGGCGGGCAGTCCTTGCGCTCGACCAGGAAGCCGCGGATCGTCTTCTTGGGCTTGCCGTCAGCTCCGAGCTTGCCCGAGGTCGGGTCGGCCAGCTTGGCCCACACCAGCAGCACGTCCGCGATCGGGCTGTTGGTGATCCAGGTCTTGGAGCCGCTGAGCTGATAGTAGCCCGGTCGTGTCGGATCTGCCGTCGCCGTCGTCTCCAGCGAGCCCGGATCGCTGCCGTGATTCGGCTCCGTCAGCCCAAATGCCCCCAGCAGCTCGCCACGCGCCATCGCCGGCAGGAACCGCTCCTTCTGCTCCTCACTGCCGAACTCGTAGATCCCGCCCATGGCCAGGCTTGACTGCACGCTCATGCCGGACCGGTAGCCCGAGTCGACGCGCTCGACCGCCCGCGTGATCAGTGCTCCCGCCACCGTCGACACGCCCGCACAGCCGTAGCCCTGGATCGTGGCACCCAGAAGGCCCAGCTGGCCCATCTCCTGCAGGATCGCCTTGTCGTAGTGCTCGTTTCGATAGGCCTCTTCGGACGCATTAACACGGCTTGCTCAGGCACGACGGGGGGTGGAGACAGGACAGAAAAACACGCCTCGCGTGAGGCAAGGGAGCATCATGAGATTGTGTAGGGAGAAAAACACGGACACACACCCAGAACGCGCGGCGCCAGCTTTTCCTGGCAGTAGCGCTCGGCTGTCTCTGAAATGGCCTGCTCCTCGTCCGTAAGCAGGGTCTTGGAGGCGAGCGGATCCTGCCAGTCAAAGGCGGACACTGGTGCAGAATAGCAGCGTCTGGCGGCAGAGGGCGCTTGGCGGAGCCAGCAGCCGGCGTAGCGACGGCCTAGAAAGCGAGACATGGCCTTAGAAGCGCAAGGGCAAAGGTGAAACGACAGCTCGACAGAAAGGAGGCGATCAGAACGGAAAGAGAGAGCCGGACAGGCACGGCGCATCCACGCTTCACTGCATGGAATCACCAAGCTTTACATCGGCGAGAGAATACAGGCTAAAATGCGGAGCAGCCCTGAGCCGAGGCTGACTAACAGGTCTGAGCCGAACCACAGCCGACAATCGGACAGTCCTTGCTGGTCGGAAGCTCAGCTCGCATCAGAGCTCCGTCTAGACGTCGACGCGTTACGTCAACGGCAGGCAGAGATGGCCTGCTTTTTTGTGTCTTGGTTCTCTGCTCGCTGACGGAAGGAGGGGTCACAGAGTGGACGGTGAGACGGAAGGGACGACCAACAGTCGATGCACCCTCGTGCTATGTAGAGAGGGAGGCAATGACGAATACAGCCGTGCCACAGACATCTTTCTCCTTTTAAAACATCGTCTTCCTAGTTTCGTGTTCTCCTTCTCATCCATCCCTCCCAATCTGCCACATCCCCCCCGCTCTCCACTCTTTCACGACGATCGAGGCGTTATGGCATTCCAGGGCCTGACCGCTGCCGCTAAATCTAGGAAACGCCATTCCTCGCCTAGGCTGTGCACCACGCGTTGGGCCTCTTTACCACGGCCCTTTTTCCTTCCTTTTCGAAGCTCTGCATGCCAGCGAGCCCAGCCTCCCTGGCCCTGGGCCCTGAAGAATGGACTCGACTGCACGGGAACGCGCACGACTCGCGCCCCGCCTGGCATGGAGCCAGCCCCTGGACCGGATGGCCCGCCCTCCAGCATGGCTGCCCGCTCGAGAGCCGTGGTCAGGCCTTGCCCCCCCCTGAAATCTGGCACCGCTCTGCATTCTTCGTCGTGGCATCCCTTCTCTGACAAGGCCGTCTGATTGGCTGCTGCCCTCACCGACACACACCCAACTGCCTAAACAGGCAGTTTTCTCTGGTGTCTAGATCTACTGGCTTCTCGCTGGGACGAGAGTTCCGGTTCGGCCTCACAGATCTGGGCTGAGAGGATTACATCGCCCCGTAAAGGGGTGGTTGGGTCCATCGAGAACCATTCGAGATGTTGCATGGACCTTGCCTCGAGCTGGGATACATCAGGACTCCCTTTCCTCTCCCTTTGTATCCTGTCTCCCTGGCCTTCATCAAACACCGAGGGACTGGCCGCTGGCTCGTTGATATATCAGCCACTTTACCATTGTCCTCCTATTTCGCCATTGACCTCACCTCACCTTGCCTCTTCCGACTTTCTCGACTCGCTTCCACCACTCTCATCTATCCAACGTTGTCTGGCCACCACTCCTTTTGAGCCATCTTCAACTTACACTAGATTCCGCTCTCTTCCGGCTCCCGCATTGCGCTGTCTTGCATTCTCTGCCTTAAACGCAAAAATGTCTGCTACATTCTCAGTATCCTCGTTTCTGCAGCTCGCTGTCATTGCTCTGCTGGCAGTGCCACACGGCGTTCTGGCAGACACCAGCCTTGGCTGCGTGAGCGTGAGCTCCAAGTTTGCAGAGACCTTCACTTTAACCGCCAACGGCCCGACGGCCTGCCAGGAGAAGTGCACCGCAGCCGGTCACGCATACTACGGCTTGGCTGAACAGCAAGTCTTTTATTTCTGTTTGTGCAGACTCTTTTCTGGTCTTTACTAACTAGTCAGATTCTGCGTGTGTGCCTCTTCTGAGCCGACGATCGAGAAGACGTACGACTCCTCAGCCTGTTCATTCACTTGCCCGTCACCGTATGAGGCCTACACATGTGGTGGTGAGGACTCGAGCACGTTTGATTTCATTTACAACCTTTACTACAGCGGGTCCAGCTCGTCGACTACGAGCTCCACCACAGCTGCAGCACAGACGACGTCTGGAACGTCTACTACGCCATCCTCAACGGCCACTAGCACTGTCACTTCAGCCACGCCGACAACCAGCAGCCACAGCACGACTGTCACCACTGCCGACGCTGTTAGCACCCCCAGCACAATTGCCGGCACTACATCAAGCATTCCCAGTAGCTCCACCGGTACAATTACCAGCATCAGCAGCACTAGCAGCGAGACGTCGATCACCGGACAGATCTTCCAAACCACAGAAACCACAGCAGGTGGCTCCAGCACATCCACTGTGCCACGGACAGTCTTCGTCTCGACGGTGGACTGCAGCTGCACAGATGACGATGTGGCTACGTCCACGACCTCTACCCTAACGGTCGAGGAGACCGTGGCCTGCAGTGAAGGTGAGACTAATTGCACAAGCAGCATATTCAGCACCACAGCCTCGGCTACGGCCACTGCCACATTTTCATCCAATGGCGCAACCACTACCACCAACTCCACAAGCACTACTTCCGTCGCATCTTCCTCAGCAACTGCCTCAAGCACAGTTTCCACTGCCTCTATCCTGGCAGCTTCCGTGAACACCACTTCTACCGTGTCAAGCCTGACTACTGCCTCAAGCACCTTTTCCACTGCTACTCTAGCTACTTCCATAAACACCACTTCCGTCGCCTCTACCAGCAGCTCTTCCAGCACCTTCCTCTATCCCAATACCACGTCTACCACCTTGGGCACCAAGAGTTCGTCTACCACTTCTGTAGCAGAGAGCAGTTCTATGGCAGACCCCAGCTCAGTGAAAACTACTAGTGTGTTGCAATCCACCCCCAAAGCGGTGGAAAGTACATCAGCTTCGACAGAGGCGACTGTCACTGGAGCGGTGGAAGCTGCAGGCAAGAACCCGTCATCTGAACCAGTCTTCTCTCTGACGTCTGCCACATCTTCTCCCGTCTCTGCCGCCTCTTTTATCAACTCTTCTCTGACGGTCACATCCGCATTCCTCTCTTCTTCTTTCATCACTTCCACCATCTCTTCCTTGGGACCTGTCTCCTCGTCCTCGCTTGAGACTATAACCTCTGAAGTCACCATCACCATCACTGAAGATGCTACCACCTACACCACCCGTACTCGGCACCTTGCCGTGATCACTCTGGCTGCCTCTGATCCCACCGATCTGGTTTCTGATCTGGGTCTTACCGTCACCTCCACCTCCACTGTCACTTCTACTTCTGACTGTCCATCCGATTACACTGTCACTGTCACCTCCACTTCCACCTCCACTCCAGTGGTAGCTTCCACTTCAACGTCTATTCCAGAGTCTACCCTAAGTTCCACTTCCATTTCAGCCTCCACCTCGTCTACATACACCTCAGCATCTACTTCCACGTCGACGTCGACGTCTACGTTTACGTCCATGTCAACGTTTACTTCTACATCTACATCCACCTCTGCTTATACCTCAACATCTACATCCACCTCTACCTCGACATCTACATCTATCTCCACTGCTACCTCTACCTTCACCTTTGCCACAACCTCTACCGCAACCTCGGATTCCTCCCTCATAGTCGTGGCAGCATTCCGCAAAAACCCCGTAGCCCATGCCGCAGAGAAAATCACGATCGCCACTACATTTACTCGTGACTCAACCATGATCTCTGACCCTGTCACTGCCACCAATTCCGCCACCATTGAACAAGTTAACCTTGATTCTACCTCCTCTCCCTCTGATCCTATTTCCGACGCCTGCTCCAGCGCTTTAGATGACACTAGTGTTGTCACCGCCACCTCTGTCCTCACAGTCGTCCCCTATATTCTGACCGCTGCCTCTCCTACAACCGTCTCTGTTTCAGCCCCTTTAGCTTCTTCAGCTCCCCCAGCTGTAGCAACGTCAGCTTTGACTTTCTGGGGTCCCACAGACGCAACTCCAGACACCGTCCCAAGCTCCGTGTCTGTCTTTGCTATGAAAGTCATACTGACAACAGGCCTTTCAGCCTCTGCAACAGCAGCAACAACGGCAACCACGTTCTCCAAGGTCCTGCACCCAGGACCCTTCACCAACATCTCCTCGCCCGTTGTGCCAACGGTCGTTTCAGGCGTGGCAATTTCGAGCAAAGGAATTGTCGCTTCTACTGGTGTTATCGTTGCGACTGGACAATCCACAACGGTGGTTATTGCGAGTGGCAGTCGCACCATGAGCAAGGGCTCGCTCCTGCTAAGTGTGCTTGGCTCTGTGATAGCAGCCTTGCTAATGTAGGGTTGCGTTTGATACTGCTTTAGACTTGGTGGGGCGTTTAGGTTCTCTTTTGCACTTTCTGCACTTATCCATCTGTACATTTTGGGCTCATGGGTGCCGGCATTCCATATCACTATGGTGCCGGCTCTTCTGCATTTTCTGTCAATATCTTTTGTTATACAAAACGGAGTCTAGGGTCGTAGTTTAGGTTCGTCATGAGGGAATGAGGCCATTGAAGCATTTATATCCTTTAGCCTGACAGGCAACATGACTGAATGGATAAAAAACGAATATCAAAATGGTTGGTAGCTTATAGCCGAATCCCGAGGCATCTCGCGAGGCTGCATCTGGGTCTATCCGTTATGATTGGACGAGCTCACAGAGGCAGTTCGAGGCGGATTGCCCAATTCGAACGCGCTTCTTGCTAGCTAACTCCGCACTTTCCTAAACTAGCCTTGGCTTGATCGGGATCGCTGTCTCATCAAGTTCCGGATGTCGTTTTATGCCGTTTCTGCAGCGGTGCCTCAAATCCCAACATTGTGCGTCCTTTGCGTCAGTCTCACGCTACGGTCGACAACACACACACGCAGCTGATCGATTACAGCTTCTCTGGCCAGACAGCTGTGTCATTGCCGCGGCCCAACGGAGAGAGGGCCGACAAGAACGATAAGGAGTCTCGATTTATGATATCACATCTGGTATCCCTCTTGCTTCCCCTCCTCTTTTCTCTTCCCACCTCTGTATTTTGCCCGTCCGACTTTTCAAAGCTCCTTCTTTGTATCAAATTGTCAACGCCAACATATGAATTTTGTCACGATGAAAGTTACCGAGGTAGGCTGCAGTTCAATCCTTATCATCCTCCCTTGACTCTATGCTTACCCCGTGATGCCGGCCACAGCTCTACGTCTACCCGGTCAAGGGTCTTCGCGGCATCCCCGTCCTGACCGCGACGATTGGTCCGCAGGGCGTCCGCCACGACCGCCACTTTATGCTGATGACGTCACATCGCTGCAAGACCGGCTTCACCAAGATGCAACTGGCCGGGTTTCCCGAGTGCGCGCTCTTCTCGCAGGAGCTGGACGGCGACAGTGTGGTTGTGCGATACCATCCGCCGGACGCGCTGCAGGGTCCGACGACAATGTCACCGGTGGCCCCGCCGCCTCTCCGCATCCCGCTCGACCCGTCGGTGGCCGAGCTCGCGACTTGGCCGACGAACCTGCACGGCAGCCCGGCCACTGGCTGCCGGATGGGAGAGACGTACGACGCTTGGTTCCGCGCCTGCTTTGGCTTCGACGTCTTGCTCGTGTACATTGGCAGCGGGCAGCGTCCGGTGCTGGGCGAGACGTTGAAGCCGAAAAAAAGGGAAAGCCGCGTGGGGGGGAGGCCCAATCGGCACCTCTCGGCTTGGCTGCTGCCGGCACTTCTGCCAGGCGGCTGGCTGGTGCTCCTGCTCGGCGGCTGGCTGGCACTGCTCGCGTACGTGGCGGCCGTCACGGGCGTGTTGGGGGCCCGTTTGCACGGCAGCGGCTCGCCGACAGACGACCCAGCGGACCCGGCGGACCCGTGGCTGACATTCACCGACTGCGCGCCGCTGCTGGTGACATCCGAGGCATCGGGTGCCAACATGAGTGCGCGAATGTCGGCCGGAATGGCGGTCCCCATGTACAAGTTCCGACCTAATATCGTGGTGGACGGCGAGGCCGCTTGGTCGGAGGATTTTTGGGCGGAACTGCAGATAACGAGCAGCGACGAGGCCGCAGACGGCCAGGGTAACCATGTCGACAAGGCCCGTGACTTCCGGCTGCTGCTGACGAGCAACTGTGCCCGCTGTACTTCGCTCAACGTGGACTATGGCACAGGTGCGCCGGCGGCTGGCGAGCTCGGCGAGGTGCTCAAGCGGCTCTCCAAGGACCGACGCGTCGACACGGGCATCAAATACTCGCCCGTCTTCGGCCGCTACGCCTTCCTTGATGGCAGCCGCGATGTGGTTGTCGCCGTGGGCGACTCTGTCGACGTTGTTCGGCGAAACAAGGAACGCACTGTTTGGGACTGGCCGAGCTTGTGAGACTCGTAAGACTTGTGCGAATTGCGAAAAGAAGTGCGGGTCATGGTCAGGGTCAAGTCATCTCATCATACAATCGAATCCAATTGTTCTGTCGCGAATAGACGACACAGGAAAATAGGTATAGAACGCAGAGAATCAAGCTTCCACAACGAAAGTCAACTACAGAAGCATTACAAACAGAAGTAGTACAACACAGCAAGCTTCCCTTTCTTCCTTCCTTTCCGGGAAAAAAGGGAACAGGCAAGCACCACCCACAAAAAGCCGACGCTAGCCGGACTTGGTGACAACCTCCTCAGAGCCGTTGGCACCGCTGGCCGAACCAGACGTCTTGTTGGCAGTCTCGGTCACGACACCCAGCGGCTCCTCCGCGATAGGGCGGTGCTTCAGGTCGGCCATGCCGTAGATGACGATCGAGACGATGCCGAGAAGGGCAGACAGCACGGAGAAGGCCATGGCCGCCTCACCACGCGGGGTGAAGCCGTTCGGAATGGTCTTGGGCTGCTTGTTCTGGCCGGACAGATCGGTAAAGTCCTTGGCGTTGGCAGCAGCATTGCCGACGGTGGGCACAGAGGCAGCAGCACAGGCAGCGTAGTGGTCCTCGGGCACGCTGATGCGCGTGGCCAGGAGCTCGGGTGCCTCGATAAACGTCATGGCCAGGCCGGACGCTAGATGCCAGTCGATGTGGCAATGGAAGATCCAGACGCCCGGGTTGTCGGCGCGGAAGCGCATGACGGCGTAGCCGTTGGGCGGCAGCACCAGAGTGTCGCGGCGAATGGGCTTGTCGGGAAAGGCCGTGTGGTTGGCCGGATCATAGGCGATCGGGCTGGCATCGGCTAACGACGCAAAGTCGGGGCCCAGAGCTGGCCAGCGGTCCAGCACCTGGAAGGTGTGGCCGTGCAGATGGAAGGGGTGCGACCCGCTGTCGCCGTTGTTCAGCACGATCTGCACCACCTGGTTGTGGCCGAGCACGATCGGATGCGTGTACTCGCCATAGATCACGTCGTTGGTCGCCACTTCGGAGCCGGCCGACAGCGCCGAGTACAGCGTCGGCACCTTGGGCTGCGTGTACGTGATGTTGTCCAGCATCGCGTAGTTATAGCCCGTCATCAGGTTGACCATGTACACCGTCACGTTGACGATGACGTCCGGCTCCGGCAGCAGCTCCTCGCCGTCGTACGGCAGCAGCACCATATCGTCAATGGGCACCAGGTCGTCGCTGACGGCAACGGTGATGTTGGCCGGCTCCAGCGACGAGTCATTGTTGTACACCAGCCAGTTCGTGCCGTTCAGCTGCAGCGTCGTCGGGATGCTGTCCAGCAGGTCCTGGTCGGCCACCGTGACGATCTTCCAGAAGTCGTCCATGTCGGCCGGTGTCGTCACCAAGATGCCGTAGCGCTGGGCAATGCCCAGGTACAGCGTGTCGGCCACCTGCGGCTCCGTGTACACACCGTCCACCTCGACAACGGTAAAGTTCTGGCCCTCAATGTAAAAGTACTGGCCGACAAAGGCGCCTGTGTTCAGGATGCGCATCAGGTACGTCGTGTTGGCCTTGACCGGGTACGACGCATTCAGCTTGTCGTTCACGAGGAAGGCATCCGGGATCGGCTCGGCACCGCTGGGATTGTATAGCGACATGAACGAGTCAGCCAGGTCCTCGACCAGGTCGTGATACCAGTCTGTCAGCGTGAAGATGAGCTCCTCGTCGTAGGTGAAGGGCGCCTCCGGATCACGGATGATAAAGGCCTGGCGGTAGCCGTCAGGGTAGCAGTAGTCCGTGTGGCAGTGATACCAGTACGTGCCGTTCTGCGTGGCCGTGAAGTTGTATGTGATGGATGAACCAGGCGGCACGGGGCATTGCGTCACCATGCTGGCGCCGTCCATCTCGGTGGTGCCGTTCTGGAACATGCCGTGCCAGTGGATCGACGTGCTCTTGTCGCCCAGATCGTTGTGCATGTTGACCACCACCTGGTCGCCCGTCGTGACCTCGATGATGGGCAGCGGCCATTTGCCGTTGATGCCGATCACCTTGCGGTCAAACTCGCCGTCAGGATTGACCATCACCCACGAGACATTGAAGTCGAATGTGACCAGCTCGGCCAGTGCCGACGTGGCCATGGCCAGGACGGCCGCCAATGAGGATCGCATCCGGGCTGGGTGTGGTAGAAGAGGGAAAGAGGAGAAAGAAGAGGGAAGAAGGAGGAAACAAAGAGAGGGACAGACGGAGAGGACGAAAGGAGACGGGCGGACGGAGAGAGGATGAAGAAGATAAGGGAAAGGGAGGAGGAAGAGCAAAAGGGAAGAGAAAAGGAAGTAAGAAGGTATCACAAATAAGAGGAGTTGAGTATTGAAGGTGGGATGTTTTTTCCTTTTTTTTTTGTCCTCCTACTCTTCTACTGGCTGGGAACATCTAAACAGACAGATCAGATAAAATGACTGGAGCCATAATGGGTGAGGGGGGGGACACGACAGAAGAGAGCTTCCATAGCTGGCACGTAGGCAGACCAATCTTGGACAGAACAAGGGTCTCGGAAGAAGCGCCAGAGGTATCACGATGTACCTCTTTTGTCACTGCCGTTGCGTATATGTGGGACCAGCCACCGGAACCGGAGCTTCCAAATTTCCTCTGACGAGCCCATGGTCCTCCGCATTGTCTTGGCGCCGATGGATCGATTTGCATCAGTTCTTTGCACCTCGCTTTCCTTTCCCCGGTCGCACAGAGTTTTCCGCCCCGAAATCCGATGTGGGCGAGCAGCTTTGCCTGAAGGGCGAGCAAGAGATAGCAAAGAGGGAAAATTTTGGAGGACGAGAAGCTAGTGCCGGCTACCCGGCTAGCTCACTAAGCGTATGCGGGATCCGTTGAGAAGGTGGTGGAGAGAAGAAAGACGCACTCAGACGGCACTAGCTCGCACCACTAGCAAAAGAGAGGGCCGAAATGCTGGTTTTGCACGCATGTGCTCGTATCGCATTGCTCTTTCCTCTTCGACCAGCTCTGGGCCAACCAGAGCGGCTAGGACGGCCAGGCCGGTTGTTCCTTCCCCCCTCCCTCACATCGTCTTGCCCGGTTTTCTTTCGTCTCTCCCGCCTCGTCTGTCTAAGTTCCCACGCCACATTTCGGTCTATTCTGCCATGTACGTAAAGGCGGTCTTGGCAAGTTGGCATCTTGGCATCTTTCGACACACAGAGGGTGTAGGGTATCGGCGCATGCGAGGTCGTAAGACCCGGGCTGCGCGTGCCATGGCCAGGCCTAGAAACGGCCTGACGACTTCTTGGCGGCATGCTCGAGGAAAAGAAGCATAACGAGCCCTACTATGCCGCAGCGGGAAGGCGCCCTGCATATCAGCAGCTTGTCTGTTGGCAGGAAAAAAAGGCCGTTTTCTTGGCCCGAGGCAACGATAGAGGGACAGAAAGAGGCAGAGATGAGCAGACCGAGCAGGGGATGCCACATGGGCATGGTCCCATCCCGCGGAACGGATAGTCTGGCATAGAGCGTGCGCTGTCTTGGACGACTCTTGTGTGAGGCTTTTCAGCAGCAGCACGGCGGGTCCGAGGTCGGGAAGGCACACACGCGGAGCTGCTACGATGCATGTATGTACTGCCAAGGAAGCGGGTCGGCACAATGCTCGTATGGGCGATATGCAGCCGCGGTTGTCTTCCGATTTCTATCTATCCCGTGGATCTCGCTCTGCCTCTCGCTTGCGCAGCCGTGAATTTGGACATGTTTTCCTTCTTTCGTCCCCAACAGACTGCATCTCTCTTGTTCGCGCCCTGCGTATATGCATGGTATTTTGTTCTCTCGCCGATGCTCGCCACGAGAGCAGCCGATGCCCGGCCCCAAAGCCACGACAGCTTTGCTGTGGCAAGTTTCACAGTTACGGATCAGATAACTTTAATGGGGCGCATCCTCTCGGAGCTTAGCGCTGCAGCGGATTGCATGGCAACGTAAGATACGCACACGTAACCCGAACCGGCTTGGGAGGGGTCCGACGCACCAATATGGTTTTTTAATCAGACGATCAGATAATAAGAGATTATTGATTGATAGTGGCGCGCCAGGCGAGATGCGGACGACGCACATCACCCCTGGGGCTTGGCGGGTGTCTGTCGGATCCTGTCACGGCTCGTAGAGCATTGTGCTTCGTATGGCAGAGCTGCTGTCGGCAAAACAGGGCCCATTGACTCAGCAGTGGCGCCGAAACCCGGCAGCTGCGACGCGCCAAGAGGGGGGCCTACAGGCACCGTTACGTATAGCGGCCAAGCTGCCCCATATGCGCCATTTGTTGTGTAGCAGCGGTTCGCCAAGACATTACAGCGGACAATCGACAGAACTGCAGAAAAGGGTGAAAAAGGAAGAAAAAACAAGAGGTGGCCAAGAGGGTTGGCGCGCTTGGTGTTGCTTGTTTGCCTGGCCCGCCTCATTGCCCTACGACGTACACAAGATACACATGGACATCTTATCTCTGGGCAAGGGCCAACTTCGGTCGGAATTTGGGGAGATCATGGTCGCCTAACTCCTCCATAGCGTCTGTATGGAAAAAGTCCAGTACGATTTCCATCTCTGGCGGTCGGCCTGTGAACATGGCAGTTGTGGCAGCAGCTGTGTCCGTGCAGCACCTTCTCAAAACGTCTGGGACCTCGAGAAAAGTACAACGCAAGGCATGGTAGCGTAGGAAATGGGTCCCCTCTCATCGGTGCGGCACATTATCAATCGCATTGTGAGAGATAATCAGTCGTCCTCTACGATAAATTGCAATAAAAGCGGTCCAAACAGGCAAGGCGCGCTGACGTGGGCCGCCTTCCTCCGTAGTACGGAGGTAGCGCCGGCCTCGTTTCCCGTTTTTCGTCCTTTACGCCTCGATGCATCGTCGTCCTTCCTCTTTGCACGCCTTCTGCCTCTCTTGTCTTAGCTTCCTTTTCCGCATTGTCTTGCCCGCCCTGCTCCCGATTACTGCTGCTCGTCTTCTGATGCTCCACCTTTTGGGACTTTGTCGCAGACACCGCGAAATGATCCAGATTTGGTCGGCTTGCAGAATTTTCTTAGTCTTGTCACCTATCACAGGAAATCCCCTCCCCCCCCTTCTCTCTCCTCTCTCCACCCCCGGTCCTCCGTTCACTCGGCTGGGGCGCCTCTGGTGTAAAAACCCTCTAGCTCGTCCCAGTCGTCTGTTCTTCGTCGCTGCATCTACGTTCCGCTTCGTCTTTGAGCTCGTGTGGCATGAGCAAGCTAGACAATCCACACCGTAGCCCACTTCCCACTCGCAATGCCCTTGTAGCTTCCGGCTAATAGCTAACTTTGGGTTCGACTCTTCACCAGTAGCTCCTCCGCAAGGCGGAGACTGCAGCTGCACCGTGTCTTGCCTCGACTTGTACCTCCATGTACCTCTGTAGTCTCGCTCGGTTCTCCATCGTGGCCTTCTGTCTGATGCCTGTGGTTTTATTTTTTTTACTTTTACTTCATCTCTCTCTCTCCTGCCACGCTTATCTCGTCTAACCTCTCCGTTCCATCTCTACACCCACACCCTCTTCCCCCTTCTTCTTCTCTTTTCCCCCTCCCTCTCCTCCCCCAAATCATTATCTACCAGATCGTACCATTCGTTTCTCGTTCGACCCGTCTCGAGATCGCGTTCTTTTCCATCCCTCCTCCTTCCTGCCTCCTTCCCTTCCTTCTTCCCTTTTCCCATCTTATCTCTCCATATGCTCTCCCTCGATCTCTCCCGTGATCTCTCTCTTCATCCATAGCTCCCCTCCTGTTGTTAGCTCCAGCAAAACCGTCTCAACCGGCACCATCACAAAAGACGAACTCGATCCGTCTGTCGTGTCACCACTACCGCCATGGGCAAGAACGTGTTCGCCGTCCAGGTGTTCTTCATCGTCTTCCGAGAAGTTCTGGAAGCCGGCATCATTCTCTCTGTCCTCCTCTCTTTCTTGAAGCAGGTCATCCGACCGACGCAAGATGAAGCGTTATATAAACGATTAGTACGGCATGTCTGGTTGGGGGCAGGCGCCGGTATATTCTGTTGTCTCTGCATTGGTGGCGCCTTTATCGGCGTGTTTTACGGCCTCGGCCACGACATCTGGTCCAAGTCCGAGGACCTCTGGGAGGGCATCTTCTACATTATCGCCACCGTCATCGTCACGGCCATGGGTCTGGCCCTGCTGCGCGTCAACAAGATGCGCGCCAAGTGGCAGGTCAAGATCGCCCAGTCGCTGATCAACAAGAAGTCCATCCGCGAGGGTGGTCTGCGTGCCTACTTCCACCATTTTGGCCGTCGCAACGTCATGTTCATCCTGCCCTTCATCACGACTCTGCGTGAGGGTGTCGAGGCGGTCGTGTTCGTCGGTGGCGTCTCGCTCAACTACCCGGCCACGTCCTTCCCTTTGCCTGTCGTGACCGGTTTCATCGCTGCCTCGCTGATCGGCTACCTGTTCTACCGCGGCGGAAACGTCATGTCCATCCAGATCTTCCTCATCTTCTGCACCAGCGTGCTCTACCTGATCGCCGCCGGCATGTTCAGCCGCGCCATCTGGAGCTTCGAGAACTACAAGTACGTCAAGGGTGTCGGCTCCGACGTGTCTGAGCAGGGTTCCGGCGACGGCTCCTACAACATCCGCCAGGCCGTCTGGCACGTCAACTGCTGCAACGCCGAGACCGACAACGGCTGGGACGTCTTCAACGCCATTCTCGGCTGGGAGAACACCGGCACGTACGGCTCCGTCATCGGCTACTGCTGCTACTGGCTGCTCATCATCGTCTCCGTCATTTTCCTCATGTACGAGGAGCGCACCGGCTACCTGCCGGGTGCTAAATTCGGCCTCAACGTTGCTGCCAAGATCCCTGGCCTTCGCGGCTGGGCCAAGAAGCGCATCTTCGCCCATGAGCACGGCATCGATGTTGACGAAATCGTTCAACAGGTCAACGCCGAGCATTTGGCGTAGGCATAAGCTCGTCTGCCCGCCTGCTTTCCTTGGTTCGCAGCTTGGTTGGATCGCTGTATGTGGCCCAATACTCGGGAATTCAATCCTCTTTCCCCTCGTCGAGTTCAAATCCCCCCCCTTCTTCACGGTCCTCCGTACTCTGCATACTGCCGTCGCTGAATTGCCTGTAGTATCTGTCCTGCCACGGCAGACATATCTCTCATGGCAGACGGTAAAGACTTGGACCGTCTGTTTTTATTTCACCCTTTACCCCTTTCTTTATGTTTTGCTTTTTGTGGCTGGGGGAAAAGTTTTTAATACCACTGTTGCTGTTTGTCGCGAGGTGTATTTCATGCAAAGTCGGGTTGGGATGAAATACGAGAACGAAATACCAATGACAATGTGCGAGTCATGCTGCACGTGAGCTGCGAGCCCGTATTGATGTTGCCCCACAACGAGCGAAGCTTTGTCTCCCGGCTTGGCCTTCTTGAGATCGCCAGCGAAGCGATGGACAGGGACATGATTCGCCTCCTCGACCGAAACAGTGTTTGAGAGTGAGATCTGCAAATTGCAGGTCGGCGAAGGTCACGTGATATAGGACAGGTCTTTACATAGTACGTCGTACGCGTGCCAAAGCCGCGGCAAATCCCAGCAGCCTGGCCAACCACGAAGCTGACGTGTGCATTTCAGCCGTTTTACGTCTGATTCGACGCCAGGAATTTCACGCCGTAAGCGCTTCGCTCGGCAATGGTCTTCCAGACTTCTTACATACCCTGTACTCCGTATGGTGCAGCAATACGAGTACCCCGTAAGATACGAGCTGCCCGTGCTGTTTGTGACGAGGTCATACTTTAACAGCGTTAAGCTAACCGGCAGTCAACACCTGTTATGCCGCAACTTGGTCCTAGCAGGCGCCTGCAAATTACGGCGCTAGTCTCCAAACGGCTACAGCTGTGACGGCCTCCCAGATTTCCATTGTTCAGTGCAACCCGTCTCCCCATTTTCGTTCTGGGACCCTCTCTTCACTCCTTTCCTGTATTAACCAGGCCATCATCGCTATCTGACTCCATCCGATCAGACTCCATCCGCGGTTTTCCACTCGTTTCCCCTCCCCCATCGGCGCCTCTCCACCTTCTTTTTTCTTATCCTCTGTCTTGACAACTCCAAAGTATCGTGCGACGAGCTTCAACTAGTCAATCGAACGAGCGATCGGACGTCCGTGGAAGCAACAAGCAGCTGCAACACGCCCCAAGCCAAGGTCTACGCAGCACTCGTCACGTCCTGGCCATGTCCAGCAGGTTCTCAGAGTGACGTCGTGAACATCAGAACAGCTGCATCTTATCCTTACCCGAAACCTTTCTCCTCTCTACCCAACGACAGGATGGCGTCTACACGCACCAGTCTGTTGCTTCTTGGCGCATATGCAGCCACGGCCAATGCAGAGGCGCTCAGTGTCGACCTGTCATCCGCATGTATGCATTTCCTCCTCCTGCTTGCTTCCATTTATCTCTTCTTTTTTTCTCATTTCGTCGTGATGCCGACCTGTTCGGTATCGGCGGCTCAAAGTGGACGCGTCATCTCGGTCCCGCTGTATGGCTTCAGCCTGAGCACCGAGCGTTCAGCCCCATTTGCACCGGCAATACAGAAGCACGTCAGGCTAATCGTATACGTAATTAGCATCCATCAAAACAGCCATGAGTACCGTTGCTTACAACCTCATGACATATTACAAGGGCAATTTGTCTGGTCCGTCTCCCTCAGAGCTACACTTGCACGAGGAAAAACAAATTCTAACAATGCGCAGGCAACACACCTGGTATTCTTCCCGGTCCACCCCCAGCCGGTGACTACTACTGGTGGGAGGGTGGCGCACTCTGGGGCACCATGGTCGACTACTGGCATTACACGGGCGACACGACATACAACAACCAGACGGAATATTCGCTTGTCTTCCAGGCTGGCGCCCCTGAAGACAAGTACATGCCTGCCAACTGGACAGCGTCTCTTGGAAACGATGACCAGGGTTTTTGGGGGATGTCAGCAATGCTGGCTGCCGAGACGAAGTTCCAGAACCCGGGTTCGTCTGACCCGCAGTGGCTGGAGCTGGCCCAGGGCGTCTTCAACTCGCAAGCTGCGCGTTGGTCTACAGACTACTGCAACGGCGGTCTTCGCTGGCAGATTCCGCTCTCCAACAACGGATACAACTACAAGAACAGTATTGCCAATGCTATCTTCTTCAACATCGGCGCCCGTCTAGCGCGCTACACGAAGAACGACACATATGCGCAATGGGCCGAGACGACGTACAACTGGACAAGGGGGGTGGGCTACATTGATGACAACTGGAACATTTACGACGGTGGCCATGTCGACGAGAACTGCACGGACATCAACAAAGCGCAGTACTCGTACGTGCCTGCGATTTTTATCCAGGGCTGCGGTTTCATGTACAACTACGTAAGTCTTGTTCACATCCCTCTGCTCTGGCACTCGGTGCCCACTGCGCTCTCTGGCTAACGCAGCTCTTCCAGACCGATGGTAGCGAATTGTGGAAAAATCGCATTATCGGACTGGTCAACCGCACGCTGGAAGTCTTCTTTCCCAACAACACGGCAGTCGAGCTGTCATGCGAGCTGACATCGAACATCCAGTGCACGACGGACATGCTGTCCTATAAGGGCTACCTGCACCGGTGGTTGGCACAGGTAACACAGGTTGCGCCCTTTATCCACGACACGATCATGCCGGTGCTCAAGGCGTCGGCTGAGGCAGCTGTGAGGAATTGCGACAGCAACGGCACGTGCGGCTTCCGGTGGACGACGGCATCGTACGACGACGACACGGGCGCTGGCCAGCAGATGAATGCGCTGGGCGCGATGATGAGCGTGCTTCTGGACCTCGAGGCAATCAACACAGCCGTGACGAACGATACGGGCGGCACGAGCGTCGGCAACAATGCTGCCGGTACGGACAGCTCTGACTCAGTCACAACACTGTCGGCCATCACCACAGGCGACCGTGCCGGCGCCAGTATCGTGACGGTTGTGGTGGTGGCCGGCCTGACGTCAATGCTGTTGTGGATGAGCACTGGGGAGAACGAGGGGTTCCGACTGGGCGGAGCCAAGGGCAAGGGTCTGATCTGATGCGATCTGATGCGATCTGACGGGATCTAAACGATCAAAGACATCTGGGCAGGCACGCCTTCTGGGCAGGCCCAAGGCGATTAGGCCGCGTCCTTTTTGGCTCTTTTTTCGCCAGGTCCTCTCCGTGGAGGGGCGGAGAACTTTACCGGTTGCTGATTCGAACACGATATCATTTTATGTTGGGACTGTTTTGAGGTTCAATGGACACCACGGTAGCGGAGTTCTTGGGGAAAATGTTTTGCGGGTTCGTTTCCTTATATTAAGCTCGTCGGGCTGTCTTCTTTTCCCTTCGATCCTTTTTATATGTATATATATACCTTCATTCTTGTTTCATATGGATAGGGGCACGGTGGTGTCAAGATTCTAGGTGTTTTTTTTGGCTTGAAATTCAAGTACTTTCGTAGTCACCAGACCTACAGGCTTCACGTTGGAGGGCATGGTAAATAGATTGATGCCACGATTTTGTTTTTAAAGCCCAATTTGGGCGGCCTTGTTTGAAAGCAGGAGAATAATGTGGGAATACAAGAATCTTTGGAAGCTAAAGAAGACAGAAGAAGAAAAAAGAAACGAACCAAAATGTAAGCCAGAAGTGGCCTACAGACAGGCCTTGGCGGGTACTTCAGACCCGGATTATGCTTCTTGCCGTCTTCCCATCTTGCACTATTGAGCCTCCTACTGTGTTTGCTACCGGCCTGGCCGTTCTACTGGCAACCGGCCTCTCATGGTCGCAGCAAGGCTGACTGACGCCATGGCCGCCCCTGCTCCTGATCATCTTCATGCCACCGACAATCCTGTCGCGCAGGTCGCTGGCCCCTGGGCTGGACAATTTTCCTGTCGGGTGGCTGAAGGCATCTAGTGGCGATGCGCCTGGTCTGCGGGACTCTGTAGCTGTTGCAGTTGCTGTTGATGCTGCTGCAGTGGCTGCCAAAAGGGCCACGATGGCCGCCTAGGCCACGCCAGTCGAAATCCTGCTGCGTCAACAAAGCGTCTTGTATGTGAAAGAGAAGGGTGTGAGGGGAGAGGAAAAAGGAGAGGAGGGGTGAATCCAAATCCGATACATCAAAAGTCCGGAAACTATCAAATATGCGAAAGGGGAAAGGGGATATTGGAACAGGAATCGGCAGAGATAGAAGTAAGCTTTCTTGGCGATGGCACCAGCCGATGCCAAGACGCCGGCCCACCGTCTTGCCCTGCACCCCGGACTAAGTAGTGAGATGGCGCGCCCATCAGACCTGTTCGTCGGTACGTAGGAAAAGCTGGCTAATCAGCCACGCCGCGGGTGTCCTCAGATCATCACACGAGGACAGCGCGCGATAACACCAAGGCTGACGATTGGCGGCTCCGCACACAGGACGACCAAAACTGGGCTTGATGGAGGGCCGAGAGGGGTGGTAGCGAGTCTGATTTAAACCGGCCTAACGCGCGGCTTCGATTTCGTCACGCGGAGGACAAATGAGGGGATTCTCGTCACGTCTTCCAGCGAAAGATAAGGCGCTGCACGTCGGCTGGTTTCGTATTCGAAATGGGAAAGTACGGTACAGCAAGAGAAGGAACGAGGGGCGGCGTCCGCACAGCCAATGACAGGCGGGCAATTTTGTTGACTGACCTCTGTCGACACACCTGTTGACAATCCGATCCTGTGGGCTGATCTGGGCAGCTGCATCGCACGAGCACAGGCATCTATCTGTGAGATGCGTTCTGCGGCTGTTTGAGAGCTCGAAGCAGGGCTCGGTGCGGGCATACCGAGAACAGTCCGGGTGACGAGGCGGCTGTGTTCTTGCAAATACCCGCGCATTACGAGTACGAGAAGGGTTCTTGATACCTGTCGATTTTCACGCTTGTTCTCCTTCCAGCTCACAGACGCTATGACACACACATCGCTCCGGCCTTTTGCTGGGTCTGCAGCGACGCGGCCGGTCCGACCTGCAGGGCCATGCCCATGCCGGCAGCGTGGTGCCAGAGCATGTGGCAGTGCAGCAGCCAGAGGCCGGCATTGTCGAGCTGGAAGCGCAGCACGACGTATCCCATGCGCGGCACGTATACGGTGTCCTTGCGCAGGGGCGTGGCCGTGTTCATCGGACCGCCGACGGGCGCGGCGTGCTCAAACGGATTGAAGGCGTCGTATGAAGCCGCGGGCGAGCGCCACGATGCGACGACAAAGAAGGAGAAGCCGTGCTGTGTTGTCAGCATTTACTACCGACACTCTTTGATCACACACACACACACACGCTCTTTGAGCGAAGAACTCACCAGATGAAACGGATGTCCCTTCTCATCCAAATTGTTGACCACAAGGTCCATCCACTCGTCCTTGCCCGTCTGCTCGAACCAGGGCACATCCCGGACAGCTTGGCCTAGCGGAGGCGTCTCACCTGGTCTGCGCATGTGCGGCCAGCGCGAGCGGTCCAGCGCCAGCAGCGGCGGTGCGGCTGGCTCGTCCACCAGCCACGACGTGCGGTTGACCACCCCTAGCGGCACGTTGCCGTGCGAGGCGAGAATCTCGACCCGGGTGTACACGACGGCCTTTTGTGCTGTCATCAGCGGCACGGCTCCGTCCTGGACAGCGCCCTTTGCATCGGCTAGGTTAAAATGGGCTGTTGTAGCTGTGGTGGCCGGCTCAATTGCAGACGAGGCCGAGATCAGCGAGTTGTGCCAGCCCAGATGGAATGACTGCGTCCGCGTCAGGGCGAAGTTTTTTAGGTGCATGTTTCTATCCTAAGTCAGCATCCGTGCAACTGCTGTTTTCTCCCCCTCCCGGATCTGGCCTCTTACTCTCGATCCAGAGCGACAACAAGCGAGGCTGCCTTGTCGTCGCTGGCTGGCCTTTCGATCACGACGTCCATCCTCTCGCCCGGGTAGAGAATGCCCACAGATGCAGCCACAGGACTGTCGACCACAGAACCGCCACCATCGACCTCGAGGACGCGCATCTGGGCCGCACTGTGGGGGATGGCCAAGGTGAAGCCGGCCAAGGCGCTGTGGTGTTGCTTAGTCATCATTTACAAGAGACTGAAGGAACAATAGAGCCACCCTACTCACCCCGTGTTGACGACACGCAGTCGTGTTCGCTGGCCGTAGAGCGTCACGTTCGGCGCCTGGACAAGACGGCAGTCGACCGGGTTGGCTGGTACAGTCATGGAGCAGGCAAAGTAGCCCCGGCCATTGATCAAGAGGGAGTCCGGGGAGGGCTGTGCGACTGATTCAGTAGCCGATTTCCGTTTCCGTCTGTTCGCTGTTTACTCTTTTACCAAGAAGAGATCGGCCTACCTCGTTGCCAAAACTACTGTAGTCTTGGTACCTGGCCAGCACGTCCTGTGCCGGTCTGTGGTACCAGTCGCCGATGAGCAGGAGCTGCTCCCGGTCATAACTGTCTGCGGTTGTGGCTGTTGTTGAGTCCGAAGAGGGTTTATGGATGATGAGGCCACCATACAGCCCATCAGCAAGCTGGACGCCCGAGTGGGCATGGTACCTATCTGATGTCAGCATACCACGGCAAGTGTGGGATGTGGACGAGTCCAAGCACACGTACCAGAACGTCCCGTGCTGAGTTTCCGAGATGCGGAACCGGTAAATGTAAGACTGGCCGGTGCCAATGGCGCATTGTGTGAGGCCGACAACGCCGTCCATCTCGTTTGCACCTGGGCGTGACGTATTAGTCAGCACGACTAGAAGAGTGAACCGTTCTCCGGAGAGCCTACCTTGCATGGCTAACCCATGCCAGTGGATGGAGATGCCTTCGCTTGTGTCGGCTAGGTTGTGCACCTCGATTTCTAGCTCGTCGCCAGATCGCGCCTCGATGGTCGGACCAGGAAACAGTCCTGCAGCCAATCAGCACAATGCCTCTTTATTCTCTTTCTGGCAAGTCACATCTCCCACCGTTTATCATGTATACGATGCGCTTGACGCCGTCGGGGGTCGCCGGGGCCGTCGTCACGTTCCACTGCTGGCGAATTGTTTGCGCAGGCCGATATATGTGCTGCTCGGGGAACAAGAGCGAGCGCATATTGCGCTGGTCGTCCTGGATGATGGCGTCTGACAGGCCGACTGAAGCGTCATCGTGCTGCAAAGAGCCGAACGAGCTGCTGAGCCAGACCTTCTGCTTCTGCACCGATGCGCGGTCCAAATATGTCCAGTAGGAGAAGAAGGTGGCCACGGCCATGAGAAGCACCACGGTCGGGAGCAGCTGTCTGGCCGACAACATCTTCACCATCATGGTCATTGCTGTGGCTTGCCAATTGAAGCGATGGAAGTGCTGACGGCGACTGATCGCGTGCTCCTCCAATTGGCGTCGTGCAGTGGACGTCTCGCTATCAGCATCTCGGCGCCCTGACCGAACGGGCATGGCCGCGTGCAAGTACACGACGGAGCCCCCAACGGTTGTGGGGACCTGGGACTTCGTCCATATGTTTGTGGAGAATCGAGGAAAAAAAAGACTGGGATCGACAGGCCGACCCCAAGTCTTATCACGTTGGGCGGTTGATTGGCCCTCGGTCGTAGCATTCGCCTGGCACTCCGCGGACACGAACGGCAAACCAGCGTATCTGCATATCATCCTGACCACAGACTGCTGACCTGGAGCTGTCTGCCGGGGAGTGCCGGCCGAAGCAGCCCGGATACTATTTCCACGTGCAGCAGCTCATCTCCTTCTCTTGAGCCTCGAACAGGGGTTGTGCCCACGTGGATTGCGTGGATTGCGTAATATGTAGCTATGCTTATCTTGGGGGGGGAGACGGGCAGTTATGAGTGCTTGTCGTCCGCGCCTTTCTGTTCTTGCCGCTTCTTCTCGACATACCATCGTGACCATGCTGTCTCTTCGTGCTTCATCTGCGGCAGCCGTAGCCGCGCTGGCCGTGACGGCCGCGGCCGGCTCGCTCACGGACATCAAGCACATTGTGCTGTTCATGCAGGAGAACCGGGCCTTTGACCATGTGAGCAGGCAGTTTCGGGCCTGTCGGGTCGTCTTGGGCTTCTGCTGATGCTGTCCGTGTCTCTCTAGTATTTCGGCACCATGGCCGGCGTGCGCGGCTTTGCTGACCCGAACGTGCACGTCAATCCGGACGGGCACTCCATCTTTGAGCAGTGCGTCGCGTGTTTCTGCTTGTGCTGTGTTTTGGATTTGGCTGTGGCTAACCTGGCGCCAGGCTGGTCTCGTCGTCGCTCACGAATGCGTCGGACGTGCTGAAGCCGTGGTACCTCAACTATCTGGGCGGCAGCTGGGTCAACGCGACGCAGTGCATGACGGCCGGCAGCAACAGCTGGCAGGCGATGCACGGCGTGTACAACGACGGCCTGGTCAACCACTGGGCCGAGGACGATACGCCGTACAGCTGGGGGCACTTTACGCGCGACGAGGTGCCGACGCATTTTGACATTGCCGAGGGCTGGACGGTGCTGGACATGAACACGGCAGGTGCTCGGTGGCTCCTTCCCCGGTGTTGTTGCTGACTAACACGGACAGGAGAGCATCCTGGCGGCGACCGATCCCAACCGGATCCACTGGCTGAGCAACTCGGTCAACACGCCGGGCACGCCGAGCAACCCCGACGGTGCGGGCGGCATGATCCTGGACAACACGGCGACGCCCGGCTGCGAGGCGGCGCACTTCAACTGCTATCCGTTCACGTGGAAGACGTTTCCCGAGTACCTCGAGGCGGCCGGGGTCTCCTGGCAGGTGTTTCAGGACGTCGACAACTTTGAGGACAACCCGCTGGCCTACTTTGTGCAGTACCAGAACGCGACGAACGGGTCGGCGCTCCGGACCAAGGGTGACAGCTACGAGCACACGCTCGACGTGTTCTACGCGCGCGCCCGCAACGGCACGCTGCCGCAGGTCAGCTGGATCATCGGGCCGGCTGAGCTGTCGGAGCATCCGCCCTATCTGCCGAGCGACGGCGCCTGGCTGCAGAAGCAGGTCGTCGATGCGGTGACCCAGGGAGCGGCCTACGAGTCGACCGCGCTCTTTATCACGTATGATGGTGGGTGCTTTCTCTGTTTTCCGTCTTTCTTCTTTCTTCTTTTTTTTTTTTTTGTTTTCTTTCTTTCTTCCTTCTCCATCCCCTCCTCCCTTCTGACTCTCCAGAAATCGGTGGCTGGGGTGACCATGTCCTCCCCATCGTCCCGCCCAACGGCACTGCCGGTGAGTGGATCGATGATCCTTACGGCACCTACGGCTGGGTCCCCGTTGGCCCCGGCTACCGCGTGCCGTCCTACATCATCTCGCCCTGGACCCGTGGCGGCAATGTCTTTGTCGAGCACGCCGACCACAGCTCCGAGACCATGTTTGTCGAGCAATGGGCCGCTGCCAACGGCTACGAGGGCGTCTACAGCGAGGAGCTGACACCATGGCGTCGTGCCCACATGTCGAATCTCGTGGCTGCCTTTGACTTTGAGCATGTGAGTGTATCGGACCGTCTCGCTGACCGTATCGCTAACCGTGTCCAGCCCGACTACTCCCTTCCGTCCATCACGGCTGCACCAACCCCTCTGATGGACACCGACGCCGCCGACGACGACTACTCGGGTGATGTGGCCACGCTCGGCTCGCTCACGGGACCGTACGTCGGCCTTGCTGCCTGCCTCTCGGCACACGCCGTCGTCCAGCCGCCGGTGCCGTACGGCAGCGCCAACGTGGCCCAGAATCTGTCGCGCCTCGTCGAAGACGGCTTCAAGCGCGTCCGCGGTGGCCTCACCGAAGGCCGCTACCTCACCCTCGAGATGGACGGCCACGCCCTCGCCAACGTTGACGGCCAGCGCATCCAGGCTGCCGTCGCCTCGGCCGACCATCGTGATGTTCGCCAGCGCTGGATCCTTCATGTCCAGGAGGACGAACAGACCCTCGACCGTCCGCCCAACCGGTTCACCCTCCAGTCCGCTCTCGACGGCACCTACATCTCCAGCTGCCTCGGCCGCCTGACCGCCAACGCCACCGCCGCTCAGCCGCTGGTCTTCTCCTACCACGCTGCCACTGCCGGCTTCAGCCTCGCCCTCGGGACCGATGCCAACAAGACCCACGCAAAATTGACGAGCTCTGGCTCTGTCCGGTGGGACGGCGAGGCCACCGACCACTTCGCCATCTACAGCGTCACGTACAAGGACTAGGCACTGGCCAGTGCCGTCATGCATAAACCAAGCGTCATCGTTTTAACATTACTTGCAAATATATAAAATCGCTTCGTTGGCTATCCCAAAGAAGTCATTCTGCTGAAACGCTTATATGGCCTAATCCTTGATACCTTCTATCTTCGCTCTTTTTTCTCCCGCGCCCTCTGATAAGTCTACAAGACAGTGTGTATTGAGAAAGCTGGCAGTCAGTTTCTCTTTGGAAGAAATGCGTATGTTGGCCGGAGACGGCCAGCCGGCTCATCAAGACGTGGACGTCTCTTCCCGTGATTCGTCTTCGGAAGGCGGCAAGAGTGTCGCAGTCTCGTCTTCGTCTTCATCCACCAGCACGCTGTCTGCCGGCGGAAAGTGTGAAAGCATCAGGACCAGCATTGCGACAATCGCCACAGCCTGAATGAATTAGTCATGGTCAAGATTTACACTGTAAAAAAGGAAAAGAGAGAGAACCAACCCCGTTGCAGTAAAACGTCAGCTGCGACTGCCCGATCTCGGCGAGGGCCGAGAAGATGAAGCCAAAAAGGCCGAGCGTAGCCAGGCGGGCAATATTCTCGACGAGCGTGATGGCGTTGAGGGCGTCGGTGCGCTGCGAGCTGGGGCACATAGACGTGATCACACCCTTGGCCGCCGGAGCCGAGCCGGAGCCAAACGGCAGAAGCACCGTCAACAGGTACATGTGCCAGCCCTGCGTGGCCAGGGCTGCGCCGGCCGTCAGGACACCATCGACGAGCAGACTCCAACGCAGGAAGAAAAGGTCGAATGCATAGGCCGCCTTTTCCTCGTCGGCCGCTGGCTCCGCCGTCACTACCGGCTCCTCCTCGATCTGTGCGCTGGTCGGCGCCTCAAACTGCTCCGGCTCCGTCGGGAGAACGTTGTCTCTCGTACCCGTAGCTGTAACAGCCGACACCGTCGAGCTGGACGTGCCCGATGATCTAAGCGTCGTCGTCGACGATCCCGTCGAGCCTGCCTTGCCAGCCAGGGCCTCTTTCTGGGCACGTGACACGAACCACTTGCGGCCCCACGAGATGATGCGCGGGAAAATGAAGATGAGGAAGATGGCGCGCATGAAGCTGTTACCCGAGAGCAGCCAGCCGTTCTTAGCCTGGTCGAACTCGAATACGGCTGTCGCGTACATCTGCAACAGCACCGGAGCGTATCCCGTGGCGAGCTGTCAGGGTGTCAGCATCGATCGGTTGGGAGAAGAGACGCTCTCATCCAGAAAGACATACCACGCCCAGAAAGTTGCCAAAGCAGAGAAAGAAGACGCCGTAGTGCGCCGCAAGACGGCCGCTGGCCAGGCGGATCTTCTGCGGCAAGAGCACCTTGAGCGGCTGGAATAAGGAGGAGATGCCGCGGTGACGAGGCGTCTTCGTCTTGTCGACAAGCGAGTCAGGCGAGATGTAGGGCATGGCCACGCGCGCATAGATGCTGGCGAAACAAAAAAGGAAAAAGGCCGTCTGGAAGGGGCGGATAATGCCAAAGTTGTCGCCTACGAGGCCTCCTACTGTGGAAGGGGAGAATCCTGTCAGCAGAGAAGGTCATAAGGGCGTGGAGGGGATCGGGGAGGGATAGCTCACAAAGAAAACCGGTGGCGCCTCCCAGCATAATGCAGCCTTGCAGCTTGCCAAATAGCTCTGTCCTCTGCACAGGCGGGACGACCTCTCCTGCAATGGTGTTCACGACAAGGCTGGATTGCAGATTAGCAGTTGTGTGAGGACAACACTTGGGGAACAGAGCTCACATGTATCCAGCCGGGCCGCCGAGGATGGTAATGACTTGGGTAATCTGGATGATCCAGATGCCGACCTGTCCGCCGGCGATGACGCCGACAATCTGTGTGGCCACTCGGATGGCCGGAACCGAACTCTGCAGGATAAGAGCTGCGCGCGGACCCCAAGCCTTGACCTGTTGTCCGGAGACGAAGAGATTCCAGGTCCCTGGGCAGGACGGGAGATATGAGCACGCGACCAGGGGCCAAGAGTATGGGGGGGTCCAAAGACGTACCGGCAAAGGTTGTGGTCATGCCGAGGATACTGAATTGAGTGGCCGTGCCGGCAGCGATCTCGTTGCGGCTGCAGCGGTCGCCGGGACCGTCGTATGGCGGGTGGTTGCTGTAGTAGACGTCGCATTCCATGAGATGGAAGACGTAGAAGATGCTACGGGTGTGTGAGTCTGGGCTTGACTTTCTGTTCCTGTCCAGACAATCGGCCTTTTGCTTACGAGACCTGGGTGAAGCCGAAGCTCAGCGAGATGATGAAGCCGGCCAGTAGCACGCGGTTGGCCGGCGTCATAAACGTCGACAGCCAGTTCTGGCCCGCACCCTCGTGTCCATTCTTTATTTCGGATCGTTTCGGCGCTGTCTCAGCTGTCGTCGTCGTCGTCGTCGTCGTCGATGCCGAACCGGTGGCTGCAGGAAGAAGCGGAGTCCGCTCGTCGACCTGCGCGGCCATGGTGGTGAAACGTGATTTGCAAAAAGCACTGGCCAGGTGTACCGTCGATTGGGGCAAATTGGTCGAGCAGAGGTCGAAGGTGGAGAGGGGCCCAATACGAAAGAATGAGACCAAGGAACGACGACAAGAGGCGAAAGGCTACGAGACATTCACGAAAATCGAAAGAGGCAAGAGAACCGGGACAAAGTGGGTCGCCGGTTCGAACCCGCTTCTTCCTGCTAAACTGATATGTAAGGTGCTAAATTGACCAATTAGCCCATGCTGGGCTGCAGATCCATCAGTCGGCCAGGTATCTTATCACATAGTATCTTGTACAGTTGAAGGAGGGGGCGGTGTCTTAATGTCGCCATCGGGGAGGTCCTGATAAGATATGAAAATACACGCAAGATTCCGCGGATGTCCTTACTTTGACATGGGATCCACTGGCCGGTGGGCAAAAGCCGACGGTGTTTGTGTTTTTCCGTTCTCCACAGTTTTGGTTTCGCAACTTCCGAGCAAGGCTCCAAGCCGCTATCGGCGTTGTTATTGGCATGATGCTTGCCTAATCAGACTGCAACTACAATTCGCGTCGACATCACGTGGGACGTTTTGATGCCATACAAATTTACCCAGCTTAGAAGCCTCGTAATAATATAAATACTACACAGTACGCCGGCTGAGCGGAGAGCTTTCACGTGGCGAGTGCACTCGCCAGTTTATTTGCTCGTATTGTGGGTGGGCGACTGTAAGTTTCCCAAAACGGAAGGTGCTCGGACAAGCGACTGCCCGATGCACGGGCCAACTCCAATCCGCTGAATGGGCCTGTTTAATTTGGATGCAAAGTGAGACGATGAGGAGAGAGAGAGAGGTGAGGTGAGAGCACCACGGCTTCAAGCATCCGAATAAAGATGCTCACAATCGTCCCAATCGATCGGCAGCAGCCCTTGCCACTCAGGGCAGCCGGACGATTCCCTGCAAGCGGTTCTCGGGATGGCAGGTTAGTCTTCGGCACATGTGCTGATCGTTTTTCGACTTGAGCCTTTGTCCTGCAGGCGATGCCCCTGTGCCTGAACGATCGCATGCTGTGTGCTCGTATCCTGCATGCTGGCCAGAAGCAAGTCCCCATCGGGCCTGCCTCCTTCTTATTTCACTCTAGGACTAGCGGACCGGCGATGGAGCAGCTAAGGGAGGCTGCAGGCCGGTCACACATCCCATCGTCCCATGGGCACACCTGGCCATGTCGTCCCCCAGCTAGCGTGTGCGGACTGGCTTGCGGACTGGCAGTGGCACATGGGAGGCGGACAAAGTACAAAAGGACCAAGGCTGGCTGACCTCTGGCTGGAATGAGGGATCGGGATAGAAAAGGTCAGGTTGTCTCTCTTCTGAGTTCCTCCTCTTTTGTCTTGTCTGCACGCCTCCTCGACCTTTACTCGCATCCAGACGTGGCATACTATCGCTGCAATGATGCTCACCACATCGCTGGCGGCGCTGCTTGCCGCCTGCGCCACGCCGGCCATGGCATTTCTGTCGATGCCCAAGCTGAGGCCGCCGATGCTGGTGGACGAGTCATTTGAGAGCATGACGGAACGCGGCGTCCTTGATGGCCGCGCGGCGAGCGTCTACAAGGGCCAGACGACCTTCCAGCAGCTGCTCGACCACAAGGACCCGTCGCAGGGCACCTTCAGCCAGCGCTTCTGGTGGAGCACGCAGTACTGGGGCGGCCCGGGCTCGCCGGTGGTGTTCTTCACGCCGGGCGAGGAGCCGGCCACCAACTACACGGGCTACCTGACCAACCGGACGATCACGGGCCAGTTTGCCCAGGCCATCGGCGGGGCCGTCGTCATGCTGGAGCACCGCTACTGGGGCGAGAGCTCGCCGTTTGACGACCTGACGACCAAGAACATGCGCTTCCTCACGCTCGCCAACTCGATCGCCGACGTGACGCACTTTGCGCGCACCGTGGAGCTGCCGTTCGACACCAACGGCACCAGCAACGCGCCGACGGCGCCGTGGGTCATGAGCGGCGGCAGCTATGGCGGCGCGCTGGCCGCCTATATCGAGCACGTCGACCCGGGCACCTTCTGGGCCTACCATGCCAGCAGTGCTCCCGTCCAGGTGATCGAGGACTTTTGGCAGTACTTTGAGCCCGTCATACAGGGCCTGCCGCAGAACTGCAGCGCCGACCTGCAGCTCGTCATCCCCCACATCGACGACGTGCTCGCCAACGGTACCACTGCCGAGATCCAGGCGCTCAAGGACAAGTTCGGTCTGGGCACCATTGAGCACAGCGACGACTTTGTCGTGTGAGTTTGTCTCTGAAACTGTCGTCTTGGTGCCGTGCTAATACCGACCAGTGCTCTCGAGAACGGTCCGTGGGACTGGCAGGAAAGCGGCTTTGACGCGGACTACTCGCCCGTCTACGAGTTCTGTGATTATGTCGAGGTACGTGACCGACAGGCCGTGAGACAGGCGCGAGACAGACGCTGACAGCACAGAACTCGGTGGCCAGCGTGTTCGACAGCGCCACGGCCGGCGCTGAGGGAGTTGGCCTGGAGAAGGCGCTCGACGGATATGCCAAGTGGACGTCTGAGGTGCTGCTGCCCGGCAACTGCGAAAGCTACGGGTACTTTAGCGGCGAGCTCAACACGGTCTGCTTCGAGACGTACAACGGCAGCAACCCGGTCTTCACGGACACGAGGGTGGACAACCCGGTGGGCCGCCAGTGGACCTGGATTCTGTGCAACGAGCCCTTTGGTTTCTGGCAGGACGGCGCGCCGGACGACATGCCGACGATCGTGTCGCGGCTGTCCACCAAGGCCTACTGGGAGCGTCAGTGCGCCCTCTACTTCCCGACCGAGGACGGCTACACCTATGGTCAGGCTTCCGGTGCCACCGCCGACAAATTCAACGCCTACGGTGGCGGCTGGTCCGTGGAGAACCGCACCCGGCTCATCTGGACCAACGGCGAGTTCGACCCCTGGAAGGACGCCACCATGTCGTCGGAGAACCGTCCCGGCGGACCGCTGGTCTCGACCTCTGACCAGCCCGTCAACGTCATCCCCGCCGGCGTGCACTGCAGCGACCTGATCTACGACAACGGCCTGGACAATGCCGGCGCCATGGCCGTCATCCAGAAAGAGATCGCCGTCATCAAGGCCTGGGTCGAGGAGTTTTACACCGCCAAGAACAAGGCCAAGCGGTCCCAGTCGTTCCAGGCCTAAGGCCGAGCGAGTCAGTGGCGATGACTCTTGTACATAGCCAGCAACGACATACTCTACAGCCTGCATGATGTACGTTCCATAGCCTATATTGACTTTCTCTGCTGCTCCGATGGTTTATTCTGGGGAGATGGATCCGGCAGCTCGTTGATTTATGTGTCAGGCTGTGACTATCGGCCGAAGCGAGGTGACAATGCAGTCGTAAGCTTGTATCACTTTGTATGGCAATTAAGATCTAAAGGAATTACGCCAACTGCAACATTGTGGGCTGCGATAGACACTGTATGGGCCAATTAGAGTTATCTACCTGGTTTAAACTCTGGCAAGAAAGCTCTTGGCTGGCAATTTAAACGACTTGAACATGATTAATTTCAGACTGTTCATGCATGAGCTTCAAGGAGCCGCCATCAAACAATCCATCGCAATGTCCAAGACACATTTTGTTGACGCTACACCATTTGCTAGCACTCCTTTTCAATTGCTAACCGCACTGTAAAGGTAAATTACGCACTAAACCTACCGCTTTGACGCTGTATGAATTTAGGAGCCAATATGACAACAAAAACGATAAAGCGCTCTTCCTTACACATTACTTCTATTACATTGATAATATAGAATCATCGAGACGACTGCTACTACGGTCCGGTACATCGGATTCTGCTTGAAATTATATCATAGTGCGACTGGAATGTCCTTTCCCTCCCTTCTCAAGGCACTCTCTCGTTCAGCCGACACTGGGACCTCTTTCGCGACCATTTCTGCTGCTCCCCCCGGTCAGTTGCAATGCGGCTGGACGCAGTCCTAACTCAACACGGACTCTCACGTCAGCACAGCCACCCGACCTCTGATATCAGAACACGCGGGCGCTTTGCTGTGACGGCACAGATATCAACGACCAATCGCAAGATGCTAGAGAGCAGTCTCCACACTCGGGCATCGAGGAAGCCTCTCTTCTATTTTTCCTTCCCCATGCCCTTTTTCTCTTGCCCTTTTTCTCTTGCCCTTTTTCTCTTGCCCCTCTTCTTTCCCCTCTTCTCTTGCTCTTCTACCCTTCTGCCTTACACAGTAATTGCACATAAAAATCTTTGCGCCGTCACCTTTTGACTTACATAATCTATCGGCAAATAAGTTGATATCGCAAGGTGAGATGCGCTTTGGCCCCGATGCCTGCTTTAAGACGCATTGTACTGACCCTACCCGTCAGTGCTTCCCATCCCGCTCTGTTGTTGCATACACATCTCCATATAACTTCACTTTGCCTTGCGACAGTGGCCCCCAAAAACTACGACTATGGTATGAAGGCGTGGCACGAACCTGATAGTCCAACTGTCGATATCTGCTTTATCCATGGTTTAACCGGCCACCGTGACAAGACCTGGACGGCCGACGACTCAGAGAACGAGCCATGGCCTAAAACGCTGCTGCCAGAAAAATTCCCCGAGGCCCGCTTGCTCACATTCGGATACGATGCCGACGTGGTTCGCGCTGGCGTGGCCTCCAAATCCTCGATCAAGAACCTCGCAGACAGGCTCCTTCACGTCCTTACAACCGATCGCGGACCAAACGCGTCCCATCGCCCGCTTATATTTATTGTGCACAGCCTAGGCGGCATCGTGTGCAAGAAGGCGGTTGCGCGATCGACGAACGATTCGGATGAAACACTCCACAGTGTGGCTACGTCGCTCATCGGAATCGTTTTCATGGGCACGCCGCACGACGGATCTGGATTTGCGGATTTATTCGGGCTGCTTGCACCCGGTATCCGCTTTTTCAAGTCCTTCAACAGCCGACTTGTAAATGTGCTGAAGAGGGGTAATGAATTGGCCGCGGAAATTGATAACGACTTTTGGAACGCGTGGAAAGTGATTGAGAAGGACTTCAATGCACAGATTGAGATATTCTGTTTCTTCGAGGTGCTTCCTATACCAGGCGTCAAGACATGCGTTGTACCCGAGAAGTCGGCCATTTATCAGCAGCACCACTCACAGAGTATCGACGCAAATCACCATGATATGGTCAAGTTCCGGTCGGCAGATGATCCTGGCTTTATGAGTCTGTATGGCGTGCTGCGTGGATTCCTCAGATCTAAACGGGCATCCCTACTTTTTTCCCGTGGCGGAGGTCCTCCTTCTTTTCCAGCATCTATCGCCAATGTCCAGCCAGGTGCATCTTCGTCTCCTGCACCCCCCAAACCCCTTGGCTGTGAGTCCCACATGTCGCCAGCGTCTACATCTCCAAGTACCAAAAATCCTAATAGGCAGCGCCACTATCTCCCTTTCCTCAGTAACCATAACTTTGTCGGACGAGAGAACATATTGAAGGATCTTCGGCAGTTGCTGTTTGAGGATAAGGACACTCATCCGATTGTGGCGCTCTATGGCCTCGGCGGCATCGGAAAGACACAGGTGGCCAACGCACTGGCACATTGGACGAAAAATCACAGGAAAGAATGCTCCGTTTTCTGGGTGCCTGCGGTGAGCAAGGAAATCTTCGAGAAGGCCTGTGGCGCTATAGCGAAAACTCTGGGGATCAAATGTGCAGGCAATGAAGACATCAAGACACTGGTCTGCGACCATCTCAGCTCAGAGGCTGCTGGCGAGTGGCTTCTCATCATAGACAACGCAGACGATCCCGATCTCATCGTCGGACGCGACACACCAGACAGTCTCGACCAATACTTTCCACGGAGTGACAGCGGGCGAACCCTAGTCACGACGCGTACACAGAGTGTGTCCCAGGCCGTAGCCCAGAAAACGATACCCTTGGAAGCGTTCGACCTACCACAAGCAAGACAGCTGGCGACAAAACTACTCGAGCGGCCGGACATGCTGAATGACTCTGCCTCGATGGATGAGTTGTTGCAAGAGCTCGAATATCTCCCTTTAGCCATTTCGCAGGCGATGGCGTACATTAAGCAACTCAACTTGTCGGCCGCGGAGTATCTTAAGCTGTTACGCCGCACCAACACAGACAGACTGGACTTGCTTGGCAAAGAGATCCCGGACAGCATCCGATACAAGGAGTCACGTCATGCCGTCGCTACTACTTGGCTAGTATCCTTTGACCATCTACAGAAAGCGAGCCCTGGTGCGGTCTCCCTGCTCGAGTTTCTGTCTCAGATTCAGCCAAAGGCAATTCCGTGGTCTCTACTGCCAAATGAAAAGTCGAACGCAGCCCTTCACAACGCTGTCCTTGATCTTTGCAAGTACAGCTTTGTGTCTAATCACTATGGCGTGCTTGATATGCATAGTCTGGTTCACATGGCAATTTGCAGCTGGCTTAAGAAAAACGGCCGCATAGAAATGGTGGCAATCAGTGCACTGCGGCATGTAAGTGCCATTTTTCCAACAAATGACTACGAGAATCAAGACATTTGGAGAGCCTACTTGCCGCATGCACTATACATAATCCAAGACATTAAGGCAGTAACTTCAGAGGAAGGACTTACGTTGTGTCAAATGGTTGGCTCATGTCTCCGTAAAGACGGCCGCGTCAAGGAAGAATTATGGTGTTTAAAGCATGTTGTTGTAGTTCGAGACAAGAAGCTTACGGAAGACCACCCTAATCGACTAGCATCGCAGCACGCGCTTGCAATAGCGTATCAAAGCAACGGCCAGATTTAAGAGGCAGTAGAAATACTCGAACATGTTGTTGCTGTTGAAGGCAAGAAGCTTACGGAAGACCACCCTAATCGACTAGCATCGCAGCACGCGCTTGCAATAGCGTATTAAAGCAACGGCCAGATTTAAGAGGCAGTAGAAATACTCGAACATGTTGTTGCTGTTAAAGGCAAGAAGCTTACGGAAGACCACCCTAATCGACTAGCATCGCAGCACGCGCTTGCAATGGCGTATCAAAGCAACGGCCAGATTCAAGAGGCAGTAGAAATACTCGAACATGTTGTTGCTGTTGAAGGCAAGAAGCTTACGGAAGACCACCCTGATCGACTAATATCACAGCATGCGCTTGCAAGTGTGCTTTGGGACAGAGGGGAAACGACGAGGGCAATAGAACTAATGAGACATGTGGCGGGAATGTGGAGAAGTCGGCCAAACCATCCTAATGGGCGTTTGACACACGAAAAATTGGCATGGGTGGAAGAACGTTATACTTGTACGTAAATCTTATTACTGTATATATTTCGACTGCAAGCTGTTGAGAGGAGGATTATAGGTGTGGAACAGCATGAAAAGGAGGTCTGTGGCTGGTGCTTCTAGCATTAAGCCGTACTAGCACAATTGCGAACTTATCCGACGAAACAGTATGCGATATTAAAGTTTGTTTGCCTATGCCGTCTTACGCACAGAACAATACACTTCCTGTGCATGTGTCACAATGCAGCATACCGACTGATCAGACCTTTGCATTATTAGCTCGGTCAAGTCTATCCACGGTCGTAAGAAGAAAAAGCAACTCTAAACTATTTCTTCTCTATAGGCAGAGGTAGAACTTATGCTGGTTACATTTGTATCTAGGGTGTGGGACATCACCAACCCCGCGTGAACAAACTGCAGGTTTCGCGTTGCCACCAATTTCCCTAGGACTCTTCAGCCGTTCTAAGAGAGACTCAGGTAGTATTATTCCGTAACTTTGTGGATATTGTTCAAATAGCGCAGATGTTAAGACATGACAAGAATGGCCGAATCTGCCAGGTAGGCTGAGGACAAAATAATCTAGCCGTAATGTGGTGGTGGATAGCTTCTCGAGTATGGAAAACAGTGGGGGCAGTGAGGATGGCTCATGACGCGCGACAGATTTCCCTCCCCCTCTTCTTCGGCAGCTGGCTTTGTAGAAGCGCCTTTTGCTGGTGTATGTCTAGGGTCTCGATCGTTAGCAAGACACCTACAGAAATTAATATAAGAAGTAGACAGCTTTCTGTTCCGTGACCATCGAATGCAGAGTGGTACTAAGGTAGATATCTCGTCGTATAAGCCGCTGCCTTAAGAGACCTCCCTTTTTACTAGAATTGAGTTTCTCGAAACTAATAAGGTAGCTATCTAGAGCCCCATTCACACAACCAGCTCGTCAGGCTACCCCACGCTGAACTCATTTTAATCTAAGATTGAAGTAATGGCAGCGGCAGTTTGCAATTATCTGTACATCATTTCTGCTTAGGGCGTCAATAGGAACGCAATAAGTTTCTGTCAAGTCATAGAGGATGTCTTTTTGTTCATTCTTACCGATGCTTAGCTTTACTATTACAGCTCTTTGAGGTCAACCTACCATGATGTTGACAAACAGTGGCTGCGACAAAGAAATAATAGTCGCTTTCCTGAAAGACACCATCCCATCCGAGGTCCATCCGCTGCGTTCCATCCGTGTCAAGGGCCAGCCAGCCACAAAACGAATTCGCGGCAATGATCTGACATCAACAAGAGCGGTGCCATAAACCGAGTAAGCTGTCTTTTTTTGTGGCATCCACGCGCGGCAGTACCAGCAGAATATTATCTGGGAATGCATAAGCGGGATGTTGAAATGTGACTGTATGGCGTCGAGGAGAGATTATTAGTGGAGGTTATGTAGAGCTTGTGCACGGTGGCTACTAGTGCGAACTAGGGTGTTTTCCAGAACTTCGACGTATCTGTGGGGGTCGTCGTCAGCTCGTGTTCTCGAGTAAAGAATTTGATCTAATCCACACACACCAACGGGAAGATAAAGCGAAAGGTAGTGATCTCGACGATCATAAAATAGGTTATTGAATTAATCAGGAAGGTATTCAGGGAGAGGGGAGGAGGGGTCGCACTACCCTTCCTCACACCATGACCAATCACCCCTCCTTTCTACCTTCCTATTTCGAGGCAACACCGTCTTCTTAGCCCGACTGCTTAAGGGTATCTAAACGCTCCATTGGCCTCCTTTCTATTGCAAGCAGCGCCCTTAGAATTACTGTCTAGTGGTTAGTTTGTGTGTCTTCAGCCTGTGCTGCGTGCTAATCTATAGTTTGCTTAAGTTAAGGAGCTGCTACATTCAAATAGCAATGCACCTGTCAGTAGTGCGACATTGATCTGTATTTTTGACATTTAAATTGCAACGAGAGTGATCCGCTTGCCTGGCGATCCAGGACGAGACGACAGAGCGTGTTACGACGTAGTGAACGGATGTCTGATAGCTGATGATTGATATGGCGAAGTTGAAATTGCGAGTGCATCTTTAGACTAGGTAAAGGCAACAGCGTTGTTCAATGCCTAGTTGTTCTCAGCGGTATTACAGCGCTTCCGCAATTATTTTAAGATACAAAAACAAGTTATTAGAGCCACCCCTGTCACGGTTCCGTAATCCCCGTGGGGATGGCCTTCCCCGCTAATAGTACGGAGTAGACTACGCCTTACGTCGTATATCTTACTGTGTCAGCTTGTGGGGATTTGTCGACCTGCTGTGAAATTCGATTGCGTGTATTATGGAATACAGAGTAAATGTAAAGTGCATTTTTCTCACTCTCACACCCACGGCAGGTATAATACTACTGATTCTCTCCTTTCTTCATTTTCGCTACACCCATTTGTACAAGAATTTCCCTGATCAAAATATTCTAGGACCTTACCCCCTGGGTCGAGGACGGCGACGACTGCACGACGAGCCATGACGTGTCTAGCCTGGACAAGATTCGCAGCTGGCTAGACAAGCTTGTACTTCGATAGGGTAAGAGGAAGATATACCTTTGAACTGCTGCCGGGCATGGGCGGCTAGCTGCTAGGGCAAAGGTGGAGGAAGCGCAGGAGAAACGCCTACCGTGCTCTTGCTCCAGGGGAGGTCCAAGTCGGGGCGGACGCTGCGGATGGCTAAGCTGTTTAAAGAGGTCTGAGAGGGACCGCAAGACAACGGGCGAGGCCAGCAGTCATCGCGTGGTAGGGTAATTTTCACCGAGACGAACCGGACGGGGGACGAGGGGACAGGCAGCAGCAGCATGCCTCCTTTAGGAGAGTACTTGTCAAATCATGGGTTCCCAGTGAGTGTGTGCATTGTTGTGATTAGATGCTTCCGAGCTATGTCGACGTGCATGAAATCCCCCACTAAATACGCGGGTTTGGGCGGCTTTTTCATACTGAACAGCATTGGGTGTTTGAGTATTAGCCATGCTGATATATGTGACGATGACAAGCTGATGTGATATGGGGATCGATCTAGTGGCCCTCTCGCCCAAACGGCAGCCAGGCGGCGAGTTGGAGGGCAGGTACCGTCTGGTAGGCTCTGCATGGGCGGAAGATGTCGTGAAGGATTACCTGTTAGACGAAGAGGTCATTTAACACATGCGTCGACGGTCAGCTGTTGAGTGTGCAGCGTGATAGACTTGAACTGCCGTCTCCCACTCCTCTCCGTACTTGATACAGCCCAAGGTCACAAATTCCTCCCTTTCAAAAGCGCCGGTGTTTTAGTGGTCAAAATTCACAGCTTGGCTGCTTCTTGCAACATGCTCCAGGAACTTCACCTGCCGTTTTATATTGTTTTTGTTTTACCTTTTCAGTGCCGTTATCCTAGAGTTGGTGGAGAAGTTTAGTAGCCTGGATACTCCGTTGTTGGCTTTGTTAAAAATTGAGTATGGAAATGGCATGACTAATGCACTTGAACTCCATACAAATAGTACTAGCCAATCGACGGACTCACTTCTGGGGCAACATTCAAACGTCCAAACACCCCTGGGATACTACTTGACAACAATAACCAGGTCGCTTATCTCCACACCTAAACTCCAATGCTTGTCAAGCACCATGCGCAAGTTAAATCAACCAAACTCCTCCTCCCCCTCAACTGTATATGAAACCTGGACAAACAGCTACAACGATAATCCCTTCAACCGCTGGGTAACCGTTTTACAGATTGCTATTTCTCGACATATACCGTCCCGACGACACCCCAACACCTCAATCATATATCTATCATCAACCAAACTCGTGAAATATGGCCGCACAGTCCACCTTTCCGAAGCCTCAGCTCTACTTTTCCTAGCTTCCTTTGCACCTAACATTCCTACCCCGAAACCGCATTGCGCGTTTCGAGATGACAAAACTGGTGTGACTTATATTGTTATGGAAAAGATTGACGGGCAACCTTTGGGTGATATTTGGAGCGATGCAACAAGAACAGAGAAAGACAGTTAATGGCACAATTATCAAGTTTTTTCGAGGAACTGAGGACGCTCAAGAAGCCTGCCGGAAAGAGGATCGCAAGTGGGGCTGTGTGTGCCGCTGATGGGGGGAGATTGCACGATTATCGAATATGGAACGCCGCAGGGGACAAAGGAATGGGTCCTTTTTGAACGAGATGGAGTTCAACCTCTTCCTTAGGAACGGAGTCTCGAATGCAGACTGTTTCACAGACCCAGATTTGAAAGCGGAGATCCAGGAACTGATCAGGATGCATAGAGAATCAGAGGAAAGGAAGATGGATACTGTATTCACGCATGGGGATATTAGTCCGAGTAATATTTTGGTGAAGGATGGGAAAGTAGTAGGAATTGTGGATTGGGAGATGGCTGGCTGGTATCCATGGTATTGGGAGTACACCACAACGATTAATACGCACTATTTGGAAGGGTGGGTGGAGGATATTGGGAGGTCTCTGATGGAACAACCGCAAGAAAAAAAGATGGATGATCTGTGGAGAAAGCTTTACTGTGATGGACTTTGAGTAGGGAGGACACTGAACCTTCAGGACCATTAGAAATATTTGCTCTTTGTTCGGGGAATCTAGTGCATTGAAAAACCACTAAAACGGGCGCTCGCGCTTCATGCGTACGGGCCCTGTCTCTTCGTAACGCTTGCATATATTTCCCCCTAATGCTTCACTACTTTCTATCCCAGACCCAAGATGCACTAGCAACTGGTTCCTTTCTATGTGGGCATAAAGCTCTGCATCGGCCCCGGATTTGAAAGAAGTTGGTTTACAATTCGCATCTGCCGAATCGGATCTGAGAACATTGTGCATTGCTGATGAAGTACGGCCCAAGTTTCCGGAATCGCATTCGTACCCACGCACCCATGATCCTTCACGACATCAGCCAAGGCTTTTTGAACCCACATCTGGCAATTGAAGACGATCCAAACAGCATTCGCGTTTACAGGAACAGCTCTAATGACTTGCTCTAGGCGTTTCAGGTTTTTGATTTTGGCGACGGCTGTGAAAGTGAGCATTGCTGGTGTGGGACCGACCGAGAGATTGCGGGGGGGGCTCTTCGAACCGCCATTGTATTCCTTGTGCAGTTGGAACGTTCAGGATGTGGTAGAGAAGCATGTCGTCCATACGATTTTGGAGCTTAGTGAATCATTCCACCTAGTGCTTAGTTCCACCAAACCGAGAACAACCACTCAATAGAAAAAAAGCAAGAGTGGGTGTTGCAATACCGTTTGGTGGATTTATGGCAAGATGGAAGGTATATGTAGAGTAATGGCTGAGGAAAGATGAAGAGTGGAAGATTTAGATGGCGATGGTTGAAGCAAATTGTATAGGTCATGGTTAAGCTGGTGTCAGATACATACTACAGTACCATCTAATAGATTCATGGCAAGGTGAAAGGGACCTGAGAAGTATTGGTTGAGGTAAGACGGAGACTGGAAGAATGAATTGACGGTAGGTGAAGTAGATCATACATGTCACGACTAAACTGAATGTCAGGTATGATTTGTGTGGCAGAGGTGCTTACCTTCTTCCTTCTTTTCTCGAGGAAGAAGGATTTTATTATACACTTGTTGTCAACTATCTAGATCCTTTCACTTGTCCCTCAACAATCGAGGCAAACCATTTTGTTATTATTTGCTCCTTAGTATATTCCCTCTCTCGTCGTCTCTTCTCTCGCCGCCCTTCTGAGCCTCTAACACGATAAAACGTTGAAGTAATAATCTTTTGAGCTTTTATGTAAAGAAGGGAAAAAAATGTGCGTGGGATAAGAAGAGGATGTCCGCACAAAATTACGAACTGCCTACGTATCTGCATACAAAGATGGGTACCGTAAGGTATCTTCCTTCGTTGAGAGGGCAGGTAGGAGATAGCTGGTCCGAAGGGAGAGAGAAAAGACATGCGGACGCATAGGAAAACATAGTTGGTTTAGCCGGCGATTTTGCTTGTTTCTTTTGGAGGCTGCTTCTTACATATTTTGATAAGAAGAGAGAAGAGGGTATTATACATATGTGTTTGCGTAAGTGCTGATAGAAGACATAAATTGTTCTACTCTGGTTGACATAAGAAATGGGGCTGCCACGTGAAGCGTCAAAGTCCTGCCTAGGCCTTATGCATTCATTGCCTTCCCACATACGGAGTAATACGTCGTAAAGGGTTTGGGTGCTCCTCTGTTAGGAGTGTGCATCACGCATTACCTTACAGAATTTGCGGGTCAAAGTAGCAAGAAACAGTAGCGTCGGTGGTTTAGTGGTAAAATCTGTCGTTGCCATCGACAGGCCCCGGGTTCGATTCCCGGCCGACGCATTTTTTCATGTCCGTCAATGGTGGAATGACTTCAAGCTACTTCTTTATTGCTTCCGCTTGCGCTTATTTTTTCGTGTCGGGTTGTGTTGGGCAAATATCGAATGGTTCCCTATTCGAGACCTCGGTCAGGACTGTTTGTATGGCGCCGCTCACGAATACACACATGTCGTTATCATCCCCGCCATTGTAGGCTGGCGTGCACAACACCCCACTGCCTGTGCGTACTGCCTCGGACCGGGAAAGTCTCGTTGCGCGAAGACTAATCGATATGCCTCCTAAGGCTACTCAAGATGCAAAAGCTTGAATCCTATTGTATCCTATCTTACGCAGGGCATATTAAATTCGTGCTGGTTAAGTTCATACTTCGTAATGTGAGCATAAAATGCATGATGACCCCTCAATATGCTTCAGCGATGGGTCTAGCTTCTTCAAGAGCCCGGCACGCTCTCTACTGGACGGAACTGGTTACTGCATCTCGCCGCAAGTTCTCGGGCAAATCAGCAGACAGATTGGATCACAATTCAGCTGTGCGTGCGGTTGCCGCCTGCATTGGCGTGGGCTACTTTCTGCGCCATTTGCCTCGATCTCGTTAGGATTATGCACAAGAAGCACGCCTGCAGTACGCGTAGGTAGGCTGGCATGCTGCCAGTCCTGCGACTTTTTCCATTAGCCGACACGGTGTCGGATCGGTTATCGGGACTGCTGCAGCTGGAGCTACGGAAGCTGCACGTCCAAATTCATAACCGGCGTATACTCGCAACGAATGCAGTGGATGGTAGGTCTGGCTAACCTACATAGTACAGCCATCCAGGCACTTCGTTGTAATGCCCGCAGAAACAACGGAAAAGACCAGGGAGAAGCGCAGATAGCCGGGGCCGAGACAGCAATAGATCCTAGCTTACTTGCAGAAGATATTTTTCGTAATAATATACAGAGTAGAACGGGGGGTTACTGGCGAGTGGGGGGGATAGGGGTTATGTGGGCCAGAATCTGGAGCAGGAGCTGCCCCGGAAAGATACCGGAAGACAGCAGGACAGGATGGGACGACGCTGAGGGAGTGAATGCTACCTTGCAAGAAGCATACATAGTAACACGTCGCATGCGCTGTCAACAACACCACTACTTCGGACGGTGCCCCGGATGCTGTCGAACTGTCGTTTGCGACCTGTGGCAAAGTTGCAAATCCGAGGCAGTTTACTCATTAACTGCAACGAAACATACTCGTTAGATATTACCGCCCAAGAATAGAGAGCAGCGAGAAGTAGCGACACCACGATTGAACCCCCCCGTCCACGGGCTTGTATCTTACGGTAGTCGATTCTTTCCGAGCATGTACGGAGTATTGAGTGCCTGACAGGTCAGAAACTGGCCAGATAAATCTTTGAATTTGCCCCCCACCACTCGTGCAGAACAAGTCCTTAGCATTAGTTAGCGTCAGATGAGAACCAACCTCACACCCGTTGATATGGCCAGAGCGCACAGGCCATCTACGACTAAATTCTAGCGCTGTGTAAAAGAACGATCCACCAAAGGTTGAACCCCACCTTCCTCAACCGCCGCCAGTTTTTTTTTCTAGCTCTCTGTATTCCGTACCTGCCTCTTTCTCGGGCTTCTGAAGTATGTCTAATACAAATTACTCCGTAAACCATCCCTATCTCACCCGCAGCAGGAAGTCGTCCCAAACAAAGACTCCAAAAACACACACTTTCTTGCAACACAAAGCAGACGGCCTGCCGCACAAACGATGGCATTTTCCGAGACAGCATACACATAGCAATAAATCGAAGCAAAAAGACGATCAGGCCTGTGCGCAGTGCGATTGAGTCCGCACTGTCAGGACTCGGTGGTCTGTATCTGGGCCGAAGCGCCTTTTGTCCCGAAATCTTACCTCGAGTCTGATTTACGATTTTCCTTGGTTGCGCCTTCACCTGCCACCACCTGCCGGCACCCGGTCGCCTATTCGTTATCAAACCAACCGAGCGACTGATTGTTGTCCGATTTATCTTCTGTCTGCGATCGCATCCAGTCGCTACCGGACCGCTCACCAGTCCCTCTACGTCGAGCGATGATGGACTCCACGGGGTGGAACGGCCAGGGCCATGGGCTGCACCCTGGGCCGGATGAAGACTTTCAGCAATTTCTCGATATGAACGGCATGAGCGGCATGAACAACTTGGCCGACAGCCTGCAGTTCGACTTTCCCGAGTTTCAGAACGCAAATGCCCACGACCAACATCTGATGTCGCAGTCAAAGGATCTGGACACGCACATGGCCGGTGCCGAACATGCGTCAACTATGCTCTCGCAGCCGTCGAACGGCCCTGGCAACCTCCACATCTCCATGCCACCCGCCGTGTCCAGCACAGTAGCTCACTCGTCGATTCCCGCCGTTATGATGCCGCCGCCGACGCCAACGGAAGCCATCTCCGAGATCGACGCCCAGATCCAGTTTCTGCAGCAGCAGCGCATGCAGCAGCAGCAACGCCAGCTCGAAGGACATAATGTTGTCTTCTTTACCGGCCACAACCAGATCGTGCCGCCGACGCCGCAGAGCCTGGAGCTGCAGGCGGGCAATCAGTTTTTCGCCAGCCCGGAACAACACCACCAGAAGCAGATGCACCAACAGATGGGTCAGCCACAACAGAACCAGCAGCAGGCTATCTACGAGCGGTATCACCACCTGAAAGAACAGCAAGATGTGGGTAGACCCTCATTGACGGATGCTTTTGGTTTGTATTTGGCTAATGTCCGCAGATGTCCTTTTCTCCCCTCGTATCGCCTGCTGTGACGCCGCTGGAGACGCAGTTTCCCATCGACAGCCAGTTTACCATGTCCGGAGCTTACTTCAGTCCCCTTACGTCACCAGCCCTTCACGCCCAAGCAGACCACGCATCGGTCTTTGATCCTCGCCTCTCCACAGCGGGCACCTCACCGATAGACATGGACTTGGAGCCGCTGCCTGCGCCGGGTCCGACCTCTTCGTCTGCTGCCCCTGTGTCTGGCGACCTGGCAAAGAAGGCTAGGAAGAACAATGCGCCCAAGTCAAGAAAGACCAACGTGCGCCAGTCACCCATCACCAAGCCGCAGCGGAAGAAAACATCAACAACGCCGGTGATCAACGCGCAAGTCCTCGACCAGCTGGCCGAGTCGCTGGAGAACGAGGTACTGTCGTCTCCGGTCATCGCCCAGCAAGGCCATCGTTTCTCTCAACATCTACATCTCACGGCTGCGGCTTTGCAGCCCGGCCCTTCGTCGTCATCCACGGGGGCCACAGACTCGGAGAACGACTCTGTGTCGCCCGAGACCCTGACGGATATGCCGCCCCCTCCGATACCACAGTCGCGGTCTGCAAGGCCATCGCCGTACCTCCACCCGCAAAACCACAGTCACAGCCACGCGGCCGTGCCAGGCCATATACTTGCCACGTCGTCTGGCGTCCCGATCACGGCATCAATCGCCGCCGTGTCCATGCCAAGCGGTTTCCCCTCGCCCGCAACGCCTGCTTCACTCATGAGGCTAGCATCACCCCAGCAGACATCGCACAAGGCGTCATCAGACCGCGTAGACAGCGGTCAAGACATGCCCGGCAGCGGCAGTCTTGGCGGTTGTGCATCTACATCGTCTGGCGTCAACGACCACATTGAGAGCTTCGAGCTGCCAGAGTCACTTAGCATGAACTTCCAGAACCCACGGGCACTGCCACCCAGCATACACAACACGCCAATAATTCCGACAACGGCATCGCCGTCTCTCAACGCCGTTTCAGCTCCGACGTCCAACTTCCAGCACCTGCCGTCGCCTGCATTTACCAAGCCAGCAGGCTCTATTACCGCAACCGTGTCGGCCAGTCAGAGTCCCCAGCTGCTGCCTGGCGGCAATTCGGACACGCCAACGGCCGGTACGACGCCTAATTTGTCGGCCCAATCACAACGGCGGACACCGCAGATGCTCCCTAGGAACTCGAAGAAGCGAGGCAGTGTCAGCTCGATCCAGGTGTCCCCGGCCCTGCGGCCCCGGATCTCGCCCAGCATCAAGCCGCTGCTTCCGGGAGGCGTGTCGGTGACGGAGGATCATGCATCACGGTTGCTGGCGACAAAGTCCAACTACCAGAACATCCTGGAGGGTAACATGGTGCCGGGCGTGTCATACCCAAGCGAGCTGTCGACGAATCTAACGTCAAAGCGGACGTCGCACAAGATTGCCGAGCAGGGCAGACGGAATCGAATCAACATGGCGCTTCAAGAGATTGCCGCACTTCTGCCACGGCCGCCACCCAAGGAGGGCAAGGAAGGCAAGGGGAGCGACGACGGGGAGTCTGACAACAAGGCGGCGACCAAGGGGGTCAACGGCAACAACGGCACTGGTGGCGGCGATAGCGGACCCAATAGCAAGGCGAGCACGGTGGAGATGGCGATCGACTACATCAAGCACCTTCAGCAGGAGCTGGCAAACGCGACCAAAAGGGCGGAAGAAGCTGAGAAGAAGCTGCAGCTGGCAGAAGGCGCCTCATAGAAGAAGCTACGGCTGGCAGAAGACGCATTTCAAGAAGAGAGGCGGTGGCGAAGGCGAGCGAACGGAGAAAAAGCTACTAGCACAAAAGGGAATCTGGAGCGATAGACAGCAGGCGTTCCTATGAGGATTAATTTACGGTGCGGAGGCAGACGGGGTGATTTAGCTTTTGGCAGACATGGCAGGATGTTTAGTTACATTAACTTTTCTTGTTATACCTAAGCAAGACAGAGCTTCTTTTACTTTGGGTAGTAATGTTACAGTCATGAAATGTATGTATAGATACCCGTAGCTAGTTTTACAAGGACGATTTAGCAAGCCAGAGATAAGTAATTTTCCGGTTACAGTACCAGCAGCCTAGAGACTGGAGGCAGCCAATTGCTAGAATGCGGGCCACAGTGGCGAGCAGTTTAGCGTCAAGGCTCTGCAACCCCTGCAACTTGTGCCGAGCAAGACCCAGAAGTTCCCCAGTATTTGGCCGGCTAGGGCGAGGGAGCCCAGCCGGTTGCGCCATCAGCTGGGCTGGCAGGACGGTGCGCAGAGCCACGCGTACTCGCTACAGCACTCCGTGCCCGACGAACGCGTGGCCAGCCTGAGGAAGGCGAAGATCTGGGTGCTGCCCGTGACGCTGTGGAAAAAGAGAAGGAAGAAAGAGAAGGAAGGAGAAGGAGAGAGAAAAGAGAGACGAGGCGGCCGAAAAAGACAAGGGAAAAAAAAAAACTGTACTTTTATGTGATCCCGTCCAAATGCGGCAGGAGCGACGACGAGTGTGGCTGTCTGCCTTTTGTGACGTAGGCCTGGGCCCGCTTGCGAAACTGGCTGCCTGGAGTCTCTCGGCCATAATGCCAAGGCGAAACTCTACAACGGGCCCGCCGTCACAGCCTTATCGACGGGGTGCCAAAGTGGCGTCAGCTGCTGTCCGACAGACACGCAAGATGCTGCAGCTCGCTGCCTGATCGTGCCACCGTCTATATAATTGCGAGCTACCCCCGTCTCTCTTCCCATTGCGATCCTTTCTGTTCATCTCCATTTCCCATAGCTCGTCATCTTTCTCTGTGACTCTTCTTCTCTCATATCTTCTGCCCATCCATCATCTTCGACTTCTGCATCCAGCAATCATGGCCTGGAACCCTTCGTCCCAGTCGTCATTCTGGGCTTCCGCCGGTGGTCCTGGCGAGGGCGTCGACCATGCCGGCACCGACGGTCCTCCGCCTCCACCGCCGCCTCATCCTTTCAACAACGTGTCTGGGTTTCCCCGTCCGGACGGTCCTCCGCTTGCCTTCCGTCCTCCTCCTCCTCCTCCTGGTCCTCCTGGCTCGCATGGACCTCCGGGTCCGCATGACGCCCCTCCACCGCCTGGCCCTCACGGCCCTCCACCGCCTCCTGGGCCTCATGGCTGCCACGGTCGCCGTGGTCCTCGTGGTGGTCCTCGTGGCGGTCCCGATTCTGCCGGCGAGGAACACTCAGACTTCTCTGGTCCTTGGGGCCGCGGCCCCTGGGGCTCAGACTGGATGATGGCTGGTCCCTGGGGCCAAGGCCCCCCCGGTGGTGGTGCCTGGTCCGGTGACTGGCACGGCAGCCGTCGTCATGGTGGCCGTCATCATGGTGGTCGTCGTCACGACGAGCACTACGGCGCCTTTGGGCCCCATGGATCACGTGGCTTCGATCGCCATCCGTCCGACTACGGTGACGTCTACGACAGCGACCGCCGCGCCGCTGGCCGGCATGACCGTCACGGTTATCATGGCTATCATGACCACCACGACCGTCACGATCATCACGACTCCCATGACCACGACCATCATTGGGGTCGCCGTGGCGGTGATTATACTGCCGACGAGAAGCGGGACCTCTCCGGCAACGAGTCAGACTCATCCTCGTCATCGGGCAGCAGCGATCCCGAGGAGGAGGATATCAGCACGGTCGATGGCCCGAACACCCCTAGCACGACTACAGTGCGCGAGGCTACGTCGGATGCCGGTGCTGCCAGTGCTACTGCGTCTGCAGCTGCTGGTGCTGGTGCCGGTGCCGCTGCTGCTGATGCCCGCAGTGGCGAGCAGAAGAACGCTCCCGAACATGGTCGCCACCGTCGTCGTGGTGGCCGTGGTCACGGTGGCCGAGGACGTCACGGTGGCCCTGGAGGTCCTGGGGGTCCAGGAGGTCCTGGTGGCCCTGGCGGCTTTGGATTCGGCGGCTTTGGTCATGGTCCTCGCGGTCGTGACCCTCGCGGTGACTTCTTTTCGGCCGGCTTCGGCCCTGGAGGCCCCTTCTTCCAGCACAACCGCTTTGGTGGTCCGGGAGGTCCGGGAGGCCGTGGCAGCATGGGCGGTGCTCCTTCCGGCTTTCCCTTTGACTTTGCCAATGGCCACGGTGGCGCCCGGGGTCCAGCTGGCAACGGCTTCACGCTCCCGCCTGCCTTGGCACCGCTCCTGCAAGCATTTGCTGGCCACCCGCTGGCCCGCAACCTGCGCGCCTACTTTGGTGGCGCTGGCGATGACACCAGCAACGGCAACGACAACAACAACAACAACAACAAGAAAGGCGCTGCCGGTGGCAACGACGACCAGACGGCAGCCGAGCCGGAAGCCTTCTCACCGCCGGTCGATCTCTTCCACGGCGACAACGGCTGGGTGCTGCACGTGGCCCTCCCGGGCGCCAAGAAGGAGGATGTGGGCGTGCACTGGGACGCCGACCGGAAGACGCTGTCGATTGCGGGCGTGATCTACCGGCCGGGTGACGAGGCCTTCCAGCAGAGTCTGGTCAGCGCAGAGCGTCGCGTCGGCTTCTTCCACCGGAAACTGTGCCTGCCGCCCTTCTCGGAGAAGCCGCCGCCATACCCAGCTTCGAGTGCGGCTGCCGCCGGTTCGAGCAACGAGTCTGACGCCGCGGCTGCGACCAGTGTCCCGGAGCAGGTGGCCCGCGAGGACGTCGACGCAAGCAACATTGCTGCTCGCATGGAGAACGGTCTGCTGATTGTGAACGTGCCGATCGTGGAGAAGGGCTGGACGGAGGTGCGCAAGGTGGACATTGAATAGGTCGCGCATTTTCAACAATTACCACTAAAGGCGGTGCTAGCAGCTTAGTAAGCAAGTCCCCGCAGTGGCGTTTTAGGTCAGAAGATTGTAAAACATATAGGCTATCACAGCGCCAGACAGTTCAGAAATGAATCAGAAATAAATAACGACTCGAAACGCATCTAGCGGAGAGCAATAAAACCACCATCAACGGGGAACAGTTGCCCAGTCATCCAATGGGATGCATCGCTAGCCAAGAAGACCATAACAGGAACCAAGTCCTTTGCCGGGTCGCCCAAGTTTCCACCCAACGGAAACTGCTCCTTGAGCAATTTCATGTGCTCTTTCAATTGCTCCGGGCTCAACGCATCGCGAAAGCCGTAGTACATGGGCGTGGCTACATACGGCAAAACGGCATTGACTCCCACGCCAGCGGGCCTCCATTCCCTGGCCACACTACGTGTCCAGGTGTGTACAGCGCCTTTGGTCATGCCATAGTATGCATTCGACACTTCCGATGTAAGGCCGGCCTCAGAGCCGAAGTTGATGATAGCGCCGCCCTGGCCACCCTTCTTCATGAGTTGGTAGGCCGCCGCGTTGGTGAAGAGGGTTCCCCAGATATTGATCTTGGTGATCAGCTCAATAAAGTCCTCGGGCGAATCGTCGGAAGGAGCATGCTTGTGGATGCCGGCGACATGGACAAGAACATCAAGGCCCCCAAGTTCCTCTGCTGCGGCAGCAAAGGCAGAAGTGACTGCGCTCTTGCTGGTAATGTCCAGCGTCTTGTACGTGACCGTGCCTGGCCCAGCAGCGGTGGACTCTTCGGCGACCTTGATGCCTACTGCGTCTTTGACGTCCATGGAGACGACGGTAGCACCCTCGGCAGCATAGGCGCGGACGACGCTCTCGCCAATGCCCTGAGAACCACCAGTGACAATGATACGTTTAGCGTCCAGCTGTCCCCAGAGAGGACTTCCGCTGGAGAAAGAGCGGGTGGCGTTTGCGATGGCCTGTCGATAGGGTCTACCCTTTAACAGGGAAGTGAGAGAGTATTTGGCGCTTGCGATCGTCGTGGCGAAGAACGGTAACTGTGAATTCCCAATTGCAAAGAAAGATATGATATGAACTAGTTGAGTATGTAAATGTATCGAGGAAACACTACGAAAATCTGGAGGTGGCGATGTGGCCATATATCGTCGGATACGTGCTAGAACTGAAGTGGAATGCGGGGATAGAGACTTTCTCCGCATCGGTGGGTTCCACGTAAGATATCTTGAACGCCCCAATACATGCTAGCAAACATCTCCTGATCGTTGCTTAAGCCGGCCGCAGCATATAATGCGCAATTGCCCATTTTGCACTACGCCGTAGATTCATGGCTTTCATCAGGTCATCCTCCTCCTCTTCCTCACTATCGTCATCAGAGTCCTGCGGTCCCGTTTCGTCGTCAGGAGCGACATCAAAGCAGCCCGTAGTCCCAGAAAGGATTGAACAGTCCTCGCTTAATGCGCTCCCGTTCTGAGCCTGTGGTGTGATAGAAACAAGGCCAACAAACGGGATGGACAGCACAAGAGCGTCGCTATTCCCCAAGGACGCTCCACTCGGCTTACGGTATGTCACAGCAATCACAGTCCCGCTGGCCTCGAGCGCAAGCAATCGGAACAGCACGTCTTCGTCCTCGTCTCCTGCAAGCTGCACTTTCTCCATCGCCTTGGAGGCTAGGGCGCGATCCGAGAGTTGCTGCTGGTGGTCGGGACGTCCCAAGGACGTAGTCGTTGTCGTATGGAAGCCGTCGAGAAGAAGGGCGAGCAGCAAAGTCGCGGCGGCATGCCACGCATAGGATTCCAAGAGCCGGAAGTAGCTAGCGGTGCGCTTGCAGGACCGAAGACGGAGGAAACGGTGCAGTAGGTCGCGGCTAGCTTTAATGCAGATGTTGCGACTGCTACCAAGGAAGCAATTATGGTGGTGATGACGATGCTCGTTAGCAGTGGTGGTATTGATGGTCGGCTCACCGCATGTTGCCTGTAGCATGCATGGGAGCTCAGCGAGCAGAAGAAGGTGGAAGTGGAATATTTGTGCCCGGAGCTTCATCACGGCTCCAAACAGATGATTGTCGTCGTCAGTCTCACCCCCTGCGTGATCGGCTAGGTTGGGTGTGCTCCACCATTCGCTCGACATCGTGCTCGCGGCTTCTTCCAGCTCCATACAAATCTGATGCGCGGCATCCAAGTCTGTAAAGTCAGGTTCATGTTCTCTCTGCTTGAGAAAGTGGCTGGCTATTGCGGCATGCTTCCTCTCGAGCTTGCTTGTACATGCATTATTGTCCTCTTTTGTGACTGAATATGCCACGGATGTGAAGGCTTCATCTGGGCAAGAGGCCGAGGGCGGCATCTCTAGCGCCAAGCATAACGCGAGCTCGCTGTGCACGAGGCGGAACCATATCTGCTGCAGGTCTGCCTCTACACCATTGGGTTGCGGTAGGATCGATCTCGGTGATGCCATCCGGGGATACTGGCGTCCGTGAAATCCCATTACGTGCACTGCAGAGATGGCCCTCCGGCATGCCAGCCAGGAATGGCGGAGGTTGCCATTGTGTTCATGATATACGGCCTCGAGCCAGATGCAATCAAGGCCCTCGAGGGTATTGGTAGTGAACTTGTCGTGCGCCGTCACCAGCGTCGTGGCTGCCTCTGCTAGTCGTCTCGCCAGCGTCCGCGGCGGCTGGGACAACTCGCCTAGCTGCTGGTATCTGCTGCTGTGACTCCTTGCGGATTCCGTAGCAGGCATATGCTGTAGAACCCCGGCGAGCAGGAGCATCTGTCGGGCGATGAGGACCGGATGTGTTTCTGCCGTGTACAGTTGTTGTTGTTGCTCCCCCCACAGATTCATCAACTCTAGTGTCACTCCCGTTTGGAGCAAGTTGGACTGCGCCGCAAATTTCTGCAGCAGGTTGAGCGAAAGGTTGTCACAGGTGCTGCCGATGATATGAAGGTCTGTGGCTGACGGATAGGCCGCAAGCAATTCTTGTGAGAGCGTCTGGTGCTTGGACTGCGTCATAGAAGGTGGTACTGGAATGCTGATTTTGGCCACGGTCGATGACAAGCCGGAAGAAGCGACACGGCCAGTGACTTGCTCAGCCAGCTGCTGGATCATGGATTCCAGCCGGCCGATGCGGTATCCTACCATCCGGCTTTTGGACGACGGCCCGGGGTCCTGATCCGGGAACTCCTGGCTGATGCAGTCCAGGCAGCGCCGGGTGCACCCAATGCATACGTCGTTAGCGGGACTTGCATACGTGCATTTCATCTTGCGCCGTTTGCATGCCCAACAGCTCCGCGTTCCCTTGCGCGTCTTCTGCCTCTTCAGGCTACGTCCTGTGTCGATGTTGCTGCTGCTATGCGCCGTCCTGGCGCAATGAACGAAGTGAGGCATAGCGTTATATCGAGCGCCACTTTGGTGAACCATGCGCGCGCAAGAAAGAGGGTGAAACCGGGGAGATGGCCCAGAGATCTGAAGATGCATTATATGGGAGAGACCCGCAATTCTTGAAGATCGACGACTAGGGCCGGCTGTAAGCCCGTAGCGGACGTAAGAAAGAGCGGCGGTGGAGCCACTACTTCCGGACTCTTGACAGCTGGCCCACTTAAATCCGGGCAGCGCAAAGTCTACGACAAGGAAGTGGGCGTATAAGTGTTTGCTTTTCTAAGCAATGAAGCTTCCCACAAGAAGAACAAGAGATACCAGGCCAGACCAGACTCTGATTCTGATTCTGATGCTGACTCTGTCTCTCTTTGAATACAAAAAATGGAATCTTATTTAACGCAAGCCCCCACAGAGCCTTTCGAGCATGACACAGCATCATATAAGGAAGAACACGTGCCCGACATGATTTCCGACCACACGATGAATGAAAAAAAGGAGGAGAATCCTAAGGTCGGCAGTGATTTTTCTGGGGCTGCTAGGCCTTCTCCCGCGTTGGATGCGGACGACTATCCCTCAGGCGCAGCACTTGCCTTTATCGTCGTGGCCCTGGCCATGAGCATGTTCCTAGTCGCCCTGGATATGGTGAGTCAAAACAATCAAAGACAATTGATTGATCAGTTCTTTGACAATTTTCCCAGACAATCATTGCGACGGCCGTCCCCAAGATCACCGATGACTTCCACAGCCTCAACGACATCGCCTGGTACGGCTCAGCCTTTTTCGTGACGAGTGGTGGTTTCCAGTCCTCGTGGGGCAAGGCCTTCAAGTACTTCTCTCTCAAATTTACCTACCTCGCCGCCATTTTCATTTTCGAAGTCGGCAGTCTGATTTGCGGCGTAGCACCTACGTCCAAGGCCCTGATTATCGGGCGAGCTATTGCTGGTGTGGGTGCCGCTGGTGTCAGCTCCGGAACCTATACGCTGATCGCCTTTGCAGCACGACCCGAGAGGAGGCCTGTCTTTGTCGGAATCTTCGGCCTCTGTTTCGGCCTCGCATCTGTAGTCGGACCTCTTATTGGTGGCGCTTTTACCGGCCATGTCACCTGGCGCTGGTGCTTCTACATCAATCTGCCCATTGGCGGGCTATCGGCCTTTCTTGTCTTCATCTTCTACCGCACACCTGCATGGTATAAGCCTGCCGAGGCCAGCTGGCAGGAGAAGCTGCTGCAGATGGACCCTGTGGGCACCGCTCTGGCCTTGGCGGCTATCATCGCCTATATCATAGCTATGCAGTACGGTGGGCAGACCGAGCCGTGGAATTCGTCCAAGGTGATTGGCTTGCTCGTGGGCTTTGTGCTCATCACTGCCGTTTTCGTGGCCTGGGAGATATATGCGGGCGAGCGGGCCATGATGCCGTCACGCATCATGAAGCAGCGCGTCGTGTGGTTCAACTCATTGTGGGCCTTCCTCTTAATCGGCGCCTACTTCACGACTGTCTACTACCTTCCCGTCTACTTTCAGAGCATCCACAACCTCAGCCCAACGGCATCCGGCGTACGCAGCCTGCCGCTGATCCTGACCACTAGTGTCGCTATCGTTATTCTCGGTATGACCGTCAAGTACTTCGTCTCGTATACGGCGTTGGTCATGGCCTTTTGCGCAGCTGTCGCCGCCACTGCGATCGGGCTGATGATTACCTATGACATTGGCTCTTCCCTGGGCAAGCAGGTCGGCTACCAGCTCCTTGCCGGCTTTGCGCTCGGTTTTCCCTTCCAGCTTCCCGTCATCAATGCCCAGACCCAGGCCAAAGCTGAGGATATTGCCATTATGACGGCCATCATTATATGTGAGTTTTTGGTGTCCAGAACCTGTCTAGCATTTCCGTACTGACAGTCTCCTTCTTACTGCAGTTTCAGAGACAATCTCCGGCGCCATCCTCCTGTCTGCCGCGTAATGTGCCTTTGTCAACAAGATGCTAAAATCGCTGGCTGTCAAGGCCCCGGGCGTTGATTCGGCCACGGTCATTGCGACAGGCGTGTCTGATATCCGCAAAGTGTTTCCTGCAGACCAGATCCACGGAATCTTGCTTGCATACATGGACGGCCTTCGGATCCCGTTCGCCATCGCTGCAGCTACCGCTGGTTCTGCCTGCATCCTCGCCTGCATTACGTTTGTTATCCTTACTCGTGTGGGAAGGAAGACTGTTGGCGGTGGCTTGGGGTCTAGTGACGGCTCGGAGGAGCAGCCGACTTTGGTATAAGTGCCCAACTGCCAACGAGGTTCTGCCATACGTCCGAATAAGCAACGTCTTCATAAACACTCCAAAGGAAGTCTGTTCACTTGTCATAGTTTCCGTCTACGACACAGTCCAAGAAGAGATCTTGATATATCAAACCATTAGCAGCTTCGCAGCTTTGAAGCAATCAACAACCAAGCATTTCGTAGCATAAACAATTTGTGGCTTTCTACCCCTCCTACAGGACGTCGAAGAATACGTCTTAGTCGTGGTTGCTGATATAATTTCCAAATACTAAGATACGCAAGAATCAAATAAGTTGTTTGATTCCAGCGCGCTTCGAGTCGAATTTTCGTCTCAATTATATTTAGTCCCTAATAAAGACGTCTTCAATCTATATTTTCACGATGCACAAGATTATTTGCACCGGCAACGTCTGGCATGTAGCGATATTGTCCTAAATAGGCAAAAGACTTTACGCGCACCTTAGGGAATAAGTAAAGCAAGAGGTCCACTAAATACGACGAAATACCATCAATCAAGGACGAGGGCGGATCGGATAGGACTTAGGGGGGGATGGTTCTCCGCATCCGCCGTGGCAAGCTCGTACATGTCACCGTGGCGCACAGACTCGTATGCTGTCTCTGTGGCCGGCCGGGTAAGGTCGCAGAAGCCGCCGTCGCGTCCCATGTCCCACGGGCTCTGGCGGATCGACCCAGGCTGGTCCAGGTCCTTGAACCAAAACACTTTGCCTGGGGTGTACTAGGAGGTTGTGGATCGTCCCATAGCAGCTCTAAAAGCGCATCGAATCGAGCTGGATTGTCTCTAGCGGCGGACTGCGGCGGTAAAAGCCCGTTTATGCTCTAGCCAATCAATAGGATAGTCGGCCGTTGATAGAGACGCGCGCTTGCAACTTCTGATGCAAGTGCATGAGCTCTTATAGGGTGAGTAGTTTGAGGAAAACGTAGTTAGAGCAGGCGTTAGCGAATGAGACCAGTTGTTGTTCAAGTGAGTCCATGAGGCAGAGGAGTAGGAGGCAGGGATTGGAAAAAAATTGGATGAAATCAGCTGGTGCTTGACGCTGGTGCCGATTCTAGTGGTTTTGACTTAAGAAGAGCTGCTACCAAACTGTCAGGAAGTGAAGTGAAATGAAGATGAATTATCCCCCTGCCGTAGCTAGTGGGGTTGTGCGAGGGGCGCCGAACTTCGTACTCCGTACTTTGTAATTCGTACTTCGTCGAGGAGCTCTTGTATAAACACCCTCGCAGCTGACTAAACTAGCATGAATAAGTATGACTAAGCCTAACACTGCTTGCCTAACCTCAGCAACCATTCTACAGACCTTGCAAAAGCCTCACTCAGCCTCCACCCGACCTTTCGCCATGCCACCGAGCTACGAGGAGCTGCTGCGTCTGGTCGAGGCGGCCGAGGCACGCGCAGAGCAAGTACAGATACGCGCAGAGCAAGCGCAGGTACGTGCAGAGAAAGAAAAGTTATGCGCAGACCTGGAGAAGATACGTGCAGACCAGGAGAAGGCACACGCAGAGAAGGAAAAGGTACACGCAGAGAAAGAAAAGAAACGCGCAGACTTGGAGAGGATACGTGCAGACCAAGAGAATGCACGTGCAGAGAAAGAAAAGGCACAGGCTGAACAGGAAAAGGCACGCGCAGACCTACAGGAGCGACGAGAGAAGCCATCCTGCTTCGTCGACTACGTGCGCAATACGGAGGAGATCTTGTTCCGAACCTTTTGCATCGAACCGGCCGTGACGGCGGTATCCAAGACGGCAGGGTCGGCCAACACGACGACAAGTGTCAGCGCCAAGTTCTATCCCAAGCGGCTGCGGCCGTGGGACTTTCACAATGTCCAGCCGGCCTTGTTCGAGACGCTGGCTACCACGTTTGGCGACGAACCGTTGTTCCCTGCGTTGACCGACGTCGTGGGTGTTGGCCGCGACATGGGTCCCGGACCTGCCGACGAGCAGGACTTGCGGTCGTTTATCCGCACTGCCATCGAAAAGCCAGCCGCGCGTGTTGTGACCGAGTATCTTGGACGGATGCGAAAAAGACAGGGACAAGAAACAACGCCTTCGGACTCAGCCTTGGCCTAGGAGAGCCGTCACAGGCAGACGTCCCCGACCGCTGGTGTGTCGGCTACAATCATGACGGAAGTCTTGTACATGTACTCGTCGGCGAGTACAAGGCCGCGCACAAGCTGCCTGCCCAAAAACTCTGCACCGTTCTCTCAAGGCCTCCAAAGGAAGACTTCTTTATCCAAGCAGTACGGCAGATGGGAAAGACATCTAGTACAGAGTCCAGTACTGTAGCTGCTCCTCTACCAGCCAACGTATCGCGTACTGCACCAACCATCAACGAAGAGCAAGAGCTGGAAACCGAAGACATATTTGTTGCCCGTGTTATCTGCCAGGCCTACCACTACATGATTGCTTCAGGCCTCGAATTCGGGTACGTGGCGTCGGGCGATGGTTTCATCTTCCTCCGTGTCCTCGAAGACGACCCCCAAACCCTTTACTACTTTTGGTCTGTCTTTCCCGTTTCGTCTGTCCCAGAACAGATAACGCACCAAGGCAACGACGATGCAGGGAATCTGGCCGTCATCTTCCGAAAACCGCACCAGACGGCTTTGGTATATCTTGCAAGCCTTTGCATGCTAGCTGTAAAGTCAGTTATAAGGCCCATGTCTTGGATTGATGCTCGCGAAAAAGACCTCAAGAGATGGCCAGCACCGTACGACGAAGTGGTGCCTATCTCGACAATGGCTCTCCTACCACCGGCACTAGACCCACCCAACAAGGATAAGGACTCTGGCGAGGACAACGGTCGTGCTGGCAGCGGTGGCAAAGGTTCTCGCGGCGAAAGCACAAAACGGCCGCGCTCCTCGTATCTCTCAGAGTCCTCGCACTCCACGCATACCTCAGACAGCACAAAAACGGCAAGCACACCCTTTACAATTGAGCTGCCAACGCTGCCCTACTGCACCCAGGCATGTCTCCACGGCCTTTGTATCGGCGCACCTCTCGACTCTCGCTGCCCAAACGTGGCGCTACATCGAGCAGCAAGGCCACAACAGTCACAACAGCTGCAACAAGAAGGCCACCCGCTCACGGCCGCAGAGGTACGTGGACGCATCGTGGCCCAGCTGGCCCAGAACATGGACAAGGACTGCGAATGCCTCGAGAAGTGGGGATTCTTTGGCGCATACGGCGTTCTCTTCAAACTCGCCGTCATCGGCTATGGCTACACCTTTGTCGCCAAGGGCGTCCAGGCCCCTCACCGCCACGTTCTCGAGGGCGAGGCGGATGTCTACACGGCCATGGCTGCCTACCAAGGCCGCCTCCTTCCCGTCTTCCTCGGTCTTGTCGACCTCGAGCGGCCGCTGCCGCTGCACAGTTTGGCCCGCGTGCCACACCTGATGCTGCTGTCGTATGCCGGGCCGCCGCTGCCGCACGACATGGACTGGGAGCCAGAGGCGAATCGCACGACGGCCGAGCTTAGGGCCGCGGGCCTGTGCAACGAAGATGTGCGTCCGGCCAACCTCGCGTGGAACAAAGAGGCCGGCCGGATGATGCAGCTCGACTTTGACCAGGCTTCTGTGCAGCTACCGAAGCGGCAGGCACTGCTGCGCTCGCCACTCTTGGCGAAGCGAGAGCTGAACGCTGCGCACGACGACGGAGGCGAGCGTGGCGAACTTCCGGCCGTGAAGCGTGTGCGATATGGACGTATTATGGGCTAGACAGAGCCTGATAATCAATGGTGGAGAACTGTCGTTCGAGCTTTTATCGTAAGGGAATGACCACAGAAGCATAGGCATATCAGGGTGAATGGTGTTTACGACAAAGTTATGGATGGATTCAATGAACTTCTGCGGAAGTTTATGCGGACAATGATTACGATTGATCCTTGGCAAGAACCCAATATCACATATACATGGGGCCAGCCTTGATGCGGCCGCCATATACGAGTATAACGACTTACGATGATGTTGACAATAGTTTACCTAGTTTCTTATTTAATAACGATGATAGCATTAATATTGTATCGCAGAGCTTTCGCCTGGCATCATGCCCAACTCAAACGCGGGGCCTGCGATATGACGTTGGTATTCTGCCAAAAGGTGGTGAGCCAGTAGTCATGTGCTCGAGTCCCACCCAACGGCTGCCTGCAGAGCTGACTCATCCGATCTCGCCCCACCGTGCTGGCTCGCCGCTAGTGAAGCAGGTGTTGCCACTGACAACAGGGATATTACTAGCTCGCCGAAAACGTAACAACAAAGCCAAAAGCACCCTCTTTTCTCAGACAGGACCACAACGGGCTGTCATCCTGCAAGAAACAACGCTTCCAAAAGAGGCTGACAGAAGCGATCTCTCTTGTCGCGCCACGCGATTGTCGACTTTCCGACGTCTGGGTCCTATCCCTGTTCTTTCCCCTCTTCCCATCTGGTCCTTTTTTCTGCCCTACCTTATCTACACTTCAGCCGTCTATCGACAGCATTCCATTGAAATTTTCTCTGCAGACAGCGTGTTCCCCCACGGCCTATCATGTCGGACTCGGAGAGCGTTGACTATCTCCAGCCGGGCTTCGACCCGATGACGCTGACGAATCCCCGTCTGCGGTCGATCCTGGTGACGTATAACGTGCCGTATGCGTCCAACGCGAAAAAGCCCGACCTGGTCGAGCTGTTCAACAGCCACGTGGCGACACAGGCGAGCAAGATCCTGGCCCGCCGTGCGAGGGCCAAGCGGTCCAGCATGGGCATCATCGACGCGACGCAGGGTGGCCAGAGCCACAGCACGGCCGACGGTTTTGATGATCCTCCTCCGACAGAGCGAAAGCGGCGGACTGGCCGAGCAGCTACGCACAGCCCAGTCAAGCGGGAAGCTATGACGCCGCGACACCTGGACAGCGGGCACGACGAGGACGAGGAAGATGCAAACTACCGCCGACAGCGCCGCACAAGCCCGCGGAAGCGTCAATCGCGGTCTACCAGCTATCAGCCGGGTTCCCCCCGCCGATGCCCGCTCATCTGCCGACGGCATCGGACACCGACACGGGCACGGATGCGGATGCAGCTGCAGCTACACGCACGCTGCTGCGGCCGCAGTCGTCGTCGCGCCAGACGCGGGCCCGGACGCCGCAGATCAAGCTCGAGCCCACGGAAGAGGAGCAGCCGGTGCTCCCGGCACGTTTGGAGCCGGTGCCGGTGCTCTCATGGACGCCTCAGCCAGCCCGCAGCATCGCTCGCAGCCACCACGTGGCGCAGAGTTCGACCGACGAGGAAGTGCCCTTTACCAACGACAATCCCTTCCAGAGCGGCAGCTCGCCGCTGGCGGCAGCATCGGCCGCGGCAGCAGGCCGCACGCCGCGCAGAAGAACAGCTGTCAGCCCAGAGAAGCGATCGTCTACCGGCACAACGATGCCAGACTCGGCATACGCACGCCGGCGCACTGCGGACGCTGCCTTTTCCGCGTCTGCTTCGTCGTCCTTTACGCTCGTGAACCCCACATCGCCGGCACCCGAGTCGGACGAAGACGACGACGACGATGCCTTGGAGCCGGGCGAGGAGTTCACGCCAGAGGCGCAGCTGGAACTGGCCCAGGAGGAAGCGGCTCTGCGCGAGCGCAACGCGGCCAACGGGCGGCGGGTCGGCCGGAAGAACCGGGCTGATGCAGCGACGTCGTCGAGACGGCGCAGCGTGCGATCGGCCCTGGTCACGCCGCTGTGGGTGCTACTTCTGACACTGCTGGGGACCTATGGGGCTTGGTATCGGCAGGAAAAGATGGCCGTCGGCTACTGCGGACTGGGACGGTCGGTGGTGCCATTGCTGACAGAGCAGATCGACTGGCTGATGGACCGGTTGCCAGAGCCCATGCGCGAGACGGTGGCCATGGTGGAGATGCCGCCTCGACTGAGCGTGCTGGTCGAGCCGCAGTGTGAGCTGTGTCCGGCCCATGCGTTCTGCTACTCGGACTTTTCGGTGCGCTGCGAGAGCGGCTATCTGCTGAAGCCACACCCTCTGTCGCTGGGTGGCCTGGTGCCGCTACCGCCAACTTGCGAGCCGGACGGCGAGCGGGCTCGACGGGTCAAGGCCGTGGCTGACAAGGCAGTCGAGGAATTGCGCAACCGACGGGCACGGTGGGAGTGTGGCGATCTCGTGGACGATGATGGCATCTCGGCAGCTTCACCGGCCATGGATGTGCCGGTGCTCAAGCGGGTGATCGCCGACAAGCGCAGCAAGAAGATGAGCAAGGACGAGTTTGACGACCTGTGGACGGCGGCGATCGGCGAGATCGAGACGCGCGAAGAGGTCGAGATCGAGCCGGAATATACGTGAGTCTTGACCGTTCCTTTTTACCCCCTCCCCCCCCCGGTTGTACTCAGTCTGACCATAACACTAACCAGCTACCCGGCTGGACCGATAGAGCCCCCGATTCCGGAGCCGTTTCAGACGCCCGCCTATCGTCCACCTCGCTCGCTCGCCTTCCATTCACGTGTGCCATCCGCCGGTCCATCCGACTCGGCTTCGCCCGATATCGATTCCCTGTTTCAGTTCTAGTGCTGGCCGTGCTGGCCCTGCTGTATGTGCGCGCTCGTTTCCGGGCGCGCCGGGCGATGCTGGCTCGCGTGCCGGCTCTGGTCGACCTCGCGCTGGAGCGTCTGGCCGCCCAGAAGGAGCTCTACCTGATCGACGAGGACGAGGGGGGGGAGAGGGGGGTGGACCGGGACGCCGATGGTCTCCGACCGGACCCGTTTCTGTTTCTGCCGCAGCTGCGCGACGACGTCCTGCGGTCGACGCACTCGCTGGCCGCCCGGGAACGTATCTGGAAGCCGGTGCGCGCCGTTGTCGAGCAGAACAGCAACGTGCGTGCAGGCCAGCGTGAGGGCCGCAACGGTGAAGTCGGTCGTGCATGGGAGTGGATCGGGCCCGTCGGAACGACGGGTGAGGACGACAACACAATGAATGGTGGTGGCGGCAATGGTGGCCGGTCTAGCCTCTACTTTGAGCGTAGCGCACGGCGGCGTCGCAGTGGTCGCGCATCGACCGGACCCGACGGAGGGAGCGTCCGGGAGCGAGTCGAGCGGGTTGAGCGAGGCGAGCGAGACAGTCGAGGAGATCGAGGAGATCGAGGAGATCGAGGAAGCTCGGCAACAGCGAGACCAAATCCACCTGCTCCCACCCGAGACGGTCAGGATGGCAACAAAACGTCGGCGCTGCATCGACGATGGCAGGAGTCCAGGCCGGTATACTGAGCTGGTGAGAGGGATACTAGGGAGACAGGGAGAGGAGAGGAAGATGAGAGAGGGAGTGGGAGACGGAAAGCTCGAGCGAGAGCTACTGCACCATCACACCCCAACACCTGACGACTTGAGACCTCGAGACTAGAGTTGAGCTCGTCTACCAGCTAGAAATGGCGTTATTACTGTCACGAATGAGCCTCTGCTTTTTCTGCCTGTTTCAACTTACAACTGTCACTAATGAACCACAATTCTTCCGCGCTGCTTTGTCTGCTTAGTTATTGATTATGTCAGCACCGACGGCAGTCGGTATGGGCAGTTTAGACGCCCAAAGGCAAGGCTTTTGACATTGGCTTAATTCTGTTCATACGATCTTACATAGTTCGCTGCTTAGCTATAGAATGTAACCCAACGTCTCATGTCTTGCTCCAACACTTTCCCTTGAAGCTATGCCATCCCCAACCAACATATAGCCTGCACGTATCCGCTCCAGAGCAAATCTTAATCTATCCTTTCCCTGCCTCGTGGCACAAACGAGAGCACCGTGAGAGGAATGTATATATGTTGGCCGACCCTGATTCCAAAACGCCATACACAAAAGAAACGTCCCGGGTACGGAAGGGAGAGAATACACAAAAGAAAAACGGAAAGAGAGGCAAGAGAAGTCCAAATGCAAAGACACTGCAATGCAAATCACCTGAGATCACTCCACCTTTAGCCGGCGCGTGGCGCGTGCCGAAATAAGAGCAAAGAAGGCCCCGATAAAGAAGATCACCGCAATGGCATTGGGCCCGTCCGTGCTGTGGTGCTCCGACGGATGCGCATCCTTGGCCAGCTCCGGACTCTTGCCGGGCTCCAGCACGGCAAACACCATCGTGCTGATCATGTTGCCCAGGAACTGCGGAACGGTCGTGTACATGTTGAGAATGCCAAAGTAGATGCCGCTCAGCTCACCCGACGATGTCTCGGTGCTTTTGGCCTTGGACAGCCCATGCTCCAGCTTGCCAAGGTCTCCGCTGTCGCGCAGCCGCCGATGGGAAGCACCGCCACGGCTGTTGGTGAGCCTGTTGACCTCTATGCCCAAAAAGGCTGCTGGCGCCCACGTGACCACGGTCCACGGAATGCCACAGAGCGACACGAGGAGGGTGGCGACCCGAAAGCTCATGGCGAACGGGGTCATGAACATGACAAAGGCAAAGACGATATGGCCACAGGTCCAGGCATTGAGTAGGTCCGGTCGCGATTTCTCCATAAAGTCGGCAAACCGCGCAATACTCTTTGGCGGACGGTGGGTGAAGTTCTCGTCGAACGGACTCCGCACCAAGAGCGGCAGAACTGCCGCCGCCAAGACCGTGACGCTGGAGTAGGCCGTCAGAGCGTAGCTGCCGATGCGTCCCATGTCGCCAAGGGCATCGTTAGTGACCCTCGCATCCGTGGGTACATCGTACCGAAAGTATGTCTCGCCAACCCATGTGCTGCTGTAGATCATAAATGGGAACCAGCCGATCCAGCCCCAGAAAACAGCCCAGCAGATCGCCTGCATGCGCGGAGGCAGTGTCAGCAGCGTCGACCAGATCTGCCGGAACACCTTGATCAGTCTGCTCAGCCCGCCCATGTCCGACATGTCGTGGCTGTGGCCGTGAGAAGGCAGCATGGCCCGCTCGGTGACAGCCCAGCAGGTGACGGCCGAGGTGCAGACGATGCTGGCCGCAGCAATGACGGTGAGCTGCTTGAACTGCGTGTCGCCCAGAGTCGGCCCCAGAGCCGCGACAAGATCGACCGCACCAGCACCGTAGCCGATCAGGTGGCCAAACGAGGCCATCCGGCTAGACCACGCAGAGCCCTCCTGCTGCTTCTCGATTGGCAGCGTATCGACCACGAGGCTGCGCACGCAGGACATGGCCGCATTGATAGCAAAGTCGACCACGTACAGCGCAAGTACAGCCAGCGTGATGACGATTTTCCGGTGTGGTATAGGAGCCGTGGTCCCCTGGCCGAGGGTAAACCCTTCGTTCCCGAGGACGGCAGTGACGATTTCGCTGGTGAATCCCAGCGTCAGCAGAGCGCCGACGACAAGGATGTTGCCGACGACGATAAATGGCCGCCGACGGCCCCATTTGCCCGTCCATTGATCGGAGATCACGCCGACAACAGGCTGGACGATCATGCCCGAGATTGGGCCGGCGAGCCACACGAACGAAGCCTGGCCCTTAGTGAGCCCGAGAGACAACATATAAGGAGTGCAATCTGTCACGATGCACGTCAGCCAGGAGCCCGGTGGAGGATGTATTGCGGTTGTGGAAGTACGTACACGTCATCTCGACTCCCCAAGTGAACCTGATTACATCCAGAATAGTGAGTATAGACACAAAAAACAGAATAAAAAGAGGGAGACAGCACATACGCTATGCCAATGCTTGCACAAGTCAACAGCATCATGCGCATTGTCTCCGAGCTGCCCTTGATGGCCGGCTGGCCCACCCAGGTCGCCATGGCCGTGTCGTGAACAAAGGGAAGCTCTCTTCTGTATAGACTGTCTTTGATGTGCCCAATGTCGTCGTCCGAGTCCGAGTAGTCGCAATGCTGAACGTCGAGTTGCCACCTCGGGCGATTAACGTCTGCGCCATGAACATCAGCATGAGCTTCAAATACGCCCGTGGAGCGCTGCCGGTCGTGTTTTCTGTAGTCCTTCATGCTCGGCTGACATCGGACAGGAAGAGAAGACGGTGAGGAACAAGAGATGCAGAAGCACAATAAGCTGGCATCAGTGACGTCGAAGCGTGAGCCTAGTCGGTCCTCGAAGACTGCCAATCGCATCTGGTCTGCCGTCCCATGGCCTCTCTGTCTTCTTGCTATCTTCTTTCCTCGCTTATCTTCGCTTCGCGTGTGGCAGCCGATGTTTGCATCCTCTCTGTTCTATCGCACTTCCTTCACGTCTCCGCAGTGCGCCCAAAGAGGCAATTGTGTCCTTACCCAGCGTATCAAGCGCAGCAAATGGGCATGCTTAGGAAAAAAAACTCTCTGTGCTGTGTGTCGTCGTTGCAAGATGAAGAAGGCACGAGGAGGGAGAAAGAGAAGAACAGAAATCCGGAGAAAAATAGAAAATAGAAAGGGACCGTTCCTGCATCGCAATGATCGGCCCGGGAATGCTGTCCTTGATAAAACGAATACGGGCAACATTAGGGGAAGCCGCGTCTGACAAGGCACGTGTGGGTCAGTGACGTCGCCAGCCCCTTTTACGGAGCGCTGCTACTGGTTCCTTCAGGCTTCGATTGCAGGCCGCCGCGCCTCTGCCAGACGCCCTGTAATGAGCTGTCGCGCTAACCGTCGCCGCATTGCGCTTGCCGCATTCTAGAATAGCATTATTATATGGGCAGGAACCGACGAGCGGCAACCAATACGACATACGCGTGTTAGGCAAGTCCGATCTAGGTGGCAGAATTGGGGAATGGAGAAAAAAAAGTTGAGTCAGAAAAGCCGAGCCAAACGAGACGACGCCGTCTTGCTGGCCGAACAAAGCCCAACACATCTGTCCCTTCTCATGAGCATTTCGCATTCCACAAGAGATAGATTCCAGATCGTTGCTGCATTGCCCTTTCCCTGCCATAGCTTCTTTCCCGGTCGTCTGGCACCCTGATCTCCGCATATTCTCTTACCCCGCCTTTGCCTCTTCAAATCACCAATTCCTGCATCTGCACTATAATATCGTGAAGCGATCTCGAGCTTCAATTGCCTCACTCCACCCTCTATTTCTACTTGCAACTGCCAGGCACCACGCCGGCACTCAGCGCGAAACAATGGATTTGGTCAACAAGTGAGTCCCGGCTATCTTCCCTGTTGCCCCTCCTCTGCTATGGCTGACACTGAGAGCAAAGCCTGGACGGTCGTCTTCTCTTTGCGATCCCAAAGAGTGAGTGGCTCCATACTCCCCAGGCCGTGCCGTAGCCAATTGACTGACCGCCGCCGTTCTAGAGGGCCGCCTGCAACAATCAGCTCTTGACCTGCTCCGGGGTGCCGACATCCAGTTCAAGCGCGAAAACCGGCTGGACATTGCTCTAGTGAAGAACCTGCAGATTGCCCTTGTCTTCCTCCCTGCTGCCGACATCCCGACATTTGTTGGCGAGGGCCAGGTCGACCTCGGCATCACCGGCCTCGACCAGGTCAAGGAGCACGATGCCGGTGTGCGGGCCATGACGCGGGCACGGAGAGAATCAGCCGCAGTGAGTGCCGACGTCGCCTCGGCCATTGCAGCTGGGAGCGCGGCTCCGACGACGGCCAAGGCTCGCGGCTGCGAGACCGTTCTAGAGCTCGGCTTTGGCAGCTGCAAGCTGCAGGTGCAGGTGCCGGAAAAGGGCAGCTACGTCGAGCCGCGCGACCTCATTGGCAAGAACATCGGCACCAGCTTCGTCCACCTGGCCGAGGAGTACTTTGGCCGCCTTGAGCTGGAGCAGGACGGGCTGACCAGCACCGACGCCGCCGTGAGCCCCCGAAAGCTGCGCACCAAGATCATCGAGCTGAGCGGCAGCGTCGAGGCGGCCTGCGCGCTCGGTGTGGCCGACGGCATCGTCGATCTTGTTGGTGAGTGCGGCATCTGCGCTGTGTCCGCCTTGACCACATGCTAATGACAATGTGTCTGCAGAGTCGGGAGAGACCATGAAGGCGGCTGGCCTGAAGCCTATCGACACAGTGGTTGACTCGTCGGCCATTCTGATCAAGTCCAAGTCGCCGAGCAACCCGGAGCTGCTGGACCTGATCGCCTCGCGCATTAGCGGCGTCATCACCGCACAGAAGTTCGTCCTCTGCCAGTACAACATCCCGCGAGCCCAGCTGCCCGAAGCGACGACCATCACGCCAGGCAAGCGTGCACCGACCATCACGGCCCTGGACGAGCCTGACTGGGTGGCCGTCAGCGCTATGGTGGAGAAGAAGAAGATTGCCACGGTGATGGACAACCTGGTCAAGGTTGGCGCCACGGACATTCTCGTCCTGGATATCCACAACACCCGCAACAGCTGAAGCGTGGCGCTTGTACTGCAGTTTGGCTTGGAATGGTTAGAAAAAAGAAATAAAGAGATTTGGTCACAACAAATAGAAGGGTCCCGGCGTCCTGTTGGCAACAGCACAAACTACGTAGCACTCTAATGGGAAGAAGCAAGAGTCTTGGGAAACATGACATGTGTGGGTTGTATTGAGAAGCGACTATGTTGCCCTGCGACACAGCAGTCTACGTGTGCCAGATAACGACGCGGCCGTCGACACCGCTCGCTGTACAAGTCAATAAACAGGACGAGAAGCAGCAACCAAACAGTAGACAGAGACAGAGGAGACATACAAGAAAACTTGGAGACGGCATCACCAGACGACTCGTAGGGGCGGATGGTGGTGATGGTGTTCTGGTGGACGGTCTTGAGCTGGGCGTCGTTCTTGGCCTTGCCCATGAGGTCCATCTGGCGGAACATGTTGAGGGCAGATTCCTCGCGATCAGCGGCACCGGGAGCGTGAGTCTTAGCCTCGAGGGTGCCACTGAGGGCCCAACCAGCGACGTCGCCGCGGAAGCGGAAAGCCTCGCAGTCGTAACCGGCGGCGATGATCTCGGCCTCGCCATTCCAGAGCAGACTAGCAAAGGGCAGCAGCTGGGTAGGGATGCTGATGACGGCACGCGGCGGTTGGTCGGGGGCGCTGGGGTAGACGACGGTGATGCTGCTGTCGTGGGTGGCAAAGGCGAGGGCGTCGCCGCTGGGCGAGAAGGCGACGGCATGGACCCAGCCGGCCGAGTTGTTGAGAAACTCGCCGCAGACGGTGTTGAAGGGCAGTCGTTCGCCCCAAGCACTCGGTTCCGGCCGGCTGTCGACGCCCTTGATGAAGCTGGAGAAGACGCGGGCGCGGGCGTCGGTGCTGCCAGCGGCCAGCAGGACCGAGTTGGGGTGCCAGCCCACGGTGGTGATGGTGCTGCGGATCGGCTTCTTCAGGTGCTTCGACACCCACCAATCGTTTTCCTCCTCAAAGTAGCATACCGCAATCACCCGATCGCCCGAGCCGACGGCAAACTTGGCCTCCGACGGTGACCACCGCACAAACGTCGCCGCCCGGTTGATCCGCAGCAGCACCAACGTCGGCTTGTACCCCGACGGCGACGGCTCCCACACGATCGCGTTGCGGTCTGTCCTGTCAGCCAAATCCTTGAGCCTGTGCGTCCCTCGCTGGCCTACCCTGAGAACACGTCACGATTCGCCCCGTGTTGGGCGCAATGTCCACGCCCGTCACCGTCTTGTCGTGTCCCTTGAGCTCGTCCTTGAGCTTGAACGCACTGCCCACACGGCCGTACAGCTCCACGGTTGACTCGCGGGCCACGGCCAGCAGCTTGCGGTCGGCCGAGAAGGAGTGGTCCGCAATCGGGTTGTGGAAGAGCTGGTGGATCTCCGGCGGTGCCATTGTGCCTTGTGTCTTTGCCTTTTGCCTTTTGCGTATTCGTTTCCGTACTCTCCTTCTCCGTGTCGGTGTCTTGCCTGTGATAGGAGGAGCTCTCTACTATCACGCAAAGGAGTTTGTATGGGAGGAATCCAGATGCGAGCTCAAAGGTGGGGCGACGTGCTCCCTATTTGTACGGAATACGAATTACGACAAAAGGCAGGAGGGAAGGTCGAGGGGCACCGTGCCGGATACTGTCCCTTGCATTACGTAAGCACGCATGTGGCCCGCCATTGGGCTACGCGAAAACAGCACCGCCCGGAAAAAATAAACGGACAAGACGGACAGCTCTGCCTCGACACCGTCGCCGAGCACACACTCCGCATTCGGGGTTCTCGCATCGCACCCATGTCGACCGCCACGCAGTCCCGCATCTTGCCGCCGCCGGGCAATGGCCTGCCGGCCAAGGTGGTGCCTATTGCGCCGAATCAAACGTACGTCCCTCCTTTCTCTTCACGCCTGCTTCTCTCCTCTGCTCCCGTCTGCACTCTATTAACCCTGGCACAGCCTCTACGTGCGGAACCTGCCGTCGGCCAAGATCAAGAAGGAGGACCTGCGCATGGCGCTGTACCTTCTGTTCTCCACCTACGGCCCCGTGCTCGACGTCGTGGCGCTCAAGACGATGAAGATGCGAGGACAGGCGCACATTGTCTTTCGCGACATCCAGGCGGCAACACAAGCTGCCCGCTCGCTCGATGGCTTCTCCTTTTTCGGACAGGACATGGTACGGTTCACCTTTGTACAATTGTCTGTCCCATCGATCGCTGACAGCCGGTTCTAGAAAGTCACATATGCCAAGTCCAAATCCAACGTGATCGCCAGGCTAGACGGCACCTTTGAGCCGCCCACGGCCGCCCAGACTGTCGAAGTCACCGATCTCCAGCAGAGCATCTTCAACGCCCCGGCGCCGGGCTCGGCTGCTACGCCTCCCCCTGTCGTTCCCAAGCCGGCTGATGCACCAGGCGGAACAAAGGCAGACGCCGAAGCCGAAGCAGCTCGCGGCCAGAAGCGGACGCGTGACGAGGAGGACGAGGAGGAGGACGACGACAGCGATGTGGCCAGGGGAGGAAGACAGCGATGACGAGTAGCCGAGAGATGGAAAAGTGGAAAACAAAACGATACCCCTTCTGCTACACTTCATCTGGTTCGGCTGGTAATTCCCTCCTCAGTAGCCCCTATGGCACAGGTAACGCTAGGCATGTCGCCATCTGGTTCAATTCCTAGGTCTCAAAGCAGTCTTGGATCAGGGCCAGTTCCTTGGGAACCCAGAGGCCTACACACCCACCGACCAGACCGATCCAGACCATGAGGTAGGAGCTTTTGGAACAATCAAATCCCGACATGGCCTCACCGAGAAGACAGGGGTGGACGAAGAACGACGGGACTCCGGTGATGGGATGGTACTAAGGACGCGCCATGTTAGCCAGGCCTCCAGCAGGCCCTTGGTGAGCACGATAGACACGGTAAATACAAACAGTACATACGTCTGCAGAGATGCCACCGATGCTGCCAGCAACACGGAGGCCGTCCTTGAACGAGTCAGGCACGAGTCGCCGGAAGACGGTGTCGATGCTGAAGGCGGGCTCGTACTCGGGCAGTCCGTGCAGAGAGAACCAGAGACACGGTGCCCTGTAGGTCGGATGGAGGTGGATCTCGTAGGTCACAAAGCCCACGTCCGCCGGCCGGGTCGCGGGCGGCTGCTTGCGCAGCACAGCCTGTGTCGTGTGAGCGAACGTGCTTGTGCGGCCCGTGCGTCTCTTGTACTGCCTGCTCACCTGGTCGGCCTCGTCGTCTTCGGCCATGGCCTGGTCCTCTTCCACATCGACATCGGCGCTGCTGACGGCCAGCGTCCCCAGAGAAAACCGGTCGAGCTGGCTGGAGAGGTCGCTGTCGTCCAGGGCAGCAGCAGCATCCTCATCCAGCGGGCGGGTGATCTGGAGGTACGTGGTGTACTCGCTGCCGGCAGCATACGAGCTGGTATTGAAGGCAGTGCAGGCAGAAAGACGCCATCGACGCCGGAGTGGACCTAGTGTGGCATGGCGGTAGATGCGGTCGAGCTGGTTGCAGACCTCGGTGAACTCGTCGGCCGTGAGAAAGGGATAGTCGCCGAACTCTGCGCTCTTCGAGGCCGGGGCCCGGGTGGTCATCGTGCAGACGGCGCTGGCATGCTCCGAGTGTTCTGGTCTGCCGTTGTATCGAGTATCTTGCAATAAGCTCTTTGGGCTGCAAATTCATTTTGGCGGGCTCCATTAACTCTTGTACAGTGGCTTTTGGAACGGGATACTGTGCTTCTACGTAACTGCCAGGTGGGCCGTTACGCGGCAGGAACGAAGTACTCCGTACATACTCCAGCTCTGTAATACGATTGGCCTGCATGCTACCTCAATCCGCATTCGGAGAACTGCTTCCAGCTGTCCTTTTCAAACCATACGACGTACGGAGCACAGGCAAGCTGTTGCGCCAAGCTCCTAGAGGCTTACCGCCTCATTCCCTCCTTTTGTCTCTCTGCTTGTCGGTTTTTAGAATGGCTGCTTCTTGCTGATCCCTTGGAGTTTTTTATGCTTTGAGCCTTAGCTAGCGACCATTTTTTGGCTGGTCTTGGCTTTTGGTGTGGCCCCTGGTCTCCAATTTGAAGAAGAGCTCGTTTTCATCTCCGGGCGTCATCATACTTCTACCTCCTCACCACATCATTTCTTGGGAACGCCTCCGGCCACGAAAACAGACTCCCTATTTACCGCTGCTTTCCTCGACGTCTCCGCCCCTTTCGTCTGGCAATGCTCGCACTGGAGAAATGAACGTTAGGGACCCCTTCGGTCTACACAGAAATCCGACCTTTGGCATTCTTCGCGCCACCGCAAACCAGGCCGCACGCGAGATCAAGCACAGGGCCATCGAGGCCGGCGCCCATGCGCTAGAAAGAGGAAAGCAAGCCAGAGAGGCCGTTGAGACCGCTGTCGAGACCGCCTTAGAAAGTGCATCGGCCGTAACGGACGACATGGCATTCTCAGTGCCCCGGAATGTGCCATCGTTTAACAACCCACAACGGATAGCAGAGGACCAGCTGTGGGGAGCAGCCACGGGGAAGACGAACACCGGCAACCGCGGTGGCAGAAACAACATCCTGGACGCGGTCGGTGGCCTGTTCGAATCCGGGATCCCCGGTCGGAGCTCGCAGACGCTGCCCATGTACAAGGACAAGCCGTATGGCTATCTGCCCTCGGAACGGGCACGGCCTGTGTACCGGCGAAAGCGGGTGCTAGGGCTGGTGTTCTTCGTCTTCCTTGCCGCGCTGTACTACCTCGGCTGGTTTGACGCACACAAGGACCGAGTGCCAAGGGTGCCGCTGCCGTCGTGGGACTGGCTGAATGGCAAGGACGAGAAGGCACACAGCCGGGCCGACTGGCTGGACCGCCGAGAGCGCGTGGTGGAGGCATTCGAGCTAAGCTGGGATGCCTACGAGCGCTACGCCTGGGGTACGTCCGACCGGTTTTCACTCTGCTCCGGTAGTGCTAACGAAATGCGCAGGCTATGACGAGTTCCACCCCGATTCCAAGCTAGGAAAGCAGATGGCCCCCCATGGCCTCGGCTGGATCATCATCGACTCGCTGGACACGCTCATGCTGATGAACCTGACGTCACGGCTGGTGCATGCTCGCGAATGGGTCGCGAATAAGTTGACGTGGGACCAGGACCAGGATATCAACACGTTTGAGACGACGATCCGCATGATGGGTGGCCTGCTGTCAGCTCACTACCTGGCAAACGAATATCCACATCTGGCGAAGCTCAACGACATCCAGCTGGCCGAGACGGGCGGCGAGGACCTGTATCTGGAAAAGGCTAGGGACCTGGCCGATCGGTTGTTATCAGCATTCGACAGCCCTACGGGCGTTCCGTGGTCGAGCGTCAACATTGGCAAGTCCGAGGCCATTGCAGCACACGACAACGGAGGGGCGGCGTCTACAGCGGAAACGACGACACTGCAGCTGGAGTTCAAGTACCTGGCCAAGCTGACCGGGGAGAAGGTATTCTGGGACAAGGTGGAGAACGTTATGGCGATTGTGGACCAGAAGAGCCGGCAGTTCGACTCGCTGGTGCCAATCTACATTGACCCGTTAACGGGATCGTTCAAGGGACACAACATCCGGTTGGGCAGCCGTGGTGACTCGTATTACGAGTACCTTATAAAGCAATACCTGCAGACAAACATGAAGGAGACCGTATATCTGGACATGTGGACAGACGCGCTGGCGGCAGTGAGAAAGCACCTGGTGACGTACACGGAGACATCACACTACACCATCATCGGCGAGCGGGCAGACGGGCTGGAGGAGCCGCTGACGGCCAAGATGGATCATCTGGTGTGCTTCATGCCGGGAACGATTGCGCTGGCGGCAACGCGCGGAATGCCGCTGCGGGAAGCGCGCAAGAGCAGCTGGTGGACAAGGCAGCACGACAAGGACATGAAGCTGGCACACGAGCTGACGCAGACGTGCTGGGGTATGTACAAGTACATGGCGACAGGGCTGGCAGCCGAGATCACACACTTCGAGATAGCGAATCCACCGCCGCCAGAGTCGTGGCAACACCAGGCACCACCCTCAGACTTCAGCCCGGATCCGGATGCACCGTGGCGGAAAGACTTTATCGTCAAGTCGCCGGATTCGCACAACCTGCAGCGGCCAGAGACGGTGGAGAGTCTGTTCTATATGTGGCGGATAACGGGTGACATCCGGTACCGCGAGTGGGGATGGGAGATGTTCAAGTCCTTCATGGCGTATACGGCGGTCAAGGACGGAGGCGGGTTCACGAGCCTGTCGAATGCCAACAAACTGCCGCCCGTCAGCAGGGACAACATGGAAAGCTTCTGGCTGGTAAGTGGTCGAGGTGGGGGTGTTTATGAAATGAAGATGGCCGGAGACTGTACTAACACGTGGCTTCTAGGCGGAAACGTTGAAATACTTTTACCTGCTGTTCTCGCCTGACGATCTGCTGCCACTGGACAAGATCGTGATCAACACCGAGGCACACCCATTTCCACGTTTCGACATGGGGCCGCTGTTCTCCACCGGATGGACAAGGCAGCCAGCAGCGGCCAGCGCAGGGGCACCCTGAAAGCCGATCGGGCTCAGTGAAAGAGCCGGGTAGTTGTCCGGATACTTGTAGTCGTGTTGTCGATTTGCATTGCATCATGTCGGGGATTGCGTTATATCTGTCTCGGCCCTGACCCGGAAAGGGAAGAGTGCCAAACTTAGCCACATAGATTTTGCCACGGGTGAATTGTATTTGTACTCGTATCCGGAGTATTATGCAGGGGGCTACTATGCAGAGGTGGGCTCCAGTGTTTTAGGGTGTGGGATCACGCAAGATATCAAGATGCAGAGAGTGGGAAGCGAGCAGACGAGCGAGGTCACAGACAACAACAGCAGCAGCAGCCTTGCCGTTATCTCTAATACGACGTATCTGACAAGTACAAAGTACTCGTACGAACAACGACTGGCGGGAGCAGCCAGTTGAGCAGGCGCTCGGACCAGGTTCTGATGGGAACGTTTCTGTCCATGCGCAGACTATCGTTTTACAGTGGAGCCGCGTTTGGCTTCATGGGGTTACTTCGTTGTGGTCCGCGACAGCGAAGGAAGCCATGTGGAAATGACTTGGGCAGCCCTAACTGAAGCACGCGGTGCTGCCGTGCTGTCGTGCAGAGTCGAATGCATTACGTAAGAGCAGGGCAGAACCCGCTGATAAGGCGGCCGGGCTGCTGGAGAATGCTGATTTGTCTTGGTGTTCTGATTGGCTGCTTTCCGCAGTCGTACCCATATCTAGCCCAGCCAATTTTCCACGATGCTACTATGTCGCTTTTCCTCCTCTACGGCTCGGGTCAGGTACCTGTACTTTGTCTCTCGGGCAGACCAGGGGGCCGGCTCTCGCATCTGTGGCACCATTCCTCCAGGCCCGCCCTATCTCTCCCCCGGTACGGAGTACTTGCGCCGTCTCAATCCATCACCTTGCATGATTCAGGATTAGCTGACAGACAGCTCCATCTCGCTCTTCCTGTCTCTGCTCTCTTCGTATGAAAGATACAGAGTGTAGAGCGCAGAGTACAGGCTGTTGGCCGATATGCACAATTCAAAATAAACTCCCTGTCACACCCCCTGTCTCTCAAGACTGATTGACGGAGCCGTGGGGGCGCTGCAGAGCGATTGTCACAAAAGCGGCAAGGAAGAGACAAACAAGCTGGTTCCTATTGGATGCGCCCTCTTCGTCTGCGCCTCTCTCTCTCTCTCTTGTCCTATCTGCGCCTCGCTCTTTGATCGTTCACCCGTTCTCTCCCCCTCATGCCCCTTTGCCTTTAAGCTTCATACAAGATCACATCTACTTCACGTCCGGCATTTCGCTCACGTGCTTCGTTTCCTCACTAAGAATCATAGGCGATATCCACACATCGACAAGCTAACGATAAAGGATCCGCGAGCCGACAAGTCCATGAACAGCAGCCCCGAGTCTGGGCCCCCCCGACACTCGCCTTGCTCGACATTGTCCTTACGCCGTACTCCCCACGCTCTGCAGCGCGTGCTCTCCACATCTATTGTGAGATCTGAACCTGCATCGCATCGCTGCCGGTCCTGCACGCTCTTCCCGCATCTGAGATCGCAGCTTTCTGTCCATTCTTTTCTTTTTCCTGTCGGCGCAACGACAGCTGGCAAGGACGACGTGCCTTGCTGTAAAGCCATTGTGAGGCCAAGAAGGGGACTGAGAGGTGCTCGGAGGTCCGTGTGGAACGAAAAGGCTTGCGCCACGACAGACGAGCCGAGGCCAAGGGCAGAATTTCGGAAATCTCTGCCGGCTTGCGACAGACGAGGTGTCTCTTAGCTCTCGCCACATCCTAACCACCAAACTTCCCCATGAAGAAAAAGCCGTCATCCGCTTCAATGGATCGTGACCTGGAGCTCAATTTCCTCACCATCAAGGAAGACAGCCTGCAGCAGGACAGCATCTACCCCATGCACACCACCATCATCAGTAGTGGCGGCGGCGATGCATACCACGACGAGCCGCAGCGGGTGGAGAGCCAGTCGACGCGGCGAAACCGGCTGGCGGGCGTGGGCGGCGGCCGTCTCGAGCGGCGGCCGTCGTTTGGCGTCGGTAGTGGGGGTGAGCGGCGGCAGAGCACGCTGTCGCGCTGGATGGACTCGTTCCGCCGCGATCCGAGTCAGCGCGGAATACCGATGAGGCCGAATCCGGCGACAGGGCCGGCGGGGATGCGGCGAACAGCAGCGAGCGGCGGTGGGGTCCATGGTGATGGAGGCGGCGGGATTCTCGGTGGCTCCGGCCTCGAGGCCTATCCGATGCATCCCATGATGGAAGACTATCCCGGCAGCGGCCACTTTTTCGACATGCGTGGCGCCAACATGGCGACGGCCAACTCGGGGCTGTCGCGCGATCTCAAGGGCCGCCACCTGCAGATGATTGCCATCGGCGGCTCCGTCGGCACCGGTCTGTTTGTGGCCTCGGGCAAGTCGCTGTCGCAGGGCGGCCCGGCATCCGTGCTGATCGCCTACTGCTTCATCGGCTTCATGCTGTACTGCACCATGCATGCGCTCGGCGAGCTGGCCGTGGCCTTTCCCGTGGCTGGCTCCTTCTCCGCCTTCTCGACCCGTTTCCTGGATCCGTCGTGGGGCTTTGCCATGGGTTGGAAGTGAGTGTGCAGAGCGCAGAAGAGAGGAAGAAACGAGAAAGACAAGAAAAGAAATCAGCTAACACGTCCAGCTATGCGTTGCAGTGGATCATCGTGCTGCCACTCGAGATAATAGCGGCATCCATGACGGTGGCGTATTGGAACGCCGATCTGAACAAGGCCATCTTTGTGACCATCTTTCTGATCGTCACCGTGGGCATCAACATGTTTGGCGTCAAGGGTTATGGTGAGGCCGAATTTGTGTTTGCCATTATCAAGGTGACTGCCATTATCGGGTTCATGTGAGTGTTTGCTCTTTCCATGTGTCTGCTTGTTCGGTCTTGCCTGTTTGGTCTTGGCTCTTTCCTCACACCATCTTGCTCCTTCCTGTTGTTGTCATTCTCCTCTGTCTCTCTCTTCTCCCTAGCTTCTCTCTCCCTCTTTTCTACTCCCACTAACTCATCTAGAATTCTCGGCATCGTCATCAATATCGGCGGCACCCCAACCGAAGGCTATATCGGCGGCAAGTACTGGCACCATCCAGGCGCATTTCACAATGGCTTCAAGGGCCTGTGCTCCGTGTTTGTGACGGCGGCCTTTGCGTTTGCGGGCACCGAGCTCGTGGGCCTAGCAGCGGCCGAGACGCAGAACCCGCGCAAGAGCCTGCCGACGGCCATCAAGCAGGTCTTCTGGCGCATCTCGCTCTTCTACGTGGTGGCGCTGACGCTGGTCGGCCTGCTGGTGCCGTACGACGACGCGCGGCTATCAGGCGCCAAGAGCATCGCGGACGCGACCGCGTCACCCTTTGTCATTGCGATTGAGAGCGCCGGCATCCAGGTGTTGCCGTCGGTCATGAACACGATCATCCTCGTGGCCGTCGTGTCGGTCGGCAACTCGTCCGTCTTCGGCTCGTCGCGCACGCTGGCCGCACTGGCTGACCAGGGCCAGGCGCCGCGCATCCTCGCCTATATTGACCGGCGAGGCCGCCCGCTCGTGTCCATCGGCGTGGCCTCGTGCTTCGGCCTGCTTGCCTACCTCGCCGATGTCGACGCCGAGTCCGACGTGCTCAACTGGCTGCTCGCCATCTCCGCCCTCAGCACCATCTTCACCTGGGCTAGCATCTGCGTCAGCCACATCCGCTTCCGCCGCGCCTGGAAGCTGCGCGGCCGCGAACTCTCCGAGCTCGCCTTTCGCTCCCAACCCGGTGTCCTCGGCTCTTGGCTCGGCCTCGGCTGCAACCTCATCATCCTCATCGCCCAGTTCTGGGTCGGCGGCTGGCCCGTCGGCTACCACCAGAACACCACCGCCGCCAACGTCCAGAATTTTTTCCTCCAGTACCTCGCCGTCCCCATCGTCCTCATCATGTGGCTCGGCCACAAGCTCTACTTTCGCACCTCTTACGTCCGGCTCGAGACCATGGACATCGATACCGGCCGTCGGGACTTTAATCTCCCCGTGCTCTCTGCCCAGGAGGAGGAGGAGCGTTACTACTGGCCCCGCTGGAAGAAGCTGTACAAATTCTTTTGCTAATCTCATTTTGTTTATGTAAGCCATAGTTGTGCCTTTGATCTTTGTTTTTCCGTCTCTTTATCCCTTTTTTCTTCTATTTTCCCTTTCGTAACAGCGCCGGGCAATCTGGGAGCACGTGGCGCCTTGTAATCACTTATGGGAGGTCTGAATAACGATACCAACGTCTGGGAGGACCACATGGAAACCAAAGGTGAGATGGGACAGGTATGGGATTTGTTTTGTGCAAGTTGGCCGATGTCTTGTTCGATCTCTTAGACAGGAATAGACATGACGTGATGCCGAAGCAGGGATATTTCAATAATTTAACAAGTACAGAGTAAAATTACAAATCGTGCATTCCCTGGGAACCACATCATATCGTCATGCCTTCATTCTTGTTACTTTAGCTAGTACAAAAAGATATCGTCCAGTATGCCGCCAACCTAGTTAGAGGCAAACAAAGCAATCTCCAAAGACACGAGCACAGCAGATGCGAAAAGTTGCTTGCTGCTTGGATCCAGCGAAATGGAACGCCGGTAGAGAGATGGGATAAAAAACGAGAACTGTCCTCGTGATCATGTGCAACGTGAAGAGTGGTATTAACGAGAAGCACCGCTGCAGTCTAAAAGTCCCAGAAGCTGCTCGCTTGGTTGGCCGTACCCTGCTTCTTGCCCGGCATTTTGGGTGGCACAACCGAAGGCTCGTCGCCGTCGCCACCCAGACTCCAGCCGCGACCAGCCTTCCTGCCGCCCATGCCGTCGCCGCCAATCTGGATCCCGCGATTGACGCTGCCTTGGTCGGCCGCAGTCGTTTCCGGAACGCGGGCGACCTTCCTGCCACCCATGCCGTCGCCAAAGGTTTGGATCCCGCGATTGACGCTGCCTTGGTCGGCCGCTGTCGTTCCCGGAACGCGGGCGGCTTTCCTGCCACCCATGCCGTCACCAAAGGTTTGGATCCCGCGGCTGTCGCTCTCTTTGGCGGCCACGATCGTGCCCGGAATGTTGTTATTCTTCGGCAAGCTCGTCGTGTCATCAAAGGAATTGTCCCAGCTCGACTCCATCATCTTGACCACCTTCTGACGGTCGTCAGCAACGACTGTCCGCTTGACCGGGCCGCTCTTAAGCGGAGACACGTCAGACATAGTGAAGTTAGCTTCGAAGAACTTTGTCCGGTCCTTCAGGTTTGTGATGTTGCCCAGCGCCCGCGACTCGGGGCCCGGCGTGAAAGCCGAGCCGTCCTCCTTGTACAAGTTGTTTTCGTACAGGCCCTGACCTTCGTTGGGGCCGACGCCACGCTGCCGGCCGCCTTGGCGCGACTCTGCCCGAGAGGTGGCAGACGGTGTCTCCGGCAACTCCTCGTCGTCGTCGAAAGTCCAGTGGCGTGCTTCTTGGTCGGGCAGATTCCGGGCGGCCGGCTTCTGTGGGGTTTCAAAGTCGCTAAAGGCCCACTGGCTGTTATGTTTCGACTTGGGCAGCTCGTCAAAGGCCGTGCCGTTTTGCGGAGCATCCTGAGTGCCGGCGGCAAGGTCAAAGTGGTTGTAGCGCTTGGGGTTCGGGCGGTAGACAGGCTTGGACTTGTTCGGGTCTTCCAGAGAGTCCTGCTCTTCTTCGATAGGAGCAGGCCCGTCGGTGTCGAACAGTCGGACGGGCTGGAACTTCTTGTGGCTTCCCGCCTTGGGGGCAATGACCTGTGAGGAACCGGTTGTCGAGGAATCAGCATCCGTGGCACTGTCGTCGTTTTCGTCATCGCCGCGGGTAAGAATGTCGGTCAAGGAGCGCTGGGGCGGACGGCGACCGGCATACGGCGAGACCACGACCGGAAGGGCGGTATCGTTGGGGTTGTCGCTTATGATCTCGGTGATGTCGCGCTGGGGCGGACGCACGCCTCCATAAGGCGACACGACGCTAGCGACGGTGCTTGCACGCTCTTCGTTGCTGACAAACAAGTCCAACGACGCGTGCGGGTCGCGTGTAGCGCTTGCCGGCTTTCCGCGTGGGTGAATCGGCAGTGTCTTGGATGGCGGAGCAGAATTCTTCACGCCGCTGACAGCCGAGGCAATCAGCTTGGTCTGTTCAGCGCTGTCGCGAATGGGCCAGTTGCGGCCAGACTTGCCAATGACGTCGATCTGCTTCAGCAGCGCGCCTTGGTCCCAACACTGGCGAACTTGGCCAATCTTGCCATCGGCATTGAAGGAGACGAAATGGACCTGGAAAGACGGACTCTGGTAAGTATCTGGGATTTGGCCAGGGGCAACCAGCCGGACTTACGATGGGCAGATGGACGGTATGGTCGGCCAGGAAGTTGTCGTCCAGGCCGGGAAGATAGATGGAGCCGCCGGTCAGAAACAGGATGGTGGTGTCGATCTCGACAGCCAGGCTGCTGTCAGACTCGACGGCACTTAGCAGAAGCTCCTTTTTCTTGGTGATCTGCTGGCGCTGAGAGGCAAAATGCTTGATGATTTCGGTGGCACCGCGGACGGTTGTCGTGGTGGTGATGTAGTAGATGGCAGCGTCGTCCGCCAGGCTCGAGGAGCTTGGGGAGGCGAGGAACTGCTGGTAGACAGCTTGCAGTGCCATTGTGTGTGAGCGCTGGGTAGAATGCAAGGGTCCTGTTGGCGGCACACTAATAATGTTGGGGCGAAGGAATGAGAGCAGTTATCAAGCGAGGGAATGAAGGTCGGCGTTTGGTTTCGTCTGAACTTTTTCAATGCATGAGCAGGAAGGAAGGAATGATATACGGGGCAGACACCCTCAAGAAGAAGGGACGAGGGGAACAGGTAAGGAGAGAAAGGCTGGGCCATGCAGGGGGTTGTGTAAGAATGAATGGTCGCAGTTGTTTGTTTGGGAGTGCTCAGGGCGTTGTCGCGACTCTAGCCTGGCTCTAGACTTGTTTCCCCCCGTTGGACGGAGTAGCCACTCTATTTTTGCGTCCGGCCTTGTTATGGGGTGCCTGCATAACGGCCCAGATTGTTTACATTCCGCCACAGCAGGGAAGGAGCAACCCCTGCGACGATGGACGACTTCCAGATGCAGACAGAACAGTGGGGTTCTCGCATGAAGCCCATCTTACAAGCAACATGCGCGCGAACACTCCGTAATATGTTGCGTATGCATAAGCTGAGCAGACGTAACAAACGAACAGAGCGCCGTGAATACGAGAGCTCCTAGGTCCTTTTCCGGGCCACGCTGCTGGTCGATCATCAGCCCCGCGGATCTCCTTTCGGGACTTAACGGGGCCGTAATATTGAACAGGATTGCTGGACAGGATTGTGAGGCAGAGTGAGCAAAGCAAAAAGGCAGGAACCGTCATCGTGCCTGCCCCTCTCTGAATACCACCTTTGCGTGTGCAGGTGGGTCGCTGGCTGTCTGAAACGCCACTTTCCCAATTTCAAGACGGCCGTGCTTTGTGTCCTGTGTGGGCAATTAATAGCAGACGGCCCACTATGATGAAACGGCCACTGCAGATTTGCGATTGCCGCGACAAGGAGAAGTCGTGCTTCTTTTCACGTATCGCATCGGAGCTTGCGAAATACCCGTCTCGTTCTTCATATATATTTGTGCTTGGGTTGTGCCAGGGTCAGCATTATATTCTATACGCGTCTGCTTACATGGTGTTGACGATGTTGAGATGCTACGGACTGCTAAAGAAAGCAATGCTAAACCAAGCTACTACGACGTTCTTGATAGGTAGCCATTCTATGGCCTGAACTCCCACAGCAATCGGCTCCAGGCTCCACGCATCGAAGCCTCACATGTATTTACGGAGTAAGATAAGATACATTGGCTACCAACACCGCTGAGCGCCAGCTGAGCCGTTGAGATGCCTGCAGCTAAGCTAGCGCAAGGCACACAGAATACTGCATCTGCCTCTAGCGGGTTTCCACCGCAATTTGCAGCCCTGCTCAGCCACAGGCAGGTATGATATCTTACATATAGCGGTCGGTGAGCGTGAAGATGACGGCGGCGAAGAAACACACTCGCAAATAGAGGGCCTCACCAGCAGCGACTGCAATGTCGGACAACGGCCATTCTGCCACGGATATCATCACATATATCGGTGTCCCGTTAGCCGTGCTGGGAGTGCTGCCGATCCTGTACAACACATTGACAACACTGGTGAACACGTCCAAGATCAAGCGGACGCTGCGGCACAGCCGACTCAAAGCACTGACGCGCAGCGATGTGGTCAACCGCGTGATCGAGATCGAGCTGCCGCGCTATGCGGTGACGCCATGGGACCGGTTTCAGCACCGCCAAGAGTACTGGTCGCTGTCACGCAACCCGAGCGCGATCCCGGGCGGCTCGTGGACGACGTTCAACTGGAAGACGCACGCGATCGGCGTCAAGACGCAACGTGTCGAGTACGCCGACCAGCTGCGCCAGCCACAGGTCGACGTCGCCCTGGACGAGCTCGTGTGCTATCTGCTGGACCTGGGTGCCGTGCCCGACCCTCACGGCTGGCACCTACTGCGATCAACAGGGCTGTGGACGCCCGTCGGCTGCGCGCTGATGAAGTCCCCCGACGGCCACCACAACGTGCTGACCGTGGCGCCACTCGACGACTCCGACGGCAACCTGTCGCTGTCGGTCCGGTGGCGTCCGGAATGGACGACACGCACCTACGAGAACCTGCCGCCCTACTGGGTGGACCTGCCGGCGCCGCCAGAGGCGAAGGAGAAAGCCGGGAAGGAAGAGACCGAAACCGGCACCGAGACCGGCACCGAGACCGGCACCGAGACCGGGACGCTCATCGACACGGCCGGACCTGACGACTCCAAGCAGGTGCCGTATGTCGTCCAGAGAACGAAGACGAGCAGCAGTAGTATCCCGCGCAGCTCGGTAGAATCGACGTCGCGGCGAGCGGCAACGCAAGAGACGTCCGCACAGAATGCAGCTATCACGTGCCAGATTTCCATTGGCGGCATCGTGACGGCATTGGTGCACTCGGCATGGCCAGCCGGGGCAGCCACGTCGGTCGAGCTGGATAGCCTGCACATTGAGCACCTGCGGGTGCGGCCAGGGCGACTGGACGGCGTATGGTTTGCCAGCGCGGCCACGGCCTACGGTACGACGAGTCAGACAGTGCTGTGGAACTACCGGATCCCCGACGACATCCTGGCATTTGCACAGCGCGAGACGGTACCATGTGGCGTGCTTGTGCTGCTGGGCATCGTCGACGAGAGCGCAACGCCTGAATGGGCTACCAAGCACACGCAGGATCTCTCGGTGCAGATGGACCTGCACATGCGACGGCTAAATGAGCAGCGCGCCGCCCAAATGGCCGAGGCCCGGCTGCCAGCACACCAGCGCGATCAGGCCTTTCGAGAGCGCACGATACAGGAGAACATGCAGCGGATACAAGACAGTGAGTCAGAACAGGGTTGGTTCCTGGTGCTTTGCCTTACTGACACGCCTCAGTGCGCGACAGGAGCCGGCGCGATAACGACCGACGGCAACAGCGCGAGATGGAAGCGCTACAGAGCCCAAAGTGGGATGCTCGTCTGGTCGCTGGATACTGTCTGAGCTGGCTGCAGAAGCAGAAGCCGAAACCGAAACCAGGCCAAAATCGAGAAAGTCACGTGACGGTCACGGAAGACCTCAAGCAGAGCGCCGGCATGCTGCTGCACCACATGGTCCTGGACCCAGCCTTTGCCGGCGACCTGTGCCGCATGCTGGACCGCTGGAAGGCATGGGCCGACATTGGCGGCATGAAGGCAGCCGACCTGGCGGACCTGCGCCAGGACCAGGTGGCGTTTGCCCAGGCCACGCTGCTGGTCGCCCTGATCCACGACTCGTCCAGCACCCTGGATGGCACGCTGTCGGTCGACCTGCAGGAGTGCCTGCGCATCTGGCGTAAGGCGCGGCTGGGCTGAGCTTGGTTTCAGGACAAATACTGATGTCATGCGATATATCCCATTGATCCTTCGACCCATTGATTACTAATACAAACATAACACGCTTTCCGTTCACACCTTGTAGAAGCAGAAGCCAACGTAGAGGCTGGCGGCCTCCATCTCTTCGGGGTTGACCAAGAGGTCGCCCGAGCCGCGGTCGCGTACCGACATGCGCTCGCTCAGCGGGCCGAGGATGCGGTCGTCCTTCTCGGCCTCCCAGATGTCGGGAAAGGGCTTGTGGTACTGCAGCTCGAGGTTGTAGTCCTCGGCGAGGGCCCGGAAGGCATGCCACGGCACCACATACTCGGGGACCTCCTCGACAGCCTCGTTGAGAAAGAAGTTGTACTTCCAGCCAAAGGGCGGCCGGAAGGTGCCGTCAGCCGGCGTTGGTCCGGGAAAGCGAACGCGGTAGATGCTGTTGCCCCATTCTGCCGTCGGCTCTGGCGGTGGCGACTCATCGGTCTTAGTGTCGAGCTCGCCCTCCTCCCTTTCGTCGGCCGGCTTCTCGACCGCTGCCGCCTCGACGTCAGCCTCTGCCGCAGGCTTCTTCTCCTGCTGCGCGTGAAACTGACGGACGCGTTCGCCGATGACGTCCGAGTCTGGGATGCAGCCGATGAAGCGGCCGCCTTTTTTCAGGGCCGACGACACGTTCCGCAACATTGTGCGCGCCTTTTCTTCCGTCTCAAAGGCGTAATGCATGCAGAACATCATGCTGACGACGTCGAATCCGCGGGTCGAGAGCGGGTTGGCGTCGAAGCCGACGTCCCGCACGATGCCGATGTCGACGATGCTTTCGCCGAAGCAGTCCTTGACAAAGAAGCGTCCGTCAAAGACCCTTGCGGCCGCCCGATGGTGACCGCCGTAGCCGCCGCCCCGACCGCCGCCCCGGCCGCCACGCTGCGTCATCTCGCGATACCGGTCACGTGCCTGGTCGATGCTCACGTCGGCCGGGTCCAGGCCCACGTACAGCTGCACCTTTTGCGGCGCCTGGTTCCACTTGCCCAGGTCGCCGCCCTTGCCGCAACCAATGTCCAGCACCAGCAGCTCGGACCGGCCAGCACTGCCAGCACTGCCAGCACTGCTTCCGCGCTCGTCAAAGTCCTCGTCGGGCGAGAATTTCTGGATGATGCAGCTCTTGACCCAGTTGTTGAGCGAGCGCAGGCCGCGGATCGTACTGGCCGTCTTACGCCACTCGCGTCCGCGTTCTGGCACGGCGTTGTAGTGTGACCGCACGACGTCGTCGATGTGGGCGCGCTGCTGCTGCTGCTGCGGCTGTTGTTCCTCGCTCAGCGCCTGCCGCTCGCGCTCCAGCGCCCGCTGCCGGATGGCCTCCCGCTCGGCCTCGGTGATGCGCGCACGCTGGCCCGGGCGCTTCGGCTTCCGCGCCTGGTCGCCGCCGCTGCCCGTTGGTGATCTCGACCGCGCCCGCTTCTTGGCTCGCTCCAACGACTTGGCGTCAAAGGGCTGCGGCAGGTCGTCGTTGGCCCGCCGGTTGTAGTCGTCGTCTGGCCGCGCGCCAGAGCCACCCGCACGACCGCCGGCCGCATCCGATCGTCCACGGCTCGTCATGGGGAGATGACCCCGAAAGACGGCTAGGTGAGATGCGCGTCGAGCAGCAAAAAGGGAGGCTGGAATGGCCGCCCACCGCTATGTTTCCCCTCCCCCCGAAAAAGGCCGGTTCTCAGAAAAAAGACGCTGTCGCAATCGAAAGGCGCGTCGCCGCAAGTTGACAGAGGTCTCACGCCGAGAAGCTATGCGATGGGAACATGCACAGTGAGGATGTCCTGATTGTTGTCAAAGCTGCGTACAGGGAAGGTTTAGGCGGGCTCGGATCAACGTAAGGCCGTAGCGGCCGGACAGTGTCGTTTGCGCTAGCTGACAGCCTTGTCGCCTCCCACGTGTAATTCGCCACTTGTCGGATAAATCGATATTCCGATATGCATCTACTAATCAGTCTGGGGAAGCATCCAACTCATTTTCTACGTCACCATTTCATGACCGTCAACCCGAGTCGAAAGCTCCGACCCTTGTCCTCCCTCTAGAAGCAAACGCGGAACCAGAAGAAGCGATGTCTGAGCGCAAAGTGCTGGTGCGTACAATCCAGTCCCCGGATGTACGACTCTGTCCTGCTAACTGCTAACCGTCTCTAGACCAAATACTACCCGGCGGATTTTGACCCGAGCGTGCTTGAACGGCGCTCTCGCAAGCCGAAGAATGCTGGTCCGGCAGTTCAGGTCGTGCGTCTGATGGCACCGATGAGCATGCGATGCACCCGTTGCGGCGAGGTAGGCATGTCCCGGGTGCGAGAACGACGAGGAACGCAGTGCTGACCGTACGAATTAAGTATATCTACAAAGGTCGCAAGTTTAAGTGCGTATGGCCCAACTTTTCTTCTCTCACTCCATATAGTTGGACCTCCCCAGCTAACGCCTGACCAGCGCGCGCAAGGAGACGCCCGAGGATCTCAAGTACCTCGGCGTGCAGATGTACCGATTCTACATCCGCTGCACGCGGTGCAGCGCCGAGATCATCTTCCGGTCGGACCCGAAGAACCAGGACTACGCTGTGGTGTCGGGAGCGAAACGCAACGTCGAGCCGTGGCGCCAGGCGATCGAGGAGTCGGACGAGCAGCGGCTAGACCGACTCGAGGCCGAGGAGGCCGAGGCCAACGGCGAGGCTGTCTCGGAGCAGAGCCGCATGGAGGAGCTCGAGGCCAAGACGCTCGAGGCCAAGCGTGAGATGGACGTGGCCGACGCTCTCGACGAGATCCGCACGCGTAACGCTCGCATAGCCCGCGCCGACCACCGCGACCATCTCGAGGCCGTCGCGCTGGCCCGGCCGTCGGACGAGGAGGAGCGGCTACGCCAGCAGGACCGCGAGGACGAAGAGGCTGCCCGGAAGGCGTTTGCAGCAGCTGCTGCTGCTACCACATGGCAGCCCGATGCGATTGAGATTGTGGACGACGATATGATGGACGACAACGTTGAGCGCAAGATCCGGCCGAACGACCCCTTGGCTCGGGTGCAGGCCGCCATCCAAAGGCTCAACAACGAGGACAGTTTCGGCGAGAGCAGCTCTGGCGCGTCCTCGCCGTCGACCATAGCATCGCCAAGGATGGATGCGGCTGCTTCGACCGTGCCCAGCTTCAAGCGGCAGGTCAAGAAGAAGAAAAACCACGCCGCGTTGCTCGGCATTAAGAAGAAGCCGTCTCTGGTGTGATCACGGAGCTGTACAGGATTATTACGAGGTGTTTCTGGCGCTTGATTAATATGCGGTTTTATCCGTCTCTCTATACCGACGTTCTTTATGGTTGTATGTGGTTGATTTTTCGGCTGTTCATTCACGTTCAAATAATAAAATACAATGTCATTAATGATCGTTTAATACTGATTGGGGATGTTGCTTTGTGCCCCGACCTAGTAAAAATAGTATGAACAAACTCAATAAGAGATAAATAAATACGTTGGTACTAAAAACATTACAGCTTCGGCGAATTGTTATGCGTATATTTTTCGTTCTGGCTGACGTGTTTTTAGGAAATACGAGAAGGCGGTTGCGTCCTCGGTTTTCAAAGGACGAGGCCATCTAAATCGTGTCCGAAGAAGCCGTAGCGTCACCAGCGTATGTCGTGGCCGAATCGTCAGATGGAGACGCTTGTTGACTATTGTTGTGGTGACGATGGACTTGTTCACGTCGTCCTTGCTGCTGCTGCTGCTGCTGCTGGTAGTGTGCTTGGCTCCGACGCTGGCGGTAGCTGATGGGCCCAGCCACGTGTATGTGCGAGGGCGGCGGCGGTGTATCGGGCGTGGCGTCCAGCTGTGTCTGCGTGTATTGCAGCATCGCCATGGAGTAGGAGTAAAAATCGAGCGGCGCGGGCGGTGAAGCAGACAAGGGGTGGACGCGGTCTGACTGTCTCTCGTATGACGGCAACAACGGCAGCGAGCGTGGCAAGGCCGAATCCTGCAGCGGGTGTCCAAACATGCGAGCCTCAGAAGGCGTCGAGTGGCCGCCACGGGCTGCGGACTCCATCCGAGCCATCATCGGTGCAGATCGTGTCGATGTCGTCGATATCAGCGGCGTTCCGCTCTCTCTCGTGCCGGTCGAAGAGGACGAAGCGGTCGGGTTGTAGGGCAGGGTGGACGAGCGGTCTTCCAAGTCGGTAGCTATGTTGCCGTTTTCCATAGCCATAACCTGGGGGGGAAGAAGGAGTGTGTCAGCCAACCGAGTGGACAAAGGAGAGAATGAGTGCTATTTGATTTTTGAACGAGACGGGTTTCGGTTGCTGGGATGTTTGAAATAAGAACGGTGTATATTTTCATTCCATACGCACGAACAAGGCTGGCCTCGTTTGCAGATAAGTACTGGGATGAATTTGCCTCTATTCTGTGGATAGGGGGTCTAGCTGGGGATTTTGGGACAAATGGAGATCGGTCGGGACAAAAAGAACGATGCATCAGCAGAAATGTCCACAGGAAAACAAGGAAGGCGGACATGGGCATCAGGTGCTGACAAGCAAGAATCAGCCAGGAGCGGCTTAGTGACGGGCGGGAATGGTCTCCGGCAGGAAGAAAACAGCGCTCGCAACGCGCAGTCTACCATTTCACATGACTACCCAGGATTTTTTGATTGCCCCCGGGCTTGCCACGTCGACTCGGCCCGGACAATGGATTCACATAGGGGGTAAATCGAAGACGAAAGGGTGGGGCCAGAGGCCGTGGACAGAAACAAGATACAGATACGCATGAGGCGAGGCCAGAGCCTGGGCCCAGAGCGGGATCGACCAAGAAGAACGGCTGATGTCTTGGGGGGGGGGAAGGGGGCAAGCAAGGCACGCACGCCATGCTTGCCTTGATCAAAGCTCGGCAGGCGGTCGAGTTGACGATCAAGGAGGCCAATCACAAGAGACTGGGCCAGCCAGGCGAATGTTTCGCATGTCGAATGTCAAAGGAAAACAATCTCTGCAAGGCAACGGCAATCCCTATCTATCTATCAGTGCAGACGGCCTTCTTGTCGCCATGGCTTCTTTGGAGATGGCAAAAAGGCACAGAAGCAGAAGCCTTGGTCATGATATCCTACCAAGAGGAGGGACCAAAGAAAGAACGGCAAAACAGGAGAGGCCAAAGACGTGTCGGAGAATGGAAGCAAAAAGGACCCCTTGGAAGATCGGCCTGCTCTGGCCAATGGCAACGATACTTGCCTGACGTCCGCTATAGAAAGCACCTGTAAGTACTCGAGCTACAGCCTGCGAAGCGATGATGTCATTGGTCAGATTGGATGGAATCCGCAGGAGCTTCGTCCCGGCAGCGACGACGGTAGATCCACGTTTTTAGACACCTCCTTTACAAGCTAGGATAGCTTCTAGCCTGCAAAAGGACGGCAATATCGATAGCACGCGTCAGATTCCACGTCCACCCCCGAAACCGGCTGGCCAACCGGCCGTACACGTACTGTGTCCTCAGCCCTCCCTTCCTTGGCCAAGGAGAAGACGATAGTACCTGGGACGAGATGCAGAGAAAAGAAAGAGGGAAAAAGAGAAAAAGAGAAAAGAGAAAAAGAGAAAAAGAGAAAAAGTTGAAAAAGTTGACAGACCTTGGTACGAATCTGGGCACGCACAACATGAGCTCGCCGACGAAAAGATCCAGCAGCCTGTATTTCTGGCTACCAACTGTCTCATCTCCGGCTGTTTCTGTCTCCTCCGTACTCGATCACACCGCCGAGCTCGTGACCGGCTCACGTGTCTGAACAAAGAACCGCCCTGTTCCCTGTTTGGCCCCAAAGAGATGGCGCTTAGCGCTAGAATGGCCAATACGGCTTTCATCTCCATCGCCGCCTTTCCTGACAGCCGTTGACATCATCCTCGCCGCCTTCTCTTCGCCCTCTCGTCTCGTCACTTCTCGCCTCTTCCGTGCAATTTGCCCTATTTCGTCAATGCCACACACCAAGACGGACAGCTCGCCTCTCTACTGATTTTCACGCATTCCGGCCTCCAGCATGTCGGCTAGCAATCCCCATTTGCCAGCAGCTGCCGCATGGCTGCTTGCTCGCGTCACGCCTCGCAGCCCGTTCACGGCAAAGCGCAGGTAGCTGCTGAACTCTGTGCGCATGTCTCGCAGTGCTTCCCCATACGGCTGTGCGCCCGTCCGGTGGCGGCCTCTGTCGTTGGGCTGTTGCTGGTCCAAGTCATCGTCGACGACATCATCGCCGTCCTCGTCCCTGCTCTTGGCGTCGTCATCTTCCCGTTCCTCCTCCTTTGCCTCCCTCGCCTCCTTTGCTTCCTTTGCCTCCTCCCTCGCTTCTCTGTCTGCCGTGGCAAAGAGCCGTCGGCGGACAGGAGGCGCACCCAGTGGCGACAGCCCCACGGCTGCTGCCCGCCTCTTGGCTGCTGGCGTCTGATATGGTGATGACAGCACCGACAGCCGCCAGGTCTCCTGCAGCTGCTCGGCCTCGCGTGCCGCCTGCGCCCGTCGGCCGTCCTCCAGTCGCAGGGCCAGGTCCAGCAGGTCCAGCAGACACTCATGGATCGGCTGCAGCTTCGAGCCCAGACAGGCCTCGTCCAGCAGTGCCCGGAGAAAGGCCGCGTGCACCTGGATCATCCCGTCCACGTCGGCCGCCCGCTGCAGCTCCTCCTGCAGCCTGGCCATGTGTGGCGCGATCACCAGCGTCGTCACGTACGACTGCAGCGTGCTGCAGAGCCACAGCAGCTTGGCCCGGAGCGTAAAGTAGACGGCCCGGTCGCCTCGGGGTAGTCGTCGTCGCTGTGGCTGCTGCTGCTGCTGCTGCTGCTGCCGCTGTGCCTTGCGGCGGTGATGGTCGCCGTCCTCGTCGTCGCCATGGTCGCCGTCCTCGCGCCGACCGTCGTCCAGAAGACGGTGGCGGCACAGAAAGCTGCTCGCCCGCCGGATCTGTAGCAGGAGCGTGAACACGGCCTGGTAGCCGGCCATGCAGTCGGCCGGGATGATGATCTGCACTGGCCAGGCCAGCCGGTAGTGCAGCCGGACGCGGGATACACCACCACGCAGCGAGCGTCGCGCCATCACCGGCCGATCGGCATCTGTCGTCGGCGCCTTGTCCACCGCTGCCGACAGGCGGTATGCATCCAGGCGGGGGCCAAAGGCCTCGCGGGCCAGCTCCGTCAGCGTGTACCGGTCGTTCCAGCGTGGGCTGCGGCTGTCCAGACTGTAAAAGAGCCGGGTGGCAAAGGCATCGGCCATGGCGCCGTCCGACATCAGGAAGACGCACTGTAGCGTCTCCAACGTGGACCAGAGCCCGCACGAGTCGAAGAGGGTGCACTTCAGCGTGGCCGACGCAGCGTGGTGCTTGCTCTCGATCCAACGCTCAAAGGCATCGGCGAAGAGCTGGGGAAATGGCTCCAGGTCCGATCCGGCAGCCGCACAGACGGTGGTCTGGTCCAGCGTCGGCTCGATCGCCGTAGACAACGCCTGCTGCCGCCTGCTGCTGTCGTATTGGCCCAGCTGGCGCAGCACCACGATGCTGCGGCCGGCCGCAAAGATGGCCGCCGCCGCCGGCTGCAGAAACCGCGGCGCGTGCAGCACGCCGCTGCTCGTGTGCAGGAGCTTGTATTGGTGCTGCCAGATCTGGTTGGGCGCTGCCTGGGCTGCCGCTCCGGCCACGAAGAAGATCTTGTCACCAGGCAACAGCTGGCCGTCCTCCATCCAGAGCCGGATCGGCCGCAGGTACAGCTGGAAGCACTCAAAGAAGACGGTGGCGAGAAAGGCGTACAGTTCCGGCCGGCCGTCTAGCTGCGCCATGGCTGTCGCGTCGTGCAGCAGCTCGAGATAGCGAAACGCCCGTGGATTCCGCTCTGCCTCTAGTTGCTGCACCACGGCCCCCAATGCTGCCAGGTTGGCCAGCCACGGCCGCAGCTGTTCGAGGACGGCCGGCAGGCTGACGATCACGTCTTGCGCCAGATCGACGTAGCGCGCCTGCACTGCCGACAGCTCGCGGTCAAACGCGTCCAGCCGCCGCCGAATGGCTTCCTGAAACACCTGCAGCAGTGGCACCGTCTCGGGACGTCGGCCGCCAGCTGTCCAGCGCCGTAGTGGCAGCAGTCTTCGTCCGCTGGTCGTGGCCGCATCGACTAGGGCATCGTATGCCTCGGCCGACACGTCTGACAGCCGGTAGCTGCTGGCCGGCACACACTGCCCCCCAAACAGCGTCGTGTCCACCCCCCGCAGCATGAAGAGCGTCTCGCGCACGAGCTGCAGCTCCGAGATGAGCACCCGACCGTCGCTGTCTTCCGACGGCGGCTGTCGCTGCTGTGTCCGCCAGGCCTGGCTCTCCCGTACCGCCTGCAGCAGCGCGTCCAGCTGCTCCTTGGAACGCGCGTCGACAACCTCCAGGTCTCGGGCTGTCCGGGGCTGCTGTCCTTCCAACAGCTCCACGTTCGACGGAGTCGTGTTGCCAGAGTGGACATCTGCCTCGTCTCTCTCGCTGTCGTAATGGCCACCATCGTCGTCGTCGTCGTCGTCGTCATCAGATGCAAAGACAGTCTTTTTCCACAGCTCCATCTCGTCCACCCAGCCGTCCTCTCGCGAAATGTCCTCCCATCGTAACGGAGGCGTCTTGGGCACACATCTCGATGCACACAGCCGGTTGAGCTCGTCCAGGCTCGCCTTCTCGGCCGGGTTGTCGGACAACGCCAGCAGAAAGTCAAGAATGTCGGCAGTCCAATTCGTCTCGTGCTCTGCGAGCGTGGAGCGGCGCTCATAGAGTGCGTCGGCCAGTCCATCGCGGCCGATTACGGCAAATTTCTCTTCGAGGCCGTCCAAGTTGTGTTTCACCTCGAACTGATTCGTCGGGGGGAAGTTGTGATACCGTAGCGACCGCAGCGTTGTCTCGTGCAGCACGCGGAATTGATCGGGGTCGTCCTGCAAAAGTGTCAGCTCATGCGTCAAAGCAAAGAAAAGCAAGAACAAGCTAGAATACCTACTTCCTGGCTGATGGATGTGACGGCAGCCACGAGCTCTTCCGCGTCCGCACTCAGCTGAGCAAAATAGGCCATTGTGCGGCGCCGGCTTTCCTGTCAGCCGCTCGTCCTCCTCTTGTCATCTCTGGCCACGGACTGATTGCTCTGCTTGTGCGGACAAGGCTGGCCATCCTGGTATCGAAGGTGGGCTGAAGTTGGAGGGGAACGGAGCTAAGCTACTTAACGCGTCGCGTCTGCCCCACCTTTCCAGCTTCTCAAGCCACGCAAGCCACACATTCGCCTGTAGAAGAATAGGGGGACAGTGCGTGGTCTCGGCCAGCTTTTACGTGTTCAGCCTCCAGAAGAAAAGTTGGACACGGGGTGGGTTGCAGCACCCACTGCAGAGATCACCGGACGACACGAGAAGGAAGCGCAGCCGCGGGTGGATGCCATTGAGACATGTGGAGTTTGCCCTTCCGATTCACATTCACCGCATCTGATCGATCCTCTTGCTTCGCACAGCCACAGCCACGATGACGCTCGCGCGGCCGGTGCGAGCGCTCATAGCAGCGGTCCTGCTTGCCTGGTGTCTGTTCATCTTCCACCTGATGTCGCCGTCGTCTGGGCGAGGTCCAGCCGAGGAATTGCAGTCGTTTGAGCGAGACCCCAACCTAGATCGTACGTATCCCGTATCTGACTGATGTGTGCGGGCTGCTGGCCCTGACCGCTGGCTGACTTGTTTTGCGCAGCGACCGACGAGCCGACCGGGCTGCTGCACCGGACGTCGAGCGGCTACCTGCCGGGGCCCGAGGGCACGGAGCGCATCAACGCCACGCTGCTGGCACTGGTGCGGAACGAGGAGCTGGACGGCATGCTGCAGGCGATGCAGGACCTGGAGCGGACGTGGAATCACAAGTTCAACTACCCGTGGACCTTTTTCAACGACGTGCCCTTCTCGGACGAGTTCCGGAAGCGGACACAGGAGGCGACCAAGGCCGAGTGTCGCTACGAGATCATCCCGGCCGAGCACTGGAGCATTCCGCCGTGGATCAACCAAGACCTCTATGCCGAGTCGGTCAAGATCCTGAAGGAGAACGATATCCAGTACGGCGACAAGATCTCGTACCACCAGATGTGCCGGTGGAACAGCGGCATGTTCTACCGCCACCCCGCGCTCGAGCACACGCAGTACTACTGGCGCGTCGAGCCCAAGGTGCACTTCTTCTGCGACATCGACTACGACATCTTCCGCTACATGCGCGACCACAACAAGACGTACGGTTTCACCATCAACCTGTACGACGCGCCCAATTCGATCCCGACGCTCTGGCCGGAGACGGTCAAGTTCATGGCCGAGCACCCCGAGCACATCCACCCGAACAACGCGCTGGACTGGCTGACCGATCGCGTCCGGCGTCCCAACCACAACAACGGCGCCAACGGCTACTCGACCTGCCACTTCTGGACCAACTTTGAGATCGCCGACCTCAGCCTCTGGCGCAGCAAGGCCTACGAGGACTACTTCAACCACCTCGACCGCGCCGGCGGCTTCTTCTACGAGCGCTGGGGCGACGCCCCGGTCCACAGCGTCGCTCTCGGCCTCTTTGAAGACAAGAGCCGCATCCACTGGTTCCGTGATATCGGCTACCAGCACATCCCCTTCTTCAACTGCCCCAACTCGCCCAAGTGTCACGGCTGTGTGACCGGTCGCTTCACCGACGGCGAGGCCTGGCTCAATAAGGAGGACTGCCGGCCAAACTGGTTCAAGTATGTCGGCATGGACTAGACGCTGCTTCGGCCAGCGTGTATTTAGGGCAGCAGCCCAGGTTGTTAGGACAGTCAGGGTTGCATTCTAGACAGGCGAATGAATTTCTTTTACGTTTTGTTTTTCTTCTAATTTCTCCTGTACCCATGATTATACACTACATGGTTGGGTCATTTCATTAAAAGCAGGACGAGTGAGGTAGAACAGTGTGGTATGTGTGATGAGTGATGTGTATGATGTGTGGCGTATGTGGCGTAAATCATCTTGGCCCGAAGACGGTGACGACACCAGACGTGCCGCCAACGCAGAACTGCTCGCCCCAGCCAGCGTCCTGCCAGGCCAGACAGCTAGTGACGTTGCGGCGTTCCTTCTCGCGGCCGTCGCGGCCGATGGCCCGGCTGGTGTTGATGGTTCCGGGGGGACCCCAGGGGACGGGGATGGTGGCGACGACCTTGCCGGTGAGCAGATCCCAGGCCCAGACACGGCCGTCGGGGGTGGAGGAAGAGGATGGTGGAGAGGCGGTAGTATCGGAGGAGGGCGTCTTTGGGGGGGCCATCTCGTCACCGGCGACGACGAAGCGTTCGGAGCCGCCGAGCAGCGATTGGACACGCAAATCCTCGTTGCGCCAGCTGGTGTTGTTGTGAGTTTTGGTGCCGGTCGAATCAGGGCCGCCGTACGTCCGCAGACAGGAGCCGCTGTCACGGTCAAAGAGTCGCAGCCGGCTGTCGAGGGCGCCGACGAGGACGGAGCGGCCATCGCGCGTAAGGCAGAGGCTGGTGAGGCCAGCACGGCCGCTGACGACGTCAGTGACGAGGCGGCCAGCCCGGGCGTCGTACGTGCGCAGACAACCGTCCACGCTGGCCGCAAGGATGGCGGGTCCACGCACGGCGACGGCCGAAACGGCATCACGCGCGTCTGTGAGCGTCTGGACCGGTCGGTGGGCGTTGTTGGCGCGCGTGTCCCAGATGCGCACGGCCGTGTCGAAGCCGGCCGTGACGACGAGACTGTCGCCGTCGCCGGCAAAAGACGAACGCTAGTTGACGCGACCGGTGTGGCCACTGAACCGTCGCAGCGTCTGGGCCGTGCTGACGTCCCATAGAAAGACGGTGCGATCGCCGCCCGCCGACACGAAGCGCGCGTTGTCAGCCGCGCACGCCAGCGACAGCACCTCGTAGCCGTGCTCGGCATATGTCTGGATGAGCCGGCCGGCCGGCACCGCCGTCACCGCTGCTGGCGTCGCGCCCATTTTCGTCACAAAGCCGCCGCTGCTCTCCGGACTCGCGCTCGTCGGCTGCGGATTGTACAGCCGCACAGAGCGGTCGGCTGAGCCCGTCAGGACGTACGATCCCGCACCGGCCGAGTACGTCACCGCATGCACTGGGCCTGCACCGCCGTCCCGTCAGTCCTTGTCGGCAGAGCACGAGAACAGAGGGACAATCGACCTACCGTTGGCACCCAGAAGCTGCGCCACGGGTTTGTCGGGAAACGACATGGTCCCACTTGTGTATCGATTTCGGGCGCAGGACGAGGGCTCGGCAGCTGCAGACGTTCTGCTACCGCTTGCGCGTCATGTTGCGAGCTTGATTCCAAAGGTGAATGGCCAGAGGCATGGAGCTACAGAGCTTGTAAGCTTGCAATCAGGCTTGAATTCCAAGACACATGTGATTAGTAAGCATTCCCGTTCGTGCCACACGTGCCACTACACGTGCTGCACTCTACGCTTTGTTCAGCGCCTCATACACTATATCGACCGGCTTGTCGGCTAGACTACCCCACCGTAAATTTCTTATCAACCCCACCTGCTCTGACTCTAACGAGAGCGAAGGAAGGAAGAGCGAGTAATAGGCTGCTGGCGGAAAAAACTGGAGGGAAAATGTCGACCTGAACAGCCGGACGAAGGACATCTACGTTTTCGTGTCTTTCTGTCCGTGTACACACACACAAAGCCAAACATCCGAACCGCGCAACGACAGGATGACGTCCGTGTTCTTCTCCCTGACGGGAGAGTCTTGCTTCACGCCATCAGAGGCGGAGAAGCTCAAGAAGCGCATCAATGCATCGGGCCCGACGCAGGTGTCATCGATCCGCGGGCACTGGGCGTACCACGTGAACCTGACGCCGTCGACGTCGCCCAACGACGTGATCGACGAGGTGGAGCAGCTGCTGCCGCTGGGGACCGGCTCAAAGGCAGCAGCAGGACCGACGGCCGCCGTCGGACAGACGCGGACGTTTGCCATCGCACCGCGCAACATCTCGCCATGGAGCAGCAAGGCAACGAACATTGCGTTTGTGTGCGGGCTGCAGGGGCGGGTAGAGCGGATCGAGCGCAGTCGCTCGGTGACGGTGGAATTTGCGGAGCCGCTGGAGAGCAGCAGTAGCAGCAGCAGCAGCGACGAGATTCCTTTCCGGGACGTGATCTACGACCGGATGACAGAATCGATCCGGACAGGCGGCGAGCCAGATTTGACAGCGATGTTTGCGACAGCAGAGCGACAGCCGCTAGAGGTGGTGGACATCTTTGGGACGGAGGGATCGACACCACTGGAGGTACTGCAGGCGTACAACCGGCAGCGAGGATTGGCACTGGATGGCGACGAGATGGCGTATCTGGTGGCCGAGTTCCAGCGGCTGGGACGCAACCCGCACGACGTGGAGTTGTTCAGCTTTGCGCAGGTCAACTCAGAACACTGCCGCCACAAGCAGTTCAACGCGAGCTGGACGATCGACGGACAGCCACAGGCCAAGTCACTCTTCCAGATGATCCGCAACACGCACGAGCGCAACTCGTCGTATACGGTGTCGGCGTACAGCGACAACGCGGCCGTGTTTCGGTCGGAGTCGCCGCTGTTCTGGGCGCCGGACTACTCGACCCGGGTCTGGCGGCTGCAGCGGGAGCTGGACCCGCCGTGCTTCCTGGCCAAGGTCGAGACGCACAACCACCCAACGGCCATCTCGGCCTTTGCGGGAGCAGCAACAGGGGCCGGCGGTGAGATCCGCGACGAAGGCGCCGTCGGTCGCGGATCGACGCCCAAGGCCGGGCTGTGCGGATTTTGGGTGTCGGATCTGCTGATCCCGGACCTGCGGGCGCCGTGGGAGACGGACATTGGCAAGCCGGGCCACTACACGAGCAGCCTGGACATTATGCTGGAGGCACCGATCGGATCGGCACGCTACAACAACGAGTTTGGGCGGCCGAGCATCACGGGCGTGTTCCGGACACTGCTCGCACGGGAGGAGGGCGAGACCGAAGCCGAGGCTGCAGTAGAGGGCAACGGAGCAACAGACGAGTGGCGTGGCTACCACAAGCCGATCATGATTGCCGGCGGACTGGGCACGGTGCGGCCGCAGCACGCACTGAAGCGGGCACACGATGTGGCAGAGGGAGCTCACGTGATCGTGTTGGGCGGCCCGGCGATGCTGATTGGGCTGGGTGGCGGAGCTGCGTCGAGCAGTGCAGGCGGCGAGTCGACGGCAGAGCTAGATTTTGACAGCGTGCAGCGAGGCAACCCGGAGGTGGAGCGGCGGGCACAGATGGTGATCAATACGTGCGTGGCGCTAGGAGACCAGAACCCAATCGCGATGATCCACGACGTGGGTGCGGGCGGACTGTCGAACGCGCTGCCGGAGCTGGTCAAAGACGCCGGCTACGGCGGCCGGTTCGAGCTACGGCAGGTCGAGAGCGCGGACGGCAGCATGAGCCCGCTGCAGATCTGGTGCAACGAGGCACAGGAGCGCTATGTGCTGCTGGTCAACGCGGAAGGCTACAATCGCTTTGTCAGCATCTGTCGGCGCGAGCGATGCGGCTTCTCGGACGTGGGCACGACGGTAGCGGCAGCCGTGGGCGGCGGACACCCAGGTGAACCAGAACAGGCAGCGCGTTTGGTGGTGATGGACCGCGAGAGCGCCGAGCACCCGCGACCGATCGACCTGCCGATGACGACGCTCTTTCCCGAAGGCCGGCGGCTGGAGCGGGCGGTGGAGTCACGCAAGGCGACGCTGGCACCATTTGCGCCTGCAGAGATCATCGCGGAGACATACGGCAAGGGCCTCACGGCGCAGGAAGCACTCGCAGAGACGGTGCGTCGCGTACTGCTGGTGCCGTCGGTCGGGTCCAAGTCGTTCCTAATCACGATCGGCGACCGATCGGTGGGTGGATTGGTGTCACGTGACCAGATGGTGGGTCCGTGGCAGACGCCCGTAGCCGACGTGGCCGTGACGGCGGGCAGCTTCACGACCGAGGGCAGCAAGGCGCGGCCGGGCGAAGCGATGGCGATGGGCGAGAGGCCGACGCTGGCACTGATCTCGCCAGCTGCGTCGGCGCGCATGGCGGTGGCCGAGAGCTTGACGAACCTGGGTGCAGCCGATCTCAAGGGCGGACTGCGGCGCGTAAAGCTGTCGGCCAACTGGATGGCGGCAGTGAACCACGCGGGCGAAGGTGCGGCACTGTACGAAGCGGTGCGGGCGATCGGCGAGGAGCTGTGTCCGAAGCTGGGGTTGGAGATTCCCGTCGGCAAGGACTCGACATCGATGAAGGTGAGCTGGGGAGGGAAGAAGGAGGACTCGGAAACAAAGGGAAAGAAGACATCCGTGACGGCACCGGTGTCGGTTGTGATCTCGGCCTTTTCGGTGGTGGGCGACACGATGCGCACATGGACGCCACAGCTGCGCCGGGTGGAAGAGGTGGGCGAGACGGTGCTGCTGTTCGTGGACCTGGCCCGAGGCTACCAGGCGCTGGGCGGATCAGCACTGGCACAGGCGCTGGGACGAGTGGGCAACGAGGCGCCAGACGTGCGTGACAAGGCACGGGGTGACAACATGCTGGCCGACTACTTTGACGCGCTGTCGCAGCTGCACGAGAGCGGGGTGGTGCTGGCATACCACGACCGATCGGATGGCGGCTTGTTGACGACGCTGGCCGAGATGATGTTTGCCGGACGATGCGGCGTGGACGTGATGCTAGACGACATTGCGCAGTCAGGATCGCAGGCAGACGTGCTGGCGGCCCTGTTCAACGAGGAGTTGGGTGCAGTGTTCCAAGTGCGCAAAGCGGACGTGAGCCTGTTCAAGAAGGGCTTCTCGACCTGCGGACCACCAGCCGGGCTAATCCGCAAGTTTGGCGTGGTGACGCCAATGACCAACCGCGATGGCAGCACACGGTCACAGACGCTGACGATTCGCTACGGCAACGACACGCTGCTGCAGCTGCGACGATCCGAGCTGCAGGGCTGGTGGTCACAGACGTCGGCAGCGATGCAGCGGTTGCGCGACGACCCGGGCTGTGCAGACGCAGAGCTGGCGACGATCGACGACGACAGCGACCCAGGCTTGGCATACCGGCTGACATACACGGTGACAGACGGGCTGGCACCACTGACGGCACCACTGTCACGGCTGTTGGGCCGGGCGCCTCGGGTGGCTATTCTGCGGGAGCAGGGCGTCAACGGACACGCAGAGATGGCGTTTGCGTTCCGAGCAGCCGGCTTCGACCCGGTCGACGTGCACATGACGGACGTGTTGGAGGGCCGCGACCTGGCCGATTTTGCCGGGCTGGCAGCCTGTGGCGGTTTCTCGTACGGCGACGTGCCAGCGGCCGGCATGGGCTGGGCGGCGTCGGTGCTGCTGCACGCGGGAGCGCGCCGCGTGTTTGCCGACTTCTTTGCACGCCCAGACACGTTTGCGCTCGGCGTCTGCAACGGCTGTCAGATGCTGGCGCGGCTGCAGAGTCTCATCCCGGGCGCCGACCACTGGCCGACGTTTGTGGACAACATTAGTCAGCAATTCGAAGCCCGCCTCACGATGGTGCGCATCGAGGCCGACGACGCCAGCCGGATCGACGGCGTGCCCCCGTCCATCTTTCTGCATGGCATGGCCGGCTCTGCGCTGCCGGTGGTGGTGTCCCACGGCGAGGGCCGCGCGCTCTTCGCCTCGCCCGCTGACCGCGACGCTGTCGACCAGGGCGGCCTCGCCCCCGTGCGCTACGTCGACAACCGCCTCCGCGTCACCGAAGCCTACCCCGCCAACCCCAACGGCAGCCCAGCGGGCATCGCCGCCGTGCGCAGCCGCGACGGCCGCGTGCTCGCCATGATGCCCCATCCTGAACGCACCATCGTTGCCGGCGTCGGCTCCTACCTGCCGCCGGACGCGATCGAGCAGTGGGGCGACTACGGACCGTGGATTCGCATGTTCCGCAGCGCGCGGCGGTGGGTGGGATGAGATGGCCGTGCTGATGGTGATGGTGGTGTGGTGGTGTGTGGTGTGTGGTGTGTGGTGTGCTTGTTGGTGATGGTTGAATCGACAGTGCTGACAGTTCCGGTCAGGTCACGTGTTTTGTGTTACGTACCGTACCGTCCATAGTAACTTACTCTGCTTCTCTGGCCTCCAACTCAGTCGTCCGTCTGCTCACGGCCCCTGGTTCTTGCATGCGCATGCATAGTATTGGCACCCACGACGGCATGCCTGTGGTATTATTTCCTGTCTTATTTCCTCCTCAACCGCGGAACGCAGTCAACTCCGCTTTGGGAAGGTCTTCTAGCCGTGTGACTGGTCGTCTCTGCGCTGCGTCACGGCGAGCCCGACCTGGCCGGCATACTCGTATGTTCGGTCCTGTTCCATCTCTCGTCCAGCTAGATAGCCAGATGGATGGAGATCCCTTGAAGATAACAGCACGGCGAACTCTCGGAATCGGCCACGAGATCATGTTCCAGGCACCCAGGATGACACCCAGGATGACATCCAGGATGACTGCAGCGATGACTGCAGTCGGCAACACCCCCCCACCCCCCCCGCCTTCCCCCATCCCGTGCGTCGCCCCTTTCCCACACGGCAGCAGGGAAGCTTCTCCATCCAAAGCAGCCTTGTCCGTGCTATGGCCATGGCAGGATGACGAGCGCGCAGGACGCGCGAGCAGCGCACACCACGGCCGCCTCCTCGCGGCTGCCTGCTCCGCAAGCACCATCTGCCGGCCGTGTGACTGCCTGTCCCACGCCAAGATGCGCCCGGCCATGCCGGCGCTTGTGCTGCCTCTGTGCCCTGGTCACACAGACCGTGCCAGCATCCCCAGAATGGCAACTCGGCTGCCACACCCGACAAAGTCGAAAAACCGTGCAGGACACAGCCGGCGTCCGGTTGTCCTCTATCCACATTCGACAATAAGCAGCGTCGACTGGAAATACCGTGCCATACTCTGTACATACTCGTAGTATCAAACGACATTGCAGGCCGCAAGCGACCCCCATCCCCTGTTCACGGTAACATACGATCGCAGTGGGGACGTGTCGGTAGACGGTGTGCGCTGGACGAAGACACCAGTGCGCTTTTAAGCCTCGGTGTAAAAACGAGACCAAGGCGTATTTTCGGCTTTCGGGTTTTTTTTCCTTTTGCCAGACGATGAGGAGGAGAAGACGGAAGAAAACACATGTTCTCGGCTGCTGTCTCGGACGTCGTGGCCAGTAGTGCCAGAGAAGCTGTCACCAACGGTACAGCATGCCGGCCCTTGTCCTCTTGTACGATACACAGGACCGTCCGGACTCACGTCGTCACATGCCAGAAGTAGTATGGAGGCTAGCAGGCATCTTCATGGAATGAGTGCACGACACGTCTCGTCTGACTGGCCCACGCTGCCGCCCGGCAATCAGAGGCAAGGCTGCAGTACGAAAGACAGTACAGGCTGCAAAGCAAGGGAGGGCGGAGGAATGGTGCAGACGAGGTCTAGGCCGTTGGAGGTTTCGCTACTCCGTACTATGTACTAATTTACTACCGCTCTCACCCGTCAACTCGACTGCCGGAGTAGTCCGCCAGGCAAGATAGGCAGGACGCAGGACGGCAGTCCCATGTACGAGTACTCGTATACTATGTGCGGCAACATGTCCGGTCCCATGCAACATCAGCAGCCGCCAAGGGAAAAAAAGTAAGCACGGCGCCCGCAAGGAGAAAAACCGCGGCCACGTCGCCACCGAAAACGCCTATCGTGATTTCGGATTGAGATATATTACACATCATCCTTTCGCCTACGCAGCAACGCGCCGGGGCGGCAGCGTGTTGGGACAGATCGGCATTGCAGGAAGGAAGAGCCAGGAAAAAAAGAGGAAAAATGGAGGCGAAAAAGACAGGTAGAACGAGAAGAAGAAAAAAGAAAAGAAGAAAAAAGCAAAAAAAACCACCACCATATTGTGAGAAACAATTGCTACGGCCCCACCTCCCTGCCTTAGCCACACAAATGTCCGTCCAGGCTGCTCGTTAACGAATGCTGGCAAGATATCGCAGACCTGAAACTTCCGCTAGGCCTCTTCGGGGCCACGGCTGCTTGTATGCGCATTCCCGGCAGACAACGTGGCTGGAGCTCGAGTCCGCCCGTGCCAGCTGCCGTCAGCCGGCCTCCAGCGCATGCGTCCGCCAGCAAGGCAAGAATGGCCAGAGCCTGACGGCCAGACAGGCCAGCGAAGCAGTGAAGCTGGACCTCGAAAGCCGGATTCCGGAATTTCCCCAAGGTCGCCCTCGTAGTTGGATTGCTCCTGTCTACCCAGCCGAACTGCTCTCTACGGAGTACGGACTACGCTCAACCCCCTACACAATACCCTCGTCTTTATTGGTCCCAGTTCTGCACCCACTCCAACCCACAATCGCCTGTCGGCCTGCCAGTTCAGACCCATGGCACATATCGTACATAGTACTCCGTAAGATAGTAGCCTACTCCGTATTCTGCAAGGACACTGTCTCCCCCTCCGATGTCACCCTCCGTGGTAACGGAAGCCCCTCCTTAGGAACGAATGCGACTGCATTATGCATCTCAACTGTATTTTTCCATACACCGGATCTCACTTTCGGGTATTCTTATTATTAGTATTGCCTGCCAATAAGTCACCCTCACGGTGCCAGTACATTGCGATGTATTCCACACACACGGGCGGTCTCGCACTTGAGTCAGCCGAAATAAAGAGTGCTCCGTAAAAAGAGGGAGTAAAAAGGAGAAAGAGAAAGAGAAAGAACAAAAAATAAAATAAAAAAAAAAAAATAAAAATAAAGAGAAAAAGAAAAAAGAAAAAAGAAAAAAGAAACTCACGAACAAAGTAAAGTACGGAATAGGGAGCAAGTAAAAGTGAAAACAAAGAGGCAAAAAGCAACACTCGCCTCTTGGCATCTGCAGTCATCCCACGCATTGAGCTGCTCTGGCATCAAGCACACGGCGATGCTACATACGGAGTAGTGGCACACCCTTCCAAAGCTTTAAGCTTGTGGTGCGGTATTTCTCACGCCCTTCCCGGCGCAGTCTTTCTTGCAAAGAGCCCGTCGCTTACCCTGTCCTAATTTTGTCACCCGGCTGGCTGTAGCGCCCCGTATCCATACACTGCCCCTCACCCCCCTTCCCTTTTCGTTCTCCGCACCGCTCTCCTCCCCTTTTCGACATCATGACAAGCGTATGCAACATCGAATAAGCAGAATGCTACTGTGGAATCCTTGTATCTCACAGGACAGAACAGCGCGCACAGCCCATTGCGACTGCGCTATATCGCGTGTCCGTGTGTATTCCTTCTTTTCTTTTCTTCTTTTCTTTTCTTCTTTCTCTCCTACGTACTCCGTCTTCTTCTCTATTCCTTTTCTTTTCTTCTTCTTCTCGCCAAACCTGCCTCTCACCACCCCCCTCGAGGTAAGACAGCATCATGCTACATACCGACTTCAGCAGGATGGCATGTCGTTCCTTCTTCGGGCGAAACACTCGTACTCCGTGCAATCGCATGCCCGTTTGAGACGTCAATATTGTATGTCTGTGTGTGTGGGCACTCCGATCTGCACCTGCTGCTCGTACTCGTACCCTCTTCTCTCGTTCTGCCCTCGCAATTTGCAGCGACGGGAGAAATATTTTCCCACGAAATACAAGGATGGAATTGCACTGGTTTCAACAATACGAGAACGCGTACACGCACACCACGGTGGATGACCAAGCCCTTATGAATGGATGAGTACGGCCAAGTACGAGCAGACAGCATTTGCAGACCCTAAAGAAACAGCATGGTTCGCTGGCGCCCCGTACTCGTACGTCGCATTCGGCTTGTCGATGCCGGCTCGCTGCCTCTTGGCGTCCTGCCCTCGGCGGCCGATTAACTAAAGCGGCATAGCGCTGCGCTCGCAGTCCGCCATCATACGAAGTTATTTCGCTACATGGCGCGTGTCCTTAGCACTTGCATCCTTCAGGAAATGGTCCGTCCGGGCCCGCCATATGGAGAACCAGAGCGTTTCGATAACGGGAAGAAGCGTCACCCTTACTCTGCTCTAGCTCGTCGAGGCTGTCTATGGACGCCCTCACCTCCCTTTCTCTACTTTGCCGTGCCATTTTTCAACATCAGCTGCTCATGCCATTTTGTGCGTCCCGGTACGCGTATTCTTCGGAATCAGCATAAACTCTCTCCAAGCCCCCCATCCTCAGCCCCCTCAGCCCGCCCCATCCTATGCATGAGAGATTCCGGCTTACTAATGCCAGGCCAAATCGCGAATGTCACCGATCGCATACCTGCATAACGCCCAATCGCAATATCGCATATTACCATGTCGGCTTACCCCCACTCCCAGCATCTTCGACGTATGTATCAAGTACTCGTACGCTAGCCTTCTTGCGGTCTTCCTTCCACTTCGAGATGCTGGATGACACTGTGATCGGCGTCAATATCCGCTTCGCGGTTATCCAAAACGAAAAATCTCACGGACTTCTGCAACTGTCTCAGATCCATATCTTCGGGGCCTCTGCCCAATTCCCGACGCCATGGCGCTTTCTTCATCGATGTAAAATGTTAAAGTCGTACCACCAGCTTTGTGCAAGCTTTCCTGTGCGATTTCAGACATGGTAAAACCCCCAGGGCTGCTCGTACGGGGAAAATACGGATCTCCGGCCTTACAGAGTGGAAGCCTCGTGGGCCTTTTCTCCCTTGATCCCTGCAATATGTGCTGCTCATATATGGGTCCAGGTCCACCAGCAGCTCCTTGCGACATACGAGTACGAGTTATTGCTTTGAACGCCAAGAGACCCGGCCCCCCCCGGTCCACGCGCGTTTGTACTGGCCCTGTGCTTATTACCGCGCAAATCTTCCGTGTCCCCTTCAACAGCCGGCGCAAGGGCCACAAAGTGGCAAAGGCCAGAACGGTGAGCCGGCAGTCCCCCCCTGCTCGCAGGATTTCCCGTGATTTTTTACTGCGTGGGCATACGATACTATCTCGAAGTGATA